GTTTGTTGCTTTACTCACTCTTTCTTATTCTCTTATATTTTCTTCTCATAGCGTGCCACAGGAAGGGTCTGGGAGGGCGAGTTACTATATAGTTATCCTTTTATTCTACTATATTCTACTGTTTTCGGTGTCTTTCTCTGCCGGTAAGTTGGCTGGCTGGGAATATTGACTTGCCACGAGCTCACCCAGACGGGAAGTAGCTACCTGGTCAATCATCCAGAGGTGGCCAGGCTTTGCCTGAATGATCCTTGTTGAGCTACCTAGCGGACTCAACGGGCTGAGAAGCGGAATACGATCCACTCCTATGCATCGTAACATCGGGGCATTAACTGTGATAGGTTCGACTTGTCCCTGCAAGTGAGTTTTATATAGCTCCAATGTCTATAAGTCCTAGATAGGTTCCTGAAAACGTACTGAGGTACTATTAGGCTTTTTTATCTTAGTTTAAATAGATATAAACCTACCTTATAGAAACGAGTCTGAGGGTTCTAGGAGATGAGCATCCCAACACGCTGACCAGCATAGGCAACCTGGCGTCGATGTACCGGAACCAAGGCCGGTAGAAGGAGGCCGAGTTGCTGTTTCTGCCAGTGATGGAGACGAGTTCGAGGTTGCTGGGAGAGGAGCATCCCGATACGCTGATCAGTATGGGCAATCTCGCCTTGATTTGGAAAGATATGGGCCGCATGGAGATGCTCTTTGCCTCTCACAGACTTGCTTGATTTCCAGCAAGAGGTATTAGGCGCAGGTCATCCGTACACCGTGTCCACGCTATCAACTCTAGAGGCAAGGCGAAAGGAGAACGGACCATCAGGAGTATAGTAGTATTAATTTGTGATAAATAACAGTCAAGTTATTCTATCTTTTCTGCTGCCTACTGTCCCGAAGTTATGGTTAAGCCAGTGACAAGACGAAGCGTAACCACTATCGCGAGGCGGATCGGCGTTTTGTATAGACACCGTACAAAGCGACGACCTAAGCGCTCGGCTTTTATTTGCAAGGCTTAACCTGCTGCATTTCTAGCAAGCAGGAGGACGTTCAAAGCGCCGGTCGACCATGGGGTGGGCATCAAGGGCTACATATTCAATATACTCTAGTTATAGGCTATTTGGTCGGCGTCCCCCCGTACAAGCGCCTTTATCTCAGTGTCTGAATTAAATCACCATTTACGGGGAGTACGATCGACAATGCCCTAGAGTCCACTAACTAAAGCGAAGCTTCCAAGCACAGTAAAGAAAAGTAAGGAGGTTGGACGATACAAATGGCTTATAGACAATCTTAAAGAGTTCGGCATACAGTTATATATAAGACAATTGAATATGCGCACCTTGCGGGTGGAAATAGGACTGCCGCGGCCGAGGGCGATCGTTGTCGTAAGCTCTGTTCTTCCAATGTATTATCCTCTCGGTCCTCTGGGCCGGATGCGGACGTGCCAAGGCTATCGTTGTCTCTAGATGTAGAGAAAATGCCGCCGAGTTCCTCGGAGTCGTCGCGCGACCCTTTCGGTCATAGCTCGTGTATAGCGGCTTCTCAGTATAACTCGGGACTTGCAGGCTAGGTGAAGTATATGAGATCTTAGGCTCCAAAGACCCAGTTGAGAGCCCCGACCCTCCATTCTACTAAGCCCCTAGGTGTGATCTTCTCAAACTGCCGGTCTGTCTATACTCCTCGGAGGGAGTGGATAGCTGTGTCGGCGTCTGTGAAGAATAGCTGTGGATGTTGGGAGTCGAGAAAACGGGCTTGTTGCAATGAGGATGGTCGGGTTGGTCGTACTGGCGAGTGGTGGCCGAGTGTTGACCGAGCGTCCACTTGAAGCCGTGGTAGGCAGTCCCCTTGTCGTGCCGTGTCTGCTATGCCCCAGAGGTGCACCAACTCCCAAGCCAACGCCTTTGTCCTAGGTTCCCTCGGCGAGACCGACACGAGGCCCACCCACACTCCTTCCCAGAAGCCCTGACCATATGTCTCGGGCAAATCTCACCAACGATTAGTGGGGAATGCATCGCCAACTGTATGATGCATATCGGCGAGGCGATTATCAGGCAGAACAGTTGCCAGTCTGCCTGAACAGCCCCTTGGGTAGGTATTCCGGGAAGTCCGTGAGTGGTGCGTTCTAGAGTGGCGCATCAGGTGGACGCGGTTCAGACCCCTACCTAACCGCTTGACTCCGGAACGAGCATCCCAGCAAGCTGCGGTCTGCCTTGTTCCTACTCCATAGCCATGCTAATGCAGGACTGCGCCGGTTCTAGGTTGGTTCCCACGCTTATCGCCAGTATATGACCCAGACCGGCGATCCGCCTTCGGGTGATCTCGGCGCCGCAAGTGATCGTGAATACCTGAGAGCAGTGCGTGTACTCATTGCCAAGTCTGCTCTTGGCTCGCGTGGCTCTATTGTATGGTCGAGGCTTTCCTTCCACCACGAGCATCGGGGTCGGCTGGGTCAGGCCGTATAGGCCACGGTCGTGTCCAGTTCGATGTTGGCCAGCTTGCTCAAGTTGACGAGCGCCGGGCTAGGGCCGGTACTCGCAGCACGAGCACAGCAGGTCGTTGAGTCCACATCGCTACATTCTCGCTGAAGACTCCTCTTAGACCGAAGAGACCGGCCTACGGTGTAGCCGTCGAATTTGGCCTGGTTGAGGACGGTGGCCCGTGGGGTCGGCATCCTTTGACACATATGAACACGAAAGCGGCCATTAGCCTAGACGTGTAGAGGAGGTCACAAACACGTTTGGTTGGCTAAGAGCGGGTTTGCAACGCGTTAGTGAAAGCGTGGTCACAACAAAGCGACATTAGATTCACACCACAGCAAAAGTCGGAAAACGGAATTGGAAAACGGAGATGTGACAACTAAGCGCGAAACACGTTCCCTACCATTTCAACCAGCAGAAAACGTTCCTTCACGTGACCTGAACTTTGCTGAGTCAGCAACACAACCGAAAATGAAAGTGAAATAACGTTACTGGTTCCAGATTCATGTTCACGGCCTCCCCACAATAGCGACATCTTCTTGTCTTCGTTGTTGTTCAAAGGGGGCGGTTTCTTGTCCTCAGAGCGACCAGTTTTGGACCCTTTTGAGCGGATAAGGAAGATTTATATGCAAAACACCACAAACCGAGCCTCTTATCTGCACTCGATGCACCTAAGCCAACATAGCCAGGCTTTCTTCAGTACGGATGTGACTTACAGTCATCTACCCTTTGCATACCTTAGGGTATGATGTCGGGTTGAGTCAGGCACGGCACTACACGGTGGGAATTCCCGTTATCATCAATGTTAGGGACGGAGCAATTGCCCTGCGTCGTATCGAGTAGCGATGGCCGACGCTCTCGCAGCTCTTGGTGTCGCAGCCAACATTCTGAGCTTTGTCGATTTCGCGACGAAGCTCGTCTCGAACGTTTGCGAGACGTATAGATCCGCCGACGGATTGGTACACGAGCATGCCAACCTGGAAGCGATCGCCCGAGATCTCACCATCCAATGTGACGAACTACGCAGAACCCAGTCATCCGACAATGACCTCTCTGCTTTGCTAAAAATGAGCAAGGATGTTGGAGTCGAGCTCCAGAAAGTCTTGAACCAACTGCGATCGCTCGCTAGTGGTCGCTCATTCAAGTTGCTTGCCAGTGTCAAGAGCGCCTTGGCAGCGATGAGAAAGAAGGACAAGATCGACGAACTCCAAAACCGGTTGTTCAGGATTAGGGATCAAGTTTTCTTTAGAATCCAGCTTACTCTGTTGTGAGTCCATCTACACCATCTGTAAGACTCCCACCCGATCATGTTTGCTGACTCCAGATCGATTGAATGATCAGGGAGCGACTGAAGGTCACCAGTGCAACGATTGAGGACCTCACTGCATCAACCAGAGATTGGTCGAAAGAAACCAACAAGAGACTGGAAACCATGTCTCGGGATCTGGCGGAGATACTGGGCACAGCCAGTGGTAGTGCTAGAGCTCTAGCCCCACTGGACACTCTCGTTGTACGACTACGAGATTTCATTTTCGAGTCTCAGAACCACGAGAGAATCAAGCATATTCTTCAAAGTCTGCATTTTCAGGAGATCCAGGAACGACACTCCGAGGTCAAGCGTGCCCATATGAAGACGTTTGAGTGGAGTCTGGCCGAGGACTCTGGAACCAATCTGGCTTCCTGGCTGCGTACCGGCAGCGGCATCTACTGGTATGTACCTTACTGATCGGAGCTTCTACTTTTCTTTGTGATTTTCCCGGTCTGACTCGTCGGCTAGGATCAATGGCAAGGCGGGCTGTGGCAAATCGACCTTGATGAAGTACCTTCTCGAACATGAGAAAGTACTAAGATCGTTGAAACGCTGGGCCAGACCCGAGAGGCTCTTGGTTCTCAACCACTTCTTCTGGGCTGCTGGCACGCCGCTACAAAAGTCGCAGACGGGACTTCTGCGTACTCTGCTCTTCCAGCTCCTAATTGAGTATCCAGAATTTATGCCGAAGCTGCTCACCAAGCGCTGGGAGCCCGGCACATTCAAGTACCTGGAGTCCTGGTCTCTCAACGAGCTTCTGGATGCCTTTGGGGCTCTAAGAAATTTGGAGAGCATGCCACTACGGATATGTCTCTTTATCGATGGCCTGGACGAGTATCAGGGCGAACACGAGGACCTGATCAAGTTGTTACAAGATTTGACCGCGGTCCCAGGGATCAAAGCCTGCGTATCAAGTAGGCCCTGGAAAGAGTTCCGAGACGCCTTCGGCCGCTTGCCCGGACAGCTTCAAGTGCACGAATTCACCACCGACGATATCAGACGGTACGCAGAGGATAATCTGCATCAGAATGCCCAGTTCATTCGCATGCGTCAAGATGACGTTCCTGGCGCCAAGTCGCTGACAGCGACCATCGCCTCCCGTGCCGATGGTGTTTTTCTCTGGGTATTTCTGGTTGTCCGATCCTTGCTCCGGGGCCTCAGCCAAGGCGACACCATTGTGACCCTGCAACAGCGGCTCGAAGAGCTACCACAAGAACTGGAGGGCTTTTTTCTGCGCATGATCCAATCTATAGAACCTGTGTATGCCAGGGAGATGAAACGTAACCTGAGCTGGCTCATAATGGCGGGAACACTCCCTCTTGTGGTGTTTAGCGACATGGATGCGCCGTATGTGGCTGCACTGTCCCACGGTGACCATTATGGGTATCACGACCACGCTGCCGGATATATCGTGACCTACTTCCGAGGCCGCGTGGAAAAGACGTGTAGGGACCTAGTGCAAGTTCGGGGATCCGACTTCTGTCCCTGGGAAAGTAAAGTCGGCTTTCTTCACAGGACCGTATCCGATTTTCTGCAGACGGACCAAATGAAAAGCTTGCTGGAAGAATCAGAGGCGAACCATACAGTCAGCCCCAGAACGGAATTGTCAATCGCATTAGTCGCAAATACCAAAAGGCTTAAGATGGCATTCGACACTCGTTGGAATGATGCCTCACAGACCTGGACCCTGACTGAGACGATACGCCCTCGCAACGAGAGGCAGGAACAGGTGCACAAGCGGGACTTGGCTCTATGCCTTCTAGAGTTGCAGAAGCATGGATACATGTCTGGCGACTACTCCATCGAAGCTCTCGACGATCTTGACTCTATCGTTGGTGGCGAAGCCCAACTTGTGCTTGACTTTATCACTGACCTTGTTGGCTCTTATACTCTGCTAGAGCTGGCACCGATGATTGGTATGGGCTGGTGGCCTTGGATCAAGTACGAGTCAAAAATGCGTCAACAGGGCCAATTGACAGAAGCGGAGAGTAAGAGATTGCGGACGGTTCTTTGGACCTCTCTACAACCACAATATTCTTTTGACATCGACGAGCATGATGCTCCTCACTCTCCCCGCTCAGGGATAATCGATTTGAGCCTTGCAAGGAAGTTTCTAGACAGATTCGGCTGTCATTCTGACGACCCGACGTACCAAGGGCAAGGCGGCTGCCCAATCTGGCATGAGTTCATCTCCAGCTTCGCCAAAGATGTGGTTGAACAATGTGATGTGGGGCCTTCATTGGGTGAGCTCGATTCGGATCTCCTCGCCATTGAACCCAGATATGAGATTTGCAAGTACTTTGCATCCACGCATGTGGGGATCGGTTTCGAGTTCTCAGGGGCGAACGATCGGGAGAAGCTACTAAAGTCGAAAGGAAATTGGGAAGCCATCCCAGATGAGTTGCGACAGTACACCAAATATTCCGGTTCGTTTCCTCTTCGTGTAGCCTGGATCGCGGCTGTTAGGGGATTGCCAGATCTCGCCCTCGTACTCAGAGCTGCGTTCGGTGAGGATAGAGCCCTCGGGCTGCTCCGCATCAGACGAGATGTTCAGGAGTCTCAGTTGAGACAGCAAGTGTCATCCGTGACGCTCGCAGGACGTCTTCGTGGCTTGTGGACCGCTTTGGTGACTGGAGCCTGGTAGTATAGGCCGATTCAAGGATTCATCAAACCGCCGTGGATGGCAGACGGCAAATCCGAGAAGTAATACAAGCTTCAAGAGACGGCTGTTTTTTGACCTGTTTGAGGTTGATTCATAGTCCATAGTTCCAGGATTACCCAGGTGGGTGTTTTGGATGAGGAGATCGCTATGTAGTACCTGTATCGATGCGACAGGCTGGGGTGCTTTACTCTATCTGCGATATCAATCAGTCAGGTGCTCTTCTTTAACTCAACTACCGATGATTAAGGATCATCTCAGACTCATCAAACGTTTTGTCGGGGGCTTGCACCTACGGCGCCTAGGTCTGAGGCGCATAGAACTCCCAACTGCCGACGTAGATATCAACCTGATAAGCCCCTTATAACCACTATAATTCCACCCCGCAATGCCCTCGGTATACCTCTTATTGTACTCGGCGACGTGCCATCTAATTCTCATCCCTAACAGCTGGCATCAGGCTATCACAATGTCAAACATATGGACCTCCCCGCAGTAATCTCCAACCGCCAGCCGAGTCGCTGCTGATGTGATAGAATTGCCTGTCCAAGCATACTTGCCCCTGAACTTACCCGTAGCTACATCGCTGACGTCGAACCCTTCCTCAGTCCGGCAAGCCAAGAAACGGCAATCTGGCGAGACACAGAGCGGCCACCCCTCGCTCTGCCGCACTACGTTCAGGTTGTAGTTCTGCACCCGCCCAGAGTTCAGACACCACAGCACCACCTTCCTTCCCCACACCGTTACTACCAGCTTCCCACCCAGCGACACCTTCAGTATACTCGGGGGCGATCTCGCCTCAATCTTAATCTTTTTCAGCGTCTTCCTTGACGCGATATTCGTTACCCTGACATACCCATCCTTCCCCGCGCTTACCAGCGCCTTCCCATCTCCCTCCCAATGTGGCAGGAAAGCCAGTTGCGTTACCTCCTCCGTATGGCCCATCAGCAGCCTCTCTACTGTAGCCTCTACCCCCTTGTGCCCGCGCTGCATCCTCACCACGAGAATCCGGCTCGGCTCATTCCCAATCCGACACGCCTACCAGCATCGTGCCATCGGGACTCCACGCCACGGGCGCCCGGATTTTGATGTCGTCTTGCTTGAGCAGCCGCTGGCTCTTCACAGCATCGCAAAAGTCCCACACCTCCAAGCCCGAATACTACCAGGGGTCAGCAAGCTTGCTTACCGGTACGGGCACGCAACGATGGCACCCGGCCCGGCCATGGGCATGAGGGCAAACCCACCCGCCTTACCCCCACCGCCGAGTTGTTTCGAGGCATCGCCGTACCCTTGTCGGCTGACCACAGGGCCAACGCAAGCTTCGCATCACCCTTTCCTACGGCCGCGAGAAGGTGCGAGCCGGACGGCGTGAAGCAGAGGTGCCTAATTTCGTTGGCGGAGTAGGGCGAGCGCATGGTGAAAGTGTCGACGAAGGGTGAGCGTGGTTTTGGTGTCAGGCGTGGCGGTTGGCTCTTCTTCTTCGGGAGGGTCGTCCCATCGCCGGTTGCTGGACTGTTCAGCCATGTTGTCCGCTGCCTGGTTCGTGATGTTGAGGCTGGCTGTCCTCCAGGTCGGTTGTCAACTTGAAGGGCGGCGGGGGATCGGTCATGGGTGGCTAATCGCTCATATTAAGTCGAAGTTGGCGGTGTTCGAGGAGGAAGATAAAGAGACTGGGATGGATCTGGCCCGATCTGCCGAGTCACGTTGGAGGCTGTGTTCGGGTTTGAGGGAGTGGATGGGTTCGATGGCGTGGAATTGGGATTGTGCAGATCGTCGGGGCTGAGATACATGGATGATGTGGTCCAACAGCAGCCGCATCTGCATCGATGGTTTCGAGGCAGACCAAAGCGCTTTATTCGGAGGCGCATGCCCACGGCTCGCCGACGTTGAACCCGTGCGGGTTGGAATTGATGTAGCCATGCGGGGTGGATTGAACCCAACGACTTAGTTGTATGTGTCTTTCGCCTCTGGAGGCCCGCACGCTCCTCCCTCCAGCGCCATGTTTAGCATAGTGATGAGATCATGAGCCTGCCAAGTGGTGGTGAAGCAAAGGCCGCACCCTAGCTGTACCCATTACCAAGCAGTGCAACGGCCAAGACCCCTTTAACTTGTGTTGCACGAGACACAACACCAACTCTGTTATCGCAGGCGCCAGGTGAGCTTAGACGGTCCCTGTATAGGAAGAGTAGAAGGTAAAAGAGGCTTACAAAGTTACAGTTAGAATGCCAAGGAGGACTGAGCCCCAGCCAAACTGCCAAAGAGTTTCTGGTGTCGGACGCGACGCGGCACAAGGCAGGCAATACCCGTGCCCCGCCCCACTTATCCCAGCATTGGGGGACCCATGCCCGGGCTAATCGGTGCTCTACAGCTCAACATGCAGGTCAGCTCAATGCGCAGTTTTCCCACATCTTTAGCTACAATTGACCAAAACCAACCACAACTGGCCGAATTGAATGGTTAACGCCCTCCGGAGATGGGTGGGCGTATCAGGAAGCAATACTATAGTATTTGATTAGCCTGTAGGGTGTAGGGCGTTACTATTGTACGGTTCTTTGTAGTAACTCTTGACGGCTATACTACCCATCTTACCACTTTGCCCACGAGTATTATTGTTACGAATAACCGCATGGGCGGCCTGGGAGGCTGCAGCCGCGTGGGGTATGGGGCGTGCCCCAGCCAATCATTCAAGAACAAGACAGATGCCAATCACAAGGGGAGCGTGCGGTCTTGGCATCGCTCCCGAGGAGCGACGGGACAAAAGGATGGGAGCGTGATGCGCTCCCAGCGCTCCACAAGGGGCAAGCTTAGGACAAAAGGAAACTCTTCAGTATATTAGCTAGCTAGTCACTCCCTCAGGGGGGGGGACCTCTAGGAGGTTCCCCAGTAAGCAATGCAAGCAGTTGTCTTTACTACTGTGTGTGACGAATCTCGGTCCCCTAACCACTGAGAGGGACTTCTCTGAGACTAAAGGTCTGACTTAACGATGGGGTGAGGTTCGGTAGAGCCAAAGGGTCTACAACAAGTGCACAAGCAAGTGTTCACACGGTAGTAAAGACAACTGCTTGCATTGCTTACTGGAGAACCTTCTGAAGGTCCTCCCTAAAGAGTGACTATATACTATGTTCGGTTCTGTTGATCGCCTGTGCTCGTGTCCCGAGCACTCTCGAGCACTTGCCTGCTATTCGTGCTATATCTTCGATGACCTCGAGCATTTTGCATGCTGCGAGGCGCTCGCCTGTCTTGGCGTCATAGCACTTCAGCCTTGCCTTGATTGGTCTGCCTGATGTTTCTAAATGATTGGCTCGGGGCTCCCTGCGCCCCGCATGTAGTCTTCCGCCATGCGGCCTGCTGTTGGTTAATTCGTGACACTGTGTGAACACTTGCTTGTGTCAATTGTTGTAGACCCTTTGGCTCTACCGAACCTCACCCCGTCTAAGTAAACCTTCAGTCTGAGGAGTCCCTTTCAGTGGTAGGGGACCGAGATTCGTCACAAGTGAAGACAGGTTGCAGCACGAACGGGTCTTGCCTGCGCATCAGCGAAACTTTACTCCCTAGTAATCAGGTAGTAAGTCGTGCAATCTCTAGGATACAGTATCATTAACACTGGAGCCAATTAAACTTTCCTTGAGTGGGACAGACGCGCTCTCCACACACGCTCGCTTCGTACGTCGCGTGTTCACGTCGCGTCGTCTGCAAATTCGCCAGATTTTCGCATCGAAAGCATCACTTCCAAGGCAAAACTTGCTGCAAACTCCCCATCGCACCGTGTTTCCAATTCGATCCTGCGAACGAGCCGCTGGGCATGGACGCCGCAGGCCAGGCCAGTGTTGGCGAACCGAACAATGGCGGCAAGACCTGGCCCAAGGACTACCAGGACATCTTGGCCGGCATCGAGTCTGCCCTCAAGGCCATCGAGGCACCGGGAACCTTTGCCAGTTTTGCCGGTCTTAATAATCCAAATCTACAAGATACCCTAGGGCTCCATGTCCACGGCGTCGGCGACATCCAGGTGCCTCTAAAGGAGGAACAAGCCCGTCAATTGATCGCCCAATCCCGCCAGGCACCCTTCGGCAAAGGTACCGAAACCGTTGTTGACACTTCGGTGCGGAACACCTGGGAGTTGGATGCCTCCCAATTCGATCTCCGCAATGCCAACTGGTCAAAAATCCTTGATGCATGCATCAGCCACTGTGCAACAAGCTAGGCGTCAACTCGCCTATCCGCGCCGAGCTCTACAAGATGCTCATCTACGAGACTGGCGCCATGTTCAAGGCACATACCGACACCGAGAAGATCCCCGGCATGTTCGGAACTCTGGTCATTTGCCTTCCATCCCCGCACGAAGGTGGCGATGCGGTCGTGAGACATCGCGGTCAAACGAAGACCTTCAAGACCTCAACCAGGCAACCATCCGTGTTATGCTGGTATTCAGATGTACATCATGAGCTCTTGCCCGTCACATCTGGCTATCGGTGGGTCTTAACCTACAACCTCGCCATTTCCCCTGACGAGGAGAGGCCGTGTGCCTCCATTTTTGATGAGGAAACACAAAAGTTGCGGGACCAGCTACAACGATGGCTTGACTTCCACAATTTACCGGAGAGGCCCAAGGGTGAGCCAGACGGTGAAACCCACCACATCTACCACCTGCTCGACTACGAATATACCGAAGCTAGTATCTCCCTCAAGGCACTCAAGTCCACAGACCTCGCTCGCGTACAGCGTCTGAGAGACTTGTCCAATGAGCTAGAGTTTGACATCTTTCTCGCCGTTCTTGAGAAAATGGAAACTGGCGAAGTTGAAAATGATTATGACGACTACCGCGGCTTCGGAAAGTGGTACAATGATGAAGACGAGGAGGATGAGGGCGAGGACGAGGAAGACTTCCACTACATTGATTGCCCTACCGAGCAAGAGGAATGTATCAAGAAGCTTGTGAGCTTGGACGGCCGCAAACTCCGCTCAAATATTAAGCTCCAAGATGGCGATCTGTATGACTGCCTCCACCTGATTCCAGAATGCACAGATCCATTCGAGTGTATAGACGGCGAAGAAGAGTACGAGGGTTATATGGGCAACTGGGTACCTATATTTCCGCCGCGTCCCCGTCATCCTTTAGATCGCTGACATGCTCCCAGGGTCCCACAGCAACTCACTGGTATCGCACAGCCGTAAGTCCGCCTCCCTCCACGGACCAAGGAGTGAACTAAGTGAAGACTCCCAGGCCGCTATACTCACCCTACGTAACGTCACCGACGCCTTTCTTACGCAGGGCCTTGGGAGAAAAGGCTCGCAGGAGTTGCTCACTCGCTACCTAGCCAAGTGTGTCGACGTCAAGACAAGCCCTTCCGCTCTTCAGTCATTTCACAGACTGGCGAAGACAGCCTGGGGGCCTGCCACGCCGGGCTGTTACGAGACGAGAAAGGTCAATCGTGCACTTGTTCACCTGACCATGGAAACGGCCATTACCTCCGCGAGTACACGCTGTTTAATAGCATCATGGGGTGGTTGGACGCCGAGAGCATTATCGAGGACATCTTAACTCTCGTTGGCGACTCGATTGACGCTGGGACGCTGGAGTTTGGGGAGATCAAGACGAGGTCAGTACCGCGAATGTCTGGCTGTGACAACTTGGATTGACCTCGCTGACAATCTTGCAGTTTGCTCGGCCATCTTCAAAGATGTCCATTGCACGACCGTGCGAGCCGCCTGCAAAAGATATTGCCACCGGGTAAAATGGAGAAATTCGAGCCAGACGTGTTTACATGGGCTGCTGAAGTCATTGATATGTGCCTCACCGACATTGAGAGAGCCGCAAGGCCAACACTCTCTCGGAACAAGATGGCCATGGCATCGTGAGCCTGATTATGGCGTACAAAGATTACGATTTCTTCAAGACACGGTAAGGCCACCCGCCCTGGTAGAATTCCCATCGGCTTTCTGCGTCTGAGTTTTCGCTAACGCCAACCTTGTTACAGCCTTCTCCCCGTCATCGAGGGCGCAACCACCATGACTCCCTTCGTCTTTGCTGTCGTTCAAGAACTGGACGCCCAGAACGGCAAAGGAGCACTTCCGCAGCCCGAAACCCTTGATCTGATCAGACGACTCACCAAATCTTCGATTTCCGCCATGGACATCGCCACCCTGTGCAGCATCGAGGGCTTTAAAGACCCTGTGTGGGATACCATAACCAATGGCCCAATTATACCTGCCGAGCAACGTGGCCGAGTCATTTCCCCTGAGCACCTGGCAATGATTTTCCTTATGGCGCTGAAACTTGGCTGGGATGACATCCTCCGCAGCCTGTCGCTGAAGATTGCCGCTCAGATCCCTGCTGTACCCCCTGAAGAGTTCAATTTCCTCTGGCTGCCCTTTCTTCACCTCATAACCTCCATATTCCTCGAACAGTCCGTTCCGCTCTCAACCCCGAGATACCAGCAACTTGCCCTAGCCATCGTCGAGTCCTACCTCGACCGCTATGTAGGCCCGGAGTCGCACCCCGGAGAAAATGATTGGGCTATGCCTGACATCAAGCGCTCCCTGTACTACGCTTGCCGGTGCAATGATTGTGAGCTGCTAATGGCCTTCCTCAAATCATCTACCTTGAGGACCAAAAAGTTCCAGTGCGGAAAGGATCGGAGGCGACACCTCCACGACATACTGGACAGCTACGGCAGCGCCGTTAGCCACGAGACGGATCGGTCGACGAACCCTAATACGCTGGTCGTTATCAAGCGCAGCAGCGGAGCTCAGGATGGTAGGCGGGCGTGGGAAGCCAGGAGAAACGTGGCCACGACGGAATTGGGCAAGCTCAAGCAGTCGGAGTTGATGGAGTTGCTAGGGGAGGAAGACTATAAGAAGATTGTGAAGAGACTGCCAGGCCTAGCTCTCAGCGACAGTGCTTTCCGTGCCTCTTCTGGCAATAGCGCCGCGGGTGTGAAACGGAAGGCCGAAGATGAGTTGACTGACCGTGACAGACTGGCAGATTTCTTGTCCGGAAGGGTAGAGTGGTGAAGGTAAGGATTTTGGATATGCATGTAATAGTATCATTGATAGCAAATAGGCTTGATGTTTGGACTAGTAGTTGGATGTAATGTGTCGACAACAAAAAAACCAACCTAGAGGCTCTGCTATTCGGCAGCTATCCAACGTCACCGTCGCCACGAAGCTAGCATCACGCAAATGCGAACGTACGCTATGGCCTACCTCTTTATAGCGTGTACCGGAACGAAGGGTGGCGGTGGCCCAGGAGGTGCACATTTTCCTCGGCGAGCCGATGGTCCCTCTCTCCCCGGTCCCTCTTGTTGTTCTCCCAGTGTAAGTAGGCAGTCTGGACAACGGTCAAAGCAAGCGCGATGACGAGCGCCCCGAGGCTGACAGAGTGGCCCAAAACATACTTTGGTCTAGAAACCGTCAGCAATGCCGAAACCAGAGTACCCTTGACGGAGTTGTTCCTACGCATCTCGCTGAAGATAGATGAAGGTGCCAATGAACGCCGAGCAGTTGGCAATAGAGATGACGACCCCTGAAGCAACCGCTCTCACGTAATGAGGCGCCAGGTTGTTGGAAACCCAGCCCTAGGATCCTTTTAGCATCTGCTTGGTTTCTCCTCAGACGGCCAACATACCATGAGCATGGGAGAGATCTGGAAGACCCCAATCGCAATGAGGAACGTCCCTCCATATCTGACCTGGTCCCGGTCAGAGGCCAAAAGCATGATATAACCACATATCCCCACAACGCATCCCACAGCAACGAAGCAGCCACGGTTCTTGAGCTTGTCCGAAAAGTGCGCAGCTAGTATGACGGCGAAAAAGCCCGCCATGTTTGGCGGAGCCGTGAAGAGCTGCGCAATGGTTGCTTGTGAGGTATAGCCCATCCCGGCTACAATCGACGGCAAGAAGAGGGAGAAGCTCTAGCACGGGCTATGTCAGCGGTTAACTGCCACAGCCAACACAATCAATCTGACGTACGTAGAGCGGAACCAGGACAAAAAACCAGATGGCCGCACAGAGGTACGTCTGGGGAGCTTCCACAGCCATCTTGACCCAGCGCCAATCGAGCTTCTCGTCATCAACAGTGACGGCCGTAGATCCGCTTGCGTCGTTCTGCATCCGCTGGAGTGCCCATTCCCTCTCCTCAGCGGTCAGGAACTTGGCCAGAGCCGGAGTGTCCGGCATGAAGATGAAGCAGAGAATGCCAAAGACCACCGTCGCCGCGCCCTCGACTGCACATCCCATCAAATGACGATCAGCATCTCGCCCTTCACCTGGCACCGTCACAAGTAGCAGAAGCAACTCACCAAAGAAAATCCACGGCCACCCCCTATAGCCACCCGCGCTCACCCTGCCCAACGCGCTCGCCAACAACCCACCAAACGCACCACTCAGCGGCGCAGCGCAGTAAAACAACCCACTGCGATACAGCATCTCATGCCGCCGATAGAACATGGCCAGGTAGATAATGACCCCTCCCAAAATTCCGCCCTCAAACAAGCCCAGCAGCAGCCGGCAGGCAATTAGGCTCGCAAAATTCCGCACCAGCCCTGTACAGGCACACACAATCCCCCATAATGTGATGAGGGAGGGTAGGTAAATTCCGGCACGCACCCGTTTGAGTAGCAGGTTGCTCGGCACGTCGACCAGGATGTAGGGCACGTAAAAGACCAGCAGGGCTATGTTGAAGGAGGTGCCCCGGCTGATGCCGAGGTCTTCGGGCAGGCCGGCGAGGGCGGCGTTGCCTATGTTGGAGCGGTCGATGAAGGAGAAGAGCCTGTTTTTGTGTTGTATGGTATAATCATTGTGAGTCTGCATGTACTAGTATGTGCGTGCGTCTGTTCTACCTAGGGCTGGGTCCACTGGAATAGGGGGTTTGTGACTAGAAGGGGGGATTGTTTACTAACCAGATGCCGAATATCCAGGGGAGGATGTGCAGGTCGAATTTGCGGTTCAGGCGTCTGTCCAGGTCGGCGTTGGCAGTAGATACCAAGGCCGTGGCGGCGGTGCCTTTCTCCGAGTCGACGGGGCTTTCGAAGGTGGAAGTAGTTGGTTTTTCCGGATCGTCCATGGCTGCTGCAGATGGATTGGGTAGATTTAGTTATTAGGCTGAGTGTGAGAGGTTATTATGGCCAAGGGGCGAAAGGAGGACAAAGAAATGTATAAGTGCTCCTCGATCAAGCATTAAGATTGAAGGATCTGATGCGTCCCTACAGACCACCAGTTCATCGTCTACTGTGGACTTGCGGTCGCGGGAGACAAACCTGATGCCGATGAGGGGTAGGGAACTCCCGTTTGTGTCCCGTGCTCGACAAGTACGGCAAGCTACTAGTACTTACTTGGTAGGTTGAAGTTACATAGCTTTGGCTTGGTCAGCGTAGCATCAAACCAAGTTGAGGCGGTGGTGAAGGTCAAGTGACTGATAATTGTTCCCAAGAATGGCGGTAAGGCCTTAGAGTTGGACGAATAGGCATGGCTAACTGGCTATACTGCATGCAGACAACAGCGCTATGCCTAATACTGTGTCCATATCACGACAGTTGCTTCGTTTTGTCTTAGTATAGCCTTGGCTCCAAAGTCAGGAATGAGGGAACTCTGATTCATGGTCTAACGTGCATTATAAGCGAGTCGCGCATATAAGCGAGTCGCGCACTCTCTACCACAACGCGTTTCCTCGACACTTAGCCTCATTTTCTCCCACCACCCAAAATGCCAGCTCCTTTAAAGGAAGCGAGGGTTATCTTAGCCCTTAAAGCTCTCCAAAACGATAAAAAGTTAAGCATTAGAGCTATAGCTAAGCTCTACAATATACCAGAATCCACCCTACGCGACCGACGCGCTAGCCGGCCTGCACGACGCGATCTTCCAGCTAACTCGCGCCGACTTACCGATTTGGAAGAGAAGGCTCTTGTTCAGTATATAATTGAGCTTTCTAAGCGAGCTTTTCTGCCAAGACTGCGTGGTGTAGAAGATATAGCCAACCAACTGCTACACGTACGCAACGCGTCCCCTATTGGCAAGCTTTGGGCATACAACTTTGTCAAACGCTAGCTAGAGCTCCGGACATGTTATACGCGTAGATACGACTACCAGAGGGCCAAGTGTAAGGATCCAAAGGTCATTGGCGAGTGGTTTGCCCTTGTACGGAACGTCAAGGCCAAGTACGGTATTGTAGATGACGATATCTACAACTTTGACGAGACTGGATTTATAATGGGCATTATCTTCGCGGGCATGGTGGTGACAACCTCGGATGGCCTTAGCAAGGTAAAGCTAGCTTAGCCTGGTAACCGCGAATGGGCAACGGTGATCTAGGGAGTCAATGCCCTCCGCTGGGCTATCCCTCCATTCATCATCTTAGTGGCGCAGTACCACCTCGCCAACTAGTATACCAAGTGCAACCTCCCAGCCGACTGGCGCATCGCAACCACCGACAATAGCTAGACTACTAATGCGGTAGGCCTGGATTGGATCAAGCACTTCGACTACTATACAGCGCCCCGGGTAAAGGGCAAGTACCAACTGTTGATCCTCGATAGCCACGAGAGCCACCACTCGACTGAATTCGAGCTCCATTGCTAGCAGAACAACATCATTACACTCTGTATACCTCCACACTCCTCCCATCTCCTTCAGCCACTCGATGTCGGCTGCTTCGGGCCATTGAAGTAGGTGTACGGCCGCCAGGTTGAGGACTTGATGCGGATGTATATCAACCACGTAAGCAAGCTCGAGTTCCTTTGCGGTTTCCATAAGGCCTTCTTTACCTCGATAACGGAGAAGAATGTCCAAGGTAGCTTTGCAAGTGCTAGCCTTGTACCGTACAATCCAGAGAGGGTACTTTCTAAGCTGGATGTAAAGCTTCGTACACCAACGCCCTTGAACTCGCGGGCTGGCACACCACAACCTTGGGTCTTCCAGACACTATACAACCCTCGAGAAGCGACCTCGCAGTCAACGCTCATCAAAACTCGCATTATCAGCCATCAAAACAGCTCCCCAACTTCGATGTTGGCTGCTGTAGACCAGCTTACCAAGGGTACAATGGCTGTAATGCACCAGGTAGCCCTCCTTCAGGCAGAGGTCTCTTCGCTCCGTAAGGCAAACGAGGCACTAAGCAAGCGCCGAAAAGCCAAGAAAACACATATACAGCTCGGAGGATCACTTGCAGTGCAAGATGCAAAGGATATGCTAGACCAGAAGGCCGTGGTTGGGGAGGTAGTACAAGAGACGCAGCCGGATGATGGTGGTGCAGGGAGGGTCCGTGCAAAGGTTCGGTGTTGTGGTGTGTGCGGCAAACCTGGCCATAATGCCCACACTTGCCAGGAGGTTGCAGGAGGGTCTGATTCAGCTGTTTCTGATACAATTGTAGTTGGTTGATAGTTTTGTTGTCTTGTAATCGAGGATAATGTTTGTAGGGTAGTGGAGAGTGCGCGACTCGCTTATATGCGCGACTCGCTTATAATGCACGTTACATGCCTGTATACTTACTACCCGAAGGATCTCACAGTTTCTACTGCTAGTACTAAGTACCTAGCAGAGGAAGGGGGGTCTCTGTCCGCATGTTCTGTCTCATGACATTGTAGTCCGGCACTAGCAAATTGAGCTTTCATAACAACATTATGGTACCTAGCCGGTATCATAATGTTTCCTAGCCAGTGTCCTAATGTTTATATAATGGCAATACTTGTTAGTGCCGGACTATAATGTCATGAGACAGAACATGCGGACAGAGACCCCCCCTTCCTCTGCTAGGTACCTTAGGTACCTTATGCTGAACCTAATAGTACGTGGAACTTCACACCTGTCTGTTCAATTCTCGTCCCAGCTGGGTTGACATTCTGAAGTCTTGGTGTAAAAGGGGATCAGAACGAAAAACATCCATGACGATGTGGCTACCCAAGCAGAGGTGAACTATCTAGATGCGTGAGTCTAATATGACAATATGCAGCTCTCATCCTCCTCTGATATCCTCCGTCAGACAAATCAAGCTACCTAACTTAAGTATCCATGCCGTTCCCTTTCCTTCTTGCAGCCTGAAAGCCCTACCCTATCAACGCAGTGGCTCCGGATTATCCAACCAGGCGCGTATCTTCTCCAGCCCGAAGATATCGTGGCTCGCCTCCGACATCTCGTAGTTGTCAATGTCCTCAACCCAACCCTCCGTGCCGCGGCTGCAGCCCATCTGCTTGCCGATTTCGCGACACGACCCAAAATCAACCAGCACCGGCATGCCGGCGTCATTAACCATGATGTTGGCCGGGTTGATGTCGTTGTGGGCGAGGCCCAGCGAGTGCAGATGCCGCACCGCGTCCTCCAGGGCGTCCATGAAGGGTCCCTTGTCGACCGAGCCTCCGGCCTTGTAATGCTCGTTGAGGTTGTTCTCGTACCGGTCGAGAACAAGCCCCGTGATGTAGCCTCGGCGCACGCGGCATCCGTGGTAGCGGACAATGTTGGGATGGGGGTGCTTGGCGATGATATCCAGAGCGCGCAGCTCGTCGAGAAACATGGTGGCCATGACGTCGAGGCAGTCATCTTGTTTGTAATCGCTGTAATACTTAACTTGCGGGCGTTTGATGAAGATACTGTCGTTCTCGGATAATTCCTCTGGTGCCAACATGAACTCGGCTCCGGGTGGCCATTTTGGAAAGATTTCCTCGTCAGGCATGGGTTTTAAAGCGGCAAGTTTCTGCTCGATTGTTGTCTTCAGCTTCGGCTCCTTCATCTCGCCGTAGTATATGACATCGTCCTTGTCTATGTACGCGAAGAATGTGTAGAGAAATTGGTGAGTTCCGGGTTCAAAGGCTTCGGCGAGGAAAACCCGCGTCAGCTCGGTTCCATCGGTGGTTTTCACCGTGATTCTTGGCATTGCAATGGTTAAAACTTAACAGGTCGTGTATTATCGATTAGGCCGAAGTATGAAAAAAGTTCGAGTGTGGCATTTGAAGATATACGGCGCTGGTGAAATACACGATTTCCTCAACGGTTGTCGGTTTTGACCCTCTGCTACGCCCCTCTTCAGCGCGAAGTATCTGGGGCAGTTGGTTCAGTAAGAGGTGCACCGCCTCAATCGCAACAGAGGTTGATTGGGCAGCTGGATCACACGGCGGTTGTGAACTTGTGACTACGCGTAGTTAGCCTCGTAGCCTAGGCAAGGTAACGACCGTTTCGCTTGCCGCGTTGATAATTTGTTAGCAGCTACCTGCCTATCACTGGGTCGCGTTGTTCTGTCCTGGCGTTTGCAGCCTACAGTAGTTGAGCGCCTAACCTTAGCCCGTGCAGGGTGCACAGTGCGGAAAGATGCTCGCAGCTGGTGTGTAAGTCCACTGCCCAAATGAGGTGCAGAAATTGAAGCCGTGACCGTTCAACGGCCAACGCAATAAGGGAGTCAGGGGGCTTTTCACGCTAGAACCGTTGAACTTCGGCCCTGTTAGACTTGGCCATGGTCCGAGTCTTGGAGGGGAGTCGGTTAGAAGTAAGTGGGTGGGTAACAATACCTACCTAGGTATGAATGATAAGCCTTGCGGTTGATTGACTTGATTCATTCAACATGTGATGGTCAAAAAGACTCAGGGGAGGCCGTCCAATACAGCCTTGGACATCAACACTGGCCAACTGACATTTGGGGACATGCTGGTCAAGGTCCAACGACTGGAAAATGTTGTATGAAGTGTTCACGGGGGTAGGCGGTTGCTCATACCATCCCGTCACCAAAACATTGGGCTTAGATAGGCGCTAAGGTCAAAAACATGGCCAACACTCTCCTACTTGTCCACAATCTAGCCTCTAGGGCCTAGCAGAATGAAGTCTACCTCGCCGCAGCGGACCATTCACTGCCTCATGCGTTGTCGACTCCGATCTTGAATGGCCTCGAGAATTCGTAAGCATAGCGGTGTCCGCACGACAATCTCATCTATAAAATCAGACCTGATGTCCGCTCGACGACATTCCTAGCTTCACTCATCTGCTACACCAAGTCAAGAACTTCCCACTTCCCGAGCAATTGCCTTACCACTCTAACGCCTGGGCATCGGGTTTGGCATCTTGCACTTCGCCGAGCCAACCTACCTCCAGCTACCACTCCTCTGTTTCCCGATCTTCATACTTACCGATCCACCCGCCGATTTGGTCTAAGTGACGGGGCTTCCCTTCCGCCAAAACCTACCTAAGTATCCCGTGAAGCGTTACCTAAAGCCATACCAACAATGTACGTCTTAGCTTTGCCATAATGCATGCGGGAGAGCACAGCATTAACCCCTCTTCACGATCTGACACGCTGACTGACTTTTGCATGATACATGTAGGTGCGACTACTTCGACAGCGTGAAGACCCAATACCTGCCAAATGGAAGGAAAAGAACGACCGTTGTTTCAAAAAAGACCGACTGTGGCAGGGTCGACTGTCCCCATTCCGAAAACTACATACCCCCTGCGCCGCCTGCGCGATAAGGGTGCCAACTTGGACCGTTCCAGTCAGGGGCCACCATCTCTTCAGCCAATCTCATGTGAAGCCCATTGACTGATGGCCATGGTTGGATTCCCCCTCTGAGCGGGGTGTGAGGTACGAGGAACGATGACTTGGGATGGCCGGCGGAGGACGGGAACGGGAATCTAACACGCTCGCTGATACACACCTGTCGGGGAGAGGGGGGGGGCAGGTACTACCGCACGGGACACTCGTTCTACTTGCACACTCGTTTTGATGGGGTTTCCTTTGTCGTCGGGATCTTTGCGATGGTTCCAGTGCACACATGGTGCTTTGATCGTGCTATTAGAGCGATATAGGGCAACTTAGATAACTAGCTTAGATAGAAATCACCGTTCTCCCCCCATTATCTTTCACATAATACACGGTCAGGCAGTATACCTAAGGTACCAAACAGGTGATGGCATAAATCCACCAAGGATAATTCTAAAGCCTTTCCTTGCAGATAGTGCCGACATCAAGCCACGATATATGCTCAAGTGGTGCACTCGATCCTGGTACTGGCGCAGTTGTACGACGATCTCTTCACCCTAGCGAGCGAATCGGCGGCCCGGGGCTCATCCCTTACTCCCTCTCACATGCAGACATGGAGGATATCACCTTTTAGCGGGGCCAGTTATGTCTATGTCTGTAAGTCTGAGAACGAAGCAGCTGTAACAGTAACTAACCTACAACCGTTCTTCGATTGGAGCGCATAGAATGGAGGATTCGCTGACTAAACTCGCCACCCCGGTTGGCAGGTAAACGGAACCGGTATGCACGGGCAGATTACCGGCCCATTAGCCGCCTTGCGGAGTGCGACGGCCGATCGTCTGCTTCGGTACCTAGTATCGGTACAGTTACACGGCCGCCAGCCATTTCTTCCTCCCTCTCGGCCCTCGGGGGACCCCAAGTACAACTGAACAATTCCACATTAGGCGCACCAATGTGTTTGAGGCGATCAATACACTGGTTTGGCTCATAAGCAGTAGTGAACGCACGCAGCTTGTGTTGATCTGAGATCATCATGATCCTCCCGCTTCTGTTGTTTAGCTCCTTGCTGAACAATAAGGTACCCTTAAACACCATGGAGTCTTGGAAAGCCGCTCTCGTGTTCGGGCTAGCTCTTTTGGACGTAGTGTCCGCGTTGAACGATGGCGTCGGGCTGACGCCGCATATGGGATGGAGCAGCTGGGTAAGACAGGAAACTAGCACTACATCGTCGAACCGCTACTAGTACAACCGCTGACTTCAGGCCTCAGAATGTTGCACAATGCAATGCTGCATCTGCCAGATACGCACTCGACACAGCAGACAAGTTCATCGCGCTCGGCCTCAAGGATCTCGGATACGAGTGTGAGTGAGCTCTCACCCTCTCTCCACCGGCTGTCCTGACATCATAATGAACAAGACATCAACATCGATGACTGTTGGTCTACCATGAACCGTGATAGCAGTGGAAAGCTCGTGGCCGACCCGCAGAAGTGGCCCAACGGAATCAAGGCTGTTGCCGACCAAATCCACGCCAAGGGGCTGAAGTTCGGCCTCTACGGGTGTGCCGGCGTCAAGACTTGTGCTGGATACCCTGGCAGTGAGGGCCGTGAGAAGTCTGACGTTGCTCAGCTTGTCGAATGGGGCGTTGATTTTTGGTATGTCTTCAAGTTCCTCCCAAACTGAATGCATTGGAACATAAACCCCCCCGGGTCTTTTCTTATTGACCCCTTTGCAGGAAATATGACAACTGCTACACCCCGTGCCAGCAGAATCCGCGCCCCCAGACTTGCCAGAACCCCATCGGCAACACCAAGCAATACTACGCCCCCATGCGCGATGCCCTCCTTGCCGCCTCCAACCAGCGCAAGATCCACTTCAACCTCTGCAACTGGGGTCGCGACAGCGTCTGGACCTGGGGCGCCACCTACGGACACTCCTGGCGGTATGATGTCACTTGTTTCCCCTCCTTCTCTATCCCTCAACGCTAACACACAACAACAGCATGTCCGTAGATAACTGGGGAGACTGGGCCTCCATCGAGCGCATTGGCTCCGCGGCCGCCGACATCTACCAGTACTCGGGCCCCGGCGGCTTCAACGACCTCGACATGCTCTACCTCGGCTCCTCCAAGATCAATGCCAACCAGGAGAAGCTTCACTTTGCCTTGTGGGCCATCGCCAAGTCCCCTCTTGTTCTCGGCCTCGATCTCAACACGATTTCCAACCACACCCTCACCATCATCCGCAACAAGGGGCTTATCGACATCAACCAAGACCCCCTGGGTAAAGCTGCCACGACGTTCCGTCCTCCTGGAGCTCCGGCACCGGTCAAAGGGAAGATCTACCCCTACTGGGCAGGACCCTTGTCCGATGGAGTGGTGATTGGCCTTGCCGCGGGGACCCAGGCAGGGAAATATGCAGTCGAGTTCAAGGATGTGCCGGGGCTGAAGGGGCAGACAGTGTACGAGTGGAAGGAGATGTACACCGGGCAGAGCGGGAGGGGCACGGGTGTTAGTTTTGACATTGCGTTGCATGATATGAGGGTCGTGAAGGTTTTGGTTTCAGCGGCTTAAATTAGTGAGCTCGCCACGGCAGAACTGAGCGGGATGCATCTGTAACCTAAGCCCCGTCGTTTTTGTACAACATGAACGCAAGCGCGGAAAAAGCTGACAATGAAACCTTTTCCTACATGTACGACCCAACCCAACCCAACTGGCTGGGATCACTTGAATTTTGGCAGGTTCACCACCTCGCCCGTTTTCAACAGGTACGGAGTAGCATACCCCAGGGAAGCCAAGGACCGGGACATATCACACCACTCATTCTCGTCCTTGATGGCATTCAGCCAGTCCGGATCCGACATGACATCTTTGATGGTTTGCGCGCTAGGGATCGTAAATTCCAGGAAGCAATCGAAGTCGGCAACGTCCCAGGTGGGACGGACCTTGGTCAGTTCCTGCTTCAGCGCCCCGTTGAGGTCTTCCGGTGTCACGAACTAAGTGAGGGCTGGGTGTAAGCATCGCTGTCACGGTGCTTGTTTTGAAACGTGTACTAGTAGCAGTAGCAGGCGCTTACAAGGGTATACTCGAGCACACCGTGCCTTTTGAAGATTGGCATGGCCAGTGGAAGGTGCTCTTCGACAAACCACTTGAGGAATTCCTCGTGGGTTCGGTCCTTGCGGCGATAGTGGGTGACGGTGTATTTGAGAGGGCCGGCCATCTTGATGTTTTGTGCTGAAATCGGGAGTGGAACTCGGGGATGTTCAGGATGAAGTTTTGTTCTATGAGTGACAAGCGGAGGAGCCAAAATCGAAGGTTCAAACTTCAAGCAATTTGGGCCAAGTCGTCTGAAGTACTAAGTAGCAACTCTCGACAGGCCGTCACTTCCCCGACTCCGTGCAGCATGCCATGTGAACCTTCACATATGCCTGTTGGTTTCATATGGGTATGCAATGTGGGCGCTGAAGAACCAACAGGTACTAGAACGCCTCATGCAGCTTCGAATTACCAGCCCGATTAGGATATACATAGTGCTGTCTTGCATGTCGTTTGGTCAAAAGCTGTACGTAGACATCCAACAAACCGGTGATAAAGTGCCTCCAGATTCCAAGGGGGGTTGTATTTGTTAACTTGCTTGAAGCACGGTGGTAGCCTCAATGGCCACGCCGTTCGCCTACCTCGGTCCTTGGTTAGGGACAAACTAATTGTAGGTATTGTAGGTACCACGTTGTACCTATTGCTTACCCTAGGGGGATTGCAGTGATCTTGGGGGCCAAGTTTGGGCCAAGTTCGGCCAACGGCAACATCAGCCAGGGGTGTGGAGCGCTGGAACTTACTCACCCACTATAATACCGAAGCGGTAACTCCTTCCTGACAGATGACAAGCCGAGTTGATGTTTGCAAATGTGATATAGTTACGGCCGTTCCTCTCTAACTATGCCGAGTTCCAAGGGCGCCCCGCCTGATTGTTCAGGCCTCGAGAGTCCTAGTCACAGCCACGACACATGTAACCCAGGCAGCAAGGTCAACCGTCAGCGAGCGGATCTTGTTGATGACGAGCCACTCGTCGAGGGCAGCATTGGCGTCAATCCCCGCCCCATTAGTCCCTTCAGCAGTCTCAGGCTTGCCGGCATCGGCATCCCAGATGGCCTTGATAGACGGTGCGATGACGGGCACAAAAAGCAGGTGGCCGGACGAGAGCGCGGCACCCGCTACGTACCACCAAAATGACTGCCTGGCGTGCAGGGCTGGACGGCGCACGTACAGGTTGGCAACCGAGGACCAGGTAGTGACGGCCAGACAGCCCACGACAAAGCCAACGCCGCGGCGGAAAAAGGTCCTAAAGTATGGCGGCAAGAGCGCCCGGCTGCGCGCGCGGTGATTCTCAGGGCGATTGAGCAAGCCGAGGAAGAAATCCTGGTCCCAGGCGTAGAGCAGAGTGCAGGTCGACGAGACGAGCGGCGCGGCCCGTAGGGCGACGACGGGGTCAAAGATGTGGAAGGTGGGCATTGTAGTGTGGTTTTAGAAAATACCGCGTCGTTCCAAGGATCTGAAGCCGGGTAAGCAAGAGTTCGTTGGTCAGCCTGGGGCTTGTGTCTTACCGAGTGATGAGACAGTTATGTTCAATGTCCTTGGTATCCTACCCAGGGATCTGTTTCACATGAGTAATGAGGAGGGAGAGGAGAAGGACAGAGAAGACAGAGAACTTACCCGTCATAACCACCTATGCCCGTTGGCTCATGCACTGGCTTCGTGAGGCCAAATATTGCGGCAAAGCCCAATCAATTAGTGACGAGCAAACGGGTAGAAGGAGTGGCCTGTTGGCTCGGGAAGAGCCGGAGATAGAACGGAGGATTGTCAGCCCATTCCCACGTGATATACATGAGTCTCCATCGCCTCAACGGGGGGTGAGGCGTGACTGCGACGGTTGTACTGTAAGTACTATATAATTCATGGTTGAGTTAATCGCGCAACTGGTGAGCAAGGCAGTATGACTCGGGGTGAGTTGGCGCTGGGATCCTGACCCGTGTTGTTGAGAAATAGTAGGTATGGTTCTTGAGAGAGGAAGGAGCTGCTGCAAATGCAATGATTGTCCGGGTTGTTGAAGTTGGAATGCCAAGTTTCAGGGTTAGGGCTCAGGGCTTCAAGCGCAAGCCACTCTCCAAGCACAAAATCAGCCACAATTCAATTCCCACTCCGTACCGCACCTTCTTGACCATCGGCAAGTGCGGGTGAGAACCTCTTCAATTTATCGCTTGGCTTCCGCTTACACACCAACAAGGAGAATGTAGCATTAGTTATGTAACGCGAGGTATGTATACGGCAATGACGGCACCGCCACATCCGATGGTTGCCTGGCGCACTGCAGGGTCGCATCGCCCGCCGTGGATGAGGTGTTTCCCGCCAGTCATCGAAGTCGAAAATTTGGGGCGGTGCACCTGATCAGTTGGCAGTGAGAGTGGCAGGGTTAAGGGAATAATATTGGCGCTCCTCCCTCGATCAAGAGTCATTCAAGACTGAGCGCATCTGGCTCCGTCATCATCGGCCTCTCAGTCAGCATCCTCGGCTACTCGCACGAGCATCAATAAAACCACCGACTCTAGTCTTGCGCAACTGAGTCTCTCATTCAGAACTGAGAAACCTGTCAAAGTGATGACCGCCATTCCCGACGGCAAACCCCCTTACGGAGGCGAAGAACCTCCCGTTTACTCTGAAGAGGGCGGCAAAGACGCCGAAGAAATTGTCCAGCCCCGAGTCCTTGTCCTCCACGGCCGCTTCATCTACGCCGAGGTGACCTCGGGTGTGGCCGACTCCGAACCCCTGTACCAGCTGTCACGGGCAATCCACGCACAGGGACGCGTGACACAAACCATCGAATTCCAGCGCGTGGACTACCGCGTGCGCACGACAGCCAACGGGTCGCCTGCAGTGTCGAAACGATTTAAGGATCTGTACATCATGCGTTATATGCCTCCGCTGGCATATCTGGGCACGCCCTTCCAGGCCAGCCTACAGCCCCAGTCCCGACACACCGTCGGTGAAGTGCAGATTGTCAAGAGCCCTATCTTCCATTCTGGCTATCGGGCGCTCAAGGTTCTCTCTGAATCTGAAATGGCAAGGTTGAAAAGGGAGGGTAAGAAGGTGAAGAAGGATGGGTACCATTTTGTCATGAAAGAGGGTGAAGCTGGCGCTTGGGAATGGACAAACAACGACGGGACACTTGTAGCTAGACAAGTCTGTGAGTCCCGTTCTGGGGATGCCAACGAAGTCGAACACAGGCTGCTGGTGCTGGTACCTCTGCCGAGACAGACTTTGGATGGCCTAGTGGCTATGTGGTGTCTGTGGATGTGGCATCTACATATTACAGCGACGACAGTGAGGAAGACGTGGGAAGACCGTGAGTATTCCTGCCGTGGCCCCTCTCTTGATTGGCTGTAACCAGTTCAGGTGCTAACTTGACAACGATAGGCAAAAGAATATTGCACCAGCCTCGACTCGTAACGAGGAAACTGCAATGACAGGTCGAATTCAATCAAGTCAGACGAATCAGGCACTCACGAATATCCACAGCCTCTTCCGTGAGCAGACCATCGCTTTGGCCATTCCCGTGTCCATGATCATCCACTCGGAGCCCATCCTCTAGTATTCCATCCGCAATCGTCTCTCAGAACAGAAGTGCGTGAGTGTTGTTTACTTATCTTGGAAAGCTGATTTTGTAGCCTTGTTTGGGATTTTAGAATCGACTATGATAACAGCTGGCAAAGTACTAGTATCTCCTGGCCTGGTCACTTCCCGAGTCCCCTGATTTTTTGTTGAGAATTGCTTCTTATTGTCGAATGCGCTCCGTATCAAGTCAAGGAGGAAGTGTGTATCCCTCCTCTGGCATGCCGCTCCTTTTTGTGCGAGGTGGCGATTCCGGCTTCGAATAAGATCTCTCAACTCTAATGCTCCAGGGATGGCTAGGACATAGACACGCGTTGCGCGTCGTCGAGGTGGTTGGTCTTAGCGATCGAGGGGTTGGGCCCTCGTGAGGACAGCCGCGGCCCGCATCACGTCGGTGTGACGTATGCTGAGGTACTCCGGTTCTTTCCCAAAACGCAATGCAGACACATGGAGGCATTTCAGCGCTGTCTGCCCAATAACTTCAAGTTATCGGTCTACCCCGCAAGTTTACCAAGTCAGAAGGAGGACTGTTGAACTGGCCATCCGTCTAGGGGGGTTAGCATTGCAGTGCAACACGGTCGAATACCATGCCATGACAGCTCGACAATGGTGCTCTTAGTCGTGTAGAGGGACACTGCCAGAGACGGCGGTACAATGTCCTACAGCCTGGTGTACTGTGATGGGTGATGCCGTGATGGAGATGATGCCAAACCGCGATCTCGTCCACTGCTCTCAACATCTCTTATGCAATCGTCAACTGGCTGCAGCTGGCATCATGAGTCGTGATTAGAGCAGCACGTACACGGTTTGCGTCAACCAAGATACCCCTTACTTCACGATGACGGAAAAAGGCGGGGTGTTGGCATCTCAACCGTCGCCACGAGGCGTTCTATAAGCGGCAGCTCAATAGCTACATATTGCCGCAGAGAGTCCGTTTGGTTGCTCTAAGAGGTCAATCGTTCCAATCATGATGGTTTTGTTTACCTATGCACATTCGTTACTTGATTGCTACCCCTGAGAGCCACCATGGCCTCCTTCAGTACCTACCACCAACGGAATCGTCAGCATCTCACCACTAACCAGCCGACACCGAACGGCGGCGTTGCTATGCTTCCTCCAGGCGCAGTCTCCAAACACTCGCTGACTTCCCGCAGAACGCCCGACGCCCTCGGCTCTTGCTAACATCTTCTGTGTGGTGAGGACCACGGTAAGTATTCACGTTACTAACAACGCAGGACGTAACCCAATCCGGCCGGCTGGCTCGACTTCCACTCCCAGGTGTGCACCAACCCCCGATGGTACTGTTGATTCATCCAGTTACCTATCCCGCTGTCCCTCCATCGTCCCTCCCGAGACGAGCGCATTCATGGATACGCTGCCCACTTTCACCGTGACCGCGGCATAACCTCCCAACCCCTCCTGCATTGCAATTCCATTTCGTCCGAAGTCCAGTTTCAACTCCCTGAACATTGCCCTCTATTTTATTGCCCCTCTCTTTCGCTCGAGGCAAGCTCTTAATCTCTCCAAGATCTTCTCCATATCGCAAGGTACGCCCCCTTGAACCTCCCCTGCGTTATGGCCCGCCTTCGGTAGTAGCAAGCGCAGGTGCTGATGGCGCAGGAACGCCAGGTCCGAACGTTTCCCTTCCTTCGGTGCGCATTTTTCGTCTACGACGCGATCAGTCTCCGGCTCGTAACCGTGCGACGCACGCTGCTTCCTGAAGTGGTCGAACTCGGGGTTGGAAATATGGTGGAAGGGGTTTGGTGTGATGGCAAAAGGGTGGTTGTCTGGGGAGATGGATTGGGCAAAAGGGTTGTCTGGAGCATACAACGAATGGATGTACCAATGTGTGAAGGATTAAGTCGAATCAGGTTGGGAGATGATCTATCCGGGTCAAGGGATAAGTAAAGGGGAAGGATGTGAACAAACAAGGAAGTGGTGTAAACCAGATCAGTCGAGAAGTGTAAGAGTAGCGGATAGATCGTTGAATGGCAGACAAATAGAATATGATTTGGCTGGATTCTTTCCAGGATCATGTTTGCGTTGTTGCATGGGCAACTCGATGGACTCGTAACAGTCAAGTCGGTATTCCTCCGTAGTTACCCAGAACCTTTACACGCTGATGGTTCTAAACACGCTAAACTCCTCACCCGTAGCAACCAGCGCGCCCGGTATCTGCGGGTGCCAATGCACCTCCTTGGCCAGGTTCTGGTAGTGCACAAACAGCAGTTGCGGCGGCACGTCCTGCACGCCAGCAGTATCCCTGCTCTCCTCGTCATCCAACTCAACCGCCAAGTCCCACAGCGTGACCGTATTGTCCGCCGCGGACACCGCCACAATGCTATCATCCGTAGGATGCCATTCCACACTCGTAATCTGCTCCTTGTGAAAGTCGAAGCTCGCAATAGGCGTCGGCTTCCCACTCCCACCAGCACCTCCACCAGCCGCGGGTTTCCACTGCCGCAGATCCCAGACCGCCCAGACACCCGCATCATCTCCAGAAGCCAAGAGATGCGTCGTCTGGCGGGACCACGACATGACATTAACATCCACCTCGCTAACCTGCATCGTGAGGGCCGGCTTCCGCGCCTTGCTGCGCACGTCCCACACGCGGATGGTGCCGTCGGCCGACGCCGACGCGAACACGGACGCCTCGGACGGGCTCCACTGCAGCTCCTCCACGCTGGCGGTGTGGCCTTGAAAGGCCCGCGTGTCTGTGACAAACCCCCCGCCGTCGGTCCGCGTTGTCACATAGATCAGCCCGTCGTTGTCCCCCGTCAAGAGCTTCCCTGCGGCGTGCAGCGGTGACCAGTCCACGGCGTACCCCTCGGACTTGTGCGCGCGTATGGTGCACAGGGGCTTGTTTTGTTGGGGGGTGACGACCGTGCCGGGGGTGTCGAAGGAGGTGAGGTGCGGGGTGATGTCGTGGATGAGGACGTTTGTGGATTCGGTCATGGTTGCGGTGAGGGTGGTTGGGGGCTTGGTAGGGTCTTGCGACGGCGTTTGGTGTGCTCGTATCCGGTTTGTGGTTGAGTTCAGGGGGATGCTCCTGTGCTCGAGGATGGGGTCGGTGTCTTCATCGTCGTCGTCGTCGTCGTCGCTCGACTCCTCGCCGTCTTCGCCTTGCATCTTACTCAGGCCGCTGAACTTCATGACCAGAATCGAGTTGTCGTTGGCCTTTGCGCTGTCGGCTTGTGTGCCGGCCACCGTGTACATGGTCGCGGGATAGACGCTGCGATTTTCGCCCAGGCCGTCGCGGACTATATCAAAGGAGAGACAAGGCCATGGAGTGCTTAGGTTGTGCAGCATGCGGTATGTTGTTGGGTCTGGGGAGAGGGTTTGGCCGGGGTCGAGCTTCGTCCTGCCGACAATGAAGGTCCCTGGCGCAGCGGGATCAAGGTCCATTGCTTCCTCTGCCTCCCGCTCCGCATCTGGCCTCCCGTCAACGCCAGCCTCGATGATCTCGTCCTCGCTTTCGAATTCATCTTCAAACTCGTCCTCGAACTCGCCCATGTCGTTGTTCTTATCGTCGACGTCCATGGCATCGGGGCGACCTCCGGCCTTGAGCGGGCCAGCGGCGCTCTCTTCGTCTGCCGTACGCTTGGCCATGTCGTAAACGGTTCCGTCGCGTCCAGATACCTATGTTCTTGCAGGTGCGCTAGAGGAATCGTTATTGTCGCGTGGGTTGTCACAATCACGAACTTCGAACGGCCAAAAATTTGGGATTTGGAACTTTTTTTTCTGGTGGGGCAGGCTCTTATCACCCCGCATCAGTGGGGCTGCAAGGCTGCTCAAGTCTAAAGACCCTGTTCAGTGCTCACGGCAGGAGGCTGGAGAGACGCAGAAGTTCCTCCATGACCACTGTCCCATGCGATACCGTCACCATCCAGGGCCTCACACTCGGCCAGGGAACGTCCCGCTTTCTCAACCCCATTTTTCTTCACAAGGCGAATTGTGCGTGTTAAAGAATCCAACTCTTGTTGACCGTCGTGCTCGGAGGCTGGCCATCCCCAAGTCGTACCTGGCTGTTCTCCGTCCGCACTACTTCGAAAGTCGTGCGCGGCAGGGGAAGAGCGGCAGAAACTTCAGACAATGACACACATTAGCCAGCTGAGCAACTTGAGCAGGTCACTTCCGACTTAATGGGCATGGTGAAGGAGGTGTTTAGATACATTCTCAACACCGACTGAAGCCCCAGCCGGCTGCGCCTGGGGTGCAACAGTATGACTACGACCTAATGGACGCCATCGCCACTCTTCAGCTTCTATTAGATTCGTCATGGTCTTCTAGCAACAGCTATAAAACCGCATGGATCGCTAAGGGATGGACCACCATTGTCGTTCCGGAGATCTGCGGCAGGAGCTGGGTTGAGCGGCTGAACGAATTCTCTGTGCCGGCGTGTCCTGTCTCGTTTGTGTGGGTATCTGCCCTCCGCTTCTTGCCGGTAGAGGTGTTGTGGTAGTCTCGTCTCCTTTGGTGTCTGCCTCGCCATCGCTGGCGTAAGGTGGAAATATCTCCAGTTGGGTGAGCCACGGAGCCTATCTAATTGCCTCCCCAATCTGCAAAGTAGTACCTTGTTGCCGATCGGGGATCCGTGGCCGGAGGTCGCCAAATGGCAGCGCCGGCCGGGGCTGTCCTGCAGACGGCTTCTCCCCGCTCTTCTCACGCGGACCCAGACAGGAACCGCTCCAAGCTCGTGGTTGCAGCCATTGCAACACTTCTCTGGGATCACTGGGCGCTTGTGCTCGAGATCCGGGTCGTCAGGCTCTTGGAGGTACTCCGTATTCCAGGATATATTTTCTGAAACAGGGGGCATTCATGAAGCCCTTGATGACAGGGCTAAGCTTCTCACGTTGCCTACGGTCGGCCTTGCTCCATTTGACCTTGGCATCCAGCCCGAATAGCGTTTGTGACTGCGTTGCGCCTTCGAGGCTTAGTCGGTCAACCATGGTTTTGATGATCTTGGGGCAAATAGTGGCAAGCCAGTCATCATCCTGACCCGGTGGTCTGTACTGTACCAAGTTCAATCCAGAGGAAATGGGACTTTATGCCAACCTAGCTTGTGGGTGTCGGATTGGGTCGACGCGGTAAAGAACAGAGGCAACGACCCGCTTCGAACCCAGTCGCTTGTAGTAGCCAGTCGCTTGTAGTAGCACATCTTGGGAGACTCGGGCAGGCCCGCTCGGCCATCTCACTTCACTTCACTCTCTACCCAGAGGGGGTGAAAGTAGGAAGGGGGACTTGACATAAGAACCACTTCTCGCATTGAGCTTACAAGAGACACGGCCCTCCACAGCTTTCCCCAAACTACGCGAAGGATGCATCAGAGTTGCCACTGGTTTGGAATGACAAGTACTGACTGAAAACACTTTTTCATTGACCATTCCAAGATATGCTTACCTTATGACACGGTTATGGATCGAGCCAAACAGTGACCGCACAATGCGAATTGAGAAGGGTGCAGTTCGGAGGCCATGTTCCGAAGTTGACAATCCGGTAACCGAGCCAGCACACCAAAGCAGCAGTTTATCCGCCTGTCGACAATTTGCATCAGGATACCATGATTTGACACTCCTTGAGGTGCGAGTCTGATCCCCGCATCCGACATCATGGGGGCACATCTGCACAACATATCGGGCTCGCTGGGCCGGCCCCGCGGCGCCCTTCTCGCCGTCTGCTTCATCAGCTTAGCAACCATCTGGGCGTGTCGGCTGCCGAAGCTTTGTCTATACAGCGACCTCACCGCGCATTCCAGTTCAGGGCTCCCTACTCGACAGGCCATCGACCTCTCAAGGGCCGACTCACCATTCATCACTTGGCCGTTGGAGAGGGTGTGCAAGGAAAGTACAACATGGAGCCCCGGCATCGTTTTCGTGTGTGACAACAACTCCGGCGGCATTGGCAATATACGCAACTACATCCTTACCTGCCTGCGGTACGCCATCGAGGCTGGGGCGACGGGGCTTGTGCTCCCCCAGATCAGGACGCGGTCTGAGAAAGACCTCTCGAACATCATGCTGGAGTACCGAGGATTCGACTATTTCTTTGATGAAGGCCATTTTCGTCAGAACCTCCGAGTCTCTTGTCCGCAAATCTCCATCTACAACTCCACCGACGATATCCCTCACGCGCCGAAGCCTTTCAAGGCTGAGAAGATCACACCCCACGATCTCGGCAGGAGAGGCGGCTGTGACAGGCGAGAACTAAACAAGCACACGGACCGCTTTGGTGAGCAGTTTTGGGCCCATACCGAAAAGATCGCTGAGGAGTACAAGCTGCCGCCGCCAAGCCTCGAGCACCCCCGGATGATCGCGTTCAACTGGGGTGTCCAGTGGGACTGGCCCGTCTTTCGTGACGGCCCCGAGTTTGTCGCTACGTACGGAGGGCTGCTCAGGTTCCGGCGGGATATCATGGACCTGGGGTACAGAGCCACGGCATATATGCGTCAATTCGCAGCCAGAGAAGCCAGCTCTCCCTTGTATGTGGGCATGCACCTCCGCACCGAGAGCGATGCACTGAGCAGGTGGCCCAAGTTTGACGAGCAGAGCGGGGCATACCTGGAGAAGGCGGCCAGCATGAAGTACAAGGCCGCGTACCTTGCCACGGGAAACCAGACAGAAGCTCGTAAACTGGCTACCGCGGCATTGGAACGCTATGGCATGGCGGTTGTAACGAAACACCAGCTTCTGGAGGCCCACCCGAAGGATCTGGCGGCGTTGAAAGCTCTGACCTGGGACCAGCAGGCCCTTGTTGACTTCATTGTCCTGTTGGAAAGCGACTACTTCCTCGGTGTCAGCCCCAGCTCGTTCAGCATGAATATTGCTCTGAAGCGGCATTTGAAGGGTGAGGGGCTGTATACCAGACCGTGGAAGATTGGAGGGGACGGAGATGGGAGGAGCTGGCTTGTTGGGAAGTACGAGCATTACTGGGAGGATTGGCTCTTTATGTTTGACTCTTTGTGGCCGTAGCCTGGGAGTATTTACTTTGGCAGAACAGCAGGTTTACCTTGTTAGCTGCGGAGCGTTCTTCTTCGGGTTGACCCTTACAGCAGCGAAGCGGGGAAGAGCTATATTCAACTGGACCTGGATATGCCACGAGGAGAGAATATAACAACTCGTCATCAATACCAATGACAGAATGAGCGCCTTTAAGATGCTAGGAACCACCGATGAAGAGAATGTCCAGTAAAGACCCAACGCCGACAATGCAGTGAACCCGCCCTGCCTGTTCCGAAATGAATGCATACCTGTAGGTACCTTACCTACCTAGGAAACCTACATCTCCAATCCTGCACATCCAACCTTAGGTATGTTAACGAACGTATGTGACCAACCACCATTGACCCCTGAAAAGAAAAAAGCAACCCAACCCCTTGTCTGCGAGTCAAGCAGCCATAAACCCAGCGCCAACACCGGCCAAGCCAACCATCAACAGCCCAATGTTAAAATCCTTTGCAAAGCCAGCGCCAGACTTAGCCTTTGCAGTCGGTTTAGATGACGCGCTGGTACTCCTCTCATCCTCATTCCCCTCCTCCGCATCACCCCCACTCTTGAACGATATACTGAGCTTAGCCCTCTTCATGTTTTCATGGCCATTGCCATTGCCCGCGTGCAATCTGACTTGCCCAGCAGACGACTCAAACCCGTCATTGAAAAGGCCCGTAAAGTCCCTGTCAGGGCCAGGGCCAGGCAGTGCTGTACGACAGCCTGAGGGAGCGCCTGCACTAGCAACGTCCACGATGCGCCGGCCGAGGACTTTGCTGCTGACGCCGCCGGTTCTGATTTGGGCGGTGACACACCCGATCCGGTCTGTCAGTGTCAGGTTAAAATCCTCCGGGATGGGTGGAGCTTTGGCAGCGGGAGAGGCGGTGCCCGTGATGCCTGTGGTGGTTCGACTACTTGACGGTTTGGTGGCGGCGGTGAGGCTGGCGAGGCTTACGAGGGTGGTGAGGGTGGTGGTGAGTTTCATCTTGGCGGCCAAGTCTTAGTGATGGTTTGGGAGAGATATCAAGCCGCAGGCTTTAACTACTGAAGGTGTGTTCATGTGTTGACGCTCGAAAGGAATGAATTAACTGGGGCCTGCCCGGGAGGGTGTGATGGCTTGAGATGTGATTCAGGACATGCGGCTGGCTTGAGAGACTTTAAGCATTGTGGGAGACTTCGAGGGAAAGACGGTTGGTGTGAATATGTCCCTTGCTCGACCGATCATAATGCTTGGGGGCAGTCCATCTTTCCTGTTGTCGAGACCCCTTAACTTGCGGAGCGGGTGTTCGGCGAGATGTTGGTGCAATTTGTGAGGTGGAGCTGTCCGTCCCAATGTGAGGGAGTAACAACTTGAAGAAAGCACAAAATTTGTGCCTTGATCTTAGGAAACGGACAGGGGAGTAATGAAACTATCGGCGATATATATGCAAAAGGAAGGCCCCCGCCGACAGCGAAACGGCCTCTGATGCCCGGCAAGGATCGACTGCTAGGGCAGCCGGGCTTGCATCAATCTCCATAGATGAAACGGTCAATAGAAGGTCTTGACCTCGAAGATCACTAATCCGGGAACGAGGATGTAAAAAACCGAGATCTGCGTTGGTCCCTGGCTGCTTCGGGCGATCACCGGCCGGATTTCAGACCCGGGTCGGGGGCTCCGGGGTCAAAACGACCCTAGACATAGGCCGGTGGACCCAGATATTAACCCGGCTCAATCCTAAAGGTTTAGCTAGAAATTTATCATGGATGTCCAGCTGCGGAATATTGGCCTCGAGTTACATGCACCTTCTCTTGCAATAACCTTATCTAAACTCAATGATTTGCTGCTTTCCTTGTGGATGTAAGGTTGCTGGCGGAATTCCTCTTATGGCACGGGCCGGGAGTGGGTCTCCGGCGTTTCAAGCCCCACTTCGGCGGCCGGCTCCCGGCCGGATCTCCACAATGATCCTGCCACCCGTTCGAGCCTAGAACATCCCCCGCAAACTGCATGGCTTGACAGCAGCATCTGAGTTTAAAGTTCGTCATTGATCTGAATTCAATGTTCAAAAGTATTTTCAAATCGATCGAATGAATATACAGTGGAAAGAAAACCGCACAGCCTACCGTATCTGAATCCTGATACTTGCATGCTAATACAAACTGTCAAACTCTGCCCATGACAATGTCCCTAACTCCAAATCGGGTATCCTTGAATCCATCCTTCCTAACCTCAAGAGTCCAAGCAGTAAAAGACTTACCTACCCATCTTGTGCAGTCTCCGCCCGTAACAAACCCGCCTCCAGCCTCGTCACCATGACACCCCCCTCAACTTGCACCGGATCCCCCCTAACCTTCTCCTCGCTACCCTCACCATTCCCCCGAGCCCCCATCCCCGCGACCAACCCATTCCTCTCACAAAACGCAATCACCTCCCTCCACGCCTCATCCTCCCCAGCAAGCACCTCCCGCGAGCCAATTATAATCAACCCAAACTTCGCCCGCGTCAGCGCAACATTCATGCGGTTGCGCATGCCCACAATTCCCCATCCGAGCGCTTTATCTCTCCCCACAAACCTGCGTCTCGACCGCGTGGTGCACAGAATCACCACTCCATGCTCCAACCCCTGAAACGCCTCCGTAGGGCCGACATTGACACCCCACAGGCTCGGCCCACCACCACCACCACCACCACCGCCACCACTTCGGCTGCGCATCAGCCGGCGTATGAGCCTTACCTGCGCGCTGAACGGGCTCATGACGCACACCTCCTCCTGGCGGACCAAGCCCGACGCGACCAGGTCAGCCGCGTAGCGACACGCCAGCTCGGCCTCGCCCGCGTTGAACCACCCGCCGCCGTCGCACTCGAGGTCGTCGGGTGAGGGGTTGTCGTGGAACAGCACCGGCCAGCCGCGTCGTCCGTGCCAGCCGCGCCAGCTGGCTAGACGGTTGGTCGACGATGCCGGCGCCGAGGCCAGCAGGGTGTCGTGGTAGAAGAGCGCCGAGGGCACGGCCAGGATGGCCGGGTGGGAGCGGTAGTTGCGCACGAGGTTCGTGAAGGCCGGGCGGAGGACGGGCAGGCGGGTGGAGGGGGTTATGGTGAGCGGTGGGTCGTCTCCCGCCGCATGGGTTGGGTTGGCTGTGCTTGTTGGGTTGCGCATGGCCGAGATGGAAGCCTTAAAGGCGCGCGCCAGCGGGTGCTCGGCGTAGACGGGCCGCGCGATCAGCCGGGCGAAGAGCGAGCGTTGCAGGATTGTTACGGGGGCTGACGTGCGCGGGTTCAGCTGCTGCTCATCGCCGGCCATGACTACGAGCGGGATGAAGACGAGCTCAGGCGCTTCTGGCGGGGGGGAGACCACCCAAAGCGGGACCAGGGCATCCGGCTCGGTAGCTTGGGCCGCTTCGTCCATCAGCAGGGCGTCCCAGTGCAGCCGGGCTTGCGAGGGAGGTGGATGTGAAGGATGGATGCGTCTCCGTAGGCCATCTTCTACTGCGTATAGGTCCGAGTTGGCGACGCGGGCATGCATGAGTATAGCAGCATCGCGGCAGCTGGTTACTACGATCTTGTACGCCATGAGCTTCTCCATGGGTGGCAGGCCGAACGCGTCGCCGGCAATGTGGCAGTATGGAAGCACGCCTTCCAAGACCTCGGCAAAGCTCCGAGACGGCCGATTGAGGCGCAACATGTGGTGCAAGGGGACAGATGAGCGCAGGCGGTCGGCTAGCATGTCGGCTGCCTGCTCCGAGGGAGCGCACATCAGTATGTGGGAGACGTTGGGGACGTTGTGGATCAGTTGCAGAGCGATTTCAACCATGGTCTTTGTCTTGCCAGTGCCTGGCGGGCCCGAGATCAGATAGGGAAGCACGCCATAGTTTTGGCTGCACACATTCTCAACAGAAATGCGCTGCTCCAGATTGAGCCCTTGGTCGAAAAAGCGCTGTGTGAATATGCCCGAGTGAGCATTGACTTGAATGTCACAGTCGGCCTCTGTTGGAAACAGCATCGACTGGATCCAGTAGGCTGACTTTGCCGCTTGTAGTTCAAGACCATTATCACCGTCTATTGTAGCGCGCGCATGGAGAGTCATTTGGCTAGCTCGATGCAGAGAAGCCTGGATCCAAGGCAAGACGCTCTCCATCTGTCGGGAGCGATGCTTGGGGACGGGGAACTGTACGTTGAACTTGAGACGATGCTGACTGGGAAACGGCACGAAGGGTGCAAGCTCCATCATGACCTCGGACCTAACAATATTGAGGCCAGCGACACGCAGGACTAGTGTTTCTCGCTCCCGTAGCACAGCCGACACGCGAGCCTTGTAGACAATGCCAGTCCACCCCAAGGGTGACCAGGTAACTCCTTTTTGGTAGCCCCGCTCCAGAATCAGCCGTTGTGCAGAGTCGGAACGCAACTGGCGGAGCTCAACTTCATCCTCTAGTTCAACGTGAGGCGAGTCCTCTCGTAGACCGGGCACAACGATTGTCACGGTTGCGAGGTCGACTGAGCTACCAGGGGACGGTTGTGCAAACTCGACGATGCCTTCGTGCTGGTATAAAGAATAACTTGCGTTTTCCCTTTCCTGGTATTGCCACTCATGCTGTAAATGGAAGCGGAAGAAGGCCTCATGTTCGTTTGGGGTCAAGGCGTGGACATGGCCCGCCGGGGCTGGATCAGTGCTTGGACCAGGAATGGAAGGCAGGAGGTTGGCAATCAGCTCACTGCTGGCGTAACCCACAAAATCAATGTCGGAAGATGGCGGCGTTTCACACACATAGCTAGCGGCGTCCCCGTTGATTCTTTTCAGGTTGTCCGGGACAAAGGGAAGCGCATAGACATTAAATCCTTTGGTGAGCTCGTCATCGCTGGGCAGATATTGCTTGTGGGCTTGGGAATGGCTTGATCCTGTCTTGCCGCCGACATCGCTGTGAGACTCAGGCTGCAAGCGCGTCGTGCTCGCGCCAGCGGTGACCTTGTTGAGAGTTTGGGATTTTTGGGCTGCACTTGCAGTAGCTGCGCGCGCTGCGTCACGAACGGCCGACGTGAAAGTGAAAGCACTCTGTCCGTCGTGGTCGGGTGGAGCCTGCTGGTGCTTGATGACCTGTTCTTTTCGAGACTCAGGATCGACAATCTTGATGGCCCTGGACCTCTTCTTCTGTGGCTGGATGAAGAGCCCAAGCGGTAGCCCGCCCGTCGATTGTGGATTCATGTTGACGATGAGGTTGTGCAGCGAGGTTGTGCAGGGAACGCGACAACTTCTGACGGTCCGGGGGATGCCTGAGCTAAAAATAAAGTTGGTACAGCTCCGCCCGCTCCCGCCTTGTCCAGTGCGCAGACAGCGGTGTCAACCAGGGCTAGGGTTAAAAAGCCTATGACAGGCATTGGCCCGCCATTCATTCCTCGTTTCCGAATTTGCGAATTTGCCAACCTTGACTTCGAAGCTTGAGTTGCCATCGGAAATTCTCAGTTTGCGAAGAAGGAGCATGCGACATGCCAGCTTCTGGAGCTTCATGGTTTTCGCTCTCCCCGCTCAATCGCTACTGTGGTTTGAAGAATTTCGTGAAGCGACTCAGCTGCTAAGGTACGGACTACTGTACATACAATCCCCAGAACGTTAAAGTTCAACGGTTGCAAGGGATACGGCCTAAGGTACTTACTTGCAGTTCACCGCAAACGGCACTGCCATCAGAACTCTAACGATCAGCAGAGTGAGGCTGCAGCTGCAGGCTCATACGTAACCCGCTGCCCGCAGCAATGCAGCCGCCTAGAGCTCTGATTGAATGAGGAGACCAATCTCAGGTCACATCGCCATCTGGTTTCACCAGTACGCAATCATTCTAAAGGCTATTCCGGACGCAATGCACAGTTATTGAGGGTTTCATGAAACGGTATGTGTGTAGGTATACATCATCCCACTGGAGCTGCTGTTAAGAGGTGTAATTGAGAGGATGATTTTTGCATACAAAACTTTGGCCGCACTAACAGATCTTGTTCCTCGCAAAGTACGGAGTATGTACCGCCCTGACCGGCCGAATCATCACCGTGGGCACTGTCCTTTTCTGAGAAGTTTTCTCTCGCACGTTCCCCATTTTTGCCCTCCTTTTGTCGTTTGTTGTTTACCCCCCTATTCAGATGATATCTTCTTCGGGAGCATTGCCATGCTTGCCTACTGCTGGCAAGAAAACTTCCACTCGTCTCATCATGAGATTTGTATCCAGGCAATTACCTTAGCCCGGGCCATAGCTAACAGACTAAACAACACTGAACAGTGAGACTTCGTTGCCCCCCTGCGGCCTTGCAGAGCATGTGGACCGGCAGACTCGGTTACACAATGCATCGACACAACAGGCAGCTGCCAATTCCTCCACGGACAGTTCGGAAGCCGGAAGTGAGCTGCAATTTACATTCCAGTAACCTTCAAGCCGCTGTTGTTTACATAGATCGATGGCATAGCTCAGCTGTCACACGATTGTGACAGAAGCGGACGATAGCTTGTAGCAACGTCTCAGGGGCACGCGGTATATACGGCGCCAACATCTCTTTGCAGATCGTTCTTCAACTCGGCCTCTGAATAAACCACGGAGGACAATGCTGGGTGAAACCGTAGCCCTGGTTGTGAACGGCCATGTATTAAGTTCGCCGGAGTGTGAACCGCTAAGACTAGCGGCATGTCCATGTCAGAGGACCGTTGATAGGGATGACCCGGCAACGTTACGTTGTCAGTCTGCCGCGCATAGGCGATGCGAACATGAAGTGACAGCATGATAGGCGGCTGTTCATGTCGATGTCGAGGCCCTCATGCACTTCTCTGTGGTCATCGTACCCAACCATTACCAGCACAGCTAGAATATGATGCGAATATTGGAGTATTCTGCGTGAAGTTACACTACCTAATTTCGCTACTTATCTTACCACCATAAGATAGACTACCGTCGATGGCCCCAAGACAATGAATTCAAGTTGAAGGCCGACGCTACCGAAGCACGTTGTATAGATATCACTCCCTCTCACCACTCCTTCTCCTGCGTCCTCATCAATGTTTTGCTCGGGCTACTAGGTGCAGGATCATCGGCGCATGTCTCTCTACCTGTATTGCCAAAACTGTGCAGGACTAGTACTAGACTGAGAGGCGCATTATCATTCAGCATGCGAGCCTCCAGTCCATAAACATCAACGTGCCCCAATGTGCATCAATCCAGAGACTTGTGACATCACATAATGTAGCTCAGTCGCTTCGCTTGCCGCGCGTATTAACCTTGTTTACAGCACTTGATACTGCCATGACGATCACGGTTGTTGACTTGGACAGGCCGAGTCGTCCGATTCGATCTATATAACCCGAATCCTGCCCATCCAACTTGGGCAGTTGTGCAGTTGTTCAGTCGGAAGGATCCAAAGCCCCTCATCCCCTATCTGGCACAAACCTTTGTCAGTCTTTCTGTCCAGACTTTCCATAACAGGGATATTCCAAGCCCAACCTTTTGCTGGTTCTGCACAACGAGCCGCCATGCTTCCCAACGTCGTTCTTACAGCCATCCTGGCGGCCCGCTACGGGATGGCCCTTGCCGTCCCAGTTCCCACCCAGGCCACCCACGCCATTGAGATTCGAAATGCCGGAGCCGAAGCTACAGCTGGAGTCGGCGCCGACTTGCTTGCCCGTCACCATGACAAGGACAAGGGCAAGGACAAGGACAAGGATAAAGACAAAGGAAAAGACAAGCACGGCCACGGCGACAAGAAGAAGGACGACAAGAAGAAGGACGACAAGAAGAAGGACGATAAGAAGGACGATGACAAAGACGACAAGGACGACAAGGACGACAAGGATGACAAGGATGACAAGAACGATGACAAGAAGGACGATGACAAAAAGGATGATGACAAGAAGGACGACGACAAGAAGGACAAGGACGGACATCATAAAGACAAGGGAAAGGACAAGGGAAAGGGCAAAGACAAGGGCAAGGGGAAGGAGAAGGAGAAGGACGAGGGGAAGGGTGATGAATCAGACGACTCTGACTGCGACGATTGAACGAGCTTGAGCTTTCTAGCTCAGGAGGACGTGTTGAATCGTCCATGCAGTTGTCTTTGTCATATCAGAACGGAGGTAACCCCGCCTTGTACTTGCTTTAATATGAAAGGGGAGATGATGCGGATCAAGCCATGTAATACAGGTACCACTGCTGTTCAACTTGGTAGTACCGGACTAGCTGCAACCAATTCACTTGAGGTACTTGAGTTGACAACATAATCTCTGTTCCTTTGAAGATGCATAAGAACCTGTAAAGGCTCTATCCGTTCGGTCCTGGGTTTGTCAGCTGTTGGCTTGTGAGTGCAGGCTCAGGGGCTAGACACAAGTCGTTGATTTGCCTCTCAGCTGGTACATACAACATACCTAGGGTTTGAAAGCTAAGGTAGAGAGAGTACTGACGGGTGTCTTTCATTGCCAATGCCAGCTTCTCATCATCCCAACTCAATTCTTGTAAGCTATGGCAATTGTTTACCTGTACCTACTTACCTCAGGTATGTTCAGTCCTCAACAGCTTGAGATTACCAGCTCTTCTAACTGGAACAGTGACGATCAGGGTGGGCAAGTGTCTGGTCAGACCTCGTCATCTGGAACATTTCCAAATCAACAACATGAACGGCACTGATGACATGGGACGTGGAACACAACATTGACCTGCGAGCTTTTTCCATTTCAGAGTGCATCCGATCCTCCATGTATGTAACCAAGATAAGAAAACCGGCATAAGGCACAGATGTCCCCGCACCATCCAGTCAGTTTTGTTCACTACTGTCGTGCATAATGCATCACACCCCCCATGACCACTATCAGTGGGACAACCGTCCCATTGGCCGAGGCCACGGAGTTCACTTGTGGCGGATACATCGGATGAGGGGCACTAAACAGGGCCAATAACCAGGCGAGGGTATCATTGTTTCCATCTCAACCTACTATCCTCCGGCTCGACCATCTCAAGATGACGCCATACAATACTAACGTACGGATGATACTCATTGACCCGAGACTTCTGGCTGGGACGGTGGCTATTTCTCTGCTGCTGGTCACACTATACCATTTCGTCCTCCGGCGCAAACAGAAGTCTACTCCATCGTCGACATCAACATGTCTGCACCAGTTCCCGCCATCCCGTCGCCATGTGCTTGCCAGACTTCCCCAGTTCGAGACCCGGAAATTGCCCAGGGATATTCCCCCATCCGTGCTGATCTACCAAGCTCTACCAACGACGAAGGAAGCGGATCTGAGCAAGGACGACCAGTACACGCCCACGGGATTCTCGACACAAGAGATTCGTGCCCTCGGCCGGTTCCCCGACTACGCCATGTTGAGCGGTGTTCCAAATCCTGAACCATGTAGCGGGACATGGGACATATCTAGAGCCCGTTTCCGGCCGTTTAGGCCGTTCCGCTGGAATTACCATCAGCATATGGGTGAGTAATTGTCCGGAGTGTGGACTCCTGATACAGGCCACTTCCCACACGCCCGGCAAACCTGAACTCACTGATGATGGTGTACTGTACTCCCCAGCATTGATGAAATACGACCCAAATTGGTGGATCGAGTTGGAGAGCAACTACACGCAAACCATGGCAGCGCGACAGGCCCTGCTAGGCAAACACCCGGAGCACATTTTCTTCCAATCCCCCGGCGCGGATCTTGCCGTGCGTGAGCTCTCCGAGATGCTCCTGCAGTTCCTCACGCTCCGCTACCCAGGACACTTCTCCCTTTCGCACGGCAACACCCTATTCCACAACCGCCTTCTGCACACAGTCACCGACCTGTCCACCACCCCGCCTCTGCGCGCAATCTTTGACAACGTCCCCGAGGACTACGCGCTCATGCTGCGCAGCGAGCTTGATGGCGTCTACCACCTGCGAGCCGCGGCCGTCTGTTCCTCCGTGGGCTGGCACATCGGCCTGCACCGTGACGCGCCGCTGCGCGCAATCCACACCGACGTCCCCGACGCCGGCCGCATGGCCTTCAGCATGGACCGGTGGTTCACGAAAGTGCCGACTGATGGTCCCGTGTCGCGGTGCTCGTGGAGTCTGGAGGACTGGGAGGTGCTCTTTGCCAGTCCCGGGGTTGGCGAGGAGGAAGGGGAGGAGAAGTGGACGCGGAGTCGCTTTGTGGGTAGGGAGAGTGAGCTAGCGGTCAAGGATATTCGTTTGAGGTGTGATTACCAGACGCTGAGGAGGCTGCCGTTAAGTGGAGCCGTGGTGTTTAACTTCAAGGCGGTCTTCACGCCGCTTGAGGAGTTGCGGGAGGAGCCGTTTGTGCCGGCGCTTTTGGCGAAAGTGCTGGCGGAAGGGAAGGAGAATTTGGTCACGTATAAGGTGGAAGAGCATGTGAAGGAGGTGGCGTTGAAGGCGCTGGAAAAGTGGGCGGCCGAGCAGGTTCAACAGGGGGTCGTACCTGCCGATTGGGAAGTTCGTACGTTGGATGAAAGCCCGTTCTTTCCTCAATGGCAGGAGAAGTGGAGGCGTCAACAGGGCTTTGACTGCCTGTAGTGAACTTGTTCATCGTCCTGGATTCAGATCGAAGCCAAGATTCGGGAAGTTGGAATGAGGTGGTGAGCTGAACGGAGCGAGGCAAGTGATTTCCAGTCTTGGTGGATGTTGTCTACGGATTGGCATTGGCAACCTTGAGCCTTCTCTCTTAGAAGTAACGCATTCATTCTCTTGCAAATCATTTGGAGTTAGTTGGCTGCAATGTTCAACCACATTCATTAATTCATCTCACCAGCATCATCCTACTGTTCAAACCTTGACCATCGCTACAAGCCTGAAGCACGCCACAGCTACTCGATTGCGACAAGACGGAGTCGGGCATCTCCGCGCTGGTTACATTACACTGTCTCTGGTAAGGGAACAGGCTCGAGAATTTGCGCTACCTAGTTCTTCGCTCACATGAATTGACCTAGAAGACTGCCAGGCTAGGCCAAAGCAATATGTCGATGGAAATAACGCCTGCGAGTCCCGCGACAAGCCCAAAGGTGTCCTCCCAGCCAAATCCCAGTCCCCCTTCCCTGGACGGGGATCATACAACGCTGAATAGCACACCGAACGACAACCCGTTCCTCGTCCCTGACGAAGAACTAGACGGTGTCGACATTCTCGAAGACATCTCCCGCGGGTGTGACACAGTCGAAAGTCTTGCCAGCTATGTCGAAGGCGGCTTCCACCCCGTCCACTTGGGTGATGTCCTCGGCAGTCGCTATCGTGTTGCACACAAACTCGGTCATGGCAAACATGCAACGGTGTGGTTGTGCCACGACAATATACGCAACAAGTGGAGGGCCGTCAAAGTCAACAGCGCTATAGCGTCAGCAAGCACAGAGTACGGAGACAATGGTTCGAGCGCCTGCCAGCATCTCCGGGAAACGAGTACCTTCGAGGAACGTGAAAGCCATCATATCGTCCTACCACTCAAGTCCTTTCAGATTGACGGGCCCAATGGCAGGCATCTTTGCGAAGTTCTCCCTCTTCTGGGCCCCAGTCTCTCGGGAATATCGGATGTGTATGGCCACTGCGAGTCGCTGTTGAAGCACATATGCTACCAAATTGTCGAGGCGATGGACTTCCTTCACAGCAAGAATGTCTGCCATGGTGATTACCGGCCTCAGAACATCCTCTTTCGGCTTGCTGACGGCGTGGAGGAGTGGCCCGCGCAAAGAATAGTTGAGGCGCTGGGAAGGCGTCGAGTTGTGCCGGTGAGACCCTTCCATTTCCAATCCACCGCCACGAACGGCGATACGGACCACCCCGAGCGGCGCCCAAGGTATCTTGTGCAAAATGCCAGCATAGACTATGGCTGCGGCGACTGTGTCCCACGAGTGGCTGTCATCGACTTTGGCCTAGCGTACATCGGCCAGGCACGCCAGAGGATTGGAACTCCTCTTCCCTATGCTGCCCCTGAGGAACTTCTCTGCCTGCCTACATCGGGACCGAAGACAGACATTTGGTCTTTGGCCTGCACTATTTACCACGTCATGACGGGAATGCCCCCTTTTGCCCGGGAAGAACACGACCTGAAGGACACCATGCGTGGCATTGAAGCCGTTCTCGGCCCCCTGCCCCGGGAGCACCACACTCAATGGGAAGCCCTGTTTCCCGAGTTCAGCCCTTACCTGGCCAAGTTAGGATATGTCGCCTTCGACCCCAACCTCACCACACTTCATGCCAGATTGCTTGGGAGAGCTGGAGGGGGCGGCTCGCTCCTCGGCCGAGTCTTCTTTGAGGATCGCCTGCTGCCCATGAGCACGACGGAAGCCAGAGAAATCGCTTCTCAAGACTACCAGACAACAAGGCGTCTCCCGAAGTACTCAAGATCAATGCGTGTCGGAAATTGGACGCCCGTTGACCCGCAATTCCGCCTCAAGCCTTTCGAATCCCGTACTGTATTGCGCGGACAAGTCCACAGGCTGATGAGCTTTATTATGGCGGTGTTTAAATGGAAGCCCGATGAGCGTGCGACAACTCAAGATCTTCTGAAGCACCGATGGCTTGTTGCAAGGACTCATTGGTGGCACAAACCGCCCTTTAATAAGCTCATTGACCCCAAGCGATGGGCTCGTACACAGCCGGTTCGAGAAGCCGAGGACCACGGTATACTCGAAACTCAGGAGTTGCCCGCGGATCCCGAGGCCCGAGGCCGAACCTTACAACCTACTGGTAAAGGCCCAAGTCCAGACCCCGCGGCCAAGTCTTCGGGCCAGCACCTAGTGCAACAGCCCGAGGCACAATCCGGCGCACAATCATAGGTGTAGATAAAGGTCACGGTGCGGCCCTGTTCCCAAGCGTCTGAGAAGTCGAGACTATTTTATTCAAGACAGCGGAAAAGTATGTTTCAGCAGCGACTTTCTGGCATGTTTGAAAGTAGCAGACTTTAATAGCATCGCAACTGTTCCATCGCCTTGATTGTCTGCTCAGGAACTGAGGGTACCGTACTGACCATGTCCACCGTGACCTGATTTGCCGAGGTGCATGAATTTGGAAAGTGTTATCGTCTTCTTGTCTTTTCGAGACCCAAACCTTGACGAGTGACTGTTAGACTGTCCAATGTCTAGGGCTGATGGTGGCTTGTCCGCAAGCATGACGCTGGGGGCTGGAACGGACAGGAAGCTGATAGTGTAGAATGGCGTGCCTGGGTACAGAGGTAGGTACGCATACCTAGTGTTTCCTGAAATGTCATCTGCCAGGAGAAATTTTTGGTTCGTGTAGACTGTCGGGTGCTTTTGATGCCACTTCATTGCAGGTACCCTCACCTAGGAAAATGGATAGGGAGGCGCCGCGATGCTAAAAGGGGGGATGGATTCGAGACTTATATTGGGTGTACAGTACCGTTCTCCGCCATGTTTCGACTGGACCTTGAGGCTAATCCTAAACCGTATCCGTTCAACAACTCAATAACGCTGCAGGCTGAGCCCTGAACAAACGATGACATGGACATAGAAGAACGACAAGCAGTGCCAGAGTCTCTCACTTCCCATCGATGCCATATGTGATCACATGCCCCATGCAAGAAACCCGAACCAGTGCCTCCACCCTTCAATCACCCCTGAAAGCCTTCTCCAACGCCTCAATATCAAACTTGGTCATATTCCCCATGGCCACGGCAGCCCGCCCAGCCGCTTCCTTATCCTCACTCCCAATCATCTCCTTCAGACGGGTGGGAATCACCTGCCAGCAGACACCAAACTTGTCGGCGACCCAGCCGCAGCCCTTGGTCTCGTCGCCACCGGCGTCCTTGCCCAGCCGGGCCCAGTAGTAGTCGACCTCGTCCTGGGTGGCGCAGTCGATCTGGAATGAGACGGCCTCGGAATGCTTGAACTGCGGCCCGCCGTTCAGCCCGACAAAGCGGTGGCCGTCGAGGTCGAACTCGACCACCATGACGCTGCCGGGCTCGCGGCCGTGGTGCTCCTTGCCGGCTTCGAGGAAGCGCTGGGTGGTGAGGATCTGAGAGTTGGGGAAGATGGAGGTGTAGAAGTGCGCGGCGTCGGAGGCTTGGCCGTCGAACCAGAGGCAGGTGGTGAGTTTGAGGTTGGTGGGCGTCATGATTAGTGGTCTGGAAGTGTTGGTCGATATGGAGTGATGGAAGAAGTGGTGAGGTTGTTTTGGATGTATGTCTGGTGCTTACTACTTATGGAAGGGGGATTGAGAGCTGAGGCTCGAGAGCTGGGTGGACAGAAGGAGTTTCGACACTCATATTTGTACACGGCCGTCATCTGTCCAGAGAAAAGGGTGTTCAAGCATGATTTTAGGCAGCAGCTCGAAGCCAAGAAAACGCTGAGAGAAAGTAAATTCGCCAAGCACGGTCAAAGCGTGGTCCGTCTCGACGCGTCGATTCAGCGTCGAACATTATGCATCATGACACTCTTGGCGCGTCGGTGGCGCGTTGTCATGTGCCCCTGATTAGTAATCGTCCGGGAGAATAGTGTGGTTCTTTGTGCTGGAGCTCCGATTGGGGGAAATTGGGATACATGCGTCTGCTTTGTCTTGAAGGAATGAGAGATGGCATTGGTGGTGGGTTTGGCTTTGAGGATCGGGCTACGGTAGCGGACTAGCGGTTTACCGTTTGGCACTTTCCTGCATTCTGCAGGCGACAGTAAGGTCGATAATTAGCACGGGCTACCTTACCTACGGTAGGCGATGTATGAACTTCGTACCCGATGGCGGTGGTGTAGGTATGTACCTATGTGTCGATGGCAGTGGTTGAACCTTGAATGCAATGAGTTCTCGGCAGACTTTTAGGATGTCCTTTGTCCCGTCCGTTGCCAGTTCCAGGTTGCCATGGGCCGAGATGCTGCAGTGTTCTTGCCGTGTGTAAACCCACCGCAGCCAGGCAACAAAGAGGTCAATTTATTCAATCGTCTCAGCTCCTTGTCAACAGGAAGGATAAGACCCAAGAAGAGAGAAAGCAAGCATGCCTGGTCAAGCAAAGCGACCCATCTCCGGTCCTTGATCCCAACCTCACTATCTGACACGTCATTTTCAACATCTCCAGCTTGTCCCTGGACAGTCGTGTTATATTTGGCCTTCTCCCTTTGGGCCTTGTTGTTTTCCAATTTGATCGCTTTCATCCTTCGACGCCTGCGTGGCATCTGACTTGAGAGCACCCAACCATCTGCTCCTCACGACGCGTTGACCTTGGCATTTAGCAGTCCCTGCAGCGCCCAATCTTGAGTTATGGATAACTCGGTTCTGGCCAACCTGGGGAAGTTCACCTTTGGCGGCAACGCGGTCTGCGAAAAAGAGTTCTTGGTGCAGCTCTTCGACCCGGACGCCAGGGGAGAGATCAGAGTCACGCCGCCAAACCCTCATGGTTTTGAGCCCCCCAAGGACAATCCCGAGTTCAGTACTCCATAGTCCGGTGGTGAAGGCTGCCGCCGCATTGGCCAAGTACTATGATGATCTCCCGCCCGAGACCGTTGGCATCGAGCTTGACGCGGCCGGCAACCTTCTGTCTGTATGCACCGATCCGCTACAGGACTCCACACGTGCGACCGACTACTTTCTTCTCCAAGAATTCCAACTCCCTCCGGCCGGCTCCATCCGGGCGTCGACCTAGTTTCATACCGTCCTTCGAGATTTCCTTCGCCTGGTGGGAAGGACGAGAATCGATATGTATTCAAGTACAAATCCAAGAACCCTCAGGAACTCTGGAATGAGATCCAGATGCTGGCGAGATTCCCCAAACATCCTCACATAGCTTGGCTTGACCGGCTCGTCCTAGATGAGATGACTGGCTCCCAGGTGGTTGGCTTCACCATGAGATATGCCGCCAACGGCTCCCTTGACAAGTCGAAGCCGCTGTTCAAGCTGAGGTGGCTGAAACAGCTGATGCAGGTCATCGATGACTTGAATCTCCAGCATGGCATCATCCACCAGGACGTCCACGCTCGAAACCTCGTAACTGACCCCGCCACCGACTCATATTGTTCTGATCGATTTCAACGCTGCCTAGAGAGCGGGAATCACAAATAGGAATGGAGACCGGAGATCGAAGGGAAATGGGACGGGGGGGACGAGGTCAAGGGCGTCTTGGTGTTTATCAATATATGGCCCGCGATCCGTCTCTTTCAGCCCAGTACATGCTGCAAGACTTGAACGAGAACCACTTCAAGGACCCGGCCAAGTGGATCAAGCGTCCAGACGTGGACCTCAACGACGACGTCGCGGAGTTCTACTTTGAGCTGATGGCATGGGTCCGCAGCCGCCGCGCCGCCAAGCCCATGGCACACTATACCGAGGCGCCCGAGCACATCAGCTGGCCCAGTCCGCCCGATCCTAGGCCGAGCTCAGGCGTGGTCGGTAGTCACCGCGCCCAAGAGCCGCCCTTCCTGAGCTGGAGGCGCCCACCCGCGTCCAAAGTTGATCCGGCTCGTCGTCTGCTTGCCACGGGGCGGTATGCCGACCAAGAAGACGCTGCCCAGGCGGCCTGGAAAGCAGCCGCAACAGCCGCTGCAGCAGCAGCAGTGCCGGCGGCGGCGGTGGCGGGTCCACAAGAAGAGACTGACCAGTCTGGCGGTGCTTCCCAACCTGCCAACAATGCCTCCCGCAAGGCATCCCCAGCCGCCGGCAGAGGGCTGGCATCTGAGAACAGCAGCATTGGCCGTGGCTTGCGAAGTCCACGGTCGCCACGCCAGGGCAAGGTCGCAAAACGGAAGCAGCAGGAGGATAATGGAGATGCTATTAGTTCGGCCAATGTACCGGCAAAGAAGCGTACGGCAACGCGCTTGGAGGCTGCTTTGGTGGCAAACTGACGAGGTATGCGCAGCTGGGTATGCGAGATGCCAGGGACGGCAGCCCAGGACTCCAGATTATACACATCTACAATGGCTCGTTACTCTATGCCACAACAGATGGGGTCTGTGATCAAAACTAGAGGGAAAGACGGAGGAGGCTGCGACCAAGAGTGAGTACCGCATCTTGTTGGAAAAATGACAAAAGTCTTGGTTGGGCTCGAAAGTGAGTACGGCAGCGCTCCGAATAAGCCAAACAAGCCAAATCGAGCCTTCAAATTGGGTTACTTTACCTCAATTTCCACGCCTTTAGGTTGATTGATTGATTACTTGCGGGGAATTGAATATTTGGAAGACCCATCGGATGAGGTTATTCCACACCGAGTCAGTACATAACCATAGTCCTGCCGCAAACTCTCACAAAGATGTGAATACCGGTAGGCGGGCAACGTTCGGTGGAAAGCTCAGGTAGCGATGGCGACCACGGCGAAGATGTGGATCTACCTGGAGTAGAGGTACGTGGATGGAAAATATCACTACTATTTTTCCTAGTTAGGTAATAAGTGGGCCATTCAAACATAATCAAACGCACATGAGGCTCGAATTGGCTTAATTGGCTTGTTAAAATGGTCGTTTTGAGTTGTCTAACGGGTGGTCGGTTTGGCTTGAATCAACTATCTGGCTTATTCGGAGCGCTGGAGTACGGTACCTTAGGCGCAAACAGCCAAACACACTGTAGTGCCAATCCACGGTGCTAGGCCAAACCCGGAGGCCAGATCGCACTGAAGTGGCCACTGAGGTGGCTCTGTAGTTAGCCCTGTGTGTGGGAACCTATACTATAGTGGGTTACCTCCGTACAGTGGCTCGTTATAGCGGGCTGGCGGAGACTGTGCGAACCCCACTGTACAGTGTTGCCCAGTGAGCCTTGGCAATCTTGGCAAGAGGAAGGTGACGGACACTTTTGGCCCCGAAACTCCGGTATCACGGAGTATCTTCCCTCTACGAAGGTACCACAAATAACGTCTGCTGGCCAGGTGCATCTACTAGATCTTGCAAAGCTCCTGCCTTTGTGAAAAATCGAAGATGGGCTCTCCAAGATGGTGATTGCGAAGAATTCTGACGGCCAGTGGGCCTGCGCAGTGTGACGCAGGATTGGAGCTGAAAGGAGGAGTTTTGGACTGATGAATCAGCCACCGCCACGAGGCGAGGCAACCTCGTGGGCGCTTTCCCAGCTGGCTCCTGCTCCTGCATCAACAGAAGTATCGGACTTGCCAATTGTTTGCAGATGTTCTACTCCGCAGAACTCCATCTCAATTTCCTGCCAGGCGCTCCCTCTTCGTACCGGCAATTGGGAAAGGATCAAACCGATAAGGAAGTAATTGGATTACTGATTATACTGACAGTATCCGAATTGTCCTCCCCTCGATGAGTGGCATCCTGCCGTGTTTACGTTGGATATCCCGATGCCGATGCACAATATGTGATGGATGCGACCCATGGAAAGAAGAGACTGTCTCCATTCGACAGCGCAGACGGGCCAAAGCAGAAGAAGCCAGCGGTGGGCAATGAGGGAACTACGTCTCAGGAGGCGAACTTGCAAGTAGCGGGAGCGCTTGATGCGAACGACGCCCTGATCGAGGGCAATCTTGATCCGGATGTCCAAGCCTTGATGATGGAGTGGTGGCGTACGCCGGTAAATGAGATGGATGGACTACAATTTGAATGCAGCCTGGTTCATGTGGACGCTCGCTCACAAGCTGTTACAGAGAGCCCGGTTGGACAAATAATGATGATTCCTCAGTACGTCTCGCCTTCGTCGCCCGATATGACGCCGCCACGGGTGAGATCAAGCGAGTTCAGAGAACATGAACATGAATCAGAGAGATACGGGGAACTATTGCTGCCAGATGATACGCCCCTCTCGACAGCACCAAGCAGATGTCCTACTGCGGAGCACGACACATGCTTCGGTGTTGTACGTTCAGGCAGCCTCCCACTCCTCAGTCGCGTCTAACTCGGATACAAGGTCCTGATAGAAGTTGAAGCGACCACATCCACCAAGACCAAGCTGGGTGACACGCTTTATGATGTGCGGGTTTCTGGGGACATCGTAAAACTATACCACATGGACGAATTTGCCGGATTGCTCATCTCAGAGTGTCTGGGCTCGCTCGTCGAGGCATTCCCGGTTCATCTCACTGCAACCCTGGCAAAAGAAACAACCAGAATCGAAAGGGGCTCAAAAGCTGGCACTCGCCGCACTGGTCAAAAGACAACTGAGACCGACAAATTAATGGCTCGCCTGCTTATTTATGGTTTCAAGAGCGACACAGACGGCATCGGGAAACACCTGTCGGACGCTGGGCTATACCTTCAACACCCGTCCATCGCCGAGTATGACGGGCGCACCGAATACTTCAATCCTCATCTACTCCTCCGACCCGGAGCGCCAATGCCCAGAATCGAGGATTTGACTCTTGATTCGGATGCAGACACATCTGCCGGAACGGTGACGTTGAATGAAGTGAGCAAGAACCGTCTGTGGAGGCTGTTCAACGCAGCAGACGGACATGCTGTGGTTCCTGATGTGAAAGCTAGCCGTAGGTTGGCTTGTGACTTGCAGGAGTGGGTTGCTTCCTCGGCTCGCACCGAGCTGACCAGTATTTTGTGGTCTAGGTCAACTCGTTACTGACTGGCAACTAGTCATCAATTGGCCGCGCTGCAGATGATGGTTGAGAGGGAATGCGGGATGGTTACCGAGGCAAAGTTCCCAACCTTGTGGGAGCGGTTTGGCAGTGACGACAATCCCAGGTAAGGTCTATTGTTTACAGATCAGTCTCTTCAGCTTGCTAAGCTTTCAATGCTGACCCCACCGAGATATCGACATATAATATTTGGAAGGCAGGAGCTCAACCCAGCTCCGCTTTTCGGAGGTATTCTTGCCGATGTGAGTGCGAGCGGCAAGTTTAGAGAAGAAAGTGCCTAGCAAGACTCAGCTGACTCGCACAGGAAATGGGACTAGGCAAAACGCTGAGTGCTTTGGCCTTGATCTGTTGGCATCTGGATTCAATCGCAGCCCACCAAGTTGAGATCCCCGAGAGCCGTCAAACAACGATCATTGTTGTCCCAAAGTCAAGTACGTCTGGCCGCATTGCTGACCGTTGGTTGTGCTTCGTGTAGAGCTTGAACTGGAAGAGACCCAGCTAACTCTCGTTGTTAGTACTCCCAGGGTGGAAGCAGCAGATTACAAGGCAGGTCGAATGACTGGTTTGGAAAGTCTATCAAGTAACACTTGAGTTGGAGCTAACTTCGGGGCCGGCGTGGTCCACAATAGTCACATCAAGACGGGCCAAGTCAGATGGACAACCTACTACGGTCCTTCCAGACACCAGAGACTTGCTGGATTGTTGCAGTATGACATCGTTCTCACCACCTACGACGTCCTCCGTCATGACTTTACTTTACGCCGAGATCGGGAAACGGTCTATTCCCTTCAGTGGCACCGAGTGATTCTCGATGAAGGTTCGGCAACCGAACTTGATCTGTACTTTAAGTCGCTGATGTTCGTCCGTTGACTAAACTTAGCACACCGGATCCGCACACGCTCCTCTGCAATTCACCAAGCCGCGCTGTCCATTTCCTCCCTTGCCAAGACTCGCTGGTGCCTCAGCGGAACACCGTTACAGAACTCCCTCGACGATTTTGGAGCTCTCCTCTCCTTCCTTCACGTTCCAGGTTTGCATGAGAAGAAAGACTTTGACCGGATAATCGCGTTACCGTACCGAGAAAATGATTGTTTCAGCGCACGTCGATTGCAAGATCTGATTCGAGCCACTTGCCTGCGACGCACGATGGTTCAGATTGGGCGGAGCCTGGGCTTGAGGCCTCCAGTCGAAACCACCACGCATATTGAGCTGAGCGATAATGATCGAGAGCTATATCTTTTCTTTCAGAGGAAATGCCATCTCCTTGCCCGGGATGCTGTCGAAAGGAAGGGAAAGAAGAAGTCAACTGGGTCCAAAATCGGCAAGGGAGAGGATAACCTGTTAACCCTCATCAATTTTCTGCGCCTGATCTGCAACTACGGAGAGCGAATGCTTCCCAGCAAAGCAGTCACGGCGTGGAGAGAAAAGAATCCGGCCGCGGTGAATTGGCAGATGCTGCGACGCGCCAAGGGGAGATGCTCCAAGTGTGATGGACCAGTGGGGTTTGGCGAGGAGACGCTAACACTGCCTTGTGGCCACGACTTGTGCCCTTCTTGTTTGCTGGACGCCGAAGAAGAGAACAAGGAAGACGAGGAGGCTACGTCGACCCAGATATGCAGAGTGTGTCATCATTCATCTGCCAGTAGTGGTACGCGTGAATCGCGCTATCGGTCGGCGAAGACGGAGGCCCTGATCCGCAATCTTCGAGAGGAACAACGCACTGGTCCTGGCGGCGTCAGCTCAAAGAGGTGAGAGCCACCTCAGCAGTTTCCACGAGCATATCGGTTCCAAGTACTTACCTAACATCTACGCAGTATCGTCTTTAGCTGCTGGACAAGAATGCTGAATCTTGTAGAACTAGACCTTGACGCTGAGGGCTTTACAACGAGCAGAATTGATGGGACGTTATCGTTGGATCGCCGTCAACAAGCCCTCAGAGACTTCACAGAAAACCCCAATTGCAGGGTTCTGCTAGCAAGCATCAACAGCGCGGGCGAGGGGTAAATCCATGTCACGATTACTCACCCCATGAAATCACCATGCGATAAATATCTAGGAAGCTAATTCCAAGCTAGCATCGACATCACTGCTGCAAATCACGTCCATATCCTCGAGCCACAATGGAACCCCATGACGGAATATCAGGCCATCGGTCGTGTCCAGAGACCTGGTCAGGACAAAGTGGTCACAGTAACGCGATACATTGTTAATAGGTCCATCGAAACTGTCAGCGAACCGCTTCCATCTCCATTCCGGCAAGTGTAGCAGTCACATTGCTAACTAGCCGGCAGTATATTCAATGGATCCAATCTGACAAACTACGCTTGATCAACCAGTCTATGGACCAAACCACGATATCGCAGGAGGAGCTAGACGAAGAGCGGTGGAAGGTAAGTCAGGATTGCCCGATCACTGTAAGTTGAACTATTGCTTATTCTATCCGGACAGAGACTTGGTGAATGCCTTGGGCCGAACATAGACTAGCAGAGAGAAGGGGGGTTTCTCTGTCACTACGCTAGCGGCATACAACTCACCCTGACATGTAAGTCTGGTGCCGGCGAAGTGAACAATGATTACCGACACTCTATCAACATCATAGCCCATTGAAGTGTCTGGCTGGGCTTCATTATACTCACTTCTAGATATCCTTACTGACTGTTTGACTCGCCTGTATTAGACTTCCAACCAAAGTACCGGGAATTGTATTATTGCTAGTCACGATAGAGAGCTCTTTCTCCCTTCAACATATACCAGTTCCCTCCAGGCAGCTCCGTTTACCATCAGTCGCTGTTCACTTTCAAGTTCTCAGTCCTGTTGTTGACAATGACCCAGCGCTGAGAAGCAGCGTCGGGGTACGAACTTGGTTGTAGTCAGCCTTGATTTGGAAACCTCAAGGACTATTGCAACACACGGAGAAGATGAGAGTGGTGGATAGTAGTAAGTTAAGCTCCCTGGAGAAGGCTGGAGCATGAGCAGATAGGAAGAAAGTACCTATATTGTGCCTCGAGGTAACCAAACGAAGATGGGAGCACCAGAGTACTTTATATGTATACAAAAGAGAGCTTGCCACAGTCGGGGGGATTTTAAGAGAGCCCCAGTGACACGGCCCAGAACACAACAAGGACCTGAGAGACAACCCGATTATGTAATTAGATGCACTTGAATTGATCACTGCTCCCAGAAGTACTGTACTTCGACCTGTGACAATGATGGCTTGTGTGGTCTTTGCCTCTAAACCTCAACCTCTCCTGTGCCGGCGGCATGCTCCATGTGTCAAGGTTCCGCTCCTGCCGGGCCTATTTCAGAGTTCCTTCAGCTGTACCTGATAATTCTTAAAGGGACGATTGCTGCTTCCTCCTATCGTTAAGAGGTTTCAACCATCAACTGATTTCTTCTTCGCCTGCATCTCCCTCGTCTCCTTTATCTTTTTCTGCTGCTCAAGCAACATCAACTGCATCTGAGAATCCTGAACGGCATGATCCTCTTGCCCCTTCATCATTAACTCCTTCTTCCTTTGTTGCTCAGCCAACATCAGCTTCATATAATAAGCCTGCTGAGAGGCAAGACTTCTGTTCCCGTCTACTCAACTGTTAGCTGTACCAGACCCGATCTTTTTTGTTCCCATTTTGCCAGGGCTGCCGTCCTGTGTCAGAGAATTGCCGGGTGGGTTCGTACCTGTAGGAGGGATCTTGGGTTCCCCTTCTTCCCAGAAGAGGACGGACTCGTTCTTCTTTCTCACCTCTGCTGTTGCCTCGACCAGTTCCTCCCAGGAGATGCCCAGCCACTTGCTGATTCCCGTAGGCCCCTTGAGAGATGAAATCGGCAGCCCGCGTACGGGGAGCAAGGAAGGATTAGCGCCATGGTGTAGCAACCACTGTAGGAATCGAGCACTCCGGGCCGTGTCTTTCCGAGCCGCGGCAATCAGAGGTGGTCCTCGTCGGTAGTAGAAAACTCTTGGTGCCCCTAGGCCTCTGTCGCCGTTGACATCGGCCCCGTGCTCAAATAACCAGTCAGCCAAGGTAGTTGAGCAGGTGGTTCTCGCTACATCACAGAGTAGTAGACTCCAGTGGGCTTTTGAAGTCTCACTCTGATAATTGTGCTTATCCACATAGTCCCAAACTGAGAGCAACAGATGTTCCGCTGTAGGGTTGTCTCTGGTTTGCCTGAGGATTCTCATGTGGAAACCCCTGGCCCAACCCGGCCAATATCTGTCGCCGTGTTGTCCGTACAAGTCGGAGTTGTATCCGAGGAAAGACACAAATGTCTCTCCTAAGTACTGCTGGATGATTGTCGGTGATTCCCCACACCGCACTAGGGCGCGCCAGGCAGCTTCTGCGGCCGGTAGATACGAATTAACCAGTAGCAACTGCAATTCGAAGTATCTCAACTGCCCTTGTGTTTTCAGCTTAAACCATTCAAGGAAATGATAGTTGAGTGCGTCCAGTGCAAATGGTAAAAGGTTGACTCCGAGCGAGAGAAGAGTCTCGAGGACAGTAAATGTCCGAGTCGTTTTGACCTTTATGAATAACTCTAAGTCGAAAGAGTACGGAACAAGACACTCCATCGCTTGGCTGTTCCCGCACGACGCTGCTTTTTGGAACACAAGCCACTTATCAGTGACGGTGAGCTTGCCGAACTTTATCGTTTGTAAGATGCTCTCTCCCAATTTATTCTTCTTGATGAGGGCCTTCAGCAGTGCCACCTTCTCGCTGTCCTCGGCAGTGGTCCCCTGGATTTCCCTTGAAGTTTTGTGAATTCCGGGTCGGTGAGCGGTGTCGAGGTGTCGGTCTCGCATCTGGCGCGAGACAAATCCCTCTTCGGAGTACTCGCAGCCAGCTACATCGCAGGTCCACGGGCGATCATGGGTCTTCGTGTGGCTGTCTCGATCGCGTACTGTTTCAAAGCCGAGGCGCTGGTATTCGCAGCCAATGAATGCGCACTTGAATACCCGTGGGCCGTAGTGACGAATAAGGTCCTGGCAGTGACACGACGACCGGTGACCGGAGGGCGGACAGATACGTCGTTCTAGGGAAGCATGCAGTGAATGTGTTATGTGTCTTATTTCGAGGGGGTCGGCCTGTCGCCAATCACCTAGAAGTCGATGTTCAGTTGAAGATCCGGTTTATGCCATAGGACATCCCTACCACGCTTGCTCTCCCCTAACTCAAATAGCCGAGTTGCAGCCGCGTCTTGCAATTGAAGCTCGCCAAGTACCAGCTTGTAGGCGTCGACAGTGCCCTGCTGAGAGAGATGTGCTAGGGCTTCGTTGTTATATTGTCGATCCAACGCACAGAAGTTGTCATTGCCCCTGAAGGCTCTGAGAACCTCAAGACGTTGGACGAGCCGCCCTAGCCTGTCTGGATCTCCGGCATCACCGGTCAACTTGAAGTATGACTCGACAAGTTTCGCCCACATGCTGGAAGCGTAGTGGTGAAAACGATAGACGCCGTCAACGACATTCTGCTGGAATTGGGTTTCATCAATATCGCAATCATGATGAGTCTGGCAGAGATAATCGATGCAGCAAATTGTGAGTTTGAGGGTGTAGCGAGAAGCATCCAAAGACTCTTTGATATCTTTGCTGAAGAAATATCTGGGGTGATGGTTAGTTCGTTTCGGGCACTGCTTCGGGGCGAGAGGTGGTCGTACTGCTTCGCGGTGAAATGTACAAAGTGAAGCTCATCATTGGCATCTTCCACAACCGGGCCACAAATTCGAACAATATCCAAAACGGTCATCCCTGACATTCCAGTGGGACGCTGTTCAATATCGGCTGGGTTGATCAGGAGGGCTTGTTCGAGCTCCCGGATCGTGAGCGGTACAGGCGAACAACCAACCCAACCCAGTATCTGGCGAGCTTTTTCACGCACGGTATTAGTAGGAAGATGTTCGTTAATTCGCCTCCAAATTCTCTCGTAGCTAGAAAATGTTAGCGCCGGAACCATTCTGAGAGCAGGCGGACTGCGTCGTCGTACGCTTGGTTGAGATCACTCGGGAGGACCGTGAGATCCCGCCGTATCTCGTCAATGGAGTGAAGAAAATCCAGACTTCTTAGAATGAGATGAGCGTAAAGGAACATTCCTGGTAAAGTAAGCTTTCCGTGCATGGTTCTCGATTGGGGGGCTGATAGCTTTAGTCATACCCTTGGCACCCACCGCAATGCGGTCCCTCAACTGGTAGATCTCGTCCAGCTCTTCAGTGCTAAAGGTGCGGTGATGGAGCCATTCAGCAAATCGCTGTTTGACAAACAAATCTATGCTCGAGGTGTTGTGAGAATCTGCTCGGATAGGCTTGGATACCGAGTCGAGCACGAGCTTGATCTGCGTCTCCGGCCTGCTGGAGATCAGCACTCGGGCTCCTTCGCAATTGTTCGAAATCTCAAGTAGGCAATTCAGTAGCCTATCTGCCACACGATTATCTATCTCGTCCAACCCATCAACAATGATTCTAGCGTTATCTAGCAAGTTGACCATGTTGACGAGGAGCGTAACAGCCGCAGAGCGGTCAATCCGGAGAGAATCTAGATTGGCAGCCAGAACCATATCCTGAAGATTTGGGTCCCCTCGGGCGAGCTGAAAGATAAGCGAATGCATCACCGAAAGCTCAGATGTGTCAGGGATGTCGTGCGAGAGGAGCACAAACGCCGTGCGACAACGCGATATTGAGGCTTCAATGACGCAGGCAGAGAGATGGGATTTCCCTTAACAGCTTGTCAGCAATCGCACAAGCCTCAAAACGTTTTAAGGGGATTCTCACCGGCTCCGGGCAATCCGTGGAGCCAAATAACTTTGGAAGAATCCCCGGTGGCCTCCATCCACTTTACGACATCCGGGTCGTTGAGTAGCCAGTTCGCAGTCCCTGGGCAAACATTTCCTAGCAGGCTCTGGAGCTTCTTGTCATAGAAAAGCGGGTGTAAGTCTGTCTGTAGAGTGGAGTATTCAAGAGTTCGTCGAGTTTGATGTGTCGATTGGATGTCTTCCATGCGAATCTCGTTGCGCAAGTCGGCTGTATGCCTCTTCATTTTGTCTATGATCTCGTTGAGTTCGATTCTTTTCATCGGCCAGAAAGCTTCAAAGAGCGTCTTCCATTCTGAAGTTCAGTAGTGAATCTTAGTGCCATGGCCGCATCATAGACGGCGTAGGGGAGCAAGGGGAGCTCACTTCTCATGCTGAAAAACTTGAGAGCTACCAGGTAAAACTGCAAGATGTCGTGGAACAGGGTGGCCAACACCTGGTTGACATGGTCTTTGTGTCCGAAGAGCCTCGCCGCATGATCCAGTTCTGGGAGCAAACCGCCAATCTTCTCAAGCGTCTTGGCTAGCTCGTCAAGAGACCTGGTCAGCGTGCTTGTCAATTCAATGAGCAGTTTGATTGGGCCCCAAATGAGGGCAAGAATCTCAGGCTTGGCTGAGACAAAGGTGTCGATGGCTCTAGTATACGCCCTCATGCCTTCCAAGTATGGCTCAATCCTGGCTAGGTTCGTTAGGTGAGCACGTTGGGTGCGCTGGAGCTTGTCCGTCAAATCGTAGACCTGGTCGATCGAGGTTGTCGACAGGATTTCCTGGTACCGCCCCTCGTCATCCAGCCCAGCCCTGAATGTAGCCATCGCGGTGGTGAAGGCCGTCCAGGCCGCGCTGGATGGTGCTGAGGCCGATGACATACTAGCTGTTGTCCAGTGGTTTCATTCGCACCAAGATTCAAACTTAGGAAATATTTTTTTTCATGGTATGGTCGTGAGATGTCGAAATGAAATGTGGGTAGTTGCCTGAAACGCAAAGATGCGAAGCCGCTCTTGCCCGGTAAATGCGCATGCCTGAACAATTTCTCGCAGCTGCTTCGCCACTGCTATACGTTGTCAGGACTCAACCAATCATGGGATGCAGTGATGCCTGACATGGCTGCCGATAGCTTCCTGACCCGCCTCTGGCAGGAGGCCGCCAGGCAACATAAGTAGGTAGGTAGGTACAGTAGTAAGGTACAGTCCATACAATACAAAATATCACGCAGTCAGTCCTCAAATTGTCCACAAAAGCAGCAGCTTGCAAGACGGGCAGATGCCAATGCACACCTTGAAATTTGAATACACCCACCAGCAAAGGTTTTGAGACTTGATACCTAAGTCTAGTACAGCGGAGACGAAGACTAATGGCCGGCATTGTCTCAAATCCCAAATTATGGCCCATAAGGGTGCCCAATTGGGCTTCGTTGTGTTCCACCATGGTTGCCATCACAATTCGTCTTGTGCGCACCACATGATGCAGACTCATATGTCAAGGTGAACTGTATGTTGCTAGTGATGATATGAATTCGCCTCTCCCTGCTAGAAGACTAGTGGAGAGTGCCTGGTTCTGCCTTCTTACTCAGATACATAGGTAGTAGAGACGTCCCTACAGCTGTAAGACCTTGTAGTGGAAGAGTCCAATGAAGAAAGCTACCTAGGTGAAGTACCAGTGAACTTCCTGAAGCCAACAGCGACTCAAGGTGACCCCGTCCGGTCAGGACCCATACCCATTCCACAGCAACTGAACCCGGTGACCTCTAGGCGATTGTTTCCCTTTAACTTGAATCTTTGCTGAGATGGCCTTCGACTCGCTGGTGGGCCACGCAGCGGAATCCAGCATCTCAGGCGAAGCTATGAAAAGGCCAGCCAACGATAATGGCGCTACAAAGTAGTAACAAGCTCCAGAGTGACAATGAAGGGGACATTCTTTGTTGTTACACAGTTCATTGTCACACTCTCCAAAGTGACACTCTCCACTGTGACACTCTTCATTGTCACACTTTCTTGTGGGTTGAAAGTTTTCCCACTCAAAGACGAGAACTCGGACAGGGGTACCAGTTCTCAATTCTGGTACCACGACAACGACAAACTCGGTGCAGCGCTCCGTCGCCTCCATACGGATTCGAAAGAAAGTCGTGTATCGCTCTCCTTCTTCCTTCTCAATGAGTGCACACCTAATATCACGTCCCTCGGAATATCCGACCGCGCATTCAGGCCATGTCTCCAGAACATCAATCCCCGGCCCTGGATCAACATAAATATAATCATGCCTGTGTAGAGGTAGCCAGCCAGTTTTATCCTTGGCTCCGCGAATGACTACCGTCCTTCGAATGATTGTAGGTTGCCATTCTATTTTATCACCACGGAGAAAAAGAGCAATAGGATGTCCGAAGGATCTGGAGACAGCATGTCCGTCTTGAACTTCCTTGGCCGATATAGGAAAACCTAGAACACGGCCGTCAACCTCGCATGGAAGAATGGCAAATGTGATGCTTGGAGTCCTTGTAGTAAGGAATAGTTCGACCGATATTTGCAGGCCAATGTTGGTGATATGGTATGGTGCGTCGTAGATGAATCCCTTGGTGACAACCTCGATCTCTCCACAATTCGCGAAATCTTTCGGCGATTGGGCAAGCATCCCTAATCTCTCTGCCCGAATCTCGAGTCTCCGGTTGTAGCCCCATGCGAAGATGGACTGGTCGGCGAATTGTTTGATAATCTCCTGCTGCAGGCGTTGGAACGCTTTTTTACCCTCACCATACAGGAGCGGCATATTGACTCCGAAGATGCCCATCAGACAGTATGCTTCGTCTTCTAAGCGTGTCGTCTGCCTCCTGGCCGCCCAAGACATCTTCTGCGCTGCACAGGCCCGGGACCAGTACTCCTCAGTGAGATAGCCCCCGCCGATTCCAGTCACCGCCTCTATGGTATGCCTGCCCGTGTGCCTCTCCGTGATATACTTCCAGTGTTTGTTGAAGCACGAGCTTCGGGGCGAGGAGTTCCTGCAGCGTCCAGCCTCTTGTAAACCAGCGACTCTTTCCAAAGCCCGATTGCGGGGCAACTTTCGTATCTTCAACGTCAGCCATGAAAGCGATGCAGAGTTCCGCCTCCTTGTACCATTGATACATGGAGTTGATAGCCTCCGAAAGCTCCGCACTGCTCTCTTTGTTTATGCAGCACGTATCGACCCAGATGTAATCTGCCGTACGTCGATGATTATCGAGCATCTCCGAGTTGAGAGCGGGCACGAGCTGCGCGAAGCGAACGATCTTCTGGTAGCCGCTTCTACGACGCAAGGATTCATCCTTGGCCCTGAGTCGTTCACGATGCTTCGGTGGCTTTTCTTCGATAATGCCCGCGGCCACTTTCTCCTTGTAGGCTTGCAACCATGTGTACTCCTGAAATGATATTTCCTCGTCACCCCAAGTGTGGGATAGGATATAATACGGCGGAAAATTTCCACCCAAAAATTCCTCCAGTTCAAGGGACTGAACGTTGATGAGCCGCATGTTCGTACTGAGGAGTGGAAGAAGACTATCGGTAGGTGTTCATGTAAATGGAGGCGAGACTGGATGCCAAAGTGCTCACAGTGGTTGCCTAAAACGAAAAGATTCCAAGTTGCTCCCGACTTGCCTAATAAAATGCTTAAGTCCGAGCAAGAAATCTTTCACAGTTGCTGCGCCACCACCCACGTTGCCAGGACTCAGCCCATGAGATACCCGACATGATGCCGTCCAATGGCTGAAGCAGACCGGAGCTCCGCCACGGAGTGTATGAATGTATGTACAGTACATAGGTACCTTCCAGACAGTATAAGAACAGTACGGTACATGTAGGTAATGTACAGAACTTTCCTCAGCAGCGGGTAGCCTTATGGCTTTCAAATTGTCGAGTTTAAGACTGTGGCATGTCAAACTCGTCGACGCCCTTAACGAAGGGAAACTTGAAGGGTTTGGAGTACGTAGGCGCAACGGAACATCACAATGCGTGCCACGCTAGGCTGCTATCAGGAATCCGCAAGCGCCCGACTTTTCGCTGTTTGATTGTCGTTCAAATCGTGTGGGCAGGAACGACGCCTAGGCTGACTGGCTTCAAGCTCTTTCCTGCTTTTAATCGAGTCTGCGGTGCCTCCTTCGAACGAACATTGATGATTGAGCTACTTTTTCAGGCCAAGCATCGCATTGTGCCAACTGTCAACTTCCATTGCATCCATCCATGATCGCAAACTCTCTCAGGTACGATTTAGCACGGACATCACCGGCTTGACGAAGTTCCTCTCCCTTCATGGTCCAATCCTGGGCAGCGTATGCATTATAGGTGCATTACATGGCAATGTATACGGCCTAGACCCAACATGGAACCGATACCATACCAACTCCGCTCCACCGGAAGCATATACTCATCCTGCCCGATCCCCAACATGCACACAAGCCAAACCGGGACACGCCTAATCGACCTTCTCCCGGGCTCCGGTAACCAGGTAATCGAATGCATCATGCGGCCCATAACCCTCAACCTCCCGCCCGAACACCCAGCGTTCCCGTCTTACGAAGCCATCTCATACGTCTGGGGCGATGAGACCTTCCCGCAACCCATCCTCGTCAACGGCCGCTTCCTCGCCATCAGACGCAACCTGCACAACGCGCTATACCACCTCCGCCACCCCCGAGAATCGGGACGCCGCCGCACCCTTTGGGTCGATGCCCTCTGCATCAACCAATCCGACATGCACGAGCGGAACCATCAAATCTCACTCATGCGCAACATCTTCAGCAATGCGCGCCAGGTCATTGCCTGGCTGGGCGAAGCCGACTTGGACTGTGGCGGCGACATGGAGTCGGAGTCGGACCTTGCCATGGACTTTCTGGCCTCGGACGTCTGGACGAAGACACCAACGACGACAGGGACAGGGACATGGACAAGGCCAGACCCAAGCCGCCGGGGTGCTCCGGGGGCTGCTCCCTCTGCCACTGTAATTCTGGCACTTGCGGGTCTGTTCTTGCGGCCGTACTGGACGCGTGTGTGGATCGTGCAGGAGGTGGCCATGGCCAGGAAGGTAACGCTGCACTGCGGCGACAGGCAGGTGCCCTGGGAGCGCCTCGTGCAGTTCATGCCTCACACCCGCATCATTCCGAGCTTGATCCCGACCGCGGTCGCAAGGGAAACAGGCAGCAGAGCCCCCGATATTTGGAGGGCGTTCGGGAGGCCGCGGAAACTGGTGCGGCTGAGTAAATTAAAGAAACAGAATCCGATCGATGTCCTTCGTGAGGCGGCGGATTTCCAAGCCAGCGTGCCTGTGGATAAGGTGTATGGGCTGCTCGGGCTTTTTCCCGCGCCGGTGCAGCAGAGGTTGGTGGTTGACTATGCCAAAACCTTGAAGGAGGTGGTGCGGGAGGTGATGAGGGTGTATCTGGAAGAGACCATGGACTCGGAAAGAGGATGCGACTTGAGCTTTTTGTCAGTGTTTCCACCATTTGCTGAGACTGGGCGTGAGTCTGGTGAAGCTGGAGCTGCAGGGTATCCGTCCTGGCTGCCCGACGTTAGGAACCGGGTAAAAGGCATGTCAGAATGGTATGATCCATCCAAAGGGCATGAATGGAGTAGGCGCATTTCGTTTGACTACCCAGAATTACATGTCCCAGGGGTCCTCATTGGTGTGGTAGAGGCAGTTCTTGGGCCGGTTGAGACACGGAAGTCATCGCTCGTGGCTAACCATGCCCGATGGGGACGGTTGCTTCAAAGCTCTTCGTTCCAGGAGCTCAAGAATCTTGCGATGGAGCGCATCAGAGAGACACGTCGGGGCGAGATAGGCCATAACTTTGATCTTGCTTTCTTTCACATGGTGGCCGGCCTGAGGATTTTCGCTCATACACAAGAAACGCGGACATTCACCTGGGTGGAATTATGGGCGGCAGCGGAGGAGACAGAGATGACGGGCGACCTTGGGCTGATGGAAGGGGTTTACGATCAGTTTGAGATTGTCTTCAAGCGGCTACACTATCGGAAGCTGTTGCTCCTCTCGAATGGTTCGGTGGGACTGGGCCCAGCAGAGTCACGCAGGGGCGACTCAGTCCATGTTATGCGTGGATGTGGTCTTCCGATGGTGTTGCGGCGAGATGAAGGACAAGAGAAAGCTCCTCGGTACACTCTCGTGGGCCCGGCTTATGTGGATCGAGCAATGCATGGAGAAGCGATGGCGTTGAGCACTGAAGTTCTACTACGAATACGATGAAGAAGCCGGGAGCTCCGACATGAATTTTCACCGCAGATGGGTACTATCCAGTCAGCGGTAACGGAAGGAAGGGTAGCTACTTATCCGCATATCTCCTCAGACCGGTTAACTCTAACGATCCTGCTTAGGGAACCAACGTCGCGAAGCTGTGATCGGTTCATCTGTTTTTGGCCCAGATAAGCTTGGGGCGAAACTCTGAAGAATCATGGCTGGTGCAAAAGAACATGCTCCGGCAAGTAGGAAGCCTAGGTATGTAGGCGGTCGCTAGGTATGAGCCCAGAGCCACCATGAGGTGTTCTTCTAGCCCTGGTTGCCGCCCCAAAAATCCTTGCAGCCAAAAGTCGCATCAAAGGCCATGATACAAAATTTCACAGGTCTCACTTGCTCCAAGACAGAAGACAAAGGACCAACTTGAAACTAAGCCAAGGTAGCAACACAATCTGAACTCACCTTCGTGGTATAAGCGTAGTCTTGCCCATCATAAGACACAAAATAGTAATCTGTAGCTATTAGACGCACATTTTGCGTCATGTTGTTTGAACTGCACCTTGTTCTAAGTGTTTCAGATTGTCACCGGTTTATCATGTCAAATGGTACTAGTATTCTACGGGCAATAGGTGATTCAACAGAGAATATATCACAAATACAACGGTCTTGTATGAAGAGTGAGGCTAGACGGTGGTTTGTTGCATTCAATTGGGTAGTATCCTTTGTAAAGGGTTGATTCTAGTTTCATGAGCCCTCTCTCAACTCTTTGAGTCGGGTCCAGCTCCCATTATTGATGCTGTCTCTCAAGTCTCAAGCAACCTCAACTCAGGCCCGGTGTGAGTCTCAAGGGTCGTACTCTGAGCAACTACAGTACATACCTTAATCTATAAACGCACACTCATTCACGGGAGGATAAGAGTTAATCCTTCCCTTGAGGATTCCGGGGTCCTACGCGCTAGCTCTTATCTTCTTATACCTTCTATTGTTGGTTTGAAGTTAAATACATCCAGATAACCCCTATTTGCCCTTGTCACCGGTGTATTATTTGAGATGGATCGCATAGACGAGATTTCACGGATGATCATGGAGATGATCGTAAAGATGATCCTCTATGTACTCTTCGGAGTGGTTTTTGTCTATCCGGTCCTTAGCGCGCTATGGATGGCAGCTGCATGGTACTGTGGTGCGTACAGCATCATCATGGCGCTCATCGGCGGAAACCCGGTGCCAAAATTCACTGTATGGCAGTGCATTGTCCTGGCAGCGCTGGCATACACAGCATTCGTCTGGGCTAAATCCCGGTCTCTTCCTCAACGACAAGCGGAGCGCACGACTAGGGGACTCGTCAACCCATATGTGCAGCTGAGCCAGGATGGATCGACGGCCATGTACTTCAAGATTCAACCCGGTTCTTTGTCCTATCGGCTGCAGGACCTGTCGCATGCTCAACTCAGAGGTTATGACTTGGGGCGGGGGGTGTATGCCTTGTTTCTCGCCGCTGGCGAGGGATCTTCCGAGTCCAGCGCTGTCCCCGGACAGTTGAGGAGAGGAGATGATAAGATCGCCCATGCCCACCTTAAGGATGCGTCGATTCGCCTCGTCTGGTATGCAGATGAGGATGTCGAGACGGTAATGGGGGAAGGATGGGAGAGAAACGCCCCTTATGTGCAGACGAAAAGTGTTTGTTTAGACATTTCGATCGCGCCATTCGAAAGGAAAAGACGCCGATTCCCAAAGGTGTGGTTTTGATCCACACGTCGCCTAAGGAGGAGAAAGCGGTACTACTGGACGCCATTCTCCAGTCTTCCATCCGGTATGCACGGCCAACGCGATGGGATACCCGCTACTAGCGGTACTAGTGTTTCTTTACTACATGTTGTAGTCCATAGGCTAGGTTAGAGTCATCAGAATGAATTGCCAGTCCCCTTGAACTGCAATGAAGTGATCACAATCGTTCACAGACCGCGAATGAGCCAGGCTGAGTGGTTGAGTAGGTGGGTTACACGTACATTTTCATGCAAGATTACGTAGAAACTCAACCACATCGAAGGATTCTGGTTCCTTGAGAGCGGGTTGGGGGCGACGGAGGTTCCAGCCACCTACTAGGGAAAGGGGGGGGCCTTCGAATGTTCCTTGCATTACTCCCCGCCGGGCACTTCGACATGCGCAATGACGTCCCAGATGCCATTTAGGTGGGCATTGATGTGAGGTGTCATGTTGATATTATCAGTAGGTCCGAGTCGTTAGTAATTTAGGTGTCCTTCTCACATCAACCGGTCAATAGTAGGAATCATGATAGATCCAGGGATGTCTTGTTGTCCCGGCCTATGCTGAAGACCCCCTTTTCCCGGTATGATATAGGGCTCCCAAAAGGGCAAGACCGAACAGCTTGGAGCGAGCCGGGAGGAAATCTCAGAGGAATTAAAAGTTCTCGGCTGTATGACGCTCTTGATCTAGACGCGGTGACGGTGGTGTCAGAATGCTGGGTTCGCTCGAATGCGAATGGACCTAGGGCATCTAACATACCTTAGGTAGAAAACACATATATCCATGATGCGAATGGGCATGATAGTCGAGTGTCAAGCAATAGGTACCACCTAACCAGAACAATGAAGCCAACGACACAGCATGTGAGGTAGATACTAGTAGTACTGTGGTAGGTCCCGCATTTCCCTATGTAGAAGGATCTTCTGTTCCTACTAAGGCAAGGTAGGTAGGTAATCAGACTGACTAGAGCGTTTCCTTCACCTTTTGTAGAGGCGGAATGAATGTCACGCTCCAAAGTAGTAGTGTTGTATACGAGAACGAGCAAGGTTGCGTTGCAGCACATAGCGCGTGGTCTTGACTGCACACAATCAAGGCTCTTGCAGCTAGAAGCACGCTACCGCCTTCCAGCCTCACAGGCGTAGTGGTGGTAATGCTACCTAAACCACCGCTATGTATGTACAATGATCCTTCCGCCAAGGCTTGAGTGAAGCAGCTTTCCGGGTTTTGGAGTCACAACCATTCCCCGGATTCCCATGGCTAGGCCGGATGTCAATTCATCTCTTGTTTACACTCGCACTAGAGTTCTTGGTTGCCAATTGTGGCAAACCTACCTATCCAAGCTATCTCCCGGTTTTGGACTCACTCTTTCATTCGATTGTAGAAGTCAGCCGACTCAGCCCCGGGCCTTTCCGCATCAGGATCATAATGTCACGCAGATGCTGCCACTACTTCCTGTTGCGGCCACCTCTGGCCGCGAACGAAACTGTGTTGCGTCTCTGAGCGCTAGCGGGGGAGCTTCAAAACCGGTTTATGCGAAGTCCTTCACCTGCAGGAGCGACGATGGCTTCAATGCTGGGAACTTTGCTTCCATTGTTCGATACACCACCCAGTACTCCGTAACGGAAAAAGAGCTTAAGGATCAGCCCCAAGCCGATCAGTATCTTCAGGAATATTGCTAATTTGGGGGCCAGTGCCAGGGACTCGGAGAGATCCGAGCGGTAGATCGGCATGAACAGGGGTTAAGATAAATAAACGTCCAAATCCCCCTATCACAGTGAGGTTATGATCTCCCTGTTCCTTGAGCTGCATCAGGTTGGCGAATGAGTCCGGTGTCAAACGCCATGGCTTTTCTCTCCGTTGTGCTGAGTGCATTCGTCTTTGGTTGTGGCCTCGCAGAAGCCGTAGCCATTAACAATGCAACCGACACTTGCAAGGAGATTGCCAGGAGCATCTCGGACTCAAGCAGGGTCATTTTCCCGAGTAAGTCTGCCTCATACTAGAATTACTGCCGGGAAGTTAATGCCCATCCTGCCAGTCCAAGCTGCGAGCTACGCAGATGCCATCAGCCACTGGTTCCTCTCATCAAGCGACACGCCAGCCTGCGTTGTGAAGGTTGCCTCGGCCGAAGATGTCTCGGTAGTCCTGCAAATCGTGGGCTCTTCCCGCACACAGTTCGCCGTCTATTCGGGCGGCCATGCGTCAAATCCGGGCTTTTCCAGTACCAAGGGAGTACACATCTCTCTTGAGGACCTGAACCACATCTACTTGTCTGAGGACCAGAGAACTGTTACAGTTGGGTTTGGCGCGGTAAGTGAAAAGGGGCAGCTGTGGTAAACAACTACTAATTCTTCGCCAGGCATGGATAGACGTGTACAGGTATTTGGAACCTTACGGTCTGAACGTCGTTGGAGGAAGAGTTATTGGTCCTGGCGTGGGCGGATTCACTCTTGGGGGTGGCTTTTCATGGTAAGTACAAGAAGCTTAACTAGTAGCTGGTGTCGACTTGAGGGGGCCAGCATGCTAACCAGGGGATAGGAAAACAAACCAGCATGGTAATAGACTTTTGACGTTTTGGGTTTCATGCTTAAGGCAGTATTGTGTTTCACTGCTAACGTCCCCTCAGGTTTGACTGTAGATACCCTGAAGAGTCTTACAGTTGTGCTCCCGGTGCGTCTTGTCTCACTCAGAGGTGTAATCAGCGTACGTTGGCCGTTGTTCTAACAATGGTATGCCCTAGAACGGGACCATTACCACGGCCTCCAACAATCACAACCAGGATCTTTTCTTCGCTCTTAAGGGGGGGATGAACCGCTTTGGCATTGTCACTTCTGGCGAATTCTACACCCACCAGCAGCCTCCCAGAGTCTATGTAAGTCCGCCTCGTATCAAACACGATGTGGTACAATACAGAATGCTGACATCAACAAGGGTGGCCTCCGAGTCTATCCTCCCACCTCGGTTCAGGCAGTTCTTAATGCCACTGTGAACTTCTTCTACGACAACAAAGACCCCAGAGCCGGGCTCATTACCACTCTGGACGCAGGGAGCTTGGAACCCACTGCCATGGGAATTTTCTTTTTTGACGGCCCTGACAAGCCGCCAGCGTTTGACGAATTTGACGGCATCCCAGCCATTTTGGATAACGTCGGGGAGAAGACCTGGACCTCGTTCCTAGCAAGCATCCCGGCGTACCTCGTATTGAACGCCAGGGGCGCGTTTGCCACCGTTTCCACATCTGAGATCTCTGCGAGCTTCCTAGCGGCTGTCCAGCAAGAGGCTGAGGTTTGTTTACTTCTAATTAGATGGCCTGAACGCGCGCTAATCTTGTGCAGGACATTGGAAGGGTAGCCGAACTTCACAGCGGTCTTACAGTCAGCTTTGACATCGAGCCCTTCACAGACTATGGACAGCATGCAACCGAAAGTGCATACCCACACGCTGATTCTCCCCTTCCGGTAGGTCCAGACTTCAGTCCGACAGCACTGCATTCAGCTATGTGAACAGTGACGCTGACATCAGAAAGCTCAACTTGTACTTTGCCTGGACGAATCCTGCCGAGGACGACTGGTGGCATGCCCGCATGCGCCAGGCAACCGAGAGGCTGAAGCAGGTAGCAATCGAAGAGGGCATCTACAAGGACACTTATACGGCCTACCCGAACTACGCGCTGGCTGGGACCACGGCGGAGGAGCTCTATGGGCAAAGGAATGCCGCGCGGCTGAGGAGTATCAGAAACCGGATTGACCCTGACCGGATTATGGATCTTGCGGGTGGATTCGAACTTTGAGCGGTGTCGCTGAGGGCTGCGTTGGGCAGGGGGATGTAAATACTATATATACTGAGTGTATACGAGATTGCATGTGCGCTTTAAGCATGTGCATACTTTGCTTCACGTACTGCAAGGGCCTAGTCTGTTTCCCAGCTGCCCCTTTACCTCACGCTGATGCCGTTCTAGTAAGGCACCCGGCATTCTCCTCAGCAGTGATGAAGTTCAGCAGTGCGGATTTTATTGTAACCAGCTGAAAACATTCAGTCACCTACCTCTACACATGTGCCTTGCGCAGTGCATTAATGCGGGTTCCGAATTTGTTTCCGATTCCGATCCGAGTCCCGGACGCCACTCGGCCATTCCCCACTTGCACCGGAGTTGTTTACCCCGTAGCGCCGTGCCGGACATGGACCCACCAGCTTTTCTCCCGGGCAACAAATACTGCACGTATCCGTACTCTGTACTTTAAACAACCACCTTACCTTACATACACCCAAACAACAACAACTTGAACCCGCCAAACACCCGCCCCAAATCGCAAAACCCACCCCCGAAAATGCTTTACATCCCCGGCAAAACCCCCCACAACCTCCCCTACGACCCCTTCAAAGCCTGCATCGTCCCACGACCAATCGGCTGGATCTCCACGACCTCACCACACCAGCATGAACCCCCGATACACAACCTCGCGCCCTTCTCCCAGTTCGCACCCCTAACCTTCGACCCGCCCTACATCATGTTCTCGGCCAACCAAACCCCCTCGGGCACCCGCAAAGACACAGTCATCAACGCCGAGTCCACAGGCAAATTCGTCTGGAACCTCGCGACCTACCCCTTACGCCACGCCGTCAACATCACGGCTGAACAAGTCCCCTATGAAATCGACGAGTTTGAGCGGGCCGGGTTGGAGAAGGATTTTTCTAGACTGCTACCGGGGGATGAGACTAATCCCGTGCCCATGGTCAAGGCCAGTCCTGTCAGGTTTGAGTGTGTTTATCACTCGACGATGCGGTTGCCGGGGAATGGGGAGGCGAAGACGGGGATGGGGACGGTGGATGTGGTTATTGGGCGGGTGGTGGGCGTGCATATTGCGGATTGGGCGGTTGGTGAGAAGGGGAGGTTGGATGTGAAGAGGACGAGGCCGATTGCGAGGTGTGGGTATTATGAGTATGCGGTTGTTGGAGGGGAGGGGCAGGTGTTTGAGATGGTGATTCCGGGAGGGGATGAGGCGACGTTGGCGGGGTTGGAGGGGAGTACAGGGAGGTTGGAGAAGTGGCGGGGAAGGGCTAAGGGGGAGGGGGAGGCGAAGGCAAAGTTGTAAGGGGCCGAGGGTTTCTGTGGTTGCCTACACCTGTGGTTCGCGGTTACTACTCCAGTCCAGTCTGTACTGTATATGCTACATGTCCGGTAATGATCCTTTCCCTCCTTGATAAGTACAGTACAAGACATATCAATAGTTGGCCAGAACCATACCGTAAGACCCCGGCTTGATGCTTTGCTGTACCAAACACTTTCCGCAATCTAGCAGTCTGTTCCACGCCTTACTGATATCAAGTCACCCGTTTTCGCAATCCATGTCTCGCCGCCTAGGTTACCAGACCTATCTCGAAGTAGCTAAGGTGGAGAAAGTTAGAAATTACGTGATCCCGGGGGTGCGAGGCTGTGCCGGAAAAGCTGGGCGGTTGGGTCTTCTTGGTCTTGTCGGTCTTGGGCCGGACGAGGTCCTCTGGCTATTTAAGTTGAATACCTGGTCAATTGATCACAACGGTCGAAAATGGACAATATACACTGGTGCCCCCGAGACCTCCTTGGTCTCCACGATGACCGCAAAGCCCAAAAGCTTTCCTCCATCCATATAGTCTACCCACATATCACTTGTCTTGACGGGATACTCATGGTCTGATTCGTGTTCGCTCTCTTCCGAGTCGTCCTCCCTACTAGTACTTTGCGTCAGATATCTCAGCGAGTCCTCTACCATGTCATCTTCGGTATCAGGATTATATTGATGCCGGTATTGCCTTCTCGGGAAATAATGTTGATATATGTGCCTCATGCTTGTTCGCCTCCCGGGCCTCCGACGTATGATTTTGCACCACGGCTCAGCCCCTAGTGGCGTGACGAACACTCCGAGAAGGAGAAAGAAAGACTCTTTGCAGAAGGTCATATCGAAAACTCCAATCGTCACTGTGGAAGGTTTAGGGGCTGGCGGCTGGAGCACCCAGGTGTTTACGTCCCAGTGATGGACAGGGTACACTTCGTGGATTGTGATAACGGTGTGGTCGTAATATGGCGGTGGAGGTAGAAGTCGGAACGACGGTGGTAGTTGCAGGGAGGCGGCTTGCGTGACGTAAATGGTCGTCGGTTTCCAGTTCCGGTGTTTAGTTCCTATTAGCACCGGCGTTAGAGATGGAGGAACATCATCCGAGATGTTTACGTTACGATAGCTTGTCCGAATATGAGCTGAACTTACGCATTCTCAGGCAGACGAGTTCCTTTTGCTCGACAGTAGGATCAAAGCCTGATATGTCGACCGTGACACCATCCTTTTGAACTTTGGCAAAGTGGAAGATCTGTGCGATATCCACCCGCACATAAGTATCCAAGACGCCCGTAGCAGTTGGCCGTGACGTTCTCCTTAGCCTGATCCCAGCCATGACGCCTGGGGTACGTCCGATGGGACAGTCGAGGGCTGCCAGGAATACCTCACCCGACCCATAGCTGTCGTCCTGGCAAATCAATAGTTGCACCATGATTCCCTTACTCGTCGACATGGCGTGCGGACGATGCGACCTTTCGATTCGATGCCGCGCTACCCCGATCGATGTTGCGAATAGGCGTGGAGAGTCAGCCAATAAGCCTGATCGCTCAAAACTTTCGCCATAGTCCTCCCTGTAGCAGGTCACCGCATCTTGCTCCCTCCAGGAAAAAATGGTCTGATCGTCAGTAAGTTTCAGGATCTCTTCCTGGAGCCGCACAAACGCCTTGGAGCCCTCTCCGTATAGCAATGGCATGTTGACGTCGAAGATGCCCAGCATGCAATATGCCAGGTCTTCGACTCGGGTGGTCTCCCGCGACGAAAGCCATGCCATGCGCCGGGCGACGGTCAGCCGCGACAGATCCCCGCCATCCAGGGCGTACTCATCGATGCCGTAAACTTCCGCGATGGCCCTCTTGTGCTGCTTGCGTGTGCCGATAAACGCCCAATCCTTGTTGTAGAACTCGAGTTGTTTTGGGGCGATGAGCTCTTGTAGTGTCCACCCACGCGAGTACCAGCGCAACTTTCGTACGCCAGTAGAGAGTTTGGAGCCTCTAGCGTACACGTTCTTGTAGATCACGCCGTCGCCATCAGCATCGGACAGGAAGGCATAGCAAACGCCAGACATGCGATACCAGCGGAACATTGAGTTGATGGCCTCGGACAGCTCAGCCGAGCTCGTCTTGTCGATGCAGCACGTGTCGATCCAGATCCACTCGTACCCCTGGTTCCTCGCCAATTCACAGCTTTGTCGAATCTTCTCCCATCCGAATTTGGACTTTGCTATTGATTGGTCGCCCTGAATGTCCTCAAAGACGACCTCTTCATCCTCCCACGTGTGGGACAAGATAGCGAACCGAGGCACAGTATACTCAGGCCCCGCGCCGACATCGGTGTCGACGAGCATACCACTCGACCTGCTCTCAGTGAACTGCGTCAACTTGAGCCGGGTCGTGTGTAGTAAACGCATGCTGTAAGCTGTCAGGGAGACCGAAGGTTGGTCGTCTTCTCAACCCGCCGTCATGAGTGATTAGGTATTGAATTCCCAGTCTTGCTCTCGCAGCGGTTGAGAAATGCGGGGTTTTGTGCAGATGCAGCCTGGCATGAAGGACGAGCTAACGGGTAGGTACTACTAGTATCTCAGAACTCAGACCAGTGGGCGCTACCGCAGTGGTTAATGAGGCTCCTTCTTACCGATAAACATTGAATTGATGGGCTGAAAAGTGGCCTCTCAGGAAGGAATATGGCCAGTCTTTACGTAAGTTGTATTTTGTTGCCATTCAATAAGGTTTGTGGTTGTGGTTTGGGGATATGGCCAACCTCCCGGCAAGTGCAGTGGGCATGTGAATAGGTACTTGAGATTTGGTACGTTTGGAGCAACCTTTTCCAATTCTAATGGTCGTATTACAACGAGTCATACCATTGGAATCTTCTTGTTCTAGCAATCTTTAGAATATATACCATGTATAATACCTAGCAGCTGTGAGATTCTCAAAACCATCATCCTCTTCATGTAGGTCGCCTGATCTACCTAGGTACCTAGGTAACCTTGACCCGCATCATCATTCCATCAACAGGCTTGGGCGTCACCTGCCGTGTCTGGAAAAGAGACTCAGCCAGGTAACCAAGGCAATGACACACCTACGCAACTTTCCAAGAAATAGGGGTGATATCGAACTTACCGGGTACATCTCCGAAACCACCTTGAACCGACCCTTGGCATCCAAAATCGGCTTTCCACTTTCGTCCAGACTCAACTCACCAATCCCAACCTAAGGACCCCGTAAGGGTGAGCAGGAGGACCATTTCTCAGGTGACATATAGAGAGACCCGTGCAATCGTACCTTGACAAAGTCAAACCGGCGCGCAACGAGCGCAATCACAACCCGTGCCTCTATTTGGGCCAGCTCCTGCCCGATGCAGTTGCGCGGACCCCTCTCAAACGGGCGCCAAGCGGATATTGGGATCTGGTCGGCCGCATTGTGCAGCCAGCGCTCGGGGACAAAGTCGTTTGCCGTGTCACCATACACTTCCGGGTCCCGCTGGATCATGATGGCGCAGTTGTACACATACACTCCTTCGAGACGGTACTCCCCAGTCGAGGTGTGCACCGTAAGTCCCGATCCAGGCGCCGTTTTGCGGGCGGTGCCGGCTGGAGGCCATAAACGGAGAGCTTCCTTGATTACGGCTGTGGTGTAGGTCATCCGTTGCAACAGGTCTTTACCGCCGTCTGAGAGCAGTTTATCGCGGACGGCGGATGGATTTGGATCTAAGTGTTTAGTCAACCTACTTCCATCTTATATGATGTCAATACGATGCACTCACCCGGGCCGAATATGCTGTCCGATTCCTCCCGGAGAGCCTTCAGAGCGTGTGGTGTACGAGACAACTCGTAGAACACCCACGAAAGCAGGATACTAGTGGTATCGTGCCCTGCAAACAAGAAGGTGCTCAGTTGGTCGCAGGCTTCATCGACAGCCCGTGGCGTTAACGTGTCGATGTCTTGCAAACTCAACGAGAGAACGCTCCGGGATTTGATGGAGTCAGTCTGGCGCTTGTCGAATGCATTACGGACGATCTCTCTAAGCGTTCTCTTTATACGCTTTGCAAGCCCGCGACGTTTCCACTCAGTGCGCGGTGTAAAGAACCATGGAAGATCCATCTGTTCCCTGGCATAGGTCTCGAATAGCTCATGGTAGGTGCGTATAAACTCGCCCGGATGGTCCTTATCCTGGGCACCAAAGTCAAAGTCCATGACGACGCTGCTGATAACATCCAGAGTCAGATTTCCACAATGGAAGACCAGTGAGAAAATCTCGTCGTCCTGTGCGAACTGCTCGAGGCGGTCGACGAAAACAAGCGCCTTTTCCACAATACGCGGCAGGAATGTGATCAGGTGCTGCGGTGCAAACCCAGGGTTGTAACGTCTACGGAGTACCTTCCAGTCTTCGCCCTGTGAGATTATCAGCTAAGTCAACAACTGTGAGATACATCTAGTGTATGCAGGATTGGAACGAGAACATCAAGAAACATACGTCCGCGCCAAGGATTGAAGTTGGACCAGTCACATGGACCATATGACTGTACACCTGTTCCATCTTTGGAAGGCTGTAAGGAAAGGACTTGGAAGCTTTGGATATCTGCTCGGCGACCTGGTGGCTGCGGACGACAACCATGGGCGGCCCGAACGGCCGAAGATCAACAAACATAAGAGGCGGCCGGCCAAGGGCCTCGTTCATAGCAGCAAACGCGAGGTCTATACAAATGCCAGTTAGGTCCATGCATCCTGTGTGCAAGCAGGGGGATTGAACAGAAACTCAAAGGGCAAAATCAGGGAGTGAAACCGTGGAGTCAACTACCTGGATGACCGTTTGGCTTGCCCGTACGAATGAAGCGGTCAAATGTCTTCAAGTGTCCCAAGACAAGGGACGTCGGCATCTGCGGAAACATGGCATATTGCTTGAACCTCTTGTAGCGAAGCGCTCCGTAGAAGGACGACCCGAGCAAGACAATAGCGGCGACAGCTAGTGGCAGGAGCATATTACCCGGCCTGGCTAAGGTAAGGTAAGCTGCCAAATGATTCGTGGTGATGTTCGTGTGTGCTTGGCCGGCAAAGCGAATCCGGACTTTGAGGTGGCTTGCTTTAGCGGTTAGAATACGAGAAAGACTCTGTCTTGGCAGTTTGGTTGATGATGGTGCGGAGAGAAGTCGTGATTGAGGAGGAACTACTAGCACCCGTTGGTGTTTTGGCTGCCTCATGTTGGGTACAGACATTTGCAGTACCAACATGAAACACTGCATCGGCAAGGCGGGCTGTTGGTGCAACGGTGTAGCTCAAGACCTGCCCACTGAGGTGGTTCTCACAGATCGTACAGTACAAACCTACTGTATGTGGCGAGTGATAGTAGTAATGCTCTCATCCGACTTTTACTGCCTTGACACCAGGCATACTAAGGTACCTAGTACTTTAGCTTCCGAGATAATCGATACGACGAAGAGATGAAAGCTTCTCACAATGGGACCATGGGAGTTTTCCTACAACTTTCTACATGCATTGTAATGTCACCTATGTTTGCAGTGCATGTACCGTAAGGTATGCGCAAGGGGGCGAGCGGGCACGAGCACTATAGTGAAGGGTCTCGGATTTCCAGGGGAAGAAACAGACCTTGATGAAGGCACGGTTTACGGGTCAGCCTCTTGCAACGCGTCGTGTTCATACGCATGGATTCTATGAGATTTCGAGCTCAACCCATCCGTAGAGCCGTAAGGAGTGTCAGTGTCCGAGTCATCTTCTCCTGAAATGGGAACACGGGTTGCCGGAATCGACGTCAATCGAGGCTCGTCTCGCCAAGGGGGGCTAAGAATACTCGTAGTGGGCACTGGGTACAATGAGCTGTGTGAGGGAAAACGACTCGGACATAGCGAGGCAAGCATTCCCTTCATGCTGATCAGTGGACGTTCAGGAACAGGCCTTGGACAGGGTACAGACACGATGATGACATCAATCAGATTCCACATTCGTACCTTGACTCTCCACAATTGTTGCTTGCCGTTCCCGAGGCTTCCATACGCGCGGGTTAAACTGAAGTTGCGTCTCATGATCTCATCACCCAACAATAACATCAAGCCTCGAGGGGTTCTCTTCTAGCAGTTTGGCGCCGTCTTCGTCGTTGCGAGAGAGCCAGGCCTGGGGCTACGGCCAACAATTAGCTGGCTACCTAAGTAGGGAGTTATGCAGCTTTATCGTATCCATGATGGATAGGGGTCGGGGAAAGCCCTGAAAAGGATACAGCATTCTCAGGCTCCATGTGTATTCTTGCCCCTGTCAGGCGTATCGAGTGATATGGCCTGGGACTGGTGAGTCTGGTTGTGCTAAGGTAGTACTTGACCCGTTGACCGGAAGCCCGTAGGCCGGCTCGTCGGTCTTGATCGCGATAACATCCAATTGCCAGGCGAGGAGCTGAAGTCGGTGACTTCCATGCTAGCAGCCCAGACAGCGGTTCCCAGTTGTAAGTCAATATGGTCTGAAACTGACCTCGGAGCAATTTGACTCAATGGAGTCATGGCTGCCCTGTGCTTTACGGGTTGAGCCGCCAGCCACCGAATCGTATGGGCTCAAGGTTACCTCGGCTGCGTGCCGCTCCCGCTTTCTCCGCTTAATTATGTCAACAAAATAGTGTACGAGTTCACTTGGCCCGGAACCGATCAATCATCACGGTACCGGGCTGCCGGGGCGGCAAATACGAGAGGCAAAGTGGGCCCCTTTTCGGCATTTGCGCCAATCTCAGCTCAACATCGCAGTGCTGCGCTTAACGTGGCAGTGCTTCTCGTATCCCCTTCCAGGGCAGCACGCAGATCTTCGTGTAGTTACGACGTCGACCTGGTGACATGACAAGCGGGTGGAAACAATGCTTCATTGTTGTATAAAGGCAGAAATGCACGAAGACTTCCTGACTGGACTCTTCTGCCTTCACATCAGCATCCTCACAATCATCATCAGATAAAGCATCAAGCTCTCCCGCCAGCTCAAATCCGATCGCTTTCTCATAAATCAACGACTCCAACCACCGCAGTCAAACCACCATTTTCAGCACTCCTTAAACTTAATCACCAAAAATGCAGCTCACCACCGCCCTCCTCTCCCTCTTCGCCGCCTCGGCCCTGGCCGCGCCCACAAACGGCTCGTCTTGCACAGCTCCGACACGCAAGTTCACCATCATGTCCCTGCGCTCCGCCTCGCCGATCCACTTCGCCAAAGCCGGCGCCCACGAGAACAAGCTCGCCCTGAACCTCCCACAAGACAAGCTCGACGCGCAATGCGCCGACGGCAACTCCCGCGCCGACGCCACCTTCTACATCAAGGACAGCGAGCTGTACCTCTACGGGCCCAAGGACAAGGTGCAGCAGGTCTTTGTCGACCGTTCTGGCATGGGTACGTTCACCCACCAATCCCTATCTCACCAATATCAGGGCCATATACTAACCAGGAATGAATGTCAACAGGCCAGGGGGTACTGCAATACTTCAACAAGGGCGAGACGAACCCCCCCAGCAAGGCGGAGCTGAAGGGCTGGGCCGTGGACGCCAACGATAACCTGACCTTCAACGGCTCGGGCCTTCTCGCGTGCCCCAGCACGACCGACTCATCCTGGTACATCTGGGTCTCGGTCGGCGTCGACAAGCCCGCGGGTCAGGAGGGCTGCGTGGGTTTCTCGGCGCGCACCGTCACCAATGCCAACCCCGTCAAGTGCACTTACAGCACCCACGCTTGAGAGGTCCACGGGGAAGGTCTTTTCTCTCTCTTGACTGGACTGGCAATGATGGCATGGCCAACTGATTTCCAGTTGAGGGGCTGAATTGGGACATGGGCTCGCAGTCAATGATGCGGAATAGAAAGGATAAGGGAGGCTTCGTTTTCAACATGTCAATACTTCCCGTATATTTTCCCCTAATCTTTATGCATGGAGGAGTTTAGGAATGCTTTGAGTATGTAAATAGAGGCCACGATCACAAATAGAGCGACACCAGAGCATTGATAACATACGTTGTTAATAACTTGGATTTCTTCCAAGTCATTCATCCCATATCGTGAATTTCTTGACGTTCGTGACTCAACCATAAGTGCTTTCTGAAACGGAAGGCAATGATGATCCTGGCCACACGCCTTCTTTTTGAGGGAGACGACACTTTGCTGCTATATTGTTAAATAAAGAGAAGGGGATCATCGGGATCGTACCTGCGAGAAACAAGGGACCACAAGCATCCGCATGTCACTCAATCTCAACCGTCATCTGCCTCCTTCCCTTAACCCACTTCCTATCTGACGCCTCGACATCAAACATGCCCACACGCCTCTGCCTCTGCCCATCCTTCATCAACACCAGGCCAACATCCCCATACACTCGCCGCGGGCTCAAGCCGTTCCCCAGCATCAAACAAACAACGGCAATGCTAGGCAACTCCTCAGGGTCCGAATCAAAGTACAACCGTAGACTGTTCGGGTACCTAACCCCCCCCCCCCCCCGACATGCGATAACACTTTGCGAGGAAGTTATTTCCGTGATAGTCATTCACATACTGGGCCTCTGACACTTGGGCCTCAAATGTCCACCCCGTCAGGCGGATCCGGCCTCCCATGACCCTTCCGAACGGGTCAACTCCCACTGGCAAGGTCTCTACACTCAAGACTGTCGGGGCCTGCAGCTTCGACCAGCCCTGCCCATAGTGCATCACTGACCCATCAAATGCCGCCCAGGACCACGAGGGAATGCCCTCATCGGCCGGGCCTGGTGGCCAGGGGTGGTCCCCCTTGGCAACCCGCAAGCAAAACATCGGGTGAAAGAACCAGGCCAATCCGCGGAGGATATCCCCTTTCCACAACCCGGCAGCATATGCGCTGCCGTCGGCGCTGCCAAGCATGTGTGCTACCTCGGCGGCCACCCCACTCACGGCAGGGAGTTTGTCCGTTTTGACGGTGAGCTGCCTCCGCGAATACGCCTCTACGAGGGTATACCATTTCCTCATGACTCGCTGAGCGGCTGGCAGACCCACAGAACCCCCTGTGGCATCAAGCAGCCGCCAGGTCGGACGGTCCACCATCATCCTCTTTGAAAAGACGCCGGACGCACCAAGCCAAGTAATCCACCCCCTCCCAGGGCGTGACCCCGCCGCCCGCCTGGTCTTGATCAACACCATCGCCTTGCTTCGGTTCCATCTCCCGCCCAACCTCGCTGGCCACACAGACCCTGCACTCAAACCAAACCTGGTCGCGGGCAAAGTGGAGGATGCGCGGCGCGAGCTCGCGCTCCTGCAACGTCCAGCCGCGAGCCGTGAGCGGGCCGCGGATGGCGTCGAGAAACGGGCCGTATTTCTGATAGACATGCACGGCTGATGCCGCGGGCTCCGATTTGTATTGGCGGTCGAACTCAGGGGACATGATGTTGCGCTGCGCTGAGGAAACCAAATACCTCTTCTGGCTGAGCACCACGGAGCCGGAGAGGGTGCTTGCGTCGCGTGGCAGCAGGCAGCCTGTCGTACTGGTCGGGGAGTCGGTGGCCTGAGTACAGTCAACAGTGTATGTAAGTGGGCTAACAACCATGAGCAAGGGTGAGGTTTGGGGCGTTGACGGCTTACTGCGATGGTGCAGACGGCGTTGAGATAGACTTTGCCCATTTGAGCACATTCGACTTGGAAGTCCTCCGGGCTGTCTTGGATAATGCAGAGCGAGTCGATCCAGATGTAGCGCAAGCCGAGGCCCCGCGTAATCTCCAGCGCGTCCCTAAACGTCTTGGAGAGTTCGTCCGGGTGAATCTTCTCCAGCCTGCTTGCCAATGTGGCTTTTGTAGTCTTTGGGACTGTCGCACCGCTGGCCGTGTAACACTCTTCCTCTTGTTTTCTGCCCTACTAAGCCAGCATTCAACTTCAAGAGAAACCCCGCCACAACTGAAGTAAGTAGCAAACGCCAGGCTGAACCCAAACCAAAACCAAAACCCACAACCAAAAACTGAACAACCAAAAACCCAACAACCAGAACCCAACAACCAAAAACCCAACAACCAGAACCCAACAACCAAAAACCAAAAGCTCAATACGCTAACCGGTAGCCACGACCACAGAAAGCGACTCCCAGTATCAAGAAGCGCGTAAGCAGGAGTTCCGAAATCATGGCGGATACAGCCAATACAGCCATCACAGCTATCACGGCTATCACCGATCGCTGCTCGTGCGAAAAAAATGGCGGAAAGTGCAACTCGCAAGTATGTCGTCGCGGAGCACAACTACGACGAGAGTCTGCTCGAGAAACTAGAACGCTACAAGCCAGGCGGCTATCACCCCGTCGCCATCGGAGACTTGCTTGGAGAATCCGACCGGTACCGCGTGGTCCACAAACTCGGTCACGGCGGTTATGCAACGGTTTGGTTATGCCACGACAAGTTTTCCAACAAGTGGCGCGCCGTCAAGATCGTGATGGCAAACGCATCAAGGCTCGACTGTCCTGATTTGATGGCCATCGAACGATTCCGCGGTGTCGACCCAAAGGTTCTGGAGGCAAACCACATTCAGTTGCCCCTCGAGCACTTCTGGATGAACGGACCCAACGGGCGCCATCTCTGCCTTGTGCTTCCGTTTCTTGGCCCAAACCTGAACTATCTGTTCACGGCATACGGCCACTTGACCGAAATGCTGAAGGACATCTGCTTTCAAGCGGCACAGGCACTCAACTATGTGCACTCTCTGGAGCTTTGCCATGACGACTTCCGCCCCGAAAACATTCTCCTTCGGCTCGCTGACGGGGTTGACGAATGGAAAGAGGAGTAGTTGATGAAGGTCTTGGGCAAACCAGAGCTGCTCCCCGTCCTATTAGCGCCTGAGGCTGGGCCAGAGGTCGACTACCTTGGCTTTCATCCCACTGCCGGAAAGGGTTGGAAGGAGCGCTTGGCCGAAACCCCTCTGCTAGATCCTGAAGAGATCGAGCCAGGCGTTCCTCGCTATCTTGTCCTTCCCGCAGCCACGCACTATGGGGCTGGTATCTACTCCAACCAGATTGCCCTCATTGATTTTGGCGTCTCGTACCCCGTCAGAGAGCCACCAGTGGGTAAAGGCACGGGCATCCCATTGCCTTACGCACCACCGGAGGGACTATTTGCATTGGACCAATTACTCGGCTTCCACAGCGACATATGGTCTCTGGGCTGCACCATGCTCCAGGTGCGGCTCGGCTTTCTGCCATTTGGGACTTTCCTCGACTCATTTCTGGAGCAGATCGAAGGTCTTGAGTGGGTCTTGGGTCCGTTGCCGAATCCTTACAGGAAGGTCTGGAAAGAATGGGACGGCGTATTCGTCAATCATGACGAAGAGAGCGAAGACTGCGACTCGGATGACGACAGCTGGAAAGATGACGAGACTGTGCTAGCCACAGTCCCGACTTATCAGAAGCTTGAACTGGAGCAGGAAAGGGCCGAAAAATTGGAGAAGGAAAGAGGCGAAAAAGTGGGAGACGGAAACTGGCTGAAGTATTTGATGCTCAAAGGGCACGAGATGGCTGTCAACAAGAGTAAGGCGGCGGAAATTGCGGCTAAGGCGCAGGCAAGCCCACACCTGCTGCCGTCGTTCGAGCCCAAGAGCGAAAGAGAGCTGTACAGGGGCGATGGATACCGTTACACGATGACCAGGGATGAGTTCGAACAACTCCATGACCTCTGCCAAAAGATTTTCCAGTGGCAACCTGAGCAGCGGGCGACATTGGACACGATCCTCGCGCACGAGTGGTTTAAAGGGCGCGCCTTCCGCGCAGCCAGCAGCCGGCCCGGAAGTCCGTCCAACGATCTTCCTTTGGGCTCCGTCGAATGGCTTGAACGCCCCGAGGGCTCACACACATGCCATGCTCCGCGCGCCCCGACGCCCGTCGACAACATGGAAATTACCGGCACAGGTAGCGACTCCACGCGCGCCTCGACGCCCGACAGCATGGCAAGTACCAGTCCAAAGACCGATGCTCCGCGCCCCTCGACGCCCATCAGCAGCATGGAAATTACCGGCCCAACGCTCCCCTTGACGCCCCCCTTGACGCCCCCCTTGTCACCCGACAGCATGGAAAGTACCATCGAGGAGCAGCCCGCTGTCGAGGAGCAGCCTTCAGTCGAGGAGCAGCCTATCGAGGAGCAAGCCGCGGTTGAAGAGCAGCGCCCTGAGACCGATGCTCCACGCCCCTCGACACCCGACAGCATGGAAATTACCGGCCCAAGTACCGACTCTCCGTGCGACCAGAGTAACCAGACACCCAACAGCAGCATGGAGAGTACCGGCCCAAAGACCGACGCTCCGCGCTCCTCGGCTCCCACCTGCATGGAAAGTACCGGCCCAAGTACCGACTCAATGAACAAACGGAAGAGGCGCTCTTCAAGCACCCACTCACTGTCCTCGGTCAAACGGAAGCTGAGCCCTAGGAACATTGCTTCCAAGTTCCGGGCATGGAAGAACCGGAGCCAGGATGTGCCCAAAGAGAAGATGCATGCTCCGCGCGCCCCGACACCCACCAACGAAATGGCAAGTACCGAGGGGGTTGTAACAATCGTCGGCAAGGGCATTAAGCGGAGACTGGACATGATCAAAGAGAAGGCGGAAGCTCTGCACCCCGGAAAACGCACCAAGAGCATGGCAAATCCTGGCTCAAGTACGGTACCGACTCAGGCATCGGCTCAGCTACCGGCTCAGCTACCAGCTCAATTACCGGCTCCAGCGGCTCAGCTAGCGGCTCAGCTACTGGCTCAGCTACCAGCTCAGTTACGGGCTCATCTACCGGCTCAGCTACCGGCTCAAGTGTTGGCTCATTGGACCCTGAGAGGGAGCGCTCAGGAGGAATACTATTGGGAACTTGTAGGTTTTCAATCATTGGAGGGTGGCCAGTGGACGGATCACGGAGCAGCAAACGAGTCAGGTTCAGTTAGCGGACAGTCGGACACAGTCACACAGTGACACATCACACAAGTTACAACCGGAGCTTAGTACCTAGGACCAAGTATTCTTAGGAACGGGGGTAGGCTCTGAATAGAGCTATTATTGCTCACTCAAGAGTAGCGAGTATTGTAGCATTGAAGAGAAGCACTTTGGATTGTCAAATCATCAATGCAATGAGAGCGGTGGAGAGGCTTAGGGTTAATGGTAGTTAACTAGGAACTCAACTTCTAATGCTTCAACCCCGCCCTGCAGGCTGCAGGCTGCCGCCTCCGTTGGCTTGCTCGCAGTTGGTCCAATTCGTGCCCTCCTCTGTTTCTCCATCCCTTCCGTCCATTGTTGCCCGTCTTCTGACTGCGAGCTGCTGGCGGCCACATTGATACGACAACAGCCGAGTTCTCGCGAACCCAGTACACGATTTACATCAGAATAAGAAGCCAGCGAAGCAATGCGACTCATCAACACGCAGACGCTGAAACTCAAAGAGTTCTACGGCACCAATATTCCTCAGTACGCGATTCTATCTCATACGTGGGAAGAAGAAGAGGTCGACTTTGGGCAGTTCTCGCGGCTGCCACACGCTGAACTAGCCAGGAGAAAGGGCTTCGCCAAGATCAAACAAGTTTGTCGCCTCGCAAGAGGGGCTGGCATTGAGTGGGCGTGGTTGACACGTGTTGCATCGACAAGAGCAGCAGCGCCGAGCTGACCGAGTCCATCAACTCAATGTTCGCATGGTATTTGGGATCGAAGGTCTGCTACGCATACCTGTCAGATTTGAAACCTGATGCGCAGCGAAAGGAGGGGGAGGCACCGGACAATGACGCTGCCTCAGGGCCGACCGAAAAGGAGCACGACACCGAGTCTCATATTGAGCATGACTCGCTGGCCCAAAGAGTCGCCAAATACGCCCACTGTCGGTGGTTCACCCGCGGCTGGACGCTCCAGGAGTTAATTGCGCCGCGTCGGTTGGGGTTCTACAACCAGAACTGGGAGTTCCAGGGGGAAAAATCCGAGCTGAGTGCTGTGCTGACTGAGATAACGAGGATCAGCCCGGCCATCCTCGACGACGCGAGTTTGTTGCCCACCGTTCCAGTGGCGCAGCGCATGTCCTGGGTGTCTAGGAGGGAGACCACTCGCGAGGAGGATATAGCGTATTGTCTTCTTGGTATCTTTGACGTCCATATGCCCTTGCTGTACGGCGAAGGCAAAAGAGCGTTCATCCGTCTTCAAGAGGAGATTATCAAGGACACCAACGACCCCAGTCTCTTCGGATGGCTTTTGGACTCGGAACAGGCCAGCTCCCAAAAGCATTGGGGCATCCTGGCCCCCTCACCCGCGGCCTTTGCTGACTGCGCCGATATTGAGTTGCGGGTGGATCCGATGCACAACAACGAATGCGCCATCACGAGCAAAGGGCTTCGCTTCACGCCCGTCCCAGGAGGCGGGCTGCGGTTCGGGGAGAGGGGCATGTCAGCCACGTATGTTATGAATTTGCAATGCCGCCGACGCAACAGAGTCGAGAGTCTCGGCATATTTCTCGAGCAGCAAGGCTGCGACGTATACACCAGGGTGAAGCCGGACAAGCTGTCCAAGTCACGACGGTCCTCGGACGACAAGCATCGTACCTTTTACGTTACGAAGACCGTGCCACCCGCCATGGCCATCATGCTCCGGACTAGCCATCGGGACGCCGTCAACCTGTCGCGGGCGCTAGACACGCTGGGGGAGTTGAAAATTTGGCCGGCGGAAACAGAAGCCTTCGAACCGGCCGGTCACTGGGACCGTCAGCGCTGCATGTTTCTGACTCGCGGTACGAGGCATTTCAGAGGCATAGCTAGGTTCCTGCAGTTGGTGCCCGGTGGCACGTGGCGCAGTTTGACGATAACGCTTCTCCTGTATAACGAAAATCTTCGGGTTCTTCTAGAGTACGATGATGCCAGCAAGAATGCCAATGACCTAGGCCAGCTACCGACTGTGAACGTGCTCGTCATTGAACCACTCCCAGAAGGGACACAAAAGGTGCAGCTAACCGCAAGAGCGGTGCGGGAAGAGATGGATGGTCAGCCTGTCTATTTCGTGATGATTGACAAGCTCTATGTATATGATATGATCTCGAGTTCTTGACTCTGCGAGGTTCAAATGTCGAGATGTCATGGGTTTTCTGCCTGGTTTGTGTTGTTCGGACGGTTGTGCGGTTGCACCTTCCAATGTCAGCTCCTGCGAGTGACCAGGCCCTTATCAGGGTTAGGGTCATATGTCCTCGCTTTCGCGGTTGCCGAGCTGTTGATAATGCCCCACGGCCCCCACCTGACGACCAACACGCCGCCAGTCAAGTGTTAACGGCCGACGCGTCATGAGGAGCAAACCTTAAAACATGAACCTAAATTAAGGTACCTTTAGACTTTTCGAACAACGGGGTTGGCATCTAGACAAATCCCAACACACTGGCAACATGATGTCACCATGGCGAGACAAAATACCTTCACGCTCGTGCCCAACCCTCTGGGAATGCAGGGCCTCATGTCGCGACCGGCAAGCGGACCCGAGAGCAAGCCCCCGATGACATCGAAACAGGCCCAGAAACTCTACAGGCAGGCGAACCGGCAGCCCCGGATGTCAAAGGCTGAACAGCGTCGACTCGAGCGCGAGGAGCAGGAGCGTATTCGAAAGGAGCTGGAAAAAGAAAAGCAGGCTGCCAAGGCACGCGCCTTGCGCGAAAGAAAGAAGGCCAAGGAACAGCAGGCGCTCGAAGACAAGAAGCGCAAGGGCCTGCCGCTTGTCGACGTACGACCGAGCCAGGATACAATTTCGAGATTTGTCAGAGGCAATGGCCTTGGAAAGAAGCGAGACTCGACCGGCGCCAGCCTTTCACCTGTTGTTGAGGACCCGGGGTCGGATAAGGAGAACAAGAGCTCCCCCGCCGAACAAGAAGTGCGCGAGGGTCACCACAAGAGAAGGCGCTCTAGTCTGCCCGACTCGCCATCGAGTGCAAATACTGACCAGTTAGACGTTGGGACAAGTCGGAAAGTCCTTCAGGAGACAACCAATATGCTGAATACTGGGCCAAAAGTTGCAAATCATGCCTCAAGAATCTCACCACCCAGCAAAGCTCCGTCCGTAAGGACGCCTGCTCGTGGATCCTATACCTCATCCAATGTTCCCGCGTTCAAGCAGCCTATACCAAGTTTGAAGTCCGGAGGAGTGCAACGACCAAAGTTCCTTTCACCTAGTTTGCGCTCATCAAATGCACGTACTTTACCACCACCGCCTCCTCCTCCTCCTCGCTCGACAATCACCGACAGGACAAACCCTCCGCAAGATAACTTGATCTCAACTCCGCCGACGAGCACCCAGCTCTTCCTCATGTCTCACATAGACGACCTATTTCCCTCCCCTTCCCAACAAGCACTCGAGTTGCAAGCTGAGCAGCCTGTGCCCAAACCAGACGTCTGGCCAGACTCCCGACCAGCGCAGACCGCTCAGCAGGTTGCTCAGATAAACGCAATGCCGCCACCTCCTCGTCCGGTCAAGAAAATCACTGAACCCCCTAGCATGCCGTTCATCTCTACCCAAGATTTAGTGCTCTCCTCGCAGGACATCCAAGATCTGGAGGCGCCGACGAACCCCCAGCCCACAATTCGGCCGAGGGCGTCATTGCAGACAATCCGTTCACTACAGGAACACAACCTTGTCAATAACCATACTACTGCGCTGGAACAAGGAAGCCCAAGGGCTGGGATCTCAACGGCAAAGCCTAGCTCTAAACCTCAATCTCCGCCTGCACCACCACGAGACAGCACTGCTTTCCGCCCAGCATCGGGCGTGGCATCCAAGGAGGAGAAGATTCAACCTCCTCCCGCCTCCCGTGAGAAGCCACGCTTCTTCGGTTCCAGTGGTTGCGGATTAGACATCTTGTTTGCCATCGATGAGAGTCGCAAGTCGCACGCAGAAGAGGAACGGAGGCGACAGAGTGAACGGCAGGGGCAAAACAGCGCGGGCAGAAACACGAGCCCGGAGCTTACCCAAGGTCAGCACCAAGACCAGCATGGAGATCACCCGAGTCAGAGGGTATCCCAGCGCGATCCGGCAGTTGGCAGCCTGCCAAAAGTGACAGCGGTCACAATGTCTCAAGAGACAGATTACGGCGACCTTGAGCTCGATGCAGTGGACTTTGTGGATCTCGGCTTGGAGATATGATTGATGAAAACATGATTACGACGTGAGGAGAATACTTGAATGGCAGCGAAGACATTGGATACGCACACACCAGAATCTTGGTCGGCCGAAACAACATCAGAGCTTATGTCATGGCCAGGTTGCAGAGCAGAGTTAATGTACGAAATGCATGAATGCACGTATATTGAATGCATCGCAGGGCAACCAATCTAGACCATACAATGGGTAAGTGCGGCACTCGACTTCCCCAGGTCTCGTGGTTTTCTGTGTTACTTTGTGCGTCAGGGCTGCCAGGTCATCGAAATCCTTCCCGAGTTCATGCCTGGCGCATCCCTTTGGGTGCCAAGGTCGGAGCGATTGGGCAGTAACCAAGCGGCCGTATGTTGTCCTGCTGCATCGCATTGGACGGCACATGCAGTGCCATGGGGTGAGGGTGGGTGGGACTCTGTAGCTGGCTGCCCAAAAGCATCCCCCTATTCTTACCAGCTTCAACTCCCACGTCAATCCAGCCCTCCGAGTGGTTGAAGTTCAGTGCAGCTCTGTAATAAACCGGCCCGTCGGGTGCAGTCATCAGCTTCATCAGTCCCAATACTGAAAGCCTGGAAGCCAACAGCAAGGAATGCAATAACCACACCCTTCGATCGCGCACACCATCTTGCTTCTTTGCCCTGGTTCCCCACATTTTAACCCCTGTCGTCAACCCTCCCGCCCTGCATTTTTCACCTCAGCCCCAGAGGCCTCACTCAAACAGACAGAGCCATCTCCAAACCCTGCGTTTCTGGAACCGCACCAGCAACGGAAGAGTGAGATACTAGCTAGACTAGGAATGAGCCGCCGCGCCGATCGCCGCTATTCAGCGGGCTTCAACCCTGGCTACGATTACGGCTCCATCCCGTGGGACGTCAGGACAGTACACGGCGGCGATGATGATGATGTCAGGAACCCGGGCCTTAGCGGATGCATTTCGGCCAGCGTGATCGGCTATGGAGACAGCGTGGAACTTACTCACCGGCCACGGATTCGGCGTCGGGACAGAGACTGGAACAGGGACCGGGACAGAGATGGCAGCAGCGGCATCAGGTCCCGAGCAAGCGGAGACCGATCGTCATTTTCAGACCGCGAGCGTGAGAGGCTCAAGCAGCGCATGTGTCTGGAGCGAAATCAATCAAACACCTCGTCGACGACGTCGTCGTCGTACTATCATCCACGGCAGCAGCATCATCAAGCCCGCACCAGGTCACTCTCGCTCGGCCGCGGGTATTCGTACTCGTCTTACTCGTCTGCTGACTCGGAAGACGGGGCGCTTGAGCGTGACGATGCATGGGGAAGCGCCACGGTGATCTCCCCCGGGCGCGGGTATTACCACCACGAGCGTCTGAGCCTGTCCAGCCCGAGGGTTGAGCTTGCCGACGCGGGCTGGCCGCTGGCTAGTTCGAGGCCTGCGTCGCCGCCGCCCAGTTGGCATCGACCAGGGCGCAGGGATCGGTATGAGAGGGGGTATGTCATTGATTCCCGGCATGGGCATGATGGGTTGAGGTTTGGAATGGGGCCGCTGGGAATCGACATCACTGAGGAACCGCTGCCGAATCCGAGAGTCCCGTCGACTAGAAGTACGAGTTATGATAGACCTAGGGATGGCGCCGCCCGGTCAAGGAAAGCCGCTGCAAGTCCCGCGCAGAGTGTGAGGGCTGCTTCGTGAGTCGACTTTCATACACCGGCTGGCTCTTGGTTTGATTAGCACGCACACAAAACGGATTTTCTGACAAGGCGCAGCAAATTCCGGCCTCCCAAGGTGCAATACAACCAGGTTCACGCCTTGATCCTGACCTGGTCATTTCATGATCTCAGGACGGAGGATTACACGGCTCCGCCGACGTCTGATTATGTTTCTCTCGAAGAGGAGACGGCGCGCTTGCGCGACACGTTGGAGGGTTACGGCTACACGGTGCACGAGTTTTTGATTCCGATGCATCGGTCCGTCGAGAGTCTCAAGAGCCAGCTGAAGCAGTTTTGCCGCCTAGCGGCCGACGACACGTTGCTGATTATCTACTACCATGGACACGGAGCGTTGGATGACGAGAATGAGCTCGTCTTTAGCAGGTGGGCATTATTGATTTCTCGCAAAGATGGTTGCAGTGGGGACGTGAAATGGGGGAGATGGAACTGAACTGACAGCACGGCCTACTCCTTTAGCCATGACCACCCAAACAACGCGGAATGGTCTCAAGCCGCCGCCGCAGAGCTCTACGCCGCGCTCCTCAGCGGTGACGCTTGTGCCACGCACGGCCGCCGCGACAGGTATCAGGAGCTGTTGAAGAAATAGTTTGTTTTCCCCCCGCCCGTCCGCAACCACCAACCCCCAGATTTTTCCTCCGCTGACGCTAACACCCCCCTTTCCACCCGCACCAGCGAACGCTACCGGCCCGTGGCAACCGTGAAATGGGATTCCATCCGGGGCACCGTCCTCTCCGCGCCCTGCGACGTGCTGCTCGTCCTCGACTGCTGCGCCGCGGGCGGGGCCAACCTCCGGCACATCAACTGGCAGCCTCCCCCCGGCACCGAGTGTTACACCAAGCACCTGTTTGCCGCGTGCGGGTTTGAGTCGAGCACGAGCGACGACATGACGGCCGCCATGTGCGAGGTGCTCGTGGAGTGGGTGCCCCCGCCGTCGGCAGATGCCACGGCGTCGCCTGCTCGGCCGGCGGGCGAGACAACAACAGTCACTCCTGGGAGTGGGAGTGGTGTGTTGACTACGAAGCGGCTGCACCAGCTCATGGAGGATAAGCTGCAGAAGCGCTCGGTCGGGTCGCAGCCTATTTTTAAGCAGCTGCTGCCGCATGATCCGGAGCAGTATATTACCCTGCCGAATCTGAGGGAGGTGGATTTGAAGATGGGGGAGAGGCGCGGTAGGAGGGGGTATGTGTTGGCGTAAGGGTTTCATGGGTAATGGAGGTGTGTTTCTGAGAATTTTCTGTCGAGGTTTGTCTGTACTGAAGCGATGGCGTAACGGGTGGGGGATTGCTTTAGTTGCTGTGCAACGAACGAGACAAGTTAGGTGTTATGCATTCATGATGTTATCATCAACATTGCCCTCGATCACAACACGGTGGCTCTGCAGACCTTACCAGCCACCGAGAGCGAGCTCGGATTCCGCACGATACGCTTGGGCGTAGTTGAGACGACGCAGAAACACTAGCCACAGGTCACAATAAACACGCCTTGACCCCGGATTGTAGAGATCACAAAGTCTGACTATTAATAACCGGCCAACCTGTCTTTGCCCGCCCAAATCAACAAACCCCATACAGACTGGAACTGCCATGTGAAGGCCCAGCATCAAATTCTCAGCAATGTACCAAAGACCCTACTTCGCGTCGGACGGGGACCCTGACTTCACGTTCGGGTGGGGTTACTCGTTCGTAACCATTCAAATCAGCGAAGAATACGTGGACACAGGCGATGGCGGAAAACCAGAGAGACGGATAAAGGTTGAAACTGACGACCTGGGCTCGATGATATGCCGGTCCTTGGTCAGGGGCGGCAAGGCTCTCGCAGCCAAGCTCAACTCTTGCAACTTGAAAAGATCGAAAACAGGGGAGCATCACAAGGGATGGAGGGCGCGACTCATGCCATGGAGAAGATCCAAAACGGCCGGAAACTCCAGGGAGAAGGACATGAGCAAGACCACCTCGACCAGCCCAGACCAGAGCAACACCACCACAAACATAATCGATCATGTCTACCCCCCCTGGGCGCCTCAGAACTTAGCTGCTGATACCCGCACGATAGACGTCAGGCAGCGGCGAAGATTGTCAGAAATACAACAACAAGCAGAGGAGGTGGAGGAGGATATGGAGCCTCTCCTCGGCCACCGACACCAACACCACCGCACAACCGACACCATCAGCACCACCGTTAACAGCAACAGCAATGATACCACCAAAACCACCCGTGCTCAGAAGTACAGCTCCAACAACAGCCACAAGAAGCGCCATCAACCTCGCGAGGCCTGGTGGCTGGATTACCAGAACCATGACCAGGACCAGGACAAGGACAAGGCCGAAAACGAAGACAACAATATCGATGACGACGGGGACGAGGCAACAATGCTGCACGATGGTGCAGGCGCGGGGTCGTCATCAGGCCCAGGGCGAAGGCGTAGGTGGTCTTGTCCTCTTGGACCGGAGTATTTTCAGGTCATTTGCTGAACTACAGCAACGGTCCGCGGGTCCGGGCTACCATCTCTGCTCCTATTGTTGACTTGGGAAGTTTCTCTTATGACTTATGGGGCAGGGCATATCGTGATGCAGATGGGTAGCAGATCTCCCTTGATAATATGACTTGGGGGTTGGGAAGGGAGGGACAGTTACTTATCCGTGGTAGGTAACCGGAACCTAGCGTTGCAGGGAGCGAGCGTTGATGGTTGGCTTGATGATCTGCAAGTTTAGCGGCGAGGCTGGCGAGGGATGTGGTTTGGATGATGGGGGGTTGGTTCTATGTGTGGTCCTGTACCCAAGTTTTGAAGTGATGGGACATGCTAAGTTGAAAGGCGAAAGACGGGTGAGCCACAGATTGGATAGACACCCGGGCATGGAAGGACACCAGCCAGGGCGAGAGAGATAATTTCAGCACCCCTCCCTGAGCATTTTGTCGTGATGGCCTTGCCGTGACTTGCCTTGAGCAAATGCCCTCATTTAGTACTTACTAGCGGCCGACACAGTCGTGAACCCCAACTTGCAGGTAATGAACTTACACACCAAGCAAGATGACGGAATGAGAACGAACAACACCGAAGCACACTCAAGAGAACAACGAGTCAGGTTTCTTCTGCCTTGATTAAGACCACTAGAAGTCTGCCATCAGCAGGCGCTGCTCCCCGATCCCAGACCCCTTGTCCTAGAAGGGCCAGGGTGGCCGTAAAACCCATGGGTGAATGCAGGTTGCTCCCATAAGAGCAAGAACAGAAGAAGGAAGGGGCCAGCTCAAAGCCCAAAAATATAAACAACATACAAAGGTACACAAGAGGGTAATGGAAGAACCGCCTCTATCCGCATGGCGGCAGCATCCTTCATCTCTTGCAGTCCAGTTCTCTCCCCCCCAACCCCCGAAATCAACCAACCAAACGCCTAGCTATGCCGCCCCTTGACACGCTGAAGCTGCGTGGCGCAACACAGATAAATGAGAAGGAAAGAGAGTCTGCTCCTGCCTTGCCTTGGCCTCCACCGCTCCGAACGTGACAGATCCCCCAGAGAGTCGCATGCATGAAAGCCAAGGGGTCGAAGCAACCTTGGCCCAGACCGACCGACGGGTATCATCAGCCCGGAATCGCCATCGCCACGTCTGCGTATTAATCAGCACGTTCTCGTCGCCATGCAGCAAGAATCCAGACGACGATATTTCCGTCTTGGGCTATCGAAGAGGTGACAAATCCGATATACGCCATTCCGAGAGCCAGAGCCAACCCCTCAGGAGGAAAAAAATCAGAGGAACAGCCCGACCCACGCCGGTTTATTGCTGACGTCTGACCTGCAGCCCTCGACGGCGCACAGGATCTGGCCTCGACGGACACTATCCAAGCCCTTGCGGAAGTTCGCCGATGAGTTCTTGCCGCCTTTGCGGCCTTCGTAGCAGTCCTTGCAGTAGACCTAACCAAACAACAACACAAGAATATTAGTTAAGAGCTCATGTCACTTCTGATAGGAATCAAAACTCACGTGTCCACACTCCTTGACCGCCCAAAAATGATGCTCCTCGCGATCCTTGCGCGTCCTGGCCTTCTTCGCGGGCGGGCCATTCACCGAGTCCTCCTCTTCAGGATCATACTGCAACTCCTGCTCACAGCTCGGACACACAGCTACCTCGTCCTCGCTGCCAGCGCCGGTACCAGTGTTGCGGGTAAACCCGGGACGCGCGGGCGGAGGCGGGACGTGCGCCGGCTTACGAGACCCGCCGCCGCCTCCTCCTGCTCCTCCTCCTCCGTGTCCGTGGTGGTGGTGGCCGCCAACGTGGTAATTCAGGTTTGGCACGTTCTCGGCCAGCGGGTTGTTCAGGTTATTATTGTTGTTGTTGTTGTTGGCTTGTTGTGCGCGGCCGCCACCAATGATCTGCACGTCGACATCGATGGGCTGGTGGTTGCCAAACACCCCGCCTAGACGGTGCACGAAGTCGAGGGGACGAGAGGCCATGTGCGTCACGAAACGGTAGACGGTGCTGAAGTCGGCTTCGGAAAGGTCGACGCGCTGCCGTCGGGGGGGAGGCGGCGGTGGATTGTGCGGTCGGTGGTGATGGCGGCGAGGGGGTGCTTCGGGCATTCGGGGCGGCGGAGGGGCGTCGTCCAGGGTCAGGTCAATGACGATTTCGTGGTGGTTGCCGCCGAGAAGGCTGCCATCGCTGCGTGGAAGGGAAGGTGTGCGCTGGTTCAGTGACGCTTGCCTCCGTGAATTTCGGTTGGAGTTATGGTCTGCATTTGAGTTGCGAGACCGCGCTGGAGCCGCGGCTCGAGGTTGCTCGGGTGAATCAGGCTCGCCTGTCAAGTCGATAACTTCTGCCTGGGCAGATGCTCGAGCTGGTGTCCGAGACCTGCGCCGCGCTGCACGAGCCGGGCGTACCTCCATCTCAACCAGCTCATCCATGTCGGCCGCTGAAGCACGCTCCCGAGCCGACCGATGACGAGAATGTTGACGATGGTTATCCCAGGCCTGCTGTAAGGGCGTGGGACGACGTAATTGCTCTTGAATCCGATTTTGAATCCGATTTCCCAACTCTTGTTCCCAGTTGTTGTAATCCAGAGCGAACAACGACCCAAGCGGCGGGAGAGCTTCTACACCTTGGTTAACGAATAGTGAATCCGCTGGCGAGTCTCTTAATCCCTCAGAGCGTCGGCCTAGACCAACAGAAAATCACGTCAACCTCGTGATTTCCTTCGCATCAGATGAGTTCTTACCGTCGGAATGACCATCTCCCGCGTGGCTCTCACCCTCAAACACGTACTCAAACTCGTGCTCGTCTTCGTCGTCGATTATTTCCTCGTCCTCATGGTCGTATATCCCGTAGGCCACATCAACGTCGTCACCGTAGTCCGACGCGAGCGCACCCCCCTCCAACTCAAAATCGTCCTCAAGGGCGGAGTCAGCGTCGGATACACTGGGGGAATGTGAAACGCGGGAACTCGAGTACGGGGCCGGCGATGAGTATAGTTCGGATTCGGGATCAACGTCGATGCTGTCTGCGCCGTCGTCAAACTCTGAAGCCTGGGATTCGTCCAGGTAATCATCCCAGTCCATATTTTCCGCTCTCCCCTTCAGCCTCGCCTTAGCGCTGCATTCCACGGGCCGCGGTAGGGTAGCTATCGGGCGTAGCTAGATTCGTAGTCGATTTCGCTCCGGGTAGAAAGAAAGTCGAACACAGTGATGAGTCGAGCGAAGCGTGGGCAATTATGCCGTGGCACTTGGGAAGCTGAAGGTAAGGCGGCCCGGACTTGGCGGGGTGGTTTGTTTTGGCACGTCGGTGGTTCACAAATGGTCGAAAAGAAGAGGGGCGGTAGTGAGGAGCCGAGGAGCAGCGACGGATTACTGCTGCGAAACTCGACGCGCTTCTCGGTGCTTCAAGGGCAACAAGGAAAATCGTGCCGCGAGTCCGAGTTGAGCGAAGATCACCTATTGAGACGAGATTGTTGTTGAGTTAACAAAAGCACGGAATAAACCGCGAGGGCGGTCGATTTTGCCGCTTTGACCCCTGTCAAACAAGCGCGGGTAATCATTCGTTTGAGCCACAAAATAGGAACACTTCGGACCAAATTTGCCACATTATTAATGCTTGAAAACTGCATTATTTGGTACCCGAATGATTCGGATCAGATAACTCGGTGCAGTGACAGCTGGTGAGGACTGTCAACCACCCCGGCTCGTGTTTTGGAGCAAAGCAGCAATTTAGCTCCCTCCCTCTTGCCGCTTGCCATCTCGCGACTTCACAGAGAACTTTAGCTTTCACATTGTTCCGCTGTCAGGTATCACCGGGTCTCCCATTTTGCGGCGCCATTCACCAAAGTCAACTTCCTATCATACAAGTGAAGGATCCCACTTTCCCAGTTACCTTATTCCTTGGCTCCAAGCACCGACACAACCCCTTCCTTGCTCACCGTGACCAATGACTTGGCCTCAGCACCCCACCGGATGGCAGCTGAGGGCAAAGCAGTTCTCAGCGGTTCAGACCAGGACTTGGAGCTCTTCAGGTACAACTGCACCGTGACGCCCGTCGCTCCAGCAGTGGCCAGGTACTGGCCCGTGTAGTCCCACGCCAGAGACTGGGCATCGCCCGTCTGCAGCTCCTTGACCTGGGCGGCCGCGCCAGACTTCCGCAGATCGAATATCGTGACCGTCGACTGGCCCTTGCCGGCTGCGGCGAACCAGAAGCCGTTCTCGGAGAAGACAAGCGCCTGAACGGGAGCGCCGAGGGGGAAGCTCTCGGCCTGCTCGCCGGTGTCGGTTTTGAAGATCTTGATGTCGCCTCCTTGTGTGCCGGCACCAAAAAGGTTGCCGTCGGGGTGGAATGCGCAGGTCGTCAGTGCTGGAGAGAGTTAGGACAACGATAAACAGTCTGCGCTGAAGCGAAACACATACCGGCATCCGTGTAGGTCCGTGAGACCCGCTCCATAGTCTCAAGGTCGTAAAATGCAATGCTTTTATCCACGCCAACTGAAGCGAGAATCCGCCCACCAGGGTGTATCGAGAGCCCTGTAACAGCCCCAGCATGTGCTTGGAATGATGCAGTCTCGTTGCCGCTGTCGAATACCTTGACATTGCCCTTGGACGTTGCAAAAATGACCTTGGAGCCTGTCCAAACCGTAGCTGTCACTGGCTCGCCGATGTTGAGAGACCTCTCCACCTTGCTTGCTTCAATGGAATAGATATCGGCGTTCCCGTCCAAGCCACCAATCGCCGCATAGCCGGATTCGACATCGAGGGATGACGCTTGCGAGACCGTCAGGTCGGTATAGGCTATTTGCTGCAGCGCAGCAACCTCGTCTGTGCTGGCCCAGCCTTGGGGAATAGGCCGTTTCTTGCGGCCTTTCATTAACCTGTGAGGATTGTCAGCATGCGTTATTCGAACAGCGAGCACATAACAGCGTACTGTTGTTGTAACTCATGCACGTGACCCACCAAAGCCTCGGGAAGGCTCTCATTGTCAACTGCCATCGCATCGCCATTCGTCGGGACGCCCGCTGAGGGCGCAACCGTGACTTTGGAAAGCGCCTCGCGCGCCTCGTCGCGCTCCTTGGTCAACCGCGCAATCACACGCACAGCAGCGTCGTGCTGATACAGGGCAGTCGCAAGCTCCTCACGCGTCCGGGCCAGCTGTTCCCTCGTATTGTACGCCTCTAACACCAGCGCGTCCCATTCATCTTGGAAGGCCTTGAGAAGCGAGGGCAGGGAGGTGAAATTGGGCGGCCGCGGGCGGACGACGCGACTGGTCTTGAGGGGTAGTAAGTCGTCGGCGTCGAGCTCTTCGTCGGTTCCAGGTTCTTTCCCGTTCTCTTCGATGTATTTGAGAATCAGGCGTTTTTCGAAAACGGTCCCTAGAGCAGAACTGGTCAGATGCGCTCGCAGCCCAGGTTGCGACTAATCGTTGGCGACTGACCTGTTTTCCTCGACACCACAGGTTCCTCGGGAACCTCGCCCGAAACTGCATGAATTGTCAGTATATTGCGGCAATGATATGGACAGCGTAAGCATACGTGCACAAAGCATTTCGGATGTCTTGTCGAGGCTTTTCTCGAGGGTTGTTTGTTGTGTTGGGTTATGCGATCTCCAAGCTTTCAATTTCCGGCTTTTTGGATGCCATTGACAGTAAAGTTCGCGGCAGCAGGCTGCTGCTAATTGTGCACGAGCCACTGCAGCCTCGTTATTCGGCACCACCACGCTGCCCATCCAATCAGCGCGCCCTGCCTTTAGCTCCACGAAGGAGCTAACCTACACTGTGCTGCTCAAACTCCACCGTTTCTGTTTCGCCGCTTGAAGTACTGGCAGCGCTCCAATCAAGCCCCGTTTTCAGCCTGAATTACACTGTGTGAGCTAGCGTTTCATACTTTGCACACAATTCCGAAAGTTGCAGTGCCGCCGATGCAGTGTCGTCAGTTCGAAGTTCGACTTCTAACAAATTCACCACAGAAAGAGAAGAACACAAAGGCCAAAAAAGAAAGATGGAAAAGCACATATAAAATTTGTTGCCTCATTACCGCCACACCCTCCCTTCTTACTACAAACCACAGGGATGCAATCAAGCATCGCTGATGTCCTGTTCAACGAGAATCATTCATAATTCCATATCCATATCCTCACGTCGCAACTCGCATGGCAATGGCCTCATTTCTCTTTGACTACCATCGTCTCTCCAGTCACGAAGCAGACAGTGGAATGGCTCGAGAATCAGCGAACAAGTTTCGATAACGGGTCGGGTTCCAGAATGGCCCAAGCCCTCCTCCCAGCCAAAGGATTAGACTGCACCAATTCTCACACCTCAACTGAAGACGAATGTAAACAGCAGACGATGCATGGGAGATACAGAACGGAGTTCGTCCCATTCACAGAGATATACTTCCGTTCATAACCACCACCGCCGTCCCACCAAGATACAGCTCCTTGATCTTGACCTCTCCCGACTCTGCCGACTCCGCAACCGTGTCAAGCACAATATCGCTCTTGCGCCCCATCTCAACACCCTGCGTAATCTCAAAATGCGCCCCACCATCTGCCTTGGTGCTGATGGTCAGATAGCTGGCCAGCGTGCAGGCCGCGGCGCCCGTGGCAGGATCCTCGAAACCCAGCTCCAGCATGCGCGTCCGAATCTCAAAGCTACGACTGCCATTGGCTGCGACCGAGTCGGCCGTGGGCACGTAGTAATATCGAGCTACAAATCCCTCGCCCAAGCCCAGTGAGCTTGAAAAGTGGGAAAAGTCGATGCGCTTCACAGACGACGTCTTGGCTAGGTGCTCCAGACTGGGCAGCTGAACGAGGATGAAGGTCATTCCCTTGACGAGCCTCACCACCGGTGCGGCCAGCTCGGCGGCACGGATCTCGGGGTCGGTTGAGAGGCCATTGTTCAGGGAAACCGAGATAGGGTCAGCAGCAGATGCCCCTTCAAGAACGCTACCTAGCGTTTGCGGGTAGACATGGACCGATTGGGGGATCGCAGCCCTGACGCCTCGGCCTCCTGGAAGACTCTCAAGATGAATTGGCCCCGCCTGGGTCAGGAGGGTGTCGACGTGGCTCCAGCCGAGGTGGTGCCGAACCAGACACGCTGTCCCGATGGTTGGGTGGCCGGCGAAGGGCAGCTCCTCCTCGATGGTGAAGATGTTGATCTCACGAGTGGTGACGGACGAGTTGGGCTCGTCGTCGAGCGTGTGCAGGAAAACCGTCTCCGAGAGGTTGAACTCGCGCGCGATGCGTTGTTTGGTTTCTTGATTGACGCGCTGCCGGAGCGCGGCAGGAACGAACACCACGGCCAGCTGGTTTCCCAGGAAGCGCGTGGCGGAGAAGACATCGAGCGTCGTGAAGTCAAGCTTGAGCGAGTCGGAGCCGGCCATGATTATGATATTATGATGCGCCTCTTGGTTGTCTGGAAGGGTTCAGGGGAAGTGAGAGCCCGATCGCACGTTCGATCTTATATAAGCCAGGTACAGTGCAAGCCCGTGTTGCATCCACGATTGATGCCATTGAGGATGTCTCTTATACCTAGGGGTTTTACTAATCACTGGGTTCCATATCAGCGTGACTCACTACAAACAGGCGGGGACCATCGCAGTCTAGCCCAAGTCGGGTCTGCACTAGAGATGATAAGGTAGGTGATGACGAAAATAGAAAATAGGTTGGGTGCAGTTATGTAGTTCCACATGTATTGCTACATATACGAGTCGATACGAAGGAATCCCTCATGCCCGTTTCTCCCATTCCCCCTTTCCCACCTCACCGCACTCCTCTCACCCAACCCACTCGACCCCATCTACCTTAGGTACATACATACACCACAGTCACCACGCGCAACTCACAGTCCACAGTCCCACGCCCGACACCTCTTCTCAACCAACCTCTGCTTGACCATCACCGGCGCGAGCCCTTCCTTCAAGCCCCAACTACATATCCCACTCCCGCCACAAACCCCGTCCATATTCCCCCCCTCCTCCCCCCTCCCAACCTTGAAAGCCGCCTCGCCCTCAAACCTAAGCTCCATAATCCCCCCATTCTCCAGCACCACCGCCTCGGAAAGGCCAAACCGGAGGACAAAATCCATCGTCACCCGACTACTCCCGCTACCACTGCTACTGTTACCAGCAGGAGGAGGAGGGTGTAGCATCTGCACAGTCCACTTGTTTGTCAGCAGCCCGCCGGCGCTGTTGCTGCACGTGTTGACTCCCCAGGCCGCGTCGCGCGGGTCCTCGACGTTGTCGAGCCACCAGACGAGGCAGGTCGTGTTTGTCGGGGGGAGGATTGCGTCGCCGAAGATGGTTGGGCCGAGGTTGATGGTGTTTGGGTTTGAGATGGCCAGGGAGAGGTATGAATAGGGATAGCTGCCGGGGCGCAGGGACGGGGAGAAGGTTGAGAGGCGGGTGATTTGCCAGGGTTCAAGTTGGAGGGTTTGGTTGAGGTTGAGGTTGACGGTGTTGGTGCTGGCGATGCCATTGACCGGGGATGCGGAGGAGAGGTGAGGGAATAAGGTCGTTATGAGGAGGGAGGTGAGTATGAGGAGGGCCGCCATGATGGATTGAGTTGGGCCCGATACCGGGCAGCGAGCGGACTTGGAATGATTGGAGATCTGGTGAAGAACAGAACAGGTAAGGTTTCACATCATGTCTTCTCTTGATCAGGGACTGAGTTGCAAGCTAGGAATTAAATAAGAATTTTGTTGCGGTATCGGTATGCCCCTGATGATTAGCCAGATGAAGTCGAAGTCAGCTTGAGCAATGAACCCCCGACGGCTAAAGACATGAACAGGAGCATGATGCTACCTTAATAATCGGATTGCTACGCCAAATGACTACGAGGTCTAGTTCCTCGAGAGGTAGGAGACATGCCTACGTCCGCACGATTTGCGACATGGAGGAGCCATTGCCCCTTCTCGTGAGGAGGTTTCGGGGTGTCGAAAATGAAGAACGAGGCTTGGGCACTCATGTGGCTTGCATGAGAGATGCCTTGCCAAGCGCGGCAGTGCTAGTACTGTGTAAGGCTGCTCACTTCCAGCGTTGAGCTGAGGAACTTCCTACTCAACTCTCCTCTTCTCAATTTGGCTCTAACTATCGATCATCCCGTCAACAATCCAAAGAAGACGGAGTATGAGAGCGAGCAAAGTGTGAGAGAGCAGACTATCCATGAGAGAGCGCCATGGCCGAGATTGTTGGGCTCATCACTGCCATCGGAACCATTGTCGCGTCAGGTTTCAAGATAACCCGGGCCATCGGCGCAATCCATGATGACCTTGGAGCCGCGACAGCTAGTATCAAGGCCATTGCCGCCGATACCAGTTTTGTGACTATGGTTTTGGGCCAGATTAGGGACACGATCAGCGCGAACCGGGTGACAGACAGCGACACGCTCAAGATCCTGGGGGAGATTGTATCGCGATGCAGGACCGATATCGAGGAAATCGAGAGCTTGGTTCTTCCGCTTCTTACCAATGTTAAATCCGGGGGATCTCTGAGCAAGAGGCGGCGAATTCGCTGGCTTTTCGCCAAGTCCAAAATATGCAGCCAGCTGGCCGCCTTGGGGTCGTTGAAATTGACGCTGTCTCTTTTCATCCACACCATGCAGCTCTCAGATGGGTATAATACCGAGTAAGTAATTCTAGCAGGACGTTGTCATCGTTGATTTCCGGTTCAGAGTTCGTACGGAATCATTCCATAGTTCATACCAGGAGAGTATGCCCGGGCTGATAACAGACACTTGCAGAGAATTCAAGCAGGAAATCCTGAACGCCATACACGAGTCTAAACATACCAAGACGACTTTTCTTGATGCTGAGCGAGTGGATCAGGCGGCCACGAGGGCATGCGAAGAGGAGGCAAGCGACGAACTCGGCTTGGCGGAACAAAACAGCACAAGCGCCCATGGTGTATCAATTCTGGCTGTAGAGCACCATCATGATGACAGTGAGACAGCCATGGGCCCCTTGCTCTCCCTTTCGAAGCCTGATAATGCTGCTGCCGACTGCGAACCCGAAGTAGCGGACGGCGACACTCACAGCTCAACAGATTTGCAGCTCCAGCGACTGAATATGTCCGACTTTGAAGTGATACAAGCGATTTCTGACGACTCGCTCATGAAAATTGCAGCCCACATGCAACTCCAAAAGTCCGTGGCAGCTTTTGCTCTCAACACCATGAATCGACGTCCAATAGAGCATTCGCTTTCTCCCGAGCCAACATCGAGTCAGGCGGATCCAGCCGAGGATTCTGCAACGGAGGCTGTTGAGAGCCCTGAATCCCCAGACAGCGACGATTCTAGCAGTATGAGATCTTGGTCTACCTCTACAGCAGGAACCAAGGCAGAAAAGGGACGCTACTGTTGCCTGATTCCCGGGTGTGGGAAGATCCTCAACCGGTTGGCAGATTTGAACCGGCACTACAAAACTGTGCACCTGCTTCCCCAAGGAGGGTCACCGCCCCTTGAGGACTTGGGGAGAAGGCGCGAGCGTCGTGCCGCAGCTCAGGGGGTTGAGGAGATGAGGGAAGGGGCTCGGCAGCTTCGGCTGTACAAATCACTTTACGAGCAGATGAGATCCGACTATGAGAACTTGAAGAGACAGATGAAGCACAGGGAGAGTGATGCCGCGGACTCCGAGGATGCTCCTTTGCTTGAAACGAAGATCCAAAAGGCACGGGAAGTTGCGAACCAGGATACCGAGAAGGAGAATAAGGAACTAATGGAATGGAAGGAAGCATGGGAATGGGCCGAGCGTTTTAGAACTGGAAACTTGACAGAAAGGGAAGAAAATCTTCTGTGGTTATTGGAGACAACGGGGGAGCTGTATCGTTGAGAGGACTCAGCAGGTCGATACGACAAATCGACACCAGGAGGTACCTACCTGGTAGTCTTCAGTTCAACTCCCTACTCTAATACCTGAATACCTAGGTAGCACAACGATACTATATACTATCGGCTTCACAGATTGGCAAACACCGCGTAGACTGTCACTCATAAGGCTATGACAGTGTTCTTGATTGCTTTCACTTATTCTTAACCTTCGCTTGTCTAGCTTGGACGATGTACTCGCCAAACCCGGACAAAAATGGCTGCAAAGACAGCGACTGGCTACTGGTTAAAGTGTCCCTTTGATGTCCACTTCTACTAGTGACCTACAATCGTTCAACCAGACCTTGTTCAAAAGAGAGAGAGCAAGGACAATTCTTAGTCTCGGCTGCACCAGGCGCGTACAAAAAAGAGGCCGTTCAGACAATGACCCTTGAACTCTGCGGGAGCTCCATGAAAACCTCTCCTTGTCTCTTTCAGGTTATTATCGGAACAATGAGATTCAGGGGCACTGCAGCCTTTGTCCAATGGCGGTATAACCCAGAGTATAAACTCTGCAGAAAAGCCAGAAATTCGCCTCCTAAGCCGAAATACACCATAGCATATGCCAAGTTCAGATACCTTCGCAGCAAACAGCTTCTCCAAATTCTGTCAACCTACAAGTTTATTACACGGCTCGAGACTTCGAAAGTCTGACTTTAAAGATGTATCGATACCCAAGAGACTTCATGATGAGAGTGAAGGCCATAATGGCAGACACTCTCACAAATTATCAGGGTTCAATCATGAGGCAAGATGAAAACAACAGGGAGGATGAGAGTGAAAACCATGACGATAGGAACTCTCAGAGTTCAAGAAAGAGCAGCTCCCAGAGTTCCAGCCGGAGCAACTCTCCTGTGAAACATGACGATAGAAACTCTGAGGGCTCGGAGAGGAGTAACTCTCAGCGTTCCAGCCGGAGTGCCTCTCCAGAAAATGAAGACGATAGAAAGTCTCAGAGTTCAAGGAGGAGCAACTCTCCTGAAAATAATGACGATAGGGACTCTCAGAGTTCTAGCAGGAGTAACTACCCTGAAAAAGATGACCATAGAAACTCTGAGCATTCAAGGAGGAGTAACTCTCCTGAAAACCACGACGATACAAAGTCTCAGAGTTCAAGGCGGAGCAACTCTCCTGAAAGCAATGACGATAGAGTCTCTCAAGGTTCAAGGAAGAGTGATCCTCCAAGTTCAAAGAGGAGCAATTCCCAGAGTTCAGACAAGGTTGACTCTCAGAGTTCAAAAAGCAGCAACTCTCCGAGTCCAGGCATGCGAGAATGGGCAACAGAGTGGGCAACACCAATAGAAGCCGAGGACACACCGTACATACAGTTATTGAAGGGCTTGTATCAAGACGGAAAAGACCGGGATGAAAGTGAGAACCATGATGAACGACGATCCCAGGTTTCAAGCACGGGCCGAGACGGAGAAATTGAGAGTGATAGCCACGATGAACGCAACTCTCAGGGTTCAAGCGGCATGAGCCGACACGGAAAAGACGGAGACGATGAGAGCGCCGATAGCTTCCACACTTGCAAGACACACCAGTCTCAGAGTTCAGGCGGCGATCAAAGCTTCCACACTTGCAAAACCCATCAATCTCAGCGTTCAACCACATGTCAAGACGAGGATGACAACGAGAGCGAGGACTTCCAAAGTTCCGACAGAAACTCCGAGTCCCAGAGCTCAAGCGCAAGTCGTGACGGAAGTGACTGGGGCTATTCCACCGATGACCCCGATGAGCACGAATACTACCCCTCGTTCGTAATGGATTACCTCAACCCCATGATGCAGAGGGTATTTATGCCAGTGGTGGCACGCGCCTTGGGGCTGGCCAACCATCCGGTGGTATTCAAACTCTTCGTTGCCCTAGCTGCCCTAGCAAGAAGCCCTGCCCTCGACCCGCTTGGACACACGGCTTTTGCGCTGGCTTTTGTGCTGTGTTTTGCGGTCTTTATCGTCGCACTGATGCTCTCAGGATTGGCCATAACCACCATGTTGGCTTGGGTCGGAGTACTGCTGGTCTCAATCTTGGCTTCCCTAGCGGCGACAGTGCTGTCTCGGAGATGGAAAATGGCGTTATGGATAGTTGGTATCTTCTGCATGCGCTGGACCGCACTTCAGCCGCCCCCAGGTCCAGATTCAGGACCGGTCTCGGCGGACCCTCCGAGGCAGCCTATCGACTACGCAGGCACGCCCTACGCTCAGTTTGGAGTGAATATCTACTCATCTAAAGCAGAGATTGTCCAGGCCATCTCAGCAGCGCTGCAGGAGAAACCACTCTTCTCTACCAGCATCGGCGGCATGTCTCCCTCTCAGATGGAGGCGCTTCGGCGGTACTCGGAGATTCTGACGGATCCGCTGCAGCGATGTGTATACCACAAGGACACAGGGATGCCTGACTGGTACGGCGTACCGCGGTCCTGCTGGAGCGAGGGCGTATTGGACAAACTCACGACTACCGTCGAGCCCTTGGGAGCTCTGAGTCCTTCAGCAACGGGCTTGAACAGAGCCGGTGCCTACCACCTTCTCGGCGGCTTTTGGAGCGGCGGAAAATAACTTCACGATGACACTACAGGCTAGTAAGCTCTCTTTGCCGATAGACATGGGATGCGGTGGATTCGTTGGTTGTTTGTACTTAACCTAGATATCAATACACATTCATAATCTCATCCGCTCTCCAGGCCCTTGAAGACACTCATCGTCGCACTTCCGACACCGACTGGAGTGGCATGATTATATAGAAGGCTGCCCGGCCCTTTGATCTCATAACATACTGACCTACATCGGTAGGCATGTCAGACCGGCTATTAGAGCCGGGACGAAGTTGTGGCACTCTAGGTCATGATCAGAGCCCTGTCAACAGAGCGGCTGATAACTCCGTAATACTTAAGGTAACTTAGTCTGTCGCGGCCGGCAGCTCTCACAACAAATCAATATGTTGTGAGAGCAATCAGTATACCCAGAGACATGAGCAACCGGCTGCTCGTTTCTGACTCAACTCCTGCTAAAGGAATGGCTACTAACTCAATGAGCGCCGAGAGTGACAGGGGGTAAAGGCAAAAGGAGAAGAGAAGACGAGACTCGACGATGTTGGAGTTGACCGGCTGTCGACGGAGTTTTCTCAAGATCACGGCACCGATCTTGGCACCTTGCTAGCCATGCTCGCCATGGTACGCACCCAAAGCTGTGAACACTTTGTTGCAGCGGCAAAACGGGTTCGACGGCAGCTGCAGAAGGGGCAGTAACAGAATCCGAGAAGGTGCAAACGCCCCAATCGGTTAGCACAGGACCCAGTAGTTATTTTTAGACGATCTTTGACTCGCCCTGCCTTGGAAAAAGGTTGCTGCGGTTTTGTGAGAACGCGAATGGGACACGAGTGCAGAGAACCGAAGATCAAAGTCGAAAACGGAGGAAAGATCCATAGGGCGTTTATGCACCGTAGCGAGCCAGCTGGTCGGGCTCTCAATCCAGCTGTCGCTTATCAATGCCGATTGCTTGGTGCTTGGCGTGATATGGTACTGTGGTACCCCTGTCATCCAGGAGGTTCCAGGTACCTTGGCAAGGTTGCGTTAATCTCTTCTCCCCTCGACTGCAAACCAGAGACGCAACTGGCTGGATCCGGCAGTTTTCTGCAGACTCTTCCTTCCGCCATCCCAAGCGAAGTAACGCCCGTTCCCGATCCTGTGAGACGGCGGCGGCTGCAATTGAACACGTTCGACACCACCGCCCAAATCCATATCGTCCAAAAAGCTGGCTCGCCTCTGTCTGGCTTGACACGCGCGATTCAACAGCCCCGTGGCCTTTGGCCCACCAGACAATCGCCTCCCTGCGGCCGGGTCTCGCTTTTTCGCAATCGAGCTCCTCCTGACGCGTGTCTGCTGAAGGGGATCCCAGCGACGGGCCTCCTCGCAGCCGCAGTTCTTCATTCCGAGGGAAAAATATTCTTTTCCCTGCCGCTCGCTTTTCTTGCATCGATGCTTCGTGGCCGAGAGTCGGCTTTTCTTCCGCCTACAGATTTTTTTAATTGTCGGGCCGAGCGAGAAACCTGTCATCTTTCCCCTAACGAGCAGCGACTTGGGACCGGCGGCGAATGATTTGATTGTGCATCCATAATCTCGTCCCTGCATTTCCCACCACCGCACGACTTACGCCGCGCCGAAACGTGCATTGAGCGACTAGACACTACCGCCATCGGCTGGCTTCCCAACTCACGGAATCCATCACGATGGATCTCCTTCGTCGAGCTGGGAAGTTCATACCCCGGGGGAGCCCCCCACAACTTCCCTTATCAGACGAAAAGGGCAAGCCGCGGTCAAGAAGGACGCTGGCATCACACCTGGCTTACCTCAGAAAGCCGCTGAGGTTAAGAGGCAACTCGACCATCTCGGTGCCGTTAGGGGTTGTTGTCCTTTTTCCCTGCATTGTTGTCATCCTTATTCTGGTGCTGTTTGTTAGACATCCCAATTCTCCGGGAAGAATCTTGATGCCGGCTGGGGCGCCGCCAGCGATAAGGTTAGTTGCGTCGTCCGATCAGTTCCCCCCGACAGCGCGTCATTTTTGCTGACGATAAATTCTCCGGTGCAGGAAAATCAGCGAAAAACACGACAAGGTGTTTGTGGAAGGCTGCCTCCAACCAGACACCAGCCAGCCCCGTGCCAATGCCGCATTTGTGGTGCTTGCGAGGAATAAAGAGTTGGAGGGCGTGATCCAGTCCATCAAGTCGATCGAGCGCCATTTCAACCGGTGGTATCATTACCCCTATGTCTTCCTCAACGATGGCGACTTCAACTCGACCTTCAAGGAGACGGTCAGGAACTATACATCGAGCTCTGTCGAGTTTGGCAAGGTGGGACCGGACATGTGGGGGTATCCCGACTGGGTCGATCCCAAGGTTGCCAAGGAGGGCATCAACAAGCAGGGAGACAATGCAATCATGTACGGCGGCTTGGAAAGCTACCACTTCATGTGCCGCTTTTACTCGGGGTATGGTGTCATTGGCGTTCGTCTTGTGTCGCGTGGTATGCTGACTCTGGCACAGCTTCTTTTACAAGCACCCGCTCCTGGCAAACTACGATTGGTACTGGCGTCTGGAGCCCGAGATCTCCTACTTCTGCGACATTACTTAGTATGCGATTCCTTCAGTGTTTTGCAGTCATCAAGTTACTTGTAACTAACCTAAATCTCAGCGATCCCTTCCTCAAGATGATTGAGCACAACAAGACCTATGGCTTCACCATTGCCGTCAAGGAGCTGCGCGAGACCGTCCCCAACATCTTTCGCTACGCTTCGGCCTACAAGCGCCTCAACAACCTGACGTCCCAGGGTTTATGGGAAATGTTTGTCGAGCCACAGCCCGAGAAAAACCCCAACGAGGAGCAGAAGCAGAGCGACCCCGGTCGCCTGCCAGACATCGACCCCGAGGCCATGGAGGGCGAGAAATACAACATGTGCCACTTCTGGTCCAACTTTGAGATTGCCCGCCTCGACTTTTTCCGTAGCAAGCAATACGAGGATTTTTTCCAGATGATGGACCGCAGCGGCGGCTTCTGGATGGAACGGGTATGCTCTTCCCCCGTTCCTCCTCCCAACCTATCCAAACCCCCCCAATTACTAACACTTATGTCCTTACCAGTGGGGCGACGCACCAATCCACTCCCTCGCAGCCGGCGCCCTTCTCGCGCCGCGCGACATTCACTACTTCCGCGATTTTGGCTACCGGCACACAACGATCCAGCACTGCCCGGCCAACGCCCCCGCGCGCCAGCTGCCCCGCGAGCCCTACCTCGAGATGACGACCCTCGACGAGCGCAAGCGCATTGAAGAAGACAAGTACTGGGACGAGTTCGACCCGCCTAAAGAGAACGGCGTCGGCTGCCGCTGCCGGTGTGACACTGACATTGTTGATGTGGAGGGTAAAGAGGGCAGTTGTCTGGCGGAGTGGGTGGATGTCGCCGGTGGTTGGGCTAGTCCTTGAACAGATGAAATGGTGCTTGCTGCAGGGCAGGGCAGGGCAGTGACAGGGCAAGACATGACATGACATGGTAACCTGGAATGGCACATGGCACATGGCATGGCACGGCGTAGAGCTAGCATTATTTTTTTGGACTCTTCTTCTGTCTGATTCTTCTTCTCTTGGTTAATTGGTCTAATGCCTTGCCTGCTGCCGGCGAGTGTTGCGATATTTGTACGTACAACTACATACATACCTGTCGTCTTGTCTTGCTGTATTCCCACTGTCTGTGTCTGTCTCTTGTCTGTATGTCTGCCCGTGTGCCCGTCTGTCTGTCTGTCTGCCCGTCTGTTGTCAGCTTGCTCTGTGGCATGGGGTTTGTCCGGCCTGGTATGATATGATATGGATGGCATGGCATCGCATGGTCTAAATGCTGTTTCCCCTTGGGCTGTCTTTTCTCTCTTTACTTATCACTGCTCTGTTTCAACTGTTTTGATTTGTTTACATGTCGGACGTGCTACGCTGCTTGTTGTTTACGCAAGTCGCAACCAAAGCTGCTGCCGTTGCTGCTGCTACATGCGTGCATGCATACCTGCCTACCTAACTACTATGTACAAAACAGACATAGGTAGGTACCTCGACCAGTTACATACATACATACATACATACATTAGTGTAGTTATCGATAGACTTGAAAAGGCGGGGGGATGTTGGAGCAGTGTGGTTGAGCCTCGGAGGGAAGGGAGACCAGGTCAGCGAGGGACGATGGATGACCTCGGAGCGCCCGGCTGTTGAACTTAACTTAACTAAGCTGGGCTGGGTTCAAATTATGTGGGAATTGAGAACTCTGATCACACCGTAGACAGGGAGACACATGATCTATTTACCTTACCCCCAAAAGTGCTTGACGGGTTGTATAAGTTGCTGGGCAAGTGGCCTGGTTGACGAGCGCTGTTGGTTTTCCCATCCTGCTTGGTCTGATGATGATTTGTCCTCCCATTGCTTGCAGCTCCTATGGTTTTCAGGATAGGTAAGAGGGTGTACTGATATAAAGGGATGTATTTGTGCTATATTGATCGCCCGTGTTCCGGACAGCCGGCTCTTGCGATACCAATCTTCTACCTGCCAACCCCCCAACTGAGCCTAAAGCACCGCCTTCCCACCCAACCGTTCCTGTGATGTACTCAGCTGGTAAACGCCTAACAGGATATTGACCCCTCTCCAAAGTCGCCGTCTATTCCGCATCTATCATGCATCACCATGGCGCCTCGACCCGGCTCTCTTGTCCGACGCTCCGTGAGCTCTATTTCTATGAACAATGCCTCACGAGGATAACCAACTGACAAGACGACGAAGGTAATGCCCCGAGGTCGTTGCAACTGCCTCTACCAAGCAGATCCACCCACATCCGTCACAGCCCCATGGCTCGCATCCCCGACGAGCCTGGCGTACTTGGCAAGGGTGCCGCGCATGGGCTTCATCTTGGGCGGCGTCCATGCCTTGCGGCGGCGTTCGAGTTCCTCAGTAACCCCTTCCGGACTATCGATGCCGGCAATCTTGACGATATCGATCCGGTTCGCCACGGCATCAATCGTAATAACATCACCGTTCTCAACAAGTGCAATGGGCCCACCCACTGCCGCCTCGGGGACGACATGGCCGACGATAAACCCGTGGCTGGCGCCGCTGTAGCGCCCGTCGGTCACGAGAGCCACATTGGTGAGTCCCGCGCCCATGATGGCGGCGCTGGCGCGCAGCTGCTCCGGCATGCCGGGACCGCCTTTGGGACCCTCATAACGCACGATTAGGACCAGGTTGCCCTCGTCAGGGCGGATGGCGCCGCGGTCGAGGGCGTCGTTGAGTTCGTGCTCTTTGTTGAAGACGCGTGCTGCGCCGGTGAAAGAAAGTCCCTCTTTCCCGGTGATCTTGGCCACGGCGCCGCCGGGGGACATGTTTCCGTAGAGAACACGGATGTGGCCCGTCTTTTTGATCGGGTCGGCCAGTGGGCGGAGGATCTTCTGATCTGCAGGGAGAGACGGCCAGTCCCGGACGTTCTCGGCGAGGGTCTTGCCGGTCACAGTCATGATCGAGCCATCGATGAGGCCGTTCGCGATGAGCATCTTGAGCACGGATGGAGTGCCTCCAATCTCGTACAGATCCTCCATGTAGAAACGTCCCGATGGCGCGAGATCAGCGAGGAACGGTGTGCGGTTGGATGCTCGGTCGAAATCATCCAGAGTAAGAGGCACGTCAGCTGTATTAGCCATTGCTAAGAAGTGTAAAACAGCATTTGTGCTCCCGCCCAGGACGATGGTCAACACCAAAGCATTCTCGAAGGCGGCCCGGGTCATCAGATCTCTGGGCCGTATATCCTTTTCCATGCATATGCGGATGGCCTCGGCAGCACGCTCACACTCACGTCGTTTCTCGGGGGATGTTGCCGGGTACGACGAGGAGCCAGGTAGACTCAGGCCCATGGCTTCGATCGCCGTTGCCATTGTGTTGGCAGTGTACATGCCGCCGCAAGCACCTGGACTCGGGCAGGCATGCCTTTCAATATCCTCCATGACGTCCGAGGGTGTAGCCTCCTCGCCTGAAGGCTTCTTGCATTTTGCCTGCAGTCGGCCGTAATTATACGCACCGGCTGCTTCGTAGCACGTGGAAATGTTGATAGGCTTGTCAAGAAGCTTGGAATAGCCTTTGCGGATGGTGCCACCATAGATCATGATGAACGGTCTGTTGTGGCGAGCAGCTGCCATGACCACGCCGGGCATGTTCTTGTCGCAGCCAGGGATGCTGATGTTGGCGTCATGGCGTTGGGCACAGGTCACCGTTTCGATGCTATCGGCGATAATTTCTCTCGATTGCAGCGAATATCTCATTCCTGTTCATCGGCCCACAAGTGTAAGCATCAATAGCGGCTCAAGCCAATGCCGGCTTCAGGGGCTCAGGGCTGATATTGAGTCACCAACCTTCTCCACCCATTGTAATGGCATCAGACACGCCGATGGTGTTGTACTGCCATGCGAGCATATTCTGTTGCTGTACAGCCTTCTTCACGACGTTCCCAAGATCGAGCACTGCAGTGGGTCTCAGCAACGAACATTCTGTGGGCAAAGATTGGAGGCAGCCTCACTCACAATGTGTACTGATGATTCCGCGATTAGCATCACAGGCACCATGACAGGACATGATGTGAGACCTACTTGCAAGGGTTCCCTTCCCACCACACGGTCGAAATGCCCACATGGGGTGCATTCTTCATCATCTCCCTATCAGGAACACCGGCGCAATAGAGCATAGCCTGACGTGGATTTGCAGCAGTCAGCCCAGCTGTCCCTATTTGACAATCCTGGCAAGAAGCGTGTTCCTCTTACCTGAGCGCCAGGGAAATCATGACCTCGCGTCATCGCTTGAGACCATCTATTGAGAGGACCGCCAGCGGGTAGGCACTCGAACTGGACATAATCTTCGTCCTTGGGCATTTTGCGGTTACCGTGAGCGTTCTCCTGGCCATCCAGGCACTCTGTCTGTTGGTCGGCGTGCGGCGCCATGCTGGCTTGATGTGGCCGGGCTCCTGCTTGAACGTAGCTGCTCTCAATGCTTCCTAGCACTATCTGGCACCGTGCCAACCGTTACACAGTATCAGGCTGAAGCCTGAGGAGCAGAATACTGGCCTGAGTAGACGGTTGTTCTGGTCTTCAGAGAAGACAGCTTGCGCCTCTCTTGAACCGGGAAACCCAGCAATGTATACAGAGGCTCTTGATTATTGCTTCACGATCGGCCGTCCAGTCTTCGAGTTCGAGCCGGCTTCGTTTCAGTTGGTACAATACCGAAGCTTGACCTGGGCTGCTAGAATATCTCGACCTTTGAAGTCGACAAACCTGGGGTAGGTAGCTGGGCTTTTCATTGCTCGGATCCGTCATCCTGAACCCTGATGAACGCTAAACCCCGCTCTCCTCATCCGAATTGCTCCGCTAAGGATTGGCTGCCAACAGTGGAGCAGTCTAGGAACTGGCTTTTGGTGGTTCCGTCGGCTTTCGCTGTTGCGGTCCCCTCAAGGTCCACTACGGGCCAGCGCAGTGGGCGATCGCCGGTAACGGTCCGACCAGAGGATGACGCCAGGGAATGTTGGATGGTCGCCTACGACATCAATTCGACGGATGTCAGGGTGAAGGCAGCTAGACCGGAAATAAACCGTGATAAACCATTGGATCAACAGCGTGGATTGCAGATTGTCTGGTTCCGAGCGCCGATTGCAGGAGTCTTCGCCCCTCGGCGCACAACTGCAAGTGACCCGGGGTCGACTGGAGAACTCTGGAGGACAGGAGATTGACGGATATGGGCTGGCTTGTTTCGCAGCCGGGGAAGCCTGCCTCGCCTGCCTACTACTACCGATACATGCCTACACTAGTTCCGCTTGTGGTCTGCACTTACACTATGGTCAGCAGGAATACGCCAGTGTTGAAGGGTCAAAGATGGCTGCACGCAGGAGCATCGGCAGTATCGCATCTTGACCAGCGGGTGCTGCATTCCCATCGCGGATGCGGCCTATCGCGGGTTGCTGCGGACAGGAAGCCGGGCCATGGGAGATTGAATGCTGTGTGCACTTTGCAATGCCCACCTCGATTCAGGTTTGCAGGACAGCATGTGATAACATTACTGCATCTTCAACATCACAGATGGCAGGCCCGAGGGACAGGACAGGATGCAAGAGGCCGTGCGTCATCCTGTGGTAATTCTTACAGTAATTAACATTAACTGGACACTGTATGTATCCCCCTTGCTGCACTGCTCGACCCACATCCCCATTTTCACTCGTGCCTCTTACAAGTCTCTGCCCCTGAACTTCGGGGATCGAGCCAGCATGCTCCGTAGTGAGGGACGACAAGCACCTCCGCGAGCCTGACTGAGAAGGGTAATAAGGCAGCAGAGAGGCTGAACAGAGGGGTGGACAACGGTATACTGAGGAGTGGGATGGGAAAGTGATATAAACGGTGTAACATTTAAGAACCTTTAACGTTATCCAAGTTCTTTCTCATTCCAATAAAAGCCAAAAGTCAGAAGACGTATAACTACACCTAAGGCGCTTTCCATGCCCGTCGATGGCCCAGTTCCATACCCTTGGAACGTCACCACCTAGGGCAATCCACCAGCCAAGCCTGGGGAAGATATATCGCTGAAGTACGTTAGTTTGCAGTTGACAGGTGCTTTGCCATCATTATTCGCGAATACATGTCAACATGCACGTGCACTCTCAGTTGTACAACCAACTTACATGCAATGCATCTTCTTTGTCGATCTCTTTTTCACTTGCTCGCATCGCGCTTTGTGTATTTTGGATACGTTGGAGTGGTACAGCGTAGTCGAGTTCTTGTCAAATGTCTCACGTCACGGTACACAGGATCTAGGGATGTGTAATTACCGTACCGAGTACAAAGTACAGCAACGTCGGCGGCTTTTTTGGCATGTTCTGCCGACCACACCATCGAACACGAGGAGGCTGCGATCCCAGGAAAAGGCAGTGTTCCCAGTCTTGTATGTGTAGCATGGCACTTTGTGGTTGGTGGGTGGGTTGGTAGGTAAAAGGGGAAGTGCTCTTTGTGTGCCGTAACTAACCGTAAGCCGGTAATAAGCCCCACTTCCCCATAGCTGAAGGCAAGCCCCAGCACGTATAGTAGTGTACTGTAACTTACATATACCCTAGAATGAACTTGGTCAAGGTCGCCATTCCGCGCCTCTTTTGCTTTCCAAGGATTTCTCCTCACCCATCATTCTTATCCCTAATAGCCTGACCTGGGACCCTTTGGCTAGGAGCCCACTCTCGCACAGAGAGCACCTTCGTTTATCTATGCATCGCCCTCGTTTCAGCTAATTTGCTGTACAGTACATACCGCCATCTTCGCAATTTTGGGTCCTTTCGTTTTGCCCTGTCGACCTTGTCGTTCGCTTTTCTCAGGGAGGAACGGCATCTTACCACTAATAATACACCCTGCCAGTTGTCAATCGCTTTAGCAATCGCCCCCATACGCCTGACGACGCGTACTTCGAATCGAGTCCCTCGCCGACACAGCGCTCCAAGATTTCGAAGACGACAATCCCAAGGACTGGGCCTCGGTTTCGGCGCGCATTCTTTGCGTCCCGACGAGTCGCACCTGGCGTAGCCAGCAACTAGCGAAATCCCTCAGCCAGATCGACTCTACCTCAAGATGGTTCGATCTCTCTTGCCTCTGGGCGTCGCCCTCTTCGGCGCCGCCTCTGTCCTGGCGCAAAACCCGCCAACGTGTTCGTTAGACAAGAAATGCCCGGAGGAGGCACCTTGCTGTTCGCGTAAGTAGATTTCATGGGGTCTCAGTTCTTGAGCAACCGGCACTGACCTGGGTCGTAGAATACAATCAATGCGGTGTGGGCGCATTCTGTCTCGGTGGATGTGACCCGCGCATGTCGTTCTCCCTGGACTCGTGCGTGCCGGCGCCTGTATGCGAAGACAAGGTTTACAAGATGAACACCCTCGACAATTACAAAGACATTAGCGAGTATCTGGGTGATCCTGACACGGCCGACTGGGTTGGCCAAGGCGAGCCCCTCCTGTACGACGGCAACGTCCTCCTTACCATGCCCCCTAAGTCCGTCGGTACCGTCCTGGCTACAACGAGGTACATGTGGTATGGCAACGTCAAGGCGAAGCTCAAGACATCGAGAGGCGCGGGAGTGGTTACCGCGTTCATTCTGTTCAGCGACGTCAAAGACGAGATTGATTACGAGTTCGTTGGCGTAGACTTGGAAACAGCGCAGACCAACTACTACTTCCAGGGCATTCCCAATTGTCAGTACCTTCCCCCCTTTTCTGTGTGATACACTCATAGGTGCTGACTCGGTGGCTATTCAAGACGATAATTCCGGCAACATCACCGATCTGTCCAACACTTACGACAATTTCCACGAATACGAGATCCAGTGGACGCCCGATGAGATCAAGTGGCTTGTGGATGGCAAGGTCGGACGCACCAAGAAGAGATCCGAGACTTGGAACGAGACGTCGAACCAGTGGGCCTTCCCGCAGACGCCGTCTCGGGTGCAAATCTCCATCTGGCCCGGCGGCGCCGAGACCAACGCCGAGGGCACCATCAACTGGGCGGGCGGCAAGATCGACTGGAATTCTGACGAGATCAAGAACTTTGGCTATTACTTTGCGACCTTTTCGGAGGTCACCGTTGAGTGCTACAAGACGAACAGCCCGCCCGGCACGAACAAGGGCGTCTCGTACTACTACAACAACATCGCCGGCACCAACGACACCGTTGTCGACAGCAACAAACCCACCGTGCTCAAGAGTCTCCTTGGTACCGGCACAGACATGGACAAGGGCGGCGACAACTCAACAGACGCGGCTGAGACCTCGGGCGTCCACAACGTTCCTGGCGGCAGCTCCAGCCCTGCAAACGTCCCAGGTTCTGGGTCCAACAGTGGCGGTTCCGACTCCGGCAGCTCCGGCAGCTCCAGCAGCGGCAGCACGCAGAGCTGCGATACCAAATCCTTCTCCCAGAATTGCGGCAGCAGTGGCACCAGCGGTAACAGCAATGACGGCGTGCGCGGTGCTGACCGGACGCTTGGTGCCAGCGCTTTCGCCGTCATCATTGGTATCGCTGGGCTGCTCTTCCTTTAGGGCTGACCCGTCCCCGCGAAATGCCGTTTGGAAAAGTCTTGTTTCTACCGCGATATTCCGATGTCACATGGCAGCGTGCCGCACGATACGAAACCAACTAATTTCCACCTTTTTGCGTTGACTTGATACCATACGTTTCTCGGTTTATATACTTTATTTTCTTGCGTATCGCGCACATTCGATTGCCATGGGGACAACCGGGTGGCCTTGATCTTGCTTAATGCCATCTTACTGCACTTGTACCATTTGGAAGCCGCGCTAATATAGTGCACGAATGGGAGTTTGAAGCTAATGGCCATGTTTGCCGTCCATTCCTTGTACAATATTGAGAGAATATAGGTTGGGGCCGTTCTACATGGACAAGGAGGTACTCGTTCGGCTTTCCTGGTATCACAGCCCCCTGTCCCGAATGGGATCGCTTGTGGGGAGGTAAGGGGACGGGAGGCTTGTACATACGTTCATGGTAATGAAAACATGTACGAATATTTGCTTCATCTGTATCACACGGATGGGAGGCCAAGTGAGCATCGCAAAAAGTAGTGTTCACCTCAGTATAGTATATAGGCTCGGTGATGTGCATCTAATGCAAACCAGCGGCTTGACTGGGGGAGTTCAGGGGCTGATGTAAGTATGCCGACAATGGATCAGAATGCGTTGAATCCCTTTGATGTCAAGCCGATTAGATCGCGGTCCTCGCAAACCCATTGTTTCGTGCTTTCCCCTGCTTCGGTCGTATTTCGAAAATTAGGGGTGTTTGTTCCCCCTCAGGACTTGGATCTGGAATACCCCTCAAGATCAGACCATCTTTCGTTGTCTTTGTCACCACCAAACTCAATGTTCACCGACTCTGTCTTGGTCAACGGCCGCTAACCATGAGTCTTTTCATATTGTGACTATCATGGCGAACAGCCCAACAATGACTGACCAGCAGACTCGGACAGTCATGCGGTCCTCGAGGACGTCGATTTAAAGTCCTTGTCGCCCAGCCCATACCGACGGCCTCTTGCTTAGCATCACAATCAGCTCAAGCATTGTTTCAATACGTTTCTTTTCCTCTCAGGCTTGACAACAACACAGCACCACAAAGCACAGACCTCCAAGCCGAACAAGAAGATAAGCAGTCCCATAACCATGTCTTCAACAAACGTAGCGCTCGAGAACACTGACTACGACCCAGCCTGGGACACCGTCCTCTTCGACGAATGCGTGCTGCTCGACGAGATCGAGGCGCACCCCATGCTCTGCCAGGACTGCAAAATGAGGCTGGTCCAACTAATCGAAGTCGCCTTCAAGCATCGCCTCAAAACCGAGCCCTCCCTCTCCATCCCCACGGGATCACACATCCGCGCCCTCTTCCGCCTCCCCGCGGCCGAGTTCCAAGAGCTCCCCGCCCGCCCACGGCTCTGGTTCAAAACCTCCCTCACCGCCAACGGCGAACCCTTCTTCGCAGCCAAATGGATCAAGCAGATGCTCCGGCCCGACTGGTACAACTCTCTGGTCGAAGACACCGTCTTTGCCCTTTGCTCCGCCTCCGCCCCGGCCTATGAATCAGGCCAAGCCCCGCCCGACGCCTGGACCCCGGACCAATGCAAGCTCTGGTTCACGCTGCGCGGGCGGTACACGATCCAGGACGCGCGGCTGGGGCGGTCGTTGGCTGACTTTCTGCATTGTCATTTGATGATGCTCAACAGCGCGCTGGGGTACCCGGGCCACTGGGCCGAGCACGAATGTGGCGGCCGCTGCTACCCCCGCGTGCCAGGGGACGCATATTATCCGTACGGGGGAGACGTGAAGAGACAGACGGCGGCGGTGTTCGCGTCGGCTATGAAGTATGCTGACGAGCAGCTCGAGCCCGTGGTTGGTCGGTTGTTTGCGGAGCGGTTGCGGCAGACTGGGCAGGATGATGCCATGCGCTGCATGGCGGGGTTGGAGCAGGAGCCGTACTTCAAGGCCCGGTTGGAGGCGGCGGTGAATTTCTCGAGTGTTGAGAAGCTTGAGGAAATGGCGGAGGAGAGAGTGGCTGGTTGGCGGCGGGATATTGCTGCGCGGCGGGAGACTGGGGGAGGGGAGGTCACTGCTTTGGACTTTGAGGACCTGTATGAGCCTATTGATGGGTCCATCACCATTAGGTACGACCCCAGCGATCCGGAAGTCATCAATGCATTCGCGCTGTCGTTGATGAATCATCTTGTGTGTGATATAGTGGGTTGGGATGGTGAACCCGGACACAGGAGAGCCGGTCGTTGGGTCGTTCGAGAGCGCTGATGACAGGTACTGCTGGTAAGTACCTAGCAGGTGAGTTGGTGCGTACGCACCTCTCCCCTGAAGCGGGAATAGATTGTTGATGTGTAGTTGCTTAGAATGATATACTTCTGTATTGCCGTCTGGTTATTCAAGCCTCTCTCTCACGAATACCCCTTTTCTCACTGTATTCATCCCACCCATTGGGGCCATACATATCGAATTGCTCGCTCTCTGCCGCCACGTACGCCATGGAGAACGTCGTACTTCATCCAAGGTCCCTTACACTTGAAAGCTGGTGAGAAGCAGGAAGTTAGCTCTCTGACGGCTAATGGATTTTCTCTGTGATGTCTTTCTCCCTTTGCCGTTGCGCGGGCCTGAAGAACTGGCGCCAAGGAAATTCGCGGTTAGCCAGCAAACGAGACAAGCTGCACGCTTGGAAGGCTGCTAATGCCGTGGATCTCGTCGAATAGTGTAGTCAAAGTGAGGGCTGTACCTGATGTCGTGACCTGCCATTACCCTTGATTCGAAAAGGGAGCACCGTCTTGGCTCGAGCTGCGTCACTACCTACCGATGTTATTGCGAACCTCCAAGCGGAGCCTAGCGCAAGGACAAGGAATCGGCATATCAGACACAGCATTGGCACCGGCAACAGAGAAATGGTCGTGACTGGGAATCAGAAAAAAAAAAAAAAAAAACCCCGCATTTTATACCCCAGGTATAGCACCATGGCCAACGTTTTCAGTCTTGACAACCGCCATCCCGCTGTGGAGGTTCGTAACCCCCAGTACAGGAACGGGAAAAGAAAATACAACCAGAATCAGAAAAGGAGACGAGAAGAGAGTCCTATCACGCAAGGGTAGCGTGAGAGCCTTGGCCATAGCAAAGTAACACACCATGATGACAAGTAACCTCCTTGGCACCTGAAACCAGGCGCTCACTTCCCCAGCAGCGACTTCCCAGTCCGTCAAGCACGGCCGAAGCCCAAGTCATAGAATAACCCGTCCTGTCCCGAAAGTACCGTAGCGATGATTATTTGAGATCCGACCAGGAAAACTGGAGCCAGAGATAAAGAGTATTATGAAAGCAATCAAGCCAGAGGCCGGCAGAAAAAACCCGCCAGGACGCCGTGCTGGGCGACGGCCATGGGCCCAGATACCGGATGGACGTTGCTTTGAACCACAAGCTCAAAAGTATGTTGACTCAAGAGCGAAATCTTCGAAGTCGCCGTGTGTAAACCCTGCAAAACCAAAACACCCGATTCTCAGTGTGTATTTTCCGAGACAACCGGATCTTGTTCGAGACGTCCAAGACGGAGAGACATGTCATTACGACAATGTGGCCGACTTGGGATGGTGAAGGTGTTCGACACGAAACCATCGAACGCTTGAGATGCTCGGAACTTGGCAACCCAGGTCTAGCTCGGCGAAGGGCGCCGGTAGAAAACCGCGCCGCCACTATCTCCCTTTCTGGGTAGGGAAGAGTTCTTGAGCAGGGAATCAGTATATTCTGCTATGGAATATGAGCACAAGATGCCAGATCTTGGGGCTCACTTACCGGGAAAGTGCTCTTTCGCATATTGTTCGCAGGCCTTGGCAGGCTTGCCGACCTTCTGACCAATTACCTTCCACTTATTATTCTCATACTCCTTGATGGCACTCATCAATGCCTGGCTCTGGGAATGGTTCAGTCAGTTCGTGGTAACGGGAAGCGAACTCGACAGGATTGAGCTACCTCATCCTCAGCAAACTCGGCATAATGCATATCCTAAGACAAGGCGTTAGTCGGGTACGCGAGATGCAGGTCCTGGAATTGCCATTGACGAACCTTGTACCAATGCTTCTTGACGCTGCCCTCCGTCCGCGTCGGAAACGTCTGTGTCGGTTAGCTTCCGGCCATTCGCTCCGATTACCGAGTACCAACCTTGGCAATCTCGGCCCAGCTGTTGCCGGCGTCGCGCATCTGCTTCAGTCGAAGCTCTTCGGCCGGCGTCCAGGGAGTATTTGTCCGGCTCTTCTTGGCAGGCGGCGGAGCCGGGGTAGAGTTAGCATCATCAGACGGTGCAGGCTGTGCGGAGGAGCCAGACGGCTGGGCCGAAGCCGGAGTGGCAGGAGGTGCCGACACAGGCTGTGGCTGCGGCTGCTGAGCATGTTGCGAGTGTTGCGAATGATGGGGCTGCTGCTGCTGTTGTTGTTGCGGCTGCTGCTGGGGAGAAGGCTGCGTAACATGAGGAGGGCCACCGGGAGCGGGCTGCGCGGCTTGGGGCGGCTGCTGCTGCTGTTGTTGCTGAGTAGGCGGCGGGGCTGGGATATGCTGCGGAGTGTGTTGAGGTTGTTGCGAGGCATGCTGGGGTGCGTGCTGGGGTGCGTGTTGGGGTGCATGCGAAGGAGGATGCGGAGCAGGATGCTGAGGAGTGTGCTGCGGAGTGTGCTGGGGTGCATGCGGAGCGGGATGGGCGCCTGGGGCAGGGCGCTTGCGTCTGGAAGACGGAGCGGGGGCCGGAGCCGGCGCCTGCTGTTGGGGCGGTGTAGCCTGCGGCTGTTGACCATGAGGCATGGGCGGCTGCACCGGCGGGGCGGCGTGGTGCTGAGTGTGTTGCGAGTGTTGCTGGTGCGGATGCTGTGGCTGCGCGGCCTGTGGCGGCTGTGTGGGGTAGGCTCGATAATCCACCGGGTGGTCGCGCCGGTTCATCTCAGCAGGCTGCTGTTGCTGCTGCTGAGCAGCATACGGCTGGCTGTACCAAGAGGCATGGTTAGCAAACGAGTTCGGCGGCGGCGGCTGGTGTTGCTGCTGCTGCTGCTGCAACGGCTGCTGGTGCTGCAGCGCTGGCATTGACGTCGACTGCAGCGGACGCCATGATTGAACGTCGTTCGCCGTCCGCTGCTTCTTCATCGCAAGATGCGACGAGAAACCGTGTCGGGAACGGCCTGGCCGGGAAGCACCAGGTTGGACCGCGACAGAATGGAGTCGGCGACAATAGCGGTAAAACCGACGAGGACAGACGCGACTTCGGGAACAAGGGACCGAACAGGACGCGAGGCCAGTTGAAAGAAACGGAAATGAGCGGGAGTCTTTCGCTCGATGTATTCCCACCGTCTCCCACGTGTTTGCCAACCTTGTCGGTCGGGTGCTTCCAAGCCTTTGCGTTCCCTAGGAAGGGAGTACATGGGGTACAAGAACGGACTGGTGGGGATGGGCCGGGACCTCTGCGCAGGTGCCGTTGAGATGGTCGAGGCAATGGTGTCTTAAAAGCCAACGGCCAAATACGAAGAGGTACAAGGAGACAATGTACTTACTGAAGGTCATTGGAGTGGTTGGTGGAGTTGGGGTTGGGCGGGGAGTAGATGTACTCCGGCATAGGCGTGATTGTCCACTGATGCATGGTCTAGAAATGCGCCAAAAAGCTGTCAGCAGTGCTGCCTTGATGAGTACGGTACTTTGGAGCTAAGGTTGTGTCGAGCCAAGGTGCGATGGAAAGGAAGAATGAAGTACAGAGCAAAGAAAATACAACGAAGAACAGGATTGTTAACATGTACCCGATGCATCCAGCTTTGTCATTGCTGCCGCACCGCGTCCATGAGCCCATCGCGAGCATTTTGCTTCTCCCTCATTTTCAGGATTTTCTCGGTCTCTGCTCAATGTAGCGGTTGATGCTTTTGGTTACAATCACGAACCAGATCAACCAGCGCTCTGAGCAATTTGCTGCTGCGGACGGCAAAAGCAGCGACTAGGACGACTGCGTGTCTGGGTGCAGCACGCGTCAATCCGTCGCGAAAATTTGAAAGACTGGACGACTCGGGGGACTCGCCGGACCATGGAAACAAACCGATTCAAAGAGTGGAAAGTGGTACTTACGGGTAGGGTCGAGTCAAAACCAGAGCTGCATAAATCCCAAATGACGGATCGATCTCGGGTTTGTTGGAGTTGAGAAGTACTCGTGAGTGACCAGCAGGCAAGGACTTGAGACGCCGCTCAGGACATGCGGACAGAAGTACCTTGACCGGTGGAAATGCGGAATTGGGGGGCTGGGCTGGGGGGTGGAGAGAAGGATTCTTGTGACCTCAGTGCGCGTGCGCAGGCTTTGGGGTGGATCGGGTTTTGTGCGAAGCGCGAATTCTGTGGTCGAGAAAGCGGGGCTCCCGTCGTGCAGCCATACATTTTGGGCTTAGGCCCAAAGTCAAGCCACCTCGACCCCACTGCAGCCACTACGATCTCGTTTCCGGGCCGTTGACTAAAGTGACGGGCCGCCAAGTCAATTGGCGAGGGAACACAACCTGAGTCCGGCACCAATCAGCGGCCAGTGTAGCCGCCCAACCACCTCGATGGCTGACTGATACGGATACACAGCCGGTCCAGGCGCGTTTGACTGACTTTGCGAGTTGCTTCTGCGACTGCGTGGTTGCGTTGATGTCAAGCTCGATGCGAGAGCTGCGATGGCAGCTTAACTGGTCTGGGGCCGGCGCTAAGTTACGGTTTGTTCTTGCCTGAGCGGAGATTGGACGGCAGCAATCACTATCCTGGTGCGGAGGCGTCATCCGTGCGTGTACCTTTCTCCAATGATAATCCGTCGCCCACATATGGCGGGATGACGAGAAATCCCAAATTCTTTTTTGATCGCGGGTGCGTCGAGTGTTGAATGAGTTCTAACGAAACAAACTGAAAGTACTTCCGGGGAACGGGGAACGGGATGTAGATAGATGCGGCTTTGTGAGGAATCCTTTCCATCGCCCAAGGACGTACTGCAGAATTGGACTATACTTTAAGTTGGAGTAGCATCGAAGTCATGAAGTTTTCCCGCTAATGTTGTCCTAGTGTAGCGAAGGACCGGAGGTAAGGTCCTATGTACTGTACACTCAAGGTTCTCCGGTATCTTAACAGACAGAAGAACCTGGGCACCGTTGAGGACTTCAAGTTTCGTTACCTAACAAGCTCCGTTCGATAACGATCAATTCCATCAATGGATGCATCAATATTCTTGAGCTTCGTACATCCCCATCTATGCCGGAACTGACCGCCTATTCGAGTCATTCAAGTCTAAGATTTTTGTTCAAAGGTTCTAAATATCCCCAAAGCCCGACAATCTCCAATCCACCTTGCAGAGTACTAAGGTAGTACTGTATAGATACTGTGCATTTATCGTACTGACATAATCCAATACGTTCTCAACCCCTCAGTCTTGGCAGCCATATCAGCGACGAGACAGTATGTGCCGGGTAAAGGTACAATTCCAAGATCAAATACCTGTGCTCTGCAGAGTAACCAAGAGTCATAGTGCGGACAGGATGTACGGTACCTTATTCATGTAGCTGCGGGAAGAGAGATGCTGGCCAGAGTACGAAGTACAATACCGAAGATCAGATGTCAGGCTGGAATTAAGTTGTAATCGACTGCTTGGTACAGTACAGTACAGTACAGTACAGTACAGATGAAGTATCTCAAAACCAGATGAATGCAAAACAGCCCTACTATAGGCAAAGCTAAAGTACCCGACATCAATGTACTTTTCAATTCAGAGTTTGAGTATACTTCAATGACGGACTGCTGGACAGTCGGGCGATATCCGTACGAACGTAGTCTGTCACACAATGTATGCCGTTACAGCGGTCCAAGTTGAGAGAACACAATGGTCAACCGCGCCGGTCACTGTGCCAAAGTTGAACTTCAAGATCCAGGTTGAACTATTTAAATGTCGGGTGAGGTCAACTGCATGTGATACTTGGCCCTTCACCTGATACCGGCGTACACTAAGGAGTTAGGTACTTTTTACCACATTGACGGCCCGAGTCCCAGGGCCTAGGCAAGCTTTCAAAGGTTCCGTGAAGGTATTGAAATGTACAGTATCTTTGCAGGCTGGGTCACGTTGACAGATAAGATGGAACCTTGGATCATAGGCGCACCCAAATCTCGATGATTGAAACGGATCAGTCTGCAGCTCGCTCAATCAAGGCGTAATGGTAAGCCGAGCATGGCCTTCGAGACAAGGCATACTTGTCTTCCGGCTCCGAGCCTGGAATCCGGAATACCTGCAATATACGGGACTTCGCAACCCGGTTCACACAGCTCGACGAGTTTTGATCACTACCTGACCTCTCGATACAGCCACGGCTTGATTGCAACAGAAACGTCGTAGGTGCATTGATTATCTTGGGCCGTTGAAACGACCGATCGGGACGAATCCAGGCAGTAACGGCTACCTAGAGATTCTGGCCTTGGAAGCAGTACAACCATACGAAGTATGTACGCAGCGCAGCGAACCTGCAGTGGAATCTCCAGGCGCAGGCATCGTCTGATCTCCCAACGAGGTTAGTAAGGCCTGGACGAATTGCATCGGAAGAACTGCATCACTGGGGACGGGAGCTAGCCATCCTTTTAGCTCGAGATTTCGCGTCACGGTACCTAGATCCCAAGATTTTTCCTTTCGTGCCTTCCGCCGTTTTCGCTTCCCCCGCTCAACTTCGAGTCTCTCGACCACTGCATGTGCGGACCATCTGAACTCGGATACAAACTCAGCAATTGAACAACTGGGTTACTACCTTAGTAATCATCGAGCCTACGTCGCCCTCCCCGCGGTGTCATTGAAGTGATAAAGTGCTAAGAGCCTGAAACGACATGCGTTCCAGCTTTGTCAACATTGGGTTTGAAGATGGGGGGAAGGTTGTGGCCAGTGCTGCCCACAAATATGATGTGGTCTGTGTGCCACCTGCGGCTCGCCCCCTGGCCCAGCACGCCCAGGTCAGGTCTGGGACGGGAGTGGGATGCGTTGCGTTGCCTTCTCGCTTATCGAATCGAATCGGGATTTCGGAACCCGCCCCTGGTGGGTGGTGCTGGATGGATCCCTTCCCCGGATCTGGGAGATATGGACCCATGATCCCTTCCCCCCTCCTCCTACTGTACCTTAAAGTCAGGCTCGGGGTCTTGGCGGCATTCAACATGTTTTCACCCCCGGATTGATCATGATATGTACGGTGATGTGCCGCCTGAAAGGATTTTGAAAGAGGGTACTAGTATGCACTGGCATGTCATCCTTCACATTGAACACCCTTTGCAGTTTGCAACGCTATCGGGGTCAGGAAGGGATTGAGCCAGGTGCGCATCGTAGGTCGTCTGTGAATGGAGACACGCAGGATCTTCTGCCCAGGCGTTGTGCTTTTCAGATGGCAAGCATCAGACGATCATGAGCTGGTTCGGACTGACAGGCATGAATCGATCTGACCACTTACCCACCTTACGCTATTACGATTATGCACAAAATAACGAGATCCGCGCATGACATGCTCATCATCCCTTCTTCAGCCATTCTGCTCCGCTCGGCCTCGCTCACGGACGTCCATCTTTGATGGTTTCTAGAAGATATCGGAACGCTCCATGGTGAAAAGACCGGGTACTGTCGCCAGTGGTCTATGGATGCGATCCATGATCAGACATGAGTTTAGCCCATCATGGCGATCGGATGGTCTCGGATGCCCTAGGCAGGTTTCTCAAGCTTGAGGTACAGCAAAGCTGAGTAGAATGTTATATACACTTCAACAGTATTTCTTCGTCCAGAGTATGTACCACACTGCTGCGAGTGAGGTGAGGTCCCGTTAGGTCGATGTTACTACGACGCGGAGACAGCTCCTGGATCTCATCCGCCGGACGTCGTACATCAGTAGGACATTATCGCTGTCACGCTTGAAATTCGCAGCTCCCCTTTCCCTAAGACTGGATCATAAACATTGTTGGGAGGTCCTGGTGGCCATAAGCAGGTGATAACGACAGATAATTTCCCACCGGGATAGGCACCAGATCGTGGGATTCCAGATCGGTGACAACGATTTATGGAGAGAAGGGCAGCAAGCCACAGTACCCCGGGCCGAAAAGCGGCTGAGTTTACCCACGATGAGCCGCGAGGTGCCCCCGCGAAGAGCTGCCTCCAAGGAATTAACATATCGCTATTACAATCATCTTCCTGAGTGGCACAAAAAATATATCTAGCTGCGACTCGTTTCGATCGAGTGACCTCCGGGTTATGAGCCCGGCGCGCTTCCGCTGCGCCACGCAGCTTCTAACTTGATTGCTTGTTGGATTGGGACGACGGGAGAGTGGGTTATAGGGATTCGGGGGACAAAGGCCGTCCCTCCTGCGGTCGCCCTAAGCCCTAGCTACGATGGAGCAGGATCAGACCGCCAAGCAACAGGTCTTCAAGGAAGCACAACGTATTCGCGTGATGGCCATGGAGAGCAAGGGTGAGAAAGAGAATAAGACATACTGCAACCGCTCAGTTACCTCAGATTGTTGCGCGTTGTTTACGCTGTCACTCACCCCGATCCTCCAGGGTCATTTGGGCGAGGATAATTTGGAGTTATACTGTACAGACGGCAACTCCGCTGAAAGGTAGAAAGAATTTCGTGTCCCAGTCTTCAGCAGGTGTGGTTACAGAGGACCCCCCTCCTTTCTCGAAGCCGGTCAGTGTCATCTCGAAGATCACCAACGCTCGGGCTCACAATCGAGATCGTGCTCAAGATGGGGCAGCTTCGGCGAAGTCCGATGACCCTGATAAGATCTCCGTCCACCAAGGATATTCGAAGCAAGAAGTCGGCACATCAAAGCGCGTGGGAGGAGAAGCTTCGAGATTCCACAGAGGAGATGGCCAAATCCACACCAGGATCGTATCGGGAGCCCTTTCCTTGGAATACGTAGAATTTCCGAGCCTGGCGGACTTTCCCAGAGGAAAGTTGACGAGATCCGAACGAAGCCCACATCCCGAATACTTAGTCAAGAGGAAACTGAAAGCCAGCCCAGACTGAGTGGCCGCAGTCTAGAAGCCAGACACCATGACTTAGGTAAGCAAGTAAGTGAGTAAGCGCGTTAAAGGCTGTTAGCGGGGTGAAGGTCTGCTGCAGTGAGACAATCGATCCAAGTGCCGTGCATTTCCTAGCTGCATACGGCACTGAGGAGAATGCTGCATTTGCCGGCGCTTCGTGCGACCTGCAGCCGCCAGACGGCCTCCATTCGAGGTCAACATCAGACTGCCCGAGATGCATCAAGCGCCGTAGGGGCAATGGGTGGACAGCAATGGCTAGCAGGTCGAATAGATGAGCATCGAAGGAATTATCGGTGCCTAAGGCTGTCGTGATCCCGAGACGAAGGCCGGGAAAGAAAGGGCATTACCTTTCCCCGCTGTTTCTGATCGGATCGGTGTTTGGATGTTTTGCTGGGCAACCGGCCGGACTGGCGTTCATCACGTTCCTGTTTTGACCATGCCGTCACCGTGTTAGGAGTTGATCCTATCTTTTGAGGATCGGACGGGGCAATCTTCAAACCAAACAGACATTGGATCCGTGGAGTTGAAGGGTGCCAGCTTGCTTGTCAGCGGCAGATTGCCAGATGGACAAGACGACCGTCTGCTAGAAACATCGAGTTAACCGTTCCCTGCCACCTGATAGCGCGAGATAAGGTTTAGTAGCATCAGCCTTGTCGGTCGGCGACCTGCGCGATTCAAAATGTTTCACCCGTTGTTTCCCTGGTCCGGCAAGGGCTGGCCCGGCGGGTGGCGATTGCTGTTGTTCGGCGAAGTTGTCGTTTAGGTACATGTACTTAGGTACGTACGAAGGAAGTCGCAGTGGGTTTGGTGGGGCGGCATGGGCCTGTGGGGGAGGCCCAATCGGGCAAGGCTTGATACACGGGTGAGATTGCGCCAACGTCTTAGCGAGTTTTAAGGATTCTGCACCCAGGGCCGGAACTGATCAGAGCCTTGAAGCAGGGGCGTTGCTGGGGCCATGTCCTTGCAATATCGGTCTCGCATTAACGTCATCATGGAGATATCGTCGATGAGAATTCACAAGATCGCGTGCAGTTGCTGCGAGTTCGCTCCGACCGATCGGAAAGTTTGTCCGGCATGCAACGGTCCGCAAAGAGCCGTCGAAGAGCGGTCCAGGCCAGCTTGGGACCCGTTGAAGACATTGACCTGCATGCACGATTGTCCGGCTAACTGACCACCTTCGACGTTAGACTAATTCCACGCTGAGCATATGGCAGCCCAGATTGTATAGCAGCTCGACTCGAAAGCAAGGCCCAAGAACGTATTCAAGCTTATGTTGCATTGTTTTGGCCTCAAAGAACGCGAATCGAGCCGCCGGCCACCCGCTGCGACCGTCTCTTTCCACTACAGATTGCCGGGTTTCTGGGGCTGCGGTTGCTGCAACTTGCTGGGTTGTGGACTGTCCGTCTCAACAATCGAGTAGAAACAACCTCATGTTTCAACTGTGGGCGATGTCAAACCAAACGAACGGAATGAGCATTTGACAGTGGATGCTTGCCTGGCATGGGATTGAAATCGCGGGGCAACAGGGTCCCTGGGCAAGAGCCTCAGAAGAGTGGATACAAGAAGCCTGCTGCAGCTAATCACAGATGGCATTCTGCACAAGGGCCAGGGGATTTGTGCGACAATCCCAGACCAAGGACGACTTCGACTTCGCGGCACCCGTGTCAAACGTCAGACACAGACCTCTCTCTTCGATCTCGCGAATGTCCTCGGACTTGATGACTACGTTCCGATATCTAAGCCTCAGGCGGCAAATATCTTTCCCAGAGAGGCTCACTCCTCGTGTGTCGAGCAATTCCACCAGTTGACAACCCCGATCCCTGTGAAGCCTGTCTAACTAAGGATGCGAGATCCAGCTCCGTCAGCCGCTCTAATACCTCCGTACATGCGCTGGCATCTGCACCGGGTCGGTCTCCCGAGTCAGCGTTTCGAGTCTAGAATATGCAAACGCGGCGGCTGCTGCAACGCGATTCATGGCCAGTGCCAGACATGACCATCATCTGAAGTTCTGTTGTCCAGCTCGTCGAACACTGATTTGAAGGCAGTGGCTGGACAGGGGCACCGTCTGTATACGAACGAAAGTCTCGGAGCAGGCTTCTGCTCTGATCCGATCTTTTTCAACATGGAAATTGAGGCTGTGCCCGGATCCATCAAAGATCACTGACAGCCAGCTCTCCGTGTACTTGGGTAGCCAAGGCTGATGGACAGGCCCATCTTCGAGGCCGATGGCAGCTCAACACAAAGTTACCGCTCCTGTACCGCTCCCGCGCACCGACGACGTGTAACCATACCCTGGCCACCCGACCCTTCTCCCCCCAGGAGTCTCCACATTGGTCTGTAACAGGCTTCAGAGCTTGTGGTGTGGCTGTTACCCCGGTCCGCCCACCGGGATTGGGTGAGCCTCCAATCCGATGTCATGCAACAGATACGTAGTATCGAAGTTATCTGTGTGCATTATTATTGCTTCCCTTTCCTTCTCCCCCGCCAGAGCGCTTTTGTCTTCTCCTCTTGTTCATCTTCCTTACCCATCGAGGGTTTACTTGTGGATTCCCATTCAGCCATCACTACGCTGTTGCGTGTGTGTCCCTTTCTTTTTTCCTATTTTCTCTTCTCGCAGCTGACATTGTCGCTCTTTCATATACCCAACTAGTTTTTGGCTGCCTACATTCTTTTCTGGAGAAAGATTTTCACTATAGGACGGTATAATCTGGTTCATTATACTTCATCCCTTCGCCTGGCCGAACTTATTGTCGATTCGTTTCGTGTATCTTGGTCTATTCGTCGACGACCGGGTGACTTTGCTCGCCTTCAAACGAACTTGGGAGAAGGACCACCAGCCTCGGAGGTCTCGATCTGCTAAGTTGCATGGTACTATAACGAAACGGAGCCGACTTCGATTCTTGAAGCAGCCAGTTCTGCCATTTTAAGACGCTATATTTGTACAACCTTCGATTCTTGGGACATACCGCCTGGTATAACAGCTGGACCGACTGGATCGTGCTTTTGTGGCAAGCAGTAGCTGGGAATCAGAGACACCTGGAAAGGGGTCAACATGTCTCCGGTTATGCACATGGCTTCCCAGCTCCTCCCGTACACACCTACGTCGGACGCCATGGAGCGCCACGAATACGGCGTCACCAAGCACAGGAAGGCTACCTCGACGGGGGGTGGGCGAGCATGGAGCGAGGATGAGGTATGCGGAGTCTTTGGTTCGAGTGGTAAAGATTGTCAGGGGTTTAACAGTTGTGGGATTCTAGGAAGTGTATCTCCTCCAGACACGACTCCAGAAGATGCCCTACAAGCACATCGCTGCGCATCTCAAAAAGACAGAGCTCGCTTGTCGCCTTCATTATCACCAGCTCAGCCACGGCAGCAACCGCCGCAAGCGCACCACCTCAATGTCGTCAGCATCCTCGGGGGGCGGCCACTCGCCGACCCTCCAGGCCTCGATACCTTCGCCCATTCACGAGCACGGTGGCACATCGAGCCGGTCAGCCTCGCCACCCGAATCCGCGGGATCGTATGGCTTAGGGAGTCCCGGCGGCATCCAGCTGCCCAGCATCATGTCAGCGACCGCCTCAACCAACACATCCCCCCGCCTGCCGACCATCCTACCCAAGCCGTCCTCAATGACGCTTGCCCTGGCCTCGATGGGCGGCGGCTCGGGCACCGCATCCCCAACAGCCTCCCGCGGCTACCCCACGCCCCTTCACGACTCCCACCCTCACAACGCCACGCTGATGACTTCGGCAGCCACCAATACCGGCGCTGCTGCCCCGCACTCAACCGTTTCGCGCATAGGCCCACAGCACCACGGCCACGGCCACGGGAACGGTCACGGCGTCCCGCAGCTGCGACTCGACTGTTCCGCACTCCCACCTCCACCGTCAGGAGGTTTCCAAACCCCTTCCTCCAGCCACCCAGTCGACATGTCCCGGCTGGCAGCCGTGTACAACACCCACCGGGCGTCTTTCTGGGCGGCTGTCGCGGCTGATTACGGCGGTGGCGCGAACCCGTTTGTGCTGGAACAGGCGTGGCGAAACAGCACTAGCCATGGAGGAGGCATTGGCATGGGCATGGGCGTGGCAGCGCAGATGACGCCTATCACGCCGGTGGGCAGTCCGGAGGATCATATTTATGGTACTGGGACTGGTACGGGTGCGGGTGCGGGTGGGCAGGCGAAGCCGGATAAGACGCGGATTAGTGCTATTCTGGGGATTGATGCTAATCCGAGGAGTCCGAGGGAACGGGAGATGGTTAGACGGATTGAGGAGGAGAGATGTTCGGTTCCCGTATCGGTCGGGGTGGTGGGTGCCTGATAACCTGGATGGGTTTTTGATGGGTTGGGTCAGATTGGTTGATGGTGGTGGTGATGGTGGCGACCGGCTTCTGGAAGAAGAAGCGTCCTCTCGTTTCCAGCTCTTCTTCTTCTCACGATCTTTCTTGGGGTGTTGTTTTTGTCACTTGGTTTTTGTTGATTTGGTTTGGTTTGGTTGGATGCCAGGGGGATTGACTCGGCCGTGCCCCAGGCTTGGACGGAGGAATGCAGTGATCAGGGGACAAGGGAGTCCTTCTAAACGATTTGCTGGCTGTGTTGTTACCCCTTTTATCCATTTATGCTCTGCTGTTGTCTTGCAATCCATTTGTGCAGGTTGCCTTGTTTGCTGTTACCCCTTGCTGCTTTTCATTGATGGAAAATGGGGGTATGGGATATTGGATGAGGGATGAAGTCACGACACGACATCAACAGCCAGGAATAACCCAATTAACCCTATCTACGGTACCTTAGCTTACCTATCTCTACACAAAACTCTCTGACTAACGGATCACTGGAACTCAATAGCAGGGTTCCTGGGCGGTGTCTCGGGAGGGGCGGGTTCGGAAATGGCGCAGACTACCCTAGCTTGGCGGCAGTGCACTGGAAATGTATGATAAACTTGGAGTAGCTAGAAGGTGCTGAAAGCAAAGAACCGTGTCTTGCGGTTGTTTCCCAATCAGGGTACTTCAGTTAGGCAGGTAACACGCTCAGAGGAACGTGCTCTTTTGGAGGTAACAGAGCTGTGCGATGGCGGGAACGGTATTGCTGCAACAATGGAGAATTTGTATACCACTCGTCGAGTCTGATTGGGTTTGACCTTCCGTCGATGCCGGACTTTGATGGGATTCGTTGGACGTTTGAAGATGACTCCCACTGAATGAGGTAGTGTACCTTATGCGGTTGGCAGTTAGGGTTTAGGCAGCAGAGGTGCCTAGGCATTGGTTCAACCGCCCAACAATCAGTCACGCCTTCCGACTTAGAGCATTTTAGCATCATCCTCAAGTCCCTCACTATCGAACTCGCCTTCTCTGCCAACAATTCACGGTCACTCTTTTCCTTCAACATGTCTGCGGTAGAGGAACTTCCCCCTTTCAGGTATCGTCAGCCGCGTATGGAGTACGTGGAGGACGTTGAGAAATACGTACCTGGTGGTTACCATCCTGTCGACATCGGCGACGTTATTGGGACCGGCACCCAGCAGTACGAAGTCATTCACAAGCTTGGGCACGGAGGCTTCTCGACCGTTTGGCTTGTTCAATTGCGTAGCGACATTGACAGGCCCTCCTACTTCGCCTTGAAAATCCTCTATGCTGAAGTGAGCGATTCAGACGACGACGAACTGAGGGCGCTTCAGCATCTCCGAGAAGTGTCTGGTCCGCTGGGACATCCGAACGTGCTGACCTTGTACCACTCGTTCAAAATCTCGGGTCCCAACGGCGAACATCTCTGCCTCGTTTTCCCGGTTCTGGGCCCAAGCCTCAAGGCATACAAGATTCTTGAGGCATTGTCCGGCCTTGCGCGACATCAGCTGTGCTGCCAGGTTGCCAGCGGGATGGCATTTCTCCATGAACATGGAGTCTGTCACGGCGGTAAGCTACTTTCCTATAATTTGATTGTCCAGAATTCGCTGACCGAGATATGAACGTAGATTTCACCCCAACTAATGTTGCTTTCGAGCTTCCGAACATCCACTCCATGTCTCGGACTCAGTTGTATCAACTTCTAGGCGACCCCGAATCTGAGCCTCTCAAACTGGGCAATGGCTCATACTCGGAGCATGCCCCGAAGCGCGTCATCCAGACTCCCAACTTCCCAAGTCTAGATTATTCTTCTCTCTCTCGCGTCGTGATCGTCGATTTCGGAAATGCCTTCTTCGCGGATTCTCCACCGCAATCGTCAGGGTCTCCGATAGATTTCTTCCCTCCAGAGATTTGCTTCGGCTACTCGCCCTCCACCAAAAGCGATGTCTGGCAACTTGCCTGTGTCCTTTACACAATCCACGCCAGAGAGCCCTTGTTCCCCACGTTCTTTAGAATATTCGAAATCCTTGTAGGCACTATCGTGGGTTTTCAAGGGTCCATTACCCCAGGAATGGAAGGGCCGGTTCAAGTTCGATGAATACGGCCACCGAAAAGCGGGAAAAGAACCGAAAACAACAGATCCGGCTTGGTGGTTTGAGGAAAAGCAGTCAGAGAAAACGATCGACAGCCGATTCTCCCAGCATGCACAGCATCTCCCTACCAATCTGATTAGAGAGTATACACGCCTGCTCCACGACATGGTGGCATATGAGCCCACGCAGCGCATCTCCGCGGCCGATGCTGCGCAGCGGCTGAAGTCAATGACATACACAGATGACAGTTGAATGAAAGATTAGGTGAGTGCGAAGGCACTACGTTCATATCTCTGAGGCTTTCGAGTTATTCCCCCCGGTTCCAATCGCCAACGTGGGCCACGCTTTCTTACTACATGCCATATGGCAAATGAACCCACTCATCCCTGCTTACTGCTTTGCAAGTCTATTTCCTAACGTTGGACGGTCGGAGGTAGGTTTTATCGTTCTCTTCACTTTTCCATCATCGTCTTCCATATACTTGTTTTACACCACGGTGCCTGGACGACGCTCCAAGGTAAAGCTGATGAAGGATGGATCCGAGTAAGGAAACGGAGCCGGAGCGCCTAGCGGAAGACAACTTGAAATGCCCGGCAACTGAGCCTCAAATGACGGTACCTTGCACAAATCACGACGTGTTCGAAGTGGCATACCCAAGTCAACGCTATGGATTGACATGCCGAGGCATGCAACATTCAACAGGTCGATAGCGAGGTGTCTTTGATCCGTGTACTGATGAAAGGATTCGGTCCTCTTAGTACTAAAGACCTTTCCTCCTTGGGCACAAAGTCTAGAGTCTGCCTATCGGTTAGTCAAGCTGCAAGCGCATCAGAAGTAGTTCAGAAAGTTTGACTCCGCGTAGGGACTCAAGTATAAACTCAACCCAAGCACGCAAACTACTTACTACAGCGGCGGTGTATCATTGAACTCGTCCAACAGCCCAGGAGGCACTCTCATGCCAGCAAAGCCAATTTCATCAATCCACTTCCTAATCTCCTGCTCTTCCTCCTTTGAGACCTGAACGCGCACAGCCCCGATGTTTTCCTCAAGATACTTGATATTCTTAGTTCCCGGAATCGGGAAGATGTCCTCCCCCTGGGCCATCAACCAAGCGATGGTCAACTGTCCTGGGGTGCAGCCCTTCTTGGCAGCCAAGCTCTTGAACCTTTCAACAAGATCCAGATTCTTGGGAAAATTCTCCTTGCTGAAGCGAGGGAACAGGCGCCGCAGATCTCCCGGCTCAAAATCATCAGGCGACTTGATCTGCCCCGTCATGATGCCCCGGCCGAGCGGCGAATAGGAAAAGACAGAAACCCCCAGCTCCCGACACGTCTGCAGGAGGAATCCCCAGTCAGGCCCCTCAATCTCGAGCGCCCATGGACTGAACTCGACCTGGAATGCATCAACCTGGTGCACGGCACAGGCGCGACGGAGGGTATCGGCAGACGACGCGGAAATGCCAATGTGCCGGATCTTTCCTTCCCTGTTCCCCCATCAGCGCCCTTCACACTACTAACCCACTCAACAATCAACAGTTAAACGACCTACTGTTTCAACCTGACCAGCTCAGCCATGGTCTTCTCAACAGGCGTCTTCCCGTCCACCCGATGAACATAATACAAGTCAATATAGTCAACCCCAAGACGCTGGAGGCTTCTCTCGCACTGCTGACGGCAGTACTCGGGCGAGCTGTCAATGAGGAGTCCCGGGCTGCCGTCCTCCTTGATGCCCGGCCGTAGACCGAACTTGGTGGCCAAAAAGATGCCGGCGCGGCGCTCCGGATGCAGTGTGAACCACTTGCCAAGCAGGTCCTCGCTGTCTGCGTACATGTCGGCCGAGTCCCAGTTGGTGCAGCCCAGCTCCCAGGCGCGGTCGAGGACCTTGAGGCGGTCTTCGTCTGGGCTGGAATGGGATATGTGAGTCGGTATTTCTTTGGAATGGTTTGATAGAAGATGTTCTGTTTGAAACTCACCCAACAGAACCGTATGCCGTGCTCAGTCCCATCAGGCCGAAGCCGACGGCCGTGATATCGGAGCCATTTCTGCCCAGCTTGCGTGTTGGGAGCTTTGCAGGCGGCGGCATTGTCAGTGCTGTCAGTATTCTCTCTCAATGAAATGAATGAGTTGAAGGAATGGAGCTACTTTATGATCTGGAAGTGAACTCCAAAGGTGAGTGCCAGAGAGGCGGCGAGATTAAGCATAAAAAGGGTGCCGGGTAAGCATATCAGATTCCCCGCACAGGCAACGCTGCAACACCGTTTCCCGTCTCTGTCAATATCCGTTTCGAGTTCCAGGGCCAAGAAACCCGAGACTCGAACCTCAAACGTTGAGGCTGATGAAATGGTGTCTTCATGTGAGATTCGCATCAGACCCCGGTCGGGTCTTCATCGCCCAAGAGCTCCAGGCTGGAAGCCAGCAGTTTAAAGCAACGCTTCGTAAGATGGCGGACCGGGATGATCTGTGTTGGAACTCGGCCCGAGATGTTCAATTGCTATAAGTGCTATTAATTGCCAGTACTTGCCAAATTGTGGATGTTTCTGAGTCCCAGGGACATACTGGCAGTCGAGGAAGGTGCCCTCTGACCCTATCTCAACCCGAAAGCGAGTGGATTCGGAGTTCTTGGTAGTAGCACCTTCCAGGATTCCAGAATTTTTCCATCGGAGCCCATACCATGGTCCTTGACGACAGTTACGGCTGCGGGTGCTTGCCCTGGTCTCCCTCAACCTAGGTGGAAGTGCCTACGCACCACGCCCTTCGGTAAGTTCAGCTGTATCAAGCCATTTCTATACACCATCGTATGAGTTGTATCTCCGACAATCAAGCGGCATAATTCCAGTTCCGATGCGGCATCTCCTATAGTTAACGCTCACTCTTATCTCCCCGCCCTCTGTAAATCAAACCAGCGCACTCGCCATGGCGAGGCCACCGACCCCAACCCCGTCGCCGCCTCTAGCTGAGAAACGCCAAATCGAATGTTACTGGTACCTGCTACACCTTATACCTTGTACAATACCATCAGCTTTATTCATCCCAAAGTCAACAAAGAAGATACCTTACTAACCAGTTCCCGTCGGTGTTACGGTTAGGCCCAACATCAAATCCTGGCTCCGCAATCCCACCGCCGCCCAGCCCATCCCGACCTGCTGCATATGCCACGACGAGCTGCCAGTCAGGGGCATTGAACGCGCCAGTCCAAGCGGCAGTCCCCCTCCCGGCTCGCCCGAACCACCCATTGCTCTGAACCCCCCGCCTCGCCCTGCTCCCGCTCCCACCGGAAGCTCATCCCAACCCGAGTTCTGCACCCCCTCCCTGACCCTCGCCCAACTCGGTCTTGAACCCATCCCTCCTCCTCGACCGCGACACTACGGCCGCTACGGCTGGGCCGAATGCGAGTTCTACCGGCGCCTCCGCGCCTCACTCGCGGGCGAATCCAGCGCGCTCTCCATGATCCGGCAGCACAGCCTGCCGTGCTTCTTCTTCTGCGGCCACATTGTCTGCCGGGGGTGTCTCGACAAGGAGGTCAGGCTGCATTCCCTCCGGCCGAGGAAGTGCCCCGTGTGCATGGAGCCTTTCAATTCCGACGTCGCGGGCGAGTGTCAGCATGTGCTGTTCCACGTGTTGGATCCGGGGCCGGATGGGGCAGACAATCTCGATCTTTGTCCGCTCACGAAATCTGAAGGGGGGGAATTGCCGGATTTGTGCTGGAATTGTGAGAATTTGGAGCTGGTGGTTGAGACGGATTCGAGAACGAGTATCAGGAAGTTTAGTGCCGAGTTGAATCTGTGGATGTTGCGGCCGTATACGGTGATTGCGTTTCATTATCGGCACAGGGAGTTAGGGGCTAAGCGAAGGGAGGGGAGGTTGGAGGTGTTCAGGGGTTCGAGGACGCAGTTGATATTTGGGCTGAGCGATTTGAGGCCGGTCCGTGACGCGACGTGGCTGGGTACGTGGCGAAAGAGGTGCTATGGGTTTATTGAGAAGGTGATGGTTGACTACGAGACGTGGGATTCACTCCTTCCTCCCACACTCTTTGTTCTTCATCATGTGGAATAGCAACCTGCTTGCATCTCAGCGATCCAGCGTTTAGCGGTATCAAGCAGCGTCTAGTCTGAATGGATATCAAGCGAGCATAAGGGGTTCTGGATCTCTCTCAACGCGAGACGATATCTGGGGTGAAAGAACCGCTCGAAGCCAGGCCGTCGTGCGTTGGGCATCGAAGATGGCTGCCATGGTACCGGCTCCTGTTCTGCTTCTTCCGCCCCATACCGGCATACCCTCACAACACCGTACCCGGAGCCCAGAAAACGAGCCTTGCCTCGAGACCACGTGCTCAACAAGCATCATGGCTAACTCCATTTGAATGCACCCTCCCTCCCTTCAGATGCACCTTGTTTGTACAGGCCCCGTGTTAACGTACGTTCGTCTGAGCCACCCTCAGCTTCCTTCACTGACCGGCGCCAGCAGCCTCCTCAGCTGACTTGTTCAGCAGCTTGCGTGCTCGATCGGCAGCAATATCGCACATAGCCTGAGACACCGCCAATAAGCCAACAGTCAGCGCATCACCTCACAACGAGCAGACAAGTAACCGCTCAAAAGCGTGAGTAGGTAAGGTAAACCCACCTGTATCCCCTCCCTCTCCTCCGCTTCTAAATCTCCTCTCTCAATCCTCAGCTTCATATCCCTAAAAATCTCCTCCCTCGGCCGCCCATTCACCCACACCACATACCGCAGCCCCGGAAACCTCGCTTCATACTCCCGATTCAACCTCGCCAACTCCTCCTCCTCCTCGCTCCCACCATGACCCCTTAAATGGCTCTGTTCCATGCTGCTCAACACACTCATCCCGCCTCCGCCGCTAATCCCAGCCCCTCCAACCCCTCCATTAGATTTCTTTTCGCCCAGACGGGGATGACTCCCCAGGACACGATGCAGCGCCTTCCTTCCCTCACCCTCCCTCTTCTGTTCATCACCCTCACCCTGAACGACAGAAACAAGCTCCATCAACTGCTCACGCAACGTCCCAATCAAATCGTCCCACGACCCAAACGAGATGGTCCGCATAGTAGGCAGCGCGAGCGCGTGCAAGTCGGGGCAGGGCTCAAACAGCAGGTCCAGGGTTGCGGCCAGGGCGGTGTCGGACAGGGTTGGCAGTGAGCTGATTGCGGGGAGGAACGGGGTTGCTGTGGGGTTTAGCCTGGAATCGGATGGGAGTGTTGTCATGGTGGGCTTCTTTCTCGATTTTGAGTTGTTGGTGTTGTTGTTGCTATTGTGAACGGGCAGGGATCGGAGCTGAGCGCTGGGTTGATTGATGTACCTATTGATGTGCACGTGTAGTGTACAATACTACAGGTCTGGGAAAGTGATGTGTGAAGGGGGAGTCCAGAAGAAGATTGAGGGCGGGTAAGGTGAGGAGGTGGTTGACGTCTATCTACGGATGAAGCTGCAAGATAAGGGCTGTGTTCCAAGTTCCCCTTGCCGAGGATCTTGGTGGGGTTCTACAGTATCTTTACCACGCAGATGGTCTCTGCAGATGGTGGGGTGCTGCTGCATGTGGCCTGCGTGACGTCGACGGTTCTGCGGATCCTTCCGCTAGGGAAAACTGATGGGATGACATGCGGACGCTCCCGACAACATGAGCCTTCGCGTCCTAATGAGTTTCATTACCTACACGTGTACCTTTGATGTTCAGTCGACTCCGGTGACGGGCATCTGCTCCATGGCCCCCAAACCCGGGCGTAATTACTCCGGTACGCCGGAAGGGTAAAACGGAAGATGGCACGAATCACTCCACTTGCTCCGCATCCTCATCGGCAGGTTCCGAGCAAATTCAGGCCCCAGAGGTCTCACTAAGCCCGGCATGTTCCAAAGTCGAACAACGAAGTACACATGGATGTATGAACATACACACCCATCACCTCACGCTTCTCTGCACATAGTCAGTCGCTCAACAAGCTCAAGCAACGCCGCTTTTGTTTGTGCATCTCCTTGACCCAACTCCGTCCATGCGACGCTCCCTAGAACTGAATCGCTGAGCACTTAGTTACAGGTGGGTTGCCAACTCGCACATCCCGCAGACGAATCAACAGCAAGTCGCAGACATGATAGAAAAACCATTAAAAGAAACGCGTACTAATGAGAAGATGGACATTTTACCAAACAATGCATGCAACTTGCAAAACCCAGTTCAGTTTGCCCCCAACCAACCAAACACAAGAGCAATGCCTCCAATGCCCCCAAGCAAAGTCAATCCTAAAACTCCGGTCCCGGTTCAGTTCATGTGCCTTTTCGAGGTGGTATTTTCCGCAGAGACTCTCCATCCAACAATGCTCCGTATAGATAGATAGATAGCACAGCTGCACCGCTCAGACATCAGCACCTGGCATTCCAAGGTATCCCATCCAAATCATCCATATAGTCTTCAAAATGATCCCCACCACCATCCTCATCAGGCGCGTCCCCCTCTCCCCCGCCAAAAATGACCCCAAAGTCAGCGTACACATCCTCCGGCTCGTCTTCATACCGACTCTCATGCTCCGACGTGGGGAACGCCACGCCATCATCCTCCTCCTCCTCCTCCTCTCCATTCTCATCATCAAGTCTCCCCTGGTCCTCAACCGCAACAGCTGGCCGGGTCACCCTGAGCTCAGGCGACCGCAGCGGCCGCAGTTGCGGGCTGGGAATCACCAGCCGAGTCGATACCTGTCCTGCTGGCTGGAGTCCTGGCCGGCTGCTACCCGCCTGCACGCCCACCCCAGCACCTAACAACGCCGCCGCCGGTACGGCTCCTGGTTTAACAGATGTGGGAAGACTAATCCATTGCACGGCCGGACTCGACATCCGACTCGTTGAGTCAGTGATGTACCGTCCGCCAACAAACACACCTGTTCCAGGACTGTGTTGAAACGCAGCAGCCCTGGCCGCCAGAGCAGCCATGTCGGGATTACCGCGCTCGGCAGCCTCGGCACAGACACGCTGCCGGAAGCTATTCAAGACAGCCGCCCGCCGCAGCCATGTCGAGGGGCTCGGCTGGTGGGGCGGGCCTCCTGTCTGCGCTGAGTTGGCCCCGGCGCTCTGGAACCGGCGGGCGGCCAAGATGGCGGCGAGCTTCAGGAAGCGGTTATTGCCTGTTGCCACCGCCTCCCTGTTCAGAATGTGGGTTGCTGGGAGCGAGAAGGGCTGCGAGAGCCGCGACGTGATGAGGTGTCGCAAAAGACGTCGCTTCTTGCAGCTTAGTGATGCGGTGTTGGGGCCGTCGACATCCGTGTCTGGCCGCCGCCGTTTGAGACATGGCCTTTCTTGTGTTGACAGCCGCTGGAGCGGGAATGACACCACTTGCTTTCCCGAGGGGACGAGCTTAGGGAATACAAGGGCCGGATCCACATGCCTCGGTATGATGCAAACATAGGGAGCAATCTCGCCGACTGTGGCCGCCGTAGTAGGGGGCGAGACAAGGTCACCGGTTTGCTGAGACTTGGGCTTGGCAGACTTAACCGGCTTCACCACCGAGAGGGCGACCCCGGGCGCCAGGCAGTGGGTGTGATAGTCCGCTCTGTTGCCCTTTGAGAGGTCGCGAAAGCGGTCGTTCAGCTTGGGAATCGTAGATGCCTGGAAGAGTGCCGCTTCGAGTTGTACATGGTTGTCATGTTCCAACCGAACGTCGCGGAAGCGCCATGGGTTTTGTTGTTCGAACGAACGCTGGCTGGCGGACTCAAGTTGCAATCCCATCGCGAAAGCCTCGGCCCCTACCCAGCCCAGGACAAGAGTGTCCAGAAAGTCCTTTCCTCCTGTTGCTTGGCGGAAACTCCTCGCGGTTACATTAGCCCAATGGTTGCCTGAGCCGTTGATGATGGACTGTCTAGAGGAGCGAGACCATGAAATTGGATGGCAGATTCGCTGATGATGTGTCAGGGGAAAGGGGCTGCCGTTCCAACAAGACACTCTCAGGCTGATCCACCCGACATGCACCAGTCAACGTTCTCTGAATACGTCGACACGATCGAGCGGCCACCAACGGCTCCCGCAGGACAAAGCATGAACAATGGATGGAGCCGGCTCGAGTCTCAATCCAGAACAAGGGAATTCTAAGCCAAAGTGCCAACCGGACAAGGGTTTCTGTCACGGCACCACGATTCGCGTGTGCAGCATCTCCCGAACTGAAGTCGGCTTTGCGGTTACCCAACTTCCCGGTGAGGGGTTAGGAAGGATCGGTCCCGGCAGAGGAGGCTCTTCGGCGAAGACGACCGGAAAAGGATGTGGCGTGCCTTGCTTGCTCCGTTTCGCGGGGGTTCCAGAGAGTCGGGAGCGTGGGAGGAAAGAGGCAGCGGAGCGGGATGAGAAACGGGCGTGTGCCTGTATTAATCAGAAACGCAGGGGATAGAAAAGAGAGTACCAGCCCGGCGGTGTCGAGTGGAGAAGGACGGAGATCTTGTTCCACCAGGCCGCAGCTGGGGGAGATGTGATTCCCCACAAGCAGCAACCTGGTCAATAAAACCACCGGTCGAAGGCTGCAGAGCACGACATGGACCCTCTCGAGCGCCCTTGAAAGAATCACTGAAGGAACTTCCCGGGGTCGTGACCAAGACAATTGCTGACTGGCCGAGCTGAGAGGGATAAAACTCGCTAGCGTATTGGTGATGTGGTCAGGTCCAGAGCAGCCTGCAGTAACGTAAACTCAATGAGGCACGCCGCATTGGTGCGTTCCCAGAGGCTTGGTCCTGGGTGGCCACCCATCGGGTGACTGAGGGTCAGAATGTGGAGAGCGGGCAGGGGTTCGAGGGCGCCAAGGTTGCGGTGCAGACGTTGAAGTCTCGGTCCATACGAGGCTCGAACGGTCTGGGACTTTTTGATGAGAGTGAGAGCGAGCCGCAAAGTCAGGCACAGTGATGATCGCCCTCAGTGTGATGATCGTCCTCAGTGAGACCGAGACAACGAAGCCGGCGAAGGGAGCAGAGTATCATGACAAGAAGACATTGAGCAGCTGGGCGAATGGCTAACAGCCTAGCATTGTCATCCGACACTGACAGGCAATGGCAAGACCGTAATAATTCGAGTTGCAGTAACAACGGGCCAAATGCCCAGCCAGTTGTTGAATTTTCATGGCGTAATTAGTGAACAAGAACAACCTGGAACTCGTGAATTGCTTCTTTCTGCTGTGGTTGGCGCAGATTCCCCGGCCTGCTGCGTAACCGGCAATGCGTTGTGGTAGGTTTATTCTTTGCCCAGAGGAAGAAGCCGGATCCCTGCAAGGAGGGGTTTGCCTTTTCGCCTGTTTCCTTTTCCCTTCCCGGAAACCGGCCCCCTGCTTGACTCGGCTTCACTGACCTGGTCCCTGCACAGTCTTGAATGTCACACGCACACTCGACTTCAAAGTTGGATTGTGGTGTGAGTTGTCCACCATAAATAACATAACGTTAGCTTCGTAATGTCCAGTGTTATTTCGCATCTCGGTCACTCTTTTGGGCGTTGCATTGGATGGCTCAGGATGGTAAACCGCCAGAGCAGGGTGTCACTGGCTCAGGAATTTCCCCACATACTGACAAGTCGATCCCCGGATTTCCTGCGTCCCTGGTACAACTGCGGGGAAGGAAGGAACAACCTACGTGCAGTAACTGTATGATACATCCCGTCTGTATGTACTGTACGAAGGTACAGTACGCTAAACCGACCTCAGAGCTTCAATTGATGGTCTAGAATCAGGGACATACGGATACAGCGTGTTGCCTCTTATGAAGTGCTTTATGAGAGTGTCATTCTTCATCAAGTTGCATTGCTTCGAACATCTTTGCCGGCCCTATAATGCACCAAATCAATCCCAAAATGGAGTGGGCCACAGCTCAATTCAATTTAATGTCGAGCCAAGTCATGCCCAGTCTGCCCATTCGCGCCAAATGTCGCACATTCCTCAACCTTACTTGATCGAGGGGGTCACGAGGCACATCAAAATGGTCGGCTTACTGGCTGCCAAATTGCACCACCATGCCTTAACGAGAGAAGAGTCCTGATTCCTGAAGGCGAATACCCAAGCTCTTTTCGGGAGGATCATTGCAGGTTCCCAACCGCTTCATCAGAAGCAGTCGAGGATCAAGGGATCCAGTCGCAGTGTTTCATTGCAATCTCCAACTTCTTCGACCCCCGGAGATGGCCATTGTTTCAACCACATCAACAAAGGCTAACTTGACTGATAGTCGACCAGGAGCACGACTTTCCGTTCCCGACATTTTCCGCCGTTCATATACGGATAAGGTACGGAGGATGGGGCCAAAAGTATTTGGCAGCTTCCTGCTGGTGCCAAGCCTGTCAACGTGTGAGAGGCCCAGGGAAGAGAGACGCACTGTATTTTTCTGCAGGGTTAGCGTCCCTCGTAGATCCCACTTAAGTGGCTGTTGAAGTGGGCAGTGATTTCGCCCTGTAATTGGCCTGTAAGTGGGCTTGACTATAGTGGGTTACAGTGGCTAGTGTAGGTGACTTGGGTGGACTGTGCGAACCTTACTGTAATGAAAGCTTGGTAAGGTAGGTAGTCTTGGCACCTAGCTGCCAAATACTTTTGGCCCCATCCTCCGTACACTATGTTTAAATGTAGGTGGTTTAAGATGGTTTGTAAGCAGCCCGGTACTGACGAGGTACGTCCGTACGAAGTACATACAAGCACAGCACAAAACAATCGGAGCGTGGAATTACCAATCCGTCTCGAGTATCCGTACTCAACCACAACATCCCAAGAAGGGTGATTCACGAAGTGCAAAGTACTCTACCTGTCTCCATTATTCACCGGCAATTGGACAGGAGTTTGGTCCGGGAGCAGGTTTTCAGTCCAAGTATAGGCAGTCTTCTACCTAGCAAGGGTCTCCAACGGTCCAATCCGATCTGAGGCGGCAAGATCACACACTCTGGTCTTCCTACATACGAATCGCAACTTGAAGGCGGCACTCCGACTGGTGCTGTTAAGTTAGGACTCGATGATTCGCTCACGCTGTTCCATTGTCCATGCATTTCCTCGGTTAATCGCCAGCTACCACCGAGAGTGCTCGCTAACATTTCAGCCGAAACTCTCTGCCACTCTGGCCGGTCCGACTCTCGACTCGGAAGCTGGCTTCGGGCTGTTCGTTTCGGCTAGCCGATCGGAATTATCCTCAGAAAACTACCTGCCGGTAGATGTATAAGTCAACGTTGACTGCGTCAGGCGGAATGGGGATGAAGCACGCCTGATGTGGCAGTGGCACGACCGCGGACCGCCCGTGTATTCATCTATTATCCTAACCCTAGGTGTTTATGATGCCACCACTTCTTCTAGGCGACGTTCGGGAAACTGCCGAGTAAGTCAGGGTAGTGTAGATTCCCCTCGCTATACCGAAAGCCAAAGCCAGTCATACAAAATCGGTCAGCGGTGTCGCACGATTCTTCGTTGTGCGGTAATACACGGCACCGTCCTTAGTCGTTGGGCTGCCCGGAGACCCGAGGACTTGGATCGGATGTTGCCAGCCGCAGGGGGGATTGAACCAAGTGTTAGATTCATCAAGTCATCTTGCTGCTGAATGGGATCAACCTCACCAGGCTCACCATGACTGATTGAGCGTTGGGTTTGGGTTCCATTTTACCTAGGTACTACGGTACGTTTGTACGGAGTACCTACCTCCTTTACTTACCGACGTGCGCTTTCACTCGCAGTCTCACGCATAGCAGCGCTGAACCACAGGGGCCAATTGCGATCCCACAAACCCCGTGGTGATTCAGGCACGCCTCTGTCAGAGTTCCAGTCGTTCCAAAAGACCTAGGCGTCAGGGTACGCTTCTTTATTACCTTCGTACCAGGTAATTTGATGATTCGGATCTGCCAGTTTCATCAGTCTCTTCCCTGGCTTCTTCGATGCATGCGCCAATAGGGAGCTGCCCCTCTTTTCTGTTGCACTGCAGCGAAAAACTGGCATTTCCAGAGTCCTGCATATCTCCAAAAATCCAGCTTGGCCGGAGATGCTTTTGTAGGAACAGGGGTCCGAGTTGTTGCTGTTTAAGATGGATGGTTCCGTGTCAAGATAAACAGGTTGGACGATGGAGAAACGAAGTTTGCGAAAATCCTGTCACTGCCTGGTCGTTACTTCCATGTCGGCAAGGCATCCACATTCCACACCTCACTTTCTTACCTTGTATCTTTAATGCAGCTCGTCGTCGCACACCAGCCCGCAACAGCGGCGCGCATATGCAGTAATTTCTCACTTGACGAATTGAAGCTACCGGGAGATCAGCGCTGCTGACAACCATACGAACTGTTTCCATATCCATCATGTCTTTGAAATTTTGCCAGTGTTGAACCTTTCAATTCCAAGACACGACTTCAAGCCCCACTGCTCAGTTCATATGGAGACTTGACGGATACCTACCTCGGCAATGCTACCTTACCTTACCGAATCCCGGCCGCTGCGCCGGCGTCCCGAAGTGGGTCCGCCGGGCTAACTCCGACCTCAGCTCCCCGTTCACCATGCTCTCCCTTGGCCGAATGTGTGCCAGGAGCTGGTTTGGTTTGTTATCTGTTCAAAGTTGTGGGCTTGTATCATACTGGACTTTCAGCGGCCTGCTTCCAGCAACGAATACTCGATCCCAACAAACACGATTCCCAGAGGCAGCAAACTTCTGTAGCAAAGCTGGCGGCCTACAGTTATTCAGCCTGTCACAAACGCCATCAATCAAAGTTCAGTTTGCGCTTGGCGCGGCAGAGATGGCCCACGATGACACTCTACTGTCCCTTCAGGAGACATTAAATCTGGTCAAGCTCCCTCGGCGAGGCGAAGTGAGACGGTTCATGTCCACAAGGGGTGCATATCTGCCAGGATCCGACTTTCCCGCGGGCAGGGAGATGCCTATGTTTCATAAGGCCTCATACGGTGGTCATGTGTACGGTCAATCGGCGTTGGCGGCATATCGAGTTTGGAGAGAGCTGGAGGATGAAAGAGGGGCAAAGCAGCAGGAGCGACTAGACCTTCATGTACGTGTCACATCACCACTTTGTACAATCCAGGCCACTCTCACTCCTGTCTCGCTTGCCATACCGCCCTCAACCTAATCACATTCTGACCCGAACCGCAGGCCATACACGGCTTCTTCACCCGTGCGGGCATCCCAGACCGGCCCTTCATCTACGACGTGACACCCTTAACCAGCTCCCGCACATTCAGCACCCTCTCCGTAACCGCCCGGCAGCCCTCAAAGCCAAGCACCCGCGTCAACCCTTTAGGGAATGAGCGCTTTCCCCTCGCCGACGCCGCCCTCCCTCTAAGCCCGCCGGCCTTCACAGCCATCTGCTCCCTCAAACTCCCCGAGCCCGACAGCGCGGGGGTCTCCACCCAAGAAAGCCCACCACAAACCCGCTTTGCAGCCATCCTCTCCCAACGCGCCCCGCACGCCTGGCCCCCCGCACCGCCGGTCGACCTGACAGGCGTGGTAGCCCTCGTAGGCGCCGACCAGCCCGGGCGGTTCCCCATCGCCGAGATGCGCAAGGTCGACATGAGCGCGTACAACACCGGGCGGGACGTCCACGAGCGGCGCGAGCTGGTGCTGTACCGACTTCGGCTTCGCCGCTCCTCTCCCGACACTACTGGTTCAAGTTCAAGTTCTGAAGAGGGGTGGGAATGGGATGCCAACGCGCACGTGGCGGCGCACGCGTACATTGCTGACCGGAATGGGCTGCTTATGGTGGCTAATCATATCGGGTTTGGGTTTACGCTGACCAGGGCGGCGAGTCTGAGCTACTCGTTCGTTATGCATGTTGGTGCGGAGCAGGCTGTTATGCGGCATCATGATGATGGCTCGGACTCGGATGGGTGGTGGATTCAGGAGGCGTGGTTTCCGCGCTCGGGGGCGGGAAGGGGAATCGTGGAGAGCAAGATTTGGAGTCCTGCTGGGGTGCATGTTGCGAGTGAGTACCAGGATGGGTTGGTTCAGGGCCTAGCGGATACCGGTGGCCAAGGGATGGTGATGGGGATGGGGATGGGATTGGGGAGGGGTTTGAAGCTTTGATCAATCTGTGGGGTTATACCAAGGGACAAGAGCGTAATGCAATGAGGCATAAAGGCTACCGGTGTATGTATGGCCTGGCAGGTTGCACTTCATAGACCTAGAGAGGTTCTAGACAGCACTAGAGAGGCGGCGGCAAGGGGGAGAAGGGGGAGGTGAGTTGAGATGTGCTGGCATTGCTATCATCTTGCCTAGGTAGGACAGAATCCTAGATCATGTCGGTGTAATGCCAAAATCAGAAGCATAAGACCAGGCCTATCGTGAGCTTCATCATAGGTGCGATGAGTCTCCTCTTGAGTCTCAGGGGGCTGGTACAGTGGAGTTCAAGGGTTAGGGTCCATCGTGTCAGAGCTCATGTGGAGTCATGGGTCGGCGAGATTCATAGGCGCAGCTTTGGCTGCGATTGAGAAGGTACAAAATAGGATTAAAGCATGATTAAGGTGGCTTAGTATGTAGGAGCATCGAAAGTGAATAGAAACCTGGAACTCATCGGGGATGCCATCGACATTCTGCTGCATCATTAAGGCACGTGATGAAACACCTGGCCTAAAATTTCCACGCTATGCCGAAAATAGCAACGACCTTGCATTGCTCAGTTGCTCCGTGCTTGTGCTCCCGCTCGGCCCAAATCAGACCATTTCTTGAAATCCAGTTCGCCGGCTTCACTCTTGCAACCATTGACCGCTACCAACGTTGAAAACGAAGATGTTCCTGCAGCGCTCCGCCGTCGCCATTGCGCGCCGCGCTGCGGTCGCCCCGGCTTTGCGTCGCAGCATCGCCACCTCCGCCGTGCGCCGTAAGTTCGTTTTGCAAGCTTTCCCGGAAGAGCCCGAGCCGAGCGAAGCTCCAAAATCTCGCGCACCGGGTTGCCGACCAGCGAGCTTCTACGCAACCAATTGACTCCCGGAAACTCGAGTAGCTGACGATTCTGGGATTTAGGCAATGCCGGCGTTCCTGATGCCCCCAAGTTCAAGACTCTGAAGGGTATGGATGTTCCGCTTTACACATCGTGGTTGTGGTTGCATCATGGCTGCCCGCCCTCGCGGCACTACTGACGTCAGGCTACCTACTTGCTTTGAGGTTGGAGGAAGAACCCCTTACAGCCTAGCAGTTGGGCCCTAGGAAATGGATTTTGGTTTGAAGCACGGAGTGCTGGATGGGAGAAGATTGCTGACGGCTGGTTTTTGGGTGAACAGAGATCAAGACCGAGGAGGACCTCATCGGCCCCGGCACGCCGCCCGGACAGGTCCCCACCGATCTCGAGCAGTCCACCGGTCTGGAGCGTCTCGAGATTCTCGGCAAGACGGAGGGCATCGATGTCTTCGACATGCGGCCACTGGATGCCTCGCGCAAGGGTGAGTCAGCCTACTTTAGCGAAGGTGGAGGAAACCAAGACTGACCACGGGGACAGGAACACTTGACAACCCGATCATGGTCCGCTCTGCTGGCGAGGAGCAGTTCGCCGGTTGCACCGGCTACCCCGCCGACTCTCACAACGTCCTCTGGCTCAGGGTTCGTTCTTCTCATTAACACAGTCCTGCGAGGTATCCTACTAACGCTACATCCTCCACCAAAGATGACCCGCGACCGCCCAGTCGAACGGTGCCCCGAGTGCGGCAGCGTCTACAAGATGGAGTATGTCGGTCCTCAGGACGACCATCACGACCACCACCACCACGGCTGGCAGGAACCCAAGACGATGGCCGATTTCGTCAAGCCGGAATACTGGTAAATGGGTTGATTGGCTGTGACGCGGAACGGCCAGAATTTACAGAGCACGATAGTATGATGGCGGGTTGGACTTGTAGAATATCCAGGACAGGCAGGCGAGCTGTATAGAGTTTCCTATGTGTCTGACTTGTGCTGCGCCATGTGTGGCCTAGTATGGCTCGAGAGGAGTAACCAGCCAGATGATTATGAATGCACCAGGCTGCTTGCTCTATTAAGAACCCCGTCCTACGTCCAAAGGCACGCCGGGCGGAGTGATGCCTTGAGATAATGGGCACCTGCCGAAGAGCTTCTTGGAGGCACGACAAAGGTGACCCAATCTCGACATGAGTCTTTCATGTTGTAGCCTCGCAGGAGGCCTGCGGCCCGTTCGGGTATCTCACTTGAAACTCGTCTCGGTCCATGACAGGCATGACCAGCTGCTCGAGGAGGGCCGGCGAGAACTGGTTAGCCTCTTCCTGCTTTCCTCCTTCCCTTCTCTCGGTCCAAATCCGGTCGGAAATGGAGCTCATGATCAAGGTTGATATCATGGCGCAGTTTCAGGTCTTGTACAATACCAACAGACGGCGATCTCTCAGCCCTCGTCGTCGCCGAAGCTAAGCTTAATCTTCTTTGCCTTTCTCTTTGCCTTGGCGTTTGCAGATGAAGCCGGTCCATCCCGGTCGTCGAGCTTAGATCTCCTCTCCCCTCGCCCTTTCTTGTCATGTTCTTGCGCCTCCTCCTCATCAGCATCAGCATCAGCACCAACGACCTTTGCGACCCTTCTCTTCTTCGACCTGCCCATAGCATCACTGTTGCCCGCAAGCTTCTCCCTCGACACAGCACCGTCATCCGCCGCATCACTCCGCGCAACGCTGCCATTTCGTGCTTCTTCGCCTTCCACCCCGGTGGCAGTACTATCCTGCTGCGCCTTGACGCTGCCGTCGGGGTTTAGAGCAACGCTCACAGCATTGCCGTGCTCGTCCACGACCAGGGGCGCGTCTTCAGCTTCCGCGCTGCCAGAGCGCGGCTTGCCGGGCCGTCGTCTTGCCGAGAGGATCGGGTCGGGAGCGTTCGGGTCGGTCTCGGCGTCGGCTTGGCCTCGCAGGCGGGCGAGAAAGGGTGGGAGCGTGGAGGTGTAGTGCAGGTTTTTGGAGGTAATCTTTTGAGACATGTTGCAGTTGGACAGCAGCGAGCAGGAAGAGTCCGTCCAGCTTGGTACCCCGGATCTACTTCATGCAGTCGAGCGCGTCGAATGGAGAGTGAGGGACCAGTTGAAAGCGCAGTTCCGTCGTGCTACGGCAGTAGGTACTGTGCTACCAAGTCGAGTCTCGCTTTAGTTTACCGGTGATGTATTGAAACTGACATGGGCACACATTACAAATGTGCTAACGTCTGGAAGAGGAGGCTGTTGACGGTTCGATATCGGCCAGGATCGATAAGGAAGGTGGGCTGGAGCCTGGAGGTTGCCGAGGAGCTTTGACTGTCACTGTCTGTCAGAATCATGTAATGACATGTATCAGTGGCGCCTATCTGTGAGATCCGTGCGTGAAAATACGGTAACATTACTCTACCCAATGCGTTCAAGTTGCACCCTGCACCAAGCCTCGACTGCCGGCGGTGATGCAATCGCTGTAACGTACCTTCACTTTATCAATCACATACCTGGCTCGGCGCCCTGCATCTTTCCCAGGTTGGGCCGCACCGCTGTTTCCATCCGTTTTCCATGCATCGCCTCTCTCGAGGTCACTCCGCAGACTTAGGTGCTGCCTCAGTACTTGGAGTTCATGAATGTTCTGGCCAATCTGGCACCCGGCCTTCTTCCAACCAAGCACCCGCGGAACTGACCCGGGACAATTCAGCCTGGGAGTGATTGCAGCCTTGTTCGTGCTGCGAGTGACCAAGTTCTATCCTACTCCGTACCTTCATACTTATCGAACCACGAGGCAACCAGCAACGGTTTCAAGGTTACCCAGCGACCGAAGTGGCGATGCACGCCCTGTCGGATGTCGTCCCGTCTCGCTCACGTCGCTCACGTCGCCCAAATGACTGAACCACAGTTAATGAGGCATTGTACCGTATGTACATACACCCAATACAGCCTCGTCGCATACCCTACCGACTTAAGTCACTTTTTCCACCAACTGCCCCTAATCCGGCACCTAAAGATTGCATAAGCTGCCCACGGTAAGAAGCGTCGATCTGCCCTCGGTTTAGCCTAACTACCTACCAGTACCTATCGCGTTTTGAGCCTCAACGGGGGACTTCTGCACTCAAAGATCCCTGGAACCAGGCGGTGGCAATGACTGCCTTATCTGAGCGGGACATAAGGACGCAGCCCTTCTTCCACATCTGGCCAGCGGACCGCTTTGCACCCTCGAAGTGGCTTGTAACCATCTTGTACCCGGGGAAGCAGGCGGGTCAACCGGACCACTCCCGCGGCGTCTGCTAACCTCTCCCTTGAAGCACGTTGCAACGCCTGCACTCAACTCCTGCAACGAGGAGTAAGCACAGACGTGCTGTCATTCGCCCCGGATGGTCAAGTTTCCCGGGTCGTCGGCAAGCCTTAAAGACGCATCCCTGCTCCGATCTGCCTGTACAGATAGCTTGGCACAGTCCCCTGCAAGCCTCAACTAAGCTCCGAAGCCGCGAGGACTGACGGTGACCGATACCGACTGTCCGTTGAGTCCCTTCACCCTTTACCACGCAATGTCACCCACAGGACCGACCGCTCACATGGCCTCTACTATCAAGTCGAACCCCGCCAAACTGGCCTTCCCACTTGACCGAACCCATTTGCTCTACGGCCCGAGCTGAGGGGGCGCAGAGGTTCGCAAGATGTGTCCAGTCCCTGCCTGTTGTCCCCCTCCTTCACGCCAACGGAACCCTTCCCCGCCAGCCCCTCCAACTGCTGTAGCACCTCGAGGGCGCCAGCTCGCGGTATCCCGCCGAGAAGGCGGTGAAGGGCGCGCGGCCGTTGCCGGAAGTGGTCAAGAAGCTGAACCCGCGGTCTAGCGGATATCCAAAGTCGCTCTCCGGGGGTCTGAGATACCAGTTCCCCGGGGCCAGCTTTGCCGCGCTGGTTACACAAAGCCCCAGATTCCCTGTCACATTCCCATTCATGTGTTTTCTGAGTTGGCAACGTCATTTAACAAAGCCTTTCCCGTTTCCCCTGACACCGTCCCTGGCTGTAGTCCGATTGGACCCTCGCCAGCGTCACGATGCAAGAATGCCCATGGGTCCAGCACGTTCCCCTTGTCAAACCCGGGAGTCGAGGAACTGCAAGGGTAGGCCCGGTTTGGGATGGCTCAGGCATCTGCGGCTCTCAGTTGTATGAGCTGGCAAGCTGGTTTCGCAATCAAGCCTTAAAGATAACAACCGCCAGTTCCCCTCTGTCAATAACGTACATTTCTATTTACATACGTCTTAGCAAGCCCCGCGATTGTTGTCCTATGGCTTGAGCTGTCATCAATGCCCTTTCTCGCGGCCCCGCTCCTGCACTACCTCTCTACGTTGTCGTGACACTGGCCTCTCACCAATCGAGGACGTGCTGTCGTCAATCACCATGCCGCCTGCATTGGACACTCGTCTTAACTGGGCGGCTTACAGGACCAAGATCGAGGAGCTGTACTGGTTCCAGAAGAAAGAGCTTCCCGAAGTCATGAAGATCATGGAGGATGACCACGGGTTTGTGGCTACGTATAGTTCCCTCCCCTCTCCATGTCGTGGTGCCGATATCTGACTCGGCACATAGGCAGAAAATGTACAAGAAGCAACTGAAGGCTTGGGGTCTTCAAAAGAACATCAAGACTTCTGAGATGATGGCCATGATTCGCATTGAGGGCCGTCGTCGTGGAGAAAACAAAAAGACCCAGTTCATTCGGCACGGCATCCCCGTGGAGCCTGAGAAGCTCCGCCGATTTGCCAGGCGCCACAAGCTGGAACTCGGCGAAACCCTATCACCATCGGATCAGCAGGGCATGTCTCTTCCGCTCACGACCGAATGGCCATGACTAACGAGTCAGCAGCGGCAACTCCTCCTGACATCACATACAACACGCCTGAGCCGGACACTCTGAGCAGCACTCTGCCGCTCCTGGCGGCCCAAGCCGACTTTAACCCGGGGAGAAAGAAGGCGGAAAAGACAGACCCGGTCATCTCCACCGGGCCACGCGACCTAGAAACGAACGTGAGCCCGTCCAGCGGCAACCCGTGCTGGGTGTCATCATCCACAATTTGCTGGCCCGCCAGTGATGCGCCCAACAATGCTCAGTCGTCTCCGAACCCCCCTACCATGGATGACCTGTTTATTTCGCAAGCCTTCTCCGGGCCTGGTGTGCCGGATCTCTCGTGTAGTCCGTCTCGCGACTTCACTGAGGGCGTATTCTCTCCGCCCGCTTCACGCTGGGCCGGATACATTCCCGACACGGGATATCACGAATGCTTGACCAGAGCAGACGGCATTCCTCCTTGGATTTTCGTGTCACAAGCGTCCCATCACGCTGTCCAGCCTCCTAGTTACGGTCCAGATCGCATGTTTCCGTCCCTTCTGCACGGCTACAGCGCAGCCATGGCCCAACCAACGAGCCAAATGCTAAATTTTTCAAACGTTCAGAGCCCAGCCCGAGGGATAATCATGACCCGGGACGCCGCTGGGTCGAGCCTTGGAGATTCCCCGCTGCACGATTCTGTGATCGAGGGAAACGCCAGCCAAACCAGAATCTTGCTAGAGGCCGGCGCTAATCAGAACTGCACAGTCCGTGGAGGCGTGACGCCCATCCACTGCGCAGCCTTCCAACGCAATATCGAGCACGTTAGTATCCTACAGGAGTACGGCGCGAACCTGAGCGCAGTAACAGACAAAGGCCAATCAATCCTCCTCTTCGCCGTGAAGCGGCGCATGATCGGCGCCAGCGACATGCTCTCCTCCCATTCCCATACCAAACAGAACACCGAACCCAAAGCGAGCGAGTTACACACCGACGACGCCACACTCGCCGTCATCAACGCACTGTACGACTCTCCAGCGGGATGGCCCCGTTTGCTGCAAAGCCTGAACCAGCCCGACAAGGACGGGGTGACCCCGCTGATGCTTGCCGCCGAGGCCGGTTTCATCAAGACAGTGACCATGTTTTTACAGCGCGGCGCGCGGCCAGACCTGCGGGACCATGTCGGCTACACGGCACTCAAGTACGCGGCTAGCGGCGGACATCGGGATTTGGTGAGGCTGTTGCTTGAGGCGGATGTGAGGGTCCAGGAGCGCGATTTGAGCCATTTGCTTAAGCTGGGGAGTAAGAATTTGACTACTACAGCAGCAGCATGCCCCAGCCCCAGCACGACGACGACAAGCCCGGTCTACCACGTGCATGGGGACGGGAAGGATGGCGGCGGGTGGTGGGAGAGGAGGAGGAAGTGTGACGGGGAGGTGGAGGAGGAGAGGGATGACGACAGCTCGGCGACTATAGCGGAGGAGATGGTCAAGCTGCTGAGAGAGATGGGGGTGGGGGCGCTGGAGGGTTTGATAAGGTTGGCGGAGCAGAAACGGAAATTGGGGGTTTTGGAGGCGCTGCTGGCTGCGGTGAGGAGGCTGGATGTGGCGGTGGTGGGGGTGGAGAAACGGGGCTCGCAACTTGAACACAGCAGCGGGTCTTGAAGCGATGCGGCGGGACTTGAGTTTACCAGAAAACATGAACCCAGCCCTGGGTCGACGATGCGGTACTGTACCGTGCCGTCCTGCGCTCCCACGACTCGCGACTGGGTGCTTGGTTGATGCTTACATGGCGGGAGCGGCGGGGCGGCTAACCCTCAGGATCCGGTGCGTGCCGTATCTGCCATCAGTTTTCGGGGTTTATATCCTGGTTTTCTGTCAGCCTGGCTCTCGGCGGGACAGAGTCAAATACGTATATCCTACATTGGTAAGTACCTTCCACCAATTATGAGTGGTTATTTGGTGGTGACTGACTTTCGACACCGCAGAGGGCGTTCAGGAAGTTGATATACATCCCCATGAATGAGCAGCTCTAGGTTTGCGGGTATAGGGGACTCAAGGGGAGGAACGCCTGACGACTGACTGACGCTCGCAGGGCTCCGTAGACTGGAAGGGCTCTAGCAGGTTGAGATTCCATTCTTACAATGATTAGCTCTAGTTTGCGGATATAGGAGGCGCAAAGGGGAGAAACACTGGCGGTGGGGTGAGAAGGAGAAAGGTTGAAGTTGAGGTCAGTTGAGGTCAGTTGGTGCAACGGCAAATCCAGTCCGGGACAAGACAGGGAGTTTAGCATGTGATTGCTACATCAGTTACCTAGGTACTCGGGTATTTAGTAGGTTAGCCTGGCCTACTGTTCTGTTGCCTTATTTATCTCCAGTTGGTGCTCACAAATGATCTACGCAGTGTTTAACATCATCCCGTCCAATATCGCAAATACCGGTAGCAGAATCTCGCTTTTGGACTTTTATTCACCACCAGACTAGTCGAGTCAAAGCTCATATTGTAGACTCCAATGGAGTTGCCTCTAGCCGGTCACTGCCTAGGATAGGCTCAAGTACTACCACCAGTCCGATGTACTACCAGCCTTCCACGACTCCAAGCCCATAACCCCCTTTTCCCTCACGCTCTGATAGTAACAGCAAACACCCCCTGCCCAGCCCCCACATAGGCAACATTCTTATCACTCTCCCCCCTACCAAACGCGCACGAGGTCGACCCGGTCACACTCCCAACCTGCGTCGGCCTGGGGCTGGCAACCGCAGGATCAACCTCGACAAGCGAATTCCTCCCATTCGTCGCCACATAAATCTTGCCGTTCGGCCCAAAGCACAAATCATCCCCCATCAGATTCGTCCACAGCGTCTGCACCGCCCCCGTCGCCTTGGCAGTCACCGGATCAACCGCCACCTTATGAAAGCTATTCCTGAAAATATTCGTATACCACACCACCCCGTCCCGGTACTTGATCCCATCAATCCCAAACGGAATGCCCCCCCACGGCTGCATAGTCGGGTCCTGCAGGACGACCGCATACGAGCCCGTGTTGACATCGAGCTTGTACACAACGCCCTTTCCCGCGTCGGCAACCAGCACGCTGCTGTTGTCGAAGACGGCCAGGCCGTTGAGGTTGTTGGCTTCGGTGATAGTCTTGATCAGCGACGATTTCGGGGTACTACCACCCGAAAAGTCGACCTTGTAAATCCCCTTGCCGCCGATCACGGCGAAGATGTCGGGCGCGTACTCGCCGATGCCGCTGAGCCCCGTGGCGCCCGACACGGCGATGGCGGTTGACGAGGTTTTGGCCACGGGGTTGATGGAATACAGGTTGGCGCTGTTCATGTTGGTCGCGAGGATCTGCCCGTTGGCGCGCACCGCGACGTTCTCGATGGATGAGAGGCGTACCACTTGGGTGGCGGACTGGCGGGGGGAGATGGCCGCGCCGTTGCATGTGGCGAGTGACGCCAGGATGGGGAGGAGGAACAACATTGTCGTGGTGAGTGCGGAGGTATTGTTTACCCCTTTGAGTTGAAACCAAAAGGTGCGACAAGATCTGGGTCGTGATCTATACACCGCGCGAAGGTGAATATAAAGTCCAGAACCAGACCTTCAGGATAGAGGACATCTTCTAGAAGATATTCCCGCCCGCTCTGCACCCCCTCCCCTCATTTCCCCCGTCACTGCACGATACACATGTCGTGACGGGGCCAAGGCGTAAATAGATAGGGCTTGGCGCCAGGCTTTCAACGGTGAAATTTGGGGCAGCCGTAGCCTAAATAACTGCTGGCGGGCCAGAGTACTGGTCTGGAGTTTCTTCCTGGGGCGAGCCAATCTGGCTAATCTGGGCAGGACGTCGTTCCGGCCCAAAGCGGCAACACCGCTTCGGCTCTATCCGAGAGTGTAATAATGGCCCGGGATCCAGTAATACTGTCCGATGATTGCGGGAGTATAGACCAGTAATCATGGCTACTATGTATATCCCTATGTTTAGGTCGAGGGGGTGACTAAACATTATCGCATACTTGCCGGCTGTCTGGGGTCTCATTCTCCGACATAAGGTATGCTGCTGCTGTGGAACTTGATGAGAGTTGGGAAGGTAAAAGCCTGCAACGAAACACATTAGTACTAGTAGTATGACAAGCCTGGAAGGCTCCGAGCTGAAGTAATCACGATGTCTAAGCGATCTCCGTCTTGCTGGCGGCTTGTCATGTGTGGCGTGAAGAGGAATGGCAATGTACGAGAGAAAAATCTAAGGCCCTTCTCAGGCTATCTTGTGTTAGCATTAGCATAGTCTCCTTACATATACCCGAACTCTGGTGCTAATGATACCACTAACCTGGGTTGTTATAAGCGCGTGCAGTGTTAGACACTCAAGACCTTCAAGGCTGTCTCCAAGCTGACCCCTGGAGAGCATTTGTAACGTAACGCCATGCCGGAGCCGGACCAGTTCATCCTGAGATGTTTCCATCATGGATGTATGTTAGAGGCGATACCGAGAGTCGTGTGAACGAACAGGGAGTAGCCTAAGTACTTTCATCCTACAGTCTTCCTCCCTCGTTGGCCAAGCTTCTCAGCAGTTGACCTAAAGCCTAACGACCTGGTACAATACCACATCTTGCTCGCGTCTCTCTCCTTGCTGGTGAGTTGGGCGGCCTTAGCTCCTTTCCGGAACAGAGAGCTCTGGATGGAATCAACATAGAAAAATTACCTTACGCGGTCAAAGCCGGGAATCGGAGAGCATTATTCTTTGCCCGGCTTCCAGTTGTAAAGGAATAGTACGGTATGGTGATGCCAGCCTCTGTTGGCTCATCGTACGCGTGGCTGCCAATGAGAGCAGCGTAAGTCAAGTCCTTTAGGGTATGTGTCTCAGTCAGCAACATCCTGAGCAGAGAAGCCCTCACGCATCCCCAGCATCGGGCAAAGCCGAAAGAAGGAACAGAGTCACGTTGCACCTGCAGAACAGGGAACAGGGGCCTGCCATTCCTTCTTGGCCAGAGGCCGCGTCTGCCGGAAGGATGAGCAAGGGCTCCCTACCCGCATCCTTGCCCCGAATCCTCCCCTCAAGGAATCACACCAGAAGACGGTTCAATGCCGTGGGTGAATCCCGGGGACAGAGATCATCAAAAGATGCGATGAATTTGGTGGTTTTCTTGAGACTAACAACCATCACAACGCCAACCTGGCCCCTCAAGACGGCCAAAGCCTCGGCTAGACTCCTTCTGTAACTTGAAGGGGCAGAGACTTGTAAAAAAAGGAGACAACCAAGCATATAGTAATAGTAACCGCCAAACCTGGCAGTCCGCTCCCTCAACCATTAAACAAACAAGGGGAATAAACGTGAGTCGACAGCCAACCTCACCACCAACCAGCAGATGCTCTCAACGCCTCGCCCGCTAACTCGATGAGAAAACCCCCCGGTATCGCCATGCACCGCCCAACCGCACAGTTGATAGAGAAGATGTACTTGTACAAACCGAAAATAGGTTAAAAGAGTTAGTTTTTAAAGAACCGACGTTTGGAACGTCATCGACATCGACTCCGACTGATGTACCCCCTGCTGATGATGACAGCTGTGCTCGTAGCCCTCAAAGTAGGGGGCATGATGCTTGACCGACGACGTAAGCAGGTGAAGGCCCCTGCAAGGGGTAGCCACGCCCTGCTTGACCAGGTTGTTGATGGACCGCTCGCTCCCATCAAAGACGTCATAGGGAAAAATCATGGACCGCTCGCTGACAAGCTTGGTCTGGTCGAAAGCTCCCCGTTCAAGCAGGAGCACCGCGCAGCGGAGGTACCTCGCTTCCATGTGGATGTCGGAGCGAACATCGGTCCGCTGGATGGCGTACTTGACCAGCTGGAGCGGCGTGTTGCCGCAGTTGTTGAAGACGTTGACGCTGCAGCCCTTGGCGCAGAGCACCTGTACCGCCGTGACAATACCAAACTCGGCTGCGTAGTGCAGCGCCGTGTTTCCCTCGGTATCACGCTGTGCGAGGAAAGCGTGGAGATCAAACCCTTCTTGCTTCGAGGTTGCGTCAAAAATGCCCTCTAGCTTGGCGCTTAGCTCCTTCTCAGTAAAGCCTCTCCCCGCTGCAGCCCGGCGGAGCAGCTTCATCAACGGAGTCCGTCGCACGGCTTGTGCGCTGCTGTCGTTTGGGTCTAGGCTCGTGTCGGCCGGGTGCAGTGATATCAGACTGTCGGATCCGCATGTCGATGTGTCGGCGGTGGAGGGTGGTGCCCTTGAGTCGGAGAACTCTGGGAGATAGCGCCGGATAAATTCCACTTCGTCACCAAAGATGCGGTGCAGTTTTGGGCACGCCTGTTCCAGATTCTTACGAATGCTGTGCCACAGACGCTCACCATCTGCAGACCTGTTTGCAACCAGGAACCGGGCCGCCCCATGGCCGACTTCCCTGAAGACGTAGTACAGCGTCTCGATGGGAAACTCTTTCTTCGCGACGAGGTGTTGGAGGAAGGTGTTCTTGTCGACATCCCGGAGGCAGAAGTCGTACCCCTGGGACCTCAACTTTCGAATGAGGTTGAGGAATGAGACGGGTCTCATACGTGGAGATTCTGGAGGGTGGTACACGTGAAGGAACGTCTCACCGCGGTGGTTAACCATCTGGGCATCATCCGTATGACGGAGAATCAGCAGCAGAAGGGAGATGCGGGCGCCCCATCGAGCAGCTACGTGAAGCAGCGAGTTGCCATACTTGTCCACCATGTTTGCCTCTTGGTCGGTGACAAAGAAGTGCCGGAAATCGGCTCCCTCATTCTTTTGAGCGACGATCGCCCTCGATAACCTCCCATGTACGCACGAGTCCGAATCAGTGCCCGCATATGCAGAACAGCACATTTGTAGCAAGGCGGTGTTCAGCTCTTTGTCTGTGGGGTTGACCGTTGAGAATTTGGATTTAAACAAGCTGCCAGATGGTATGCCCGTGCCCAGGAAAGGCTTTCGGGGCTTGTCTTGAAGATGGGCGAGAAACATTTCCCGAGACATATTGCTGAGTGCCGTACTCGGCCCGGCTCCATTCAAGTTGACATGCTTGGATGACGCCGACGACGAAGTCCGTGCCAGACTAGAGATTCCCGACGAGATGCTGGACAGCACCGAAGCCCACGACCTACGCTTGGCTGATTTTGTGGATGGAGATGTTGAGGATGCTCGGGATGGCGACTTATCTCTGCGATACGCGTCAGGAGTCGCTGTCGCGTCAGTGCTGTTGCCGGGTGGGGTCGATCCTGGCGAGTCGGACTGCTTGATTGTGGTGGGAGTTTCGGCCAAGTGGACCGGGCGTGGATAATGATCGATCTGCATTGGTATCATTGGTATCCTGGGAGAATCGTCGACAAAGAAACCTCGCGATCGCGCTACTTCGAGCCGCCGGCGAGCCTTACTGACCCTCATTCGGCGTTCCTCGCGCACCGACCGCAGAAACCGCACCCGAACCAGCATGGTGGCCAGATCCCTCGGTCTCCAGTCGTCGATCCTACGGTCGGGAAGGAGGTTTTTCAAGTGCTTGTGTGTGTTACGCTGCCTGGGACGCCAGCTGCTGTCAGTCTGCGAAACGTTGCGCGGGCGAACAAGATTGCGCACCTCGGATCGAAGGTGCCGTCTTTCAGAAGCTCGAGAATTCGCACCAACGGCAGCCGCTCGCTCTGCGTGCAGATATAGAGCCGCAGCAGCTTCTTCTGCTTCTCAGCCGGCCATGGCTTTTCGCGCCGTCCCCGACGAGCAGGCGGCGGCGACACGCGCGTGGTGGTCGCAATTTCCATCATCCTGGCTGCCAATCTGCCAATCCTCCTCACTTCAAGTCCCCAGACTCAGCGACGATCGCGACAAAGCCAGATCCGAAAAGTTTCGAAGTTCGTGGCGGTCGATGTGGGAATCCAGTCCGAGAAACATTTGCTATCTGCCGATCGTCTGCGGCCATTCACGGGGTCGGGGATGTCGAGGATCGAGGGATGTTTGATTGTCGATTGAACGGGAAAGGCTGCGTGACACTGCTGCCAGTGACGATGAGGCTTCGGGACTGTCCCGCCGGTTTTAAACATGACAGCGCCAGCCAAACACTGGCGTGCCAGGGCCATGGCCTTCCCCGATTGGTTCTAGAAGCTATCGGCGGCCAATCACTGAGCCGAGAGGCAAATTCGCTAACCCCGGAACCAGTCCCCAAACCCTGGGTCGCAATTTCCACCGCCCAGAGTCCAGAGGTGGCCTTGAACGGTTGCCATTGCCAAAGTGGCCTTAAGGACCGTTCCCCCTCACCTCAGGCCGCGCCGCATTGTCACGGTCCGAGCGAGGCAAGCTATTGAGAATTTCTGGATTCGGAGGCAGGCCCCCTGGTGGCATAGGTTGCTAGTAATGCAATTCGAACTGCGACTCTCTCGCTTTCAACTGCCGATCCCCTTTTCTCGTGCGGTCAAGCCAAAACTGTCCAGCGGCATAACGTTAGGAGAAAACGAAACGCAAAGTTACCGCAGGCTGCTCGGCATGGCTGCTCCGCCGTTGCGACACAACTAATGTTAGCGGTGGAGCGGGAAGGGATGAACTGCAACAGTGAGACGCAACATTTTTGGTGGAAGCATGAGGGGTGGACGACTGAGGAGGGGGGGTGTCTGGCAGCGGCTGGCACCATGTGTCTCTGCAGGTCTGCCGGGGCCTGTCAGGTTACACGAGCAGATTGAACCAATGATCTTGAGCAAGGAGCATTACTGCGCCCCACATAGCCCGAGCGCGCAGGCTGGTTGATGGCCTGAAGCGGCTAGCTCCGGCTTGGCATTGATGTACCTACCGTAGTGTAAATACAGTACACGTACACTGTTACTGCGCTAGTGAAAGCGAGGCTTGCCGAAGCCCGGCGCGGCGCACTTGCATCCTGAAAGTCCAATTCCAATCAGGACCTTCGGGAAGTGGGCGATAACATGATGCACTTCGACGGGATAATACACAGATTGCTACTCTGACCATCGGTACGGATTACTGGGCAAGGTAAGTAGGTTTGTTAAGGTAGCATTCAGTGTATTTATGCACTGTACTGTACTGTACAGTGGGTGCGACTCTGGTAAGTTGCACGATAATGTCAATCGGCATCATGCGTCTGTCGAAAGTTTCTTCTTCCCCGCGCTATCTCAGTAATCAAGAACTTGTAATATACAGTGCAATACGCTGCTCGTACACTACAGTACGAATTACATTCACTGTACGGATACCCAGTGGCCTGAGTGTACTGTACGAGTAGTACCGGTATAGTATACCTTACTTCGTTATGTGTATCGTATGTATTGTACAACACAGGCATTTTCGTAGTTCAGTTGTTAACTTGTTCGTAGCTGCACTCCAATCCATTGTTTCTCAGGGGCTAGGCCAGCCGGGCTAAACTGCAATCATCTTAACGACCTGGTAAACTGCATGTTTCACCCAGAAGGGAGCAGCGCACCGACACTGGGACCTGTCAACTTGCAGAGTCCAGACCAAATGTCCGGTTCATTGGACACATTCATGGAATGATTGCATTGATGGATGAAATGCTGCCAATGACTACCAATCAATCCGTCAACGGTCAGCATTGATGTCCCAATGGTTACCTCCTCATGGAACTGACTGCCCATCCCAACGTCAACGGAGAATTTCCATCTGCAAGTCCTCGGCAGCTGTCGGATGTGGTCCCTCGGGAGGCGGATCGTCCCTAGTTCGGCATCCTGGATACGAACCCGGCGTTGTGGATCGCTATGTCCATCGCAGGCATCTCCTTGTTGACATCTGTCTCGGACGGATAGCAAGGAAGCTTCTGACTCGTTTGCTATCGGACAATTCCAGGCACCGCAGACTATTTTCGGTGCCCATGGATATTCAACAAGCAAATGTGAAAATGGAACCAGCATCGACGTCAGTCAATCGTGTTCCCCGATGGTACACAAGTTGAACTTGAAGAAAAACTCACAGCTGAGACTCGCCAAGCCAGCTCAAACCTGCCTCGTGAGGCTGACCCGGACACATGCAGGGAACGAACATGACTGGAATGGACATGGGTGGAGTTTTCTTCTGAAAGCCTCTTCGTGATTGATGGCTTGGTGGAGCTGAGAGGCGATTTCTCGTATCGGCGCGGGATCTCGAATTCTCGATGCAGTTAAAACCAGCATTGGCCGTCCGCGCTGACTTTTCTCCCTTTGACCTGCCCTGACTTGCAAACACATTCGTTGTTCCTTACACTCGCTTCAGTCGCTCGTTTGCACAGAATCCAAAGCGGAAAAGGTTCATCTCACACTCACTTCAAGTCTCCCATCGGAGGAAAACAAGAACAATCACCTCCCGCAAACCAACCGTCGACTCACCAGCAAAATGCGCGCCACAATCCTCCCAACCGCCCTCTTGGCAGCCTGCTTCCAGCTCGCCAGCGCCATCACCATCACGTCCCCCTCTAAGGGCGACGTGGTCGACATCTCCTCAGGCGCGACCGTGTCCTGGTCGCGCGTCAACACCGACCCGACCAGCGCCCACCTGTTCCTGGTCAACATGGCCTCAGGCAACACCCCGTTCAGCAAGGACCTGGGCGAGATTGACCTCTCCAGCCAGGACAGCATCACCGTCTCGGAACAGGGCGTGCCTGATGGCGAGGGCTACCAGTTCAACTTGCAGAGCATCGCCGCGGGGAATACGGGCATTTTGGCGCAGTCGGAGCAGTTTGAGGTTAAGAATGGTGCTGGTGGGGATGAGTCGTCTTCGTCGGCTACTGGGACTGCTACTACCAGCATGACCAGCAGTGCTGCGGCTGGCGAGACGGGTACCACGCTGACGACTACTACGACTGGTACGGCTACTGCGACTACGACCTTCTCGACGGCGGTTTCGTCTGGTGCTACCGGAACGAGCGGCGGTGCCGGCAACGGTGCTGGTGCTTCCTCGACGGGCTCTGCGGCGGCGTCTTCCAGCACCGCGGCCGCCCCGGCTGGCATGGCTGTGCAGGGAGGTAGCATGCTGGCTCTCGTGGCTGGTGTGCTAGCCGTCATTGCTTAAGTCAAGCTACTTGCTGTGAAAGGGTAGTAAAAGGGACGGTTGGAGCAGAGGATGGAGTTGTTACGATACATGTACTGGATAGACTAATACGACGGTTGGAGATGAGACTTTAGGTCTTGATCTGTCCGCAGGCCCGCTATGTCCCTCCCTCTCTGTGTGATGTGACGGGTAGAAGGTCATACAATGTCGGCTCTAGTCCGTGATGATCTATACTCATCGGGTTTGTAAGGTTTGTAACAATGAAGCTTGGTCTTGGTCTTGGTCACTCGAAGGGGTCACTTGCAAAGAGAGGCAAGTCTCAGGTCTGGTCATTATCGTCAATTCCTACCTAGCTGGGTGCTAACTCCCTGTCCTCCCCTCCAGCTGGTGATGCGTGCAGGCGGTCCCTCCAGCCTCCTTCAGGCCGGACCCTGCATTCATTCCGTTCCGTCTCATAAATTCCTCAGCTCCTCCTGCGGAGTCGGCTGAGGCCTTAAACCTCGCCCCGGGCCCTGCGGCGGCTGGTCAGATAAGCACCACCGCCCCGCTCCCGGTCGGCATCCGAGTCTTCGGTATCATTATCATCATCATCATCCTGTCCCTGTCCGTTAGTAGAGGTAGTCACTGGCAGCTCATCAACGCGACAGCCGGCAACCTGAATGTAAGCAGCACCGCCAGGCCGCCGGACCAGATAGGCATTGTCATCGTCATCGTCATCGTCATCTTCAACCTGTGCGTGCATGTCATCGGGATTGGTCAGCTGCGCCCACTCGTTCAGCTTGCGCATGACATACTCGAGTTCATCGGCCGTCGGGCTGCGACGCCGGCCTTGCTCGGCCCCGGGCCCGGTCTTGGAAATGGGAGTAACCTCGCGGGCACTGGCGAATAATCCCTTTCTCGCTTCCTCCACGGCGATTTGGAAGAGAGTGAGGCGGATGCTGGGATCCCGCTCCTCGGTGTATGTGGGGACGGGCGCGGTGGCCGGGGCGGCTGTGCCGGAGGGAGCGGTCTCCGAGGCCGGGGTGGCGATGCCGGGGGTAGAGGTGCCAAGAGCAGCGGTGTCCGGAGTAGCGGTGCCACTGCCCGGGGTAGAGGTGGCCGGGATAGTGGTGCCCGGGGTGGCGGTGCCAGAGCTCAGGGTGTCCGGAGTAGTGGCACCAGGGGTAGGGGTGTCCGGCATTGCGATGCCCGGCGTCTCAGTGTCCAGCGGGGTGATATCCAAGGTGATGAAGATTGAAGTGGCTTCATAGTCGTTGTCCTCGTGACCAGAGGCCGCACCAGGAGAGGGTGCCGGTTCCGCCTGGCGAGGGGTGTCGGGGAGCTCGGGGAGCATGGTCTGCTCAGGCTCGATTGTCAGCATTTCTACGGCAGCGAATTCTGCGCGTAGAGAAAGTGTTGTTAGATATGTTTTTTTTTTTTTTTTTTTTTCTTGCAATTCGTCAGGCGTATCGAGAATTGCGTTTAGTTGTCGATTTGACAAGAAGAGAAGAAGAAGAGAAATAGACACGAGCATCGGGCGAGAGAGCCATCGTTTTATACTTGATTTGGCAACACTCGATGTTGGTATCATGTTGAACAGTCTTGTTGTTTTCGTGTATGTAGACGGTGAAGACGCCACGGCACAACCCATTGGTTTAAGGGATACTTCTTGATCTCGCCGCTGCTCGGGAAACAGTCCAAGCCCCAGACAGATCCCCCATAACCATCAAACCCCTGTAGTTGAGCTTCTACACCTTGACGGCAAAATGTAGGAGGGTTTCAGGGGTGTTCTGAAGTTTATTAGCGACTGGACTGGGGACAAACCCCTGTAGTTGAGCTTCTACACCTTGACGGCAAAATGTAGGAGGGTTTCAGGGGTGTTCTGAAGTTTATTAGCGACTGGACTGGGGACAAGTGCAAGTTCGTAGTAGTGGATAACTCCTTGGGGCACTTGCCTACTCACGCTTCAGCATCGTTCATCAGTCCGTCGAGCTTCCAGTGGACTCGTGACCTAGGTTACTGGTAAATCCAATGCTCATTAATGTCCAACTTCGCTGCATTAAACATCATCACATCATCATCCCCCCTGACATACCCTCCTGAGTCCGTCCTGCACAGTGCAGGCTACCCCCGACTCGGAACTTGAACCCCCCTCCGAGCAAACTTCCACACATCCTTCTCCCCCTCCCCGGCCATCAACCGCAACAGATACCTCTCCCAGTACCCAACAAGCGGTTCCTCCGGCAACTCCCTAACCTGCGGCACCATAGTAGCCGCCCCGTGTCCCTTCAGCTCCCCATCAAAAACCCACTTCCACGCATGATCATCCCTTTCCACCGGATACAGCACCTCCATCGGATACTCCCCCGACCTCAACCTCGCCTCAGGCAACCCCCCCTTCAACCCGGCCCCCAACCCAGCAGCAGCTGCCACCTTCTCCGCAACCTCCACGAGTTCCCCCCTCCCCAACTCACCACTAACCCCCCTTTTCAATTCCCATCTCCCCCTGCCTTTCTCAACCCCCTCCCCACCACGCAACGCCTCGCACTGCCAAACCCCACCATCATCCAACCCCAACCCTCCACACGCCAGCCTTACCCGTACCGAGGCATGAATCCGCTCGTTGGTGTACAGAAGCGGCTCGCCGGTATCCTCATTCGTCGTCTCGTCCACGCGCAGGACCAGCCCGGGACACCGGACAGTCTTCCCCGCCATGGTGGTGATCACACTCGTCGGGGAGCGGATCGTCCCCAAACCCCAAGCACGAGCCCCCGCGGAGAGCAGTTGTGGTGCGGAAGTTGAGGCAGCAGCGTGGTTGCATGACGGTTTGTCATCATCACGGTCACGGTCACGGTCACGGTCGACACGGGAGTCGGGGCGGTCGCGGTCGGGCAGGCGGGAGCGGAAAGTGCATTCCACACTATCACGCTTGGGGTTGGAGCGGCTGGAGTGGAAGATTTGCGAGGCAGTAGCCCAGGGGAGGGGCGCGTCTGGTGTGGAATTGCGACCGAAGAACTTGCCTACGGAGCGTTTTAGAAAGTCAAGTCCCGGCACAGGAACAGAGAGGAAGGATGACGCGCCACGCTGCGGGACACAGGGGAAGGGATGGGCGGCTGAGTAGCGGAGGGTTTCGAGGAAGACGGCCGTCATGCGCCGGAAGTTGATTTCCACGCCGACTGAGGAGAGTTGGTCGCACATCCCTGATATCACCATCACATGTGAGGTTAGCGTACATGTATGGATGGGCTGAGAGGGGTCAGGGGAAGTAAGTACTGACAGGCTAGAGTGATGTCTGAGATCTGCTGGTCGTGCCAGCCGCCGCCGACGTTGCCATGGTTGCCCGGGAACCAGACCTGCTTGAGATTGGTGGTGCTCCCGGGGAGGCGCTCCCACAGTGATGGGCGGAAGGCATAGCGCGGCTCGTCGAGAGCAAGCGCTTGGAAGGCGTTTTCGACTTTGTTGGAGATTTGGGTGTTGGTGAACCTCCATGTGCAGGACTGTTAGCTAACCCTCGCAGCTGCGGCGGAAAAAAAGGGGGGACTTATTGATCGGATGACCCGCGAACCCCTATCACGGGAGCCGGAGGGATGCCGAGCGTTCCCACCGTGTCCCACACGGCGAGGGCCTTGACCTTGATTTCGGTCTTGCCATCGTGGTATGTGTCTCTGGTGTATTTCATCTTGATGCTTGTCAGCACTGCTCAGGACATTAATCAACATCTGGGACTCGGAAATCAAGACTGCCCGCCCACTTACCGTTTTCAACCAATTCTTATACTGCACCATCCTCGCACTCTCCCATTGAATCTTCGCCTGACCATGCGAACCATTATACGCCGGCAAGTCACCAACCATATACTCAGCCGGATCCCTCGTCGGATTCCCCATATTCTCGTAATCCTCAAAAATAGCATGAAACCTCTCAAACCCCTCCGGAGTGAGCAAGCCAACCGAGGCAATCATATCAGCGACCGACCGAGCAGTAAACGCTCCCCTCGAGAAACCAATCAGGATAATATCATCCCCATCAACATAGTTCGTGCAAATGAAATTGTAAACCTCGCGAATGTCCTGATCAAGGCCCATTCCAAAAGCACCGCCCGTAAACCGGTCAATGGAATTCGCCGTGCCCACGCCCGCAAAATAGTTGATGACCTGGTGGGTGCCATCGCAGCAGGTCCGGCACAGGACGCGCGATATGCGCGTCACGTTTGATGGAGGCTCGCTTCTAACATGGTTGGAGAGGTATGAGTTAGGCTTGTGTTCATTGATCATCAGAGCTACTCCCTGGCCGCTTAGTACCTACCCCTTCTTACCCAGTGAATCCATCCATGTTCCATCGCAGCAGATGACGAGGCGCTTGGGGGGACCGCGACGGAGGTCGGAGTGCGTGTGTCCGGGATCCAGGGGTGAAGCCATCGCGAAGTGCGCGCTGTAAGTCAGGGATAGTGCAACTTGTGCTTTAGGAGGAGTGAATTCTCCCACCGGGCATCATCAGGGGGAACTGTCCCCCTTTTTGAGGGAAATACGGTATCTAATTAGCGGATGTCGGAACTGATCAGCGCCAGGTCTGAGTTGTGCAACTTTGTTGCAGCAACATCAATTGGACCTCATGACCGGGGGTGTTCTGTGTGATGGACCCTGTCACCGCAGACAACGCCTTCTCCACCGCTAGGAAGCCCAAGTCGATTCGCTTGCACCATGCATCGAGGCGTTGACATTGGGAATCGTGCCATTCGGCGACGGGCGAGATCAACAGTGCAGAAACGCCAGCGCAGATCGGGACTAGACGCCGACGGCTCAGCTCTTGGCAAGCAAGACATGAACGGAAGGAGCAGCCCAGGCTAGTCCGGAAGCAACGATTTTGTCTCGGGCATCCACAGTGAGGCTTTTGGAGTCCCCGAACTCTGAGTTTTTGCGGGCGCTACGAAGCAATCCACAGGTACTCGTTAAAACCTACATTGGACCGAAACACTGCATGTCAAGTGTTCTGAGAGGCTGAGCCAATGGGAATTGGCATCGTGCCTGGACGACGTCCAAAGGGAGAACCGCTGAAGGATGGATCCGAGTACATACGGAAACGGAGTCGGAGCGTCTTAGCCCTTAGGTAGCGGAAGACAAATGCACGCAGCTGAGCCTCAAACTTACCTTACACAGATCACAACATATCTCAGATGGCTTACTCAAGTCAGCGCTATGGATTGACATGCCGAGGCATGCAACATCAACATGTCGATAGCGACGCGGTTTTGATCCGTGTGCTAAAGTATTCAGTTCTCTTACCTGACACCTTCCCCCCCCCCCCCCCCCCCCCCCCCCCCCACCTCTGATGCAAAAGAAGGGTATGGTTACGTCACCATGGTAGTCGGTGGGTGCTATGAAACTTACCTAGGTACTTTCCTGTATGTAGAACCTTAGGTAATATAGGGAAGCTTCATTCGATAAGCACCTTCCGGGAGATGGTTCAGAAACTCATTTCCAACTTCCGTAATCCATAGCCGAATTTGTTGCGGGGATCACGGCGCTGGGGATGCGGGGAAGTGAAGCAGACTGGAAGCTTCAGACCTACGTTGTCCAGTAACTCCGGTTTCTTAAGATCCACTTCGCGTTCAAGGCCTCTTATCTTGAGCTATCTTGTGCTCCTCCGCCCGGTCCCGTCTGGCTCGCGGGGCTCGGGACTCGGAAGTGGTCCGGCTATTCCTCTGCTGCGGGCTCGGCACAGAAAGTCCAGTCGGAGCGTCGGAGATCAAGTGGGGTACGGTGCAGCACGAAGGTCGCTGTTGAGTTGAGCTGTCGCAACACTGAAATGACACAAACGCCAGCGACGTGCTCAAGGCAAACTAAGTGGTTGCGGGGCGTTTGAATCCCAAGATTCCTCACCTTAAAGAAGCTCAAAACTCCCGCTCTTCATCCACTAACATACGAATCTAATAACCACCCCAGTCATCGACTCATCGCCATGTCCACAGACTGCGAAACAACCGACGTGCTCATAGTCGGCAGCGGCTCGGCCGGTCTCTGCGCAGCCGTCTGGCTCGCCCGCTTCGGGATCCGCTACAAGATCCTCGAGCGGCGCGACGGGCCGTTGAAAATCGGCCAGGCCGACGGCGTGCAGACACGTACCGTAGAAATCTTTGACAGCTTTGGTATTGCGGAGGACCTGCTCAAGGAGGCGTATCATGTCCTGGAGATTGCGTTTTGGTCTCCTCACAGTGATGACAGCGATGGGAAGGTTAACGGCGGCATCAAGAGGTCCCATTATGCTCCTGACAAGGAGACGGGGCTCAGTCACCAGCCGCATGTCATTCTGAATCAGGCGAGGTTGAATGCCCTGATGTTGGGGGAGTTGGGGAAGGGTGGTGGTCCGGGCGGAGGGAATCCGGTGGAGTATGGATGTGTGGTCACGGGGGTGGAAGTTGATCATGATGAGGCTGCTGTGCAGGATCCGGATGCGTATTGTGTGCAGGTCACGGCGGGCAAGGATGGGAGGGAGAGGAAATACCGGGCAAAGTACGTGCTGGTGAGTCACGATTTATTCCAATCCTTCGGCTCCAAGACTCCGAAACTGACGGACATATCCAGGGGTGTGACGGCGCGCACAGCATCGTGCGCAAGTCCCTCGGCTTCAGGATGATCGGCGACAGCTCCGACGCCGTCTGGGGCGTCATGGACATCTACCCTCTCACCAACTTCCCGGACATCCGCAGGAAGTGTGTCATCAACTCCGCTGTCGGCAACATCCTCATCATCCCGCGCGAGGGCGACGCCATGGTCCGTTTCTACACCGAACTCCCTGCCGGGACCAAAGTCAGCGACGTGAGCCTCGAAAACCTGCAAAGTCACGCCCGGTCCGTGTTCAAGCCGTACAGCATGGACTTTGCCGAAACGGCCTGGTGGTCGGCCTACTCGATCGGCCAGCGCCGCGCCGACTTTTTCCATCGTGACTTGCGCGTGTTTTTGACGGGAGACGCTTGCCACACCCACTCGCCCAAGGCGGGGCAGGGCATGAATGTGAGTTTGCAGGACGGGTATAATATAGGCTGGAAGCTGGGCATGGTGCTTAGGGGGTTGGCGCGCGGGAGGGAGCTGCTCGAGACGTATGTCCTTGAGCGGGAGAGGACGGCTACTGAGTTGATAGAGTTTGACCGATACTTTACGAAGCTGTTTAATTCGAAGTATCGGCAAGATCACGGCATCACGCCCGAGCAGTTTGCTGAGGAGATCGTCAGGGCGGGGCGGTACACGGCTGGTCAGGCGATACGGTATGATGAATCGGTTATTACGTCCGCGGGGGAGCACGACAGGGAGGTGGCGAAGGGGATTACGGTCGGGATGCGGTTCCCCACGGCCCAGGTTGTGCGGTTCTGTGATGCTAAGGCCATGCAGCTGGTCAAGGGGCTGCCGGCCAACGGGCGGTGGTATGTCGTGGTATTTGCGGGCGATGTGACGCGGCTGGATGCTGCGGTGCGGTTGAGAAAGGTTTTGCATCTGCATCTAGGAGGTGGAAAAAGGGGGACTTGTGCTGATACTTCCTGTACAGGCAGCTCTATCCCTTGAGGAGGTGGCCCGACGGTTCACGCCTCCCAGCGCTTACCCCGACAGCGTCGTCGACCGTATTCTGGTGATCGCATCGGACAGGAAGAAGGTTGAACAGGAGGAAATCCCCGAGTTTTTTACACCCACGACGGGCAAATGGGGGATGAAATGTGAGTTTGGGCACTCAACACAGGCTCGGGATCCTGCTACTACTATTAGGAGGAGTGATAGCCAACATAAAGACGGTGCTAACCTTGGGATGTTTGCAACTAGGCCTGACCAAAGTCTTTGCCGATGATGAGAGCTACAACTCTGGCCATGGACATGCATACGAGGCATATGGAGTTGACCCGGGGAGAGGCGCCTTGGTGGTTGTAAGGCCTGATCACTGTGAGTTGAGGCCCATAGTAACCTAGAGTCGACCGTTGCAAATACTGACTTTGATCGAACAGACGTGGCTAAGGTGGCTGCGCTGGAGGATGTCGAATCGATTCGGCATTTCTTTGAAGGCTTTCTGTTGCCCCAGCTTTAGCCACAATGAAGTTCTGATCGACGACCTGTTTCAAGAGACTATATTACGATGACTCGGAGAGCCGGTAAGGTACCTGCCTACCTCGATCCGCGTAGCACCTTACTGTCTGCACGAATATCATCTGTCGAAGTCTTATGATACAGCGCCTTCTCTCCATTTTCCTTCTTATAATGCGTGCCGTCTGAATTTCCTTCGTGTACTTTGACCAGCGGCACTTTTTACTCTTGAAGTATATGAAAGGCCTAACCCTGTAGATAGCCCGACTTCAACTGGCACACACTCTCCGACCCCTCAAAAGATCAGTATTACCGCTAAGACATTGCTGATGCTGACTAGTAGAATCTCTGAATCCCGCTGCGGTTTCTTCACGCGGGCCTCAGCGCCTCTTTACACACCACAACTGATAGGCCAGGCAACTGGGCAGCACTGATTGGTGGCGGTATGGGAGGCATCGGGGGACCATACAGCTGTGGCCGGGTGTCATACAAGGCTCGGATGCAGGTTTACGGTCAGGCATCACGGCCTAATCGTTCCCTTTGGACCTGCACTTGTGCAGAACGTGGCCCACAGCAACACTTGATAATATTGATCGGAGCCTCACGTCCTTGTCCAAAGCCGTTGACACCCTCCTGGTAGTGTTTGCTGCCTCTGGGGAGAGCCTGCGAGATGCCGATTGGGGCTTGGCGACGGTTGAGTTGGTCACGGCAATGCGCCTGACCGTCTAGATTAGGCGCCCGCTGCAGCAAACGCGGCACGGTATGCCTCTCGAGCATGGGAGGCCCACCGCGAGGCTGCCAAGGCAACATGTCGACGATGGATCCCGAGCTTGCGCACTGATGAATGAGAAGGTTCTCACCCTGGGGCGAATCATGGATGTCAGCTGATGGCTGTCTCTGAGGCTCACATATCGACTTATTTTACGGGATCTCGCCTTCAGAGGCTACCAATTTGTCTAGCATTTACTCGACTTATACCACGGTTTCGTCCTTTTCAGCAAGACATAGCCATGTTGCTGCCAACTCAACTGCCCTGCAGACAGGCCAAAGAGCGCAAGGGGCCATGTCCTCATCTTGTGAACGGGAGACAATGCCGCAGCCAGAGCTGCAGACAGAGGTCCTACCATGACTACCAGCAGATCCAGTGGTGGAAGCAGAATCCCGGCAAGAGCCGATGTCAGAAGGGGTCAAACTGCGCTCACCTCCAGACAAGAACCTGCTTGTGGACCCATCCACCCGGAGACCAGGCGCTGCAGGCTCAGCTCAAAGAACTGATGACGCGAGGCCTCACGTACAAAGAGACCCTCGATACCACCAGACTCTTGGAGCTCAGTCAGGGCTTCATCAGTATCTCGGACCACTGCGATCTTGCGAGCTTCAACAAAGTGTCTAGCACCGGGATTGCCGTTCCAGGTGTGTGACGTCCGCCTTCATCGCTTACTCTGATTACACATTGCTGGATTCAGATCAACTAATCCTCATCGGATGACCTCCAGGCTGTCCTCCCCGCTTCACACCCCTATCCGAACCCCTCGTTCTCGAATGCGATGCAAACAACAAGTCCCTCTGCTTCGAGTTCCCGCGGTACACGCACCCATTCGAGCCGCTATTCCGATCCGTCGCGGTCATGTCCCCAGATGTAAACATCTTCGAATCCGCCGATATCGTCAGCAACGCGAGCAATCTAAGAAAACTCTTCCACATCCTCGCGCACAAATCCATGCGGGCGGAGCGGTACGATGTGGAGATGCGCGGCAACACGCTGCTGCTGTCGCGGTGGAACGAGGATCCCTCGCTGAACGACAGCCTGGGCCACGGCGCGGGGTTTGAGCGGAAGACTTGTCGGTATCCCGCTGACGATGAGGAGATTTTGCGCCGCAGTTTGAGTCATCACCGGGTGGTGGCGTATCGGTTTGGGGGGCTGAGGTGTGTGGTCCAGTCCGAGGTGGATGCGTATTACTGCGATTGTCACCACCCGGATGTCAACCCGGCATTTTCCATCCCTATCGCTTCCCCTCCAGGCGAGAAGAGACGCAGCACCCTGTCACCGCATGCAGTCCCCTTTGTTCCGAGCGGGAGTCCCAGTCCCGCGATTCCCACCCCAACCTCCGGCTCTCCAACCCGAAAGCACTCCATCTCACTCTCAGGACCCCCCTCGAAACAGCGACCCGAGCTTGCCTTTGCAGCTCTCCGACTGGACGACCCGGGTGACAGCCCAACCTTTACACCCGCCGAACCCGACAACAATCCAACACTACCCTCCCCTCCCCTTACTCCGACTTCACCCCTCCACCCCGCCACCGACACCATCCTCCAACATGCCAGTGCTAAAATCCACATCCACCACCTCGGCCGAAACATCCCTTCCCCCTGTCTAATAGAAGTAAAAACCCACAAAGCCCTCAACACCCCCCTGTTCACACCCGACGCGCAACTCTACTTTTCCCGACGCACGCAGCTCTACGACGCGCCCTACCACGACAAAGGGGTGTTCCTCCCCGGCCCGGGGCTTGTTGTGCAGGACCGGACAGGTGCACTACGGGTCTGGGAGAGGGAGGAGCAAGAGACTTTGAGGAAGCTTGCTGCCCTTCTGAAGATGGTGAGGGATAAGGTTAGGGAGATGGTGGAGAAGGGGGTGGAGAGGGTTGGATTGGTTGTCTGTCAGGGTGAGGGTGGGAGTGGGCGGGTGGTTGTGGAGGTTTATGATCGGGGGAGGGGGGTTGGATTGGTGCCGGCGGATGTTTAGTATTTACATGTAAGGGGATGGGTTGATGAGACGCATCATGCAGTGATGACGTGGATAAGCGCGTTGACGACGGTGATGACTTGATGGTTGAACGTCTATAATGCTCTATGGTACTAGTAATAACATGAACACTGACGTGGACTCCAGACCATAGGTAACTAAAACAAACTCGCTCTTATTAAGATAACATGCAACCCCGTACCCCATAGACCAGACATATCCAACGACCCTGTCACCCCACTCCAGACTCACAACTCGCCATGAAGATCTCAATATGTGATCGTCACCGCCTTCCTCACCCACCTCCTCCCATCCCTCAACCCCTCCCCCTCCCCCTCCCTCTTACTCACTCCCTGAATCAAATTCTCAAAAATCCACTTCCCCACATCCTCCCGACTGATAGTATACCCGACGGCCAAACTCTCAACCCTCCCAGCAACCGGATCCTCCACACCAACCCTAACCAACCCCTCCGTCTCCGGACCGGACGTGTACAAACTCCCCCGGATAATAGTCCACTCCTCGTCCTTCCCCATCCCCTCCACCAACAAATCCTCCATAGCCTTCTTATCCCGATGCGCCGTGCTCAGCAGCAGCTTGTACATCGGCATCATCAGCCACGGCAGGTCCCGCGCAAGCGGGGTGATCCCCGTTGAACTGACAGCTACGATCCGCGGGGTGCCAACCTGAGAGACGCCGTGCTCGGAACGGATGCGTTCAAGCGCGGTTAGGAGTGCGGTCATCCCCTTCTCGCATACGTGTGGGTCGGACATGCCACCTTTCCCGCGCAGGGTGGGTTTCGCGCCGATGGAGAAGATGATTGTGTCCACCAGGGTTAGTTTGGTGGTGGTGGTGGTTGTGGTGGTGGGAGTGGGAGTGATCACCAGGCAGCGCATGAGGGTGTCGACGTCGTGGGCGTTGCCTTGCTCGATGTGTAGGTTGGGCGGGTTGGTGCCGCCGGGGAGTTGGCTGGTCAGGTTGGATGGTGTCCGGCATAGCGCGATGCAGGTGTGTCCTGCCGACAGGCTGCGGCGGAGGGCGGAGAGGCCGCATCCGCCTGTCGCGCCGAGGAAGAGGATTGTTTTGGGCTTTGAGCTTGGGGTGGACATGGTCACGATGGTGTGGGGTGACTGGTCTGACTGGATGGAGTGAGGTTTTGGGACGAGGTTGATTGATGGTGTTGATGTTGATTGAGTGTTCTTCTGCTGTTCGATCGTGGTAGGCAGTATACAAGGAGGTGACTTAGGGAGCTTGAGTTTGTATGTCGTCCCGGCTCGAGTCAAGGGGTAAGGGGTCGCCCTCTTTATGTCGACGTCGACAAGAACTCAGCCATCACCTCCACGCGTCTATCGGAGGAACATTGGAAACTTTTTTCACCGTCATCACACCATCACTCGGAGCAGTAGTGCTGACGATGGGCTTCCGGCCGATGTGGCGTCCTGGAGTCAGGCCGATTGTGGGTCCTGAGCCGGCCGAGCGCCGTGAATTCCTCCGGGTCTCCACTGTGGCTTTTTCCCGCCCTTCTGAGTGGACGCCAACAGCACATGTCGCGTGGAAAATTGCCCCGGTTCGTAGACCCCTGCTTGATAAGATGGAATTCCCAGTGCATACGGTGACTCTTTCCTCTCTTTTTCTCGTTGAGTGCACGTGCTGCTGGTTCCATACATGAAGTTCCAAACTTAAACTGAGAGAAGACACGCTCCGACGCGACTTGCTATTCTCATTATTTATGTGATAATTCCCAAACCACCTCACGTTCATTCCCAGCACCGGTACAACTTGAAATGCTGCAGCAATCCCTTCTCGCATCAGTCTTCCGGCGCCATGTCCAAACCAGCGCAGGTAACCGACATTTACAAATTTGGCGACCCGTACGCGGCAAACATAGACTTTCAGCAACAAGAATACCGTGTCTCCTGGCAAGGCGACTGGCGACAGTTTCCCGACCTTGGCTCCTTCCCACAGGTTCCCGGCGCAACCGTTACTCTCGTCCCACACAGCCCTGAACTCGACGAGCTGTGGGCCAAATCACACGTCTTGTGCTATGGCGCCGACTCTCACATCAGACCTCTAGAACAACATGAAGGATCCGCCAGCGGAGAGGGAGCAGTTCCCAGTTTGCAAGGTCGCCGCAAATGACAAGCAGAGACAGCTGATTGCCGACGAATTCGAGATCCTTCGCGACCTTGGCTCAAGCGCTGCGCCTGTTGTCCAGGTGCATCCAGAGCCGCTTGTCGACGGGAAGGGCATCTTTGGGTTTAGAATGGAGAAGCTCTTGGCCATCGGTCTGGACATGGCAATCGAAAAGAGCGGGTTGGTCAAATGTCTTGAGCAGATACACGAGAAGGGAATCGTTCATAATGATTTCCATCCTTTGAATGTCATGATGAATGCCCAAGAGCAGCTTGTGGTCATCGACTTTGCGTGTTCTGGACGCGTGGGGAGCACGATCCCTCCTGAGAAACGAGCACCGTGGTGGTCGGCCGAGGTGTACTCGTTCGAAGCTGATCATATTTCTTTGAACAAGTTCTTCAAGTTTTCTGCTTGTGCGTTATTGAGGATGGGACAGCTTGCAACACAACTGACTTGTTCTCTCAGGATTCCGTCAATATTTCGAAAGCTATACTGCGACGTCCTGACCTCGGTGAACCTGGCCGCTGGTACAGTACTGTAGTATCGAACGGTACTATCGCATCACCATTACGAGTTAACAACTTTGGCTGTTCCTTACCTTACATGACAGGAGTGGCGTATGTTGGCTGGATCGTCGTGCTTGCTACTCGCCCTGTGTTGCAAAGCATAGGGTACCTACCTGGGGAGGTAAGGACCTCAGATTGCGAACCCTACTACATGTCACCGTACATTGATGTTGGCCCCTGGGATGCCCAGGTGGTCTGCTGCTGCGTCTGAATGTAACACGTGAGAGCATCGCATCCTCACGGCTGAGACACGAGACCGTCCGCAGAGCCTCAATCAGCACACCAAAAGAGATTGGAATCAGACGTGTGATGCTGACCGCAGGGTGTGTCATCCCGCCGTATCTCACCATATCCATATCCCGCCGTACAACCAACCGAGGAAAAAAAGCTCGGTTCCGGCCGCCAACGGCTAGACTGTGCTGTGTACCGGTCAGGGTGTTGCATACTTAATCAGGTAGGTAGGCCAACCCTGCATAGCTGACTGAACGCCATAACGTATGGTAGCCCGTGGTTTGGCCAATGGATTGGGCTGTCACAGGCATGGAAGTGAGACAGCGGGAAATGCTTAGGGACGTATTTTGGGGTTACACCGGGACGGGAATTTTGATATCGCCCTATTTCCACATAAGTACAGTAAGGTACTGTAGCAAACGGAATACTGAGAAGCAAACAGATAGGCGTGGCCTGGTTACTGATACCTACTACAGCAGCGGTAACAGTATGAGTATTGTGGTTATGCAGGGCTGTTAATAGATTCCAAGCCAACATGTTCAGTAGGTAGGTTAACTCTGTTACAAGTAAGGGGCATACCACTAGTACTATAACTCAGTGTCACTGACGCTGTCCTAGGTATGGTCCAGTGGCTGTCTGGGCGGCTCGGCTACAAGTTGTATCCTGTTTCGTCTAGATTGAGTTGAAGGCATCAGCGGCAATGTGTGCTCCATCGGGGAATGTAAGTTGGGGATATGAGATCAAGTACCTCATGGTAGCTCTACTTACAGACGAAGCAAACTTTTAGTTACTGGGATGTCAAGATTACCTAGGCGGCCCCTGAACATTGAACAGTCCTTTCCATCAAAACACACTTGCACCTAGAGACATCTATGCAGGTGTGCTTGCTCAAAACTGGTGATACCTGTTTGTTGTTTGTTCTCTTTTCCTACCTTAAGTAGGTAGCAAAGTCCTTTCCGTGTCATGGTTGGGTCGCTATATTACCTAAGGTACCTTACTGACTTGCTAACTTACGTGTTGGAAGTGATAGGTATCTTAAGACTTAATTAGACACTCTTCAAGAATGAGGACCCCTAATTGAGGATTTTGAATCTCTGACTGAGGAATCCAGCTATTGGCTCAGCAACTGTATCCTGTGTTCACTTGCGCTCAACTGCAGTGTAAACAGTATCGTACGCTGCCACCTGTCAGATCCGGACCCCTTACCTCAACGCAGTGAAAACTAGAAGACATCAGCTCACTGAACTTCGCTGCCTTCATGTTACCTTCAGTCAATACCCTGGTCCGCGGCTCTTGTTGATGCACAAGCTTTCAGCTCCAATTGACAAGAGGCTCCACGTTCCATGTCGCACAAAGATGCGTCATGCGTGACAGGCGGCCAGTGGACAGAGATAGGCCGTTGGGTGTGACAGGGTCGTGTTGGTTCGTTCAAACTGCCACAAAAGCCGCAAGCCAGTCGGACACTGGAAATTACATGTCTGACGACCCTTTGCCAATCAGGGCGGCCTCTCTAAACTCTTCCACAACCGGCGGAAATTGCCAATCTTTGTCAAGCTGCTCCCCCTTATAGCGTGCTACGGAACCTACTTCGGCATGTATGGCGAGAAGATGAATGAGAAGTCAGCAGCCCTACCGTGTATGACGAGATACGATGTATGACATGGCGCACGCCCACCTGTCGCTTTTTCTTTGCAGGTTGCATAGGGACACGATGGACTTGCACAACCTACCTCTTCGCTCTCCCGTGAGCCAAGAGCGGGCTGTCCAAGACTGGCTTTGTGCATACTGAACTATGTATAATCCCAACGCCCACGCCCATTGCGCCGCAAACACGCAGGCTGCAACTGCACGTTGCCGTTCTCGTTCTTTGTTGCTTCTCCACGCGAGCAGATGAACACTGAGAGAGCCGCACCAGTGCAAACTGAAGCCGATTCTCTATATAAATGGCGGGAACAAACAAGTCGACGCACCATGATCGATACAAAGAACTCACAAACTAGCTCTTGCAAGCAGTGTCAGAACCATGTCTTCGCCATCTTTCCCGAGATCTCAACCACGCAATGCGCGTACACAAACAACATCCTGTCAGGAGCACGTGCAACCTGCGACGAGAATACCACACACCCAGAAGCCCCTGACTGAGACCGTGACGGGCATGCGGTTAACCAAGCCCACCAGGAGCCACAGATTTGGCCGGTTGCGGATATTTGAGGAGATCAGCGTAACCAATCTAGACGGAGAGAGCGGGCCGCTGACTACGGTGTCGCAGGACGACCATCTGCATGCCCCGCCCAAGCGCCGAAGAAGGGGGTATGATCAGGACGGCGACGAGGACAGGGAAGGTGTGGAGGATGAGGATAGGGATCATGATGGGCATCAGGAGAGCGAGACGGTCTACCGCTCGCCAGAGACACTCAGTCGGGTGTTGGAGCAAATGGTCATTATTGTGCCCTGCAAGAACGAGAGTGTCGATGTCATTCGGGGAGTTATCTCTGCAATTCCACCATCTTGCCGTGTTATCCTAGTCTCCAACTGTGAGCGTGGCGGGCCTGGCGTCGACGACCAATACATGCAGCAGGTAAAGATGCTCAAGACCCTTCAAGTTGAACTTCACGGATGCAACTTGCACATGAAGCAGAGACAGATGCTGGCCATCCACCAAAAAGACATCCACGCCGCCGAGGCGTTCCGGATATCCGGCCTGCCCGAGCTGCTCGACCCGGCAAACGGGACAATCCGCGATGGTAAGGGCGAAGGCATGCTTCTGGGCGTTGCCATTGCCGCTGCCTTGTTCCCCCGGCACCGCTACGTCGGTTTCATCGACGCTGACAACTTGCTCCCCCAATCGGTAGACGAGTATTGCAAAGCCTATGCTGCCGGCCTGTCCCTGGGCCCGCCGCCCGAGCAGGAACATACCATGGTCCGTCTGCGCTGGGCATCCAAGCCAAAGCGTGTTCCTGGCACAACGAGATACGTCCATGTCACCGAGGGCAGATGCTCCCGAGTCGTCAACAAGTGGCTCAGCAAGCTGTTTGCTTCGATACGAGACGAACATCAATATCATTATACGACAGTGCACGGCGGTGCCATCAAGATACCCCCCACCACCTGCAGCAGCGCGCCGGTGAGCGGCCTGGTGTCGACAGCAAACGCCGGTGAGCATGCCATGACCATGGGCCTTGCGCTCAAGCTGAGAATGGCAGCGGGGTATGCCGTCGAGCCGTGCCATTTTGTGGATCTGTTGGAGCGGTCTGGGTTTGCTTACTACTCTGGGGCAGACTTGAAGGAAAGCAAGGGGTTGTTGACAGACTATGCGGGTGAAAAAAGGGGTTCAGGGGCGGCACGCCCACTCAACAAGCCGACGCGCATACTCCAGATCCGGACGCTTAGCCCTCACTTCCACCGAGAATCAGACGAGGGCCACATTCGCAGGATGTGGGCCGTCGGACTTGGGGCGATCTACCATAATCTGGTTCCAGTTGGGCATCGCGCCGTCAGTGAGCTGCGCGAGGGGATGCACAAATTTGCGAAAGAGAACGGGGGACTTGATGCAAGGACCGGAAAACTGCCGGAACCGAGAATTTATCGGCCGCTGGAGGAAATGAATATGGAGAGGTTCCGCCAGCTGCTCGGGGAAAGCCTGCGTGATGGAACCCTGAGGCGGTTTGGGTTCGGCAGGAACATGAATGGTGATGAGCCGATATGTACCTGTCATACATGATAGGAACCTGGTGATCCTCCAGGAACAGGAATCAATGTCTGCCTTGAGTTGATCTTGCCCTCTCTACCCGCCAGGTAACACAAGGAGGTAACACCTTAGGGCTGCGGGACAGCAAGACTTGATCCCAGAGTCTCCATTGGCCGAGCAACGGCCGATCGACTCTACCTAGAACACTCTTTCACTGTGTTCTGATCAGCCTTCTGCATGCCTTAATGGACATCGCAGAGATGATGGCCACGGCTCAAGGCTGAAGCAAACACCACATCACATCATATAGCCCCCACCTGCGCGGCCGACTATGCGGCCGGCAACATGATATGACGCCAACACTTCGATGCTGCCTTGGGGCTTACGCAGCTCATTTCCCGCGACGATCTGGCCGTGGATTGCATATGGAGTTATGGACCTCCTCCTATTCGGATTTCTCGGGAATGGTGCAATGGTGGTGTGGCCTCATGATTCAGGCACGACTCAACATTGCACTTCACCGAGAAATCGGATACCTGAGGTAACCAAGCTGACAGTGTCAGATATGAATAGAGATGTGAGCCAGTCAGAGATGACCGATGAGTTGGTGTAACCAACGTGAATCTGACCGTCCCTTGCGCAACTCGTGCAATAGCGAACTTAGTAGATTGTATCCAGCCGCGGCACTTAGGCTCTAAGCCATAGGTAGGTAGTCTACCCTACACATGCACTAATAGATCCCCCCTTTTCACTCCACCCTCCGAGTCCCACCCCCAGTCGCCGTCGCCACAAACTGATGAACATACCTCAGCCTGCCCTGCACAACCCTAAACTCAAACACCGCCGGCGCACCCCCTAAACCCTCATCCCTCGCAAAGACACTCACCGACCCAGCTGTCTGATCCATAACATATCTCCTCTGCGCAAACCCCTTGGCCTTCCCACTCCCAACCCCTCCTTGCCCAGCACCCGGCAGGACCAACCCCTCAACACATGTATCCTTCGAGTTACCAGCAATGTAGAAACTCCCCTCAAGCCTCGCACAGGGGCTGTCCCAGGGGACACTAGCAGTACTGCCCCCAAGAAAATCCAAATACGCATCCGCAACACCCTCCAACGTGTCCCTTGAGTCTTGCAGGCTGGCACTGATCGCGCCCCAGTCCTCGCGCTCAACAAACCACCTTGCGGCCGTGGCATTGTCCAGCTTCCAGTCTCCCTCGCCCGCGTACACCACGTCCATGGTGCTCACCCTTGTTTCAAGTGCGTTGCCGGAGGTGCTGAGGTTGAACCTCAATTGCGCGCCGAGGATCAGCAGCCTTTCCCCCTCATTGTCCTTGCCCTTCAAGTTCCTCCTGGCTGTTTCTTTACTAGTACCACTGCCCCCTCGTGTTAACAGAGACCGTGACCACCGCACACCATCAGTGCCGATAGTGCTAGGAGTGCTAACGACCAACTTGGTAAAGCTCGCGCACTGGTCCTGGTCAACAATGGTGTGCGAAAAGTGAACTGTGACCGGGGTAGTCCCCAGCAGGCTGGCTGACGAGTTGATGGTCAGGGGGACACCGTTCTGTGTGTATTGTAGCAAAGGTGAGGAAAAGATGGGGTCGGAGATGTCTCCGGCGACCTGGGATTCGATGAAGACGTCGGTGAAGCTCCGTAGCGAGGCCCATTGGCATCGCTGCTGCGCGAGGGCTGTTGAGGGAAGAAGGGCCAGGGCAAGCTTGGCAATGGTTCGAGACATGGTGGTGGTTCCAGTTGGATGATTTGGATTGTCAGGTTTGTTTGCTTACGGAGGTCGATGATGGACTGAAGTTTGTCTTTTACGGCTTTGTCCGCGGCTAGAGTTCCTAGTGGACGCCCCCGGATCAAGAAGGACTATGGACAAGACCTGCAGACCACATCGATTACCGTGCGGGTCTTGAACCATAGAGCCCGGCCATTTTACCGCCATCTAGAGACAGTGACTCCGATATTGACTGGCCTGGTAACCCCGCTCAGTCAATATCCGCGTCTTCAAGTTGACTACGTGTGATGTGTGGCGCGCCACACTCCTTCCCGGATGATGGCCGGATCAACCGGGCATCGGAGGCTGTGCCATATTAGCCATGAAACCAGTCTAGAATACTTCCGGATCCAGACGGGATATGCACCCCTTTTCCCTTGCAAGGCAGCTGCGAGCAAACTTGGTACAGTTTAAGCACCCTAGGCAGCGTGGAAACCTGACTTACAAACTTACAAACATCTAAGTCGGCGCCCCTTTTCTTCTCTCTGGCGGATATACGCTGCAAGCCACCGGAGTGCGGGCTGCATCGGCATGTTTCTGCAGGCTGGGTGCGCGGTAAACCAGCCAATCCAAGGAGACCCAGAAACCTGGAAGTTTCGAAGAAATCGTCGTCGGCCGCCACAGCTGCAAACCAACCAACAACACCCGCACCAGCGAACTAGGATGGTAGGCGCCGGAAAGTAAATCCGTGACAATCTTTTCACTCCCAATGTCAATTGGAACTGATGCAGTTGTTGGCTGAGGACATCTCGCCGAACCTGAGAGTCGCAAGCTTGATTTTGTCATTTTTTATGGGAGCCAAGCGGGCACTTACACACAGCATGAAGGCACAGCCACACGGTCGATTGGGCGACAATACGACTAAGAGACAACATATCCACATCTGCACCTGCGACCCAAAAAAGAGGCCCGGGCTTATACATGGAATGATGAATCTCGTCCACATAGTGGATGGAAAAAATGGGAGGCCTTTATGAGGGCAGAAAACGAGGCTGCATTTGCTTGACAGGTTGAGTCAATGTGGTCAAGAGACCTAGACGAAATGCAACAAAGCACCAACGACGATGTGCAGTGACTGACCGGGCAGCTACCCGTGGCATCTGATGGTGGTGCCTTAGGGGGACCGTGGGGGACTGGATCCGGCAGTCGATGTCGTGGCTTTGATGGTGAGTTTCTGGCACCGGACAGTAACGGGTAAACGCCTAGCAAGTGGGCGCGAAGTGTACATACTGGTCATGAGGTTCTCCTGCTCCGAGCAAGCTGCATCGGCCACCTCCGGGCGCCTCAACTCGGAATGGCCCATGGAGGCGGCAGCATGCTAGTCTGGTTACGTTGCTATCTTAGAATCAGTGGCGTCGCGCTAAGCTGGGCGAACCAGATTCATCGTTCTTCCACCTTGTATCAGTCAAACACAGGCTTCTGCCTCCTGCCATCAAGTCATTAATCATTACCTTCCAGGTTCAGCCATAGGTTGTTAACAGTAGCCGCCAGACCCCCGAGATATGGATACAACTGAACAATTGAGCCCAGCCACTAGTAGACCCAGGGATATATCCCTGATATTCTGCAGTTTGTCAAGGCAATACCTATCGGCGAAGGCGATGAGCAGCCATTGACGCAGTTTAATTCTATCATACGCACCGCTTTGTGTTGACTTACATCCAGGATTGTATTGCACTTACGTGATGATATGGATGTCGCACTACTACTACTAAAAAAAAAAATCAAATTCTAGTTGAGTACGAGGTAGGTACATGTACCGAATCAAAGTCATTGCTCGTTGGAATTGACCAGTACATGCTACATGTAAGTGCTAGTAGACGTCACGGTCCTGGCTGAGGTATGCCATCTGAGATGGCAGACGCCATTTAGACCATTCCGTGGTTCAAAGTAACGGATATCATTGATCAATCCTTTTGAGTCATCGGCCATATACCGTGCTTGAATCTGAGGTAGGACAAGGCTCACAGGAGCTGGCCAGGAGATATGCAACGCGTACTATGAATCTGAATGCCAGTTTGTTTCAATCACAAGTTGTTCGAGCCGCAACCGCACTCACCGGCGGCCGATCAGAGCCGTCACACCACCAGGTGACTGTGTCCAGTTATGTAGTACAAAAAAGTAGGACACACCGTGAGTTTTTCGTGGTATGGTAGTAGGACTGCTAGATCGGTCAGACTCAAGCTGCGGATAGGATGATTAGGATCCAAGATGATGACCACCAGGAAGATATTGTGCACGCCGTTGCACATTCTCCTTTGTGTTTTTATTTTTCCGCGTGGGGTCGATATTCGATGTCGGAAGTAGTCGGAGTTACACGAAGTTAGGTAGGTAGTCTACCTAGAGAACCCCTATCCCGTGATAATCGACCTCCAGGTTCACCAACCAAAAGAGTTCAAGTTTACGCCCAATCGGCACCGCCATGGCCTCTGGCGCAACGGCCCGCATCAATCGCTTCTAACCAAGCTCCAGAAGCCTCCACTGTTGCTCGATGCATATTAGTTACCTAGAGTTTTTGAACCAACGTGGCCCTGCGCCTCATCGGTAGTCTGCAGGGGGCACCAAGGGGGTAGGTGGGGCAATGCATACCTCCATCCAATGTCCGTTTCCAAACTGATCTATTAGTCCATGTAAGTGAGGTAAAGTAAAGCCAAGTACCAAGGTATCTCGACCTCACAATGCCAGAAAAAGGAATACCCCCACCTGGCCATGCCTCTCAAGGGCCGCTATCAATGTCAGTCACAGCTCTGTCCGACCCTCCGAGGCACAGTCGTACTACTTGAAGACGCAGCTTGCCCGATCCCAGCGCCATGGTTCGGCATCGGGGCCGGGGCGCTGTTGGACGCGTGCAGCGCTGTGCACGTCAGGTGCAAGTATATTGAGCAGTGAGGACCTCGATCGCTCGGTATGATGATGCCTTGTTGGTCACACTCAGACACTCTGCTCGGGCATACTGGAGTCCTCGCCGTCCAAAGCGACCCCAGGCACACTTACACAACGCTACACGGTCGGCCGTCGTCGTCACTGGTTCGCAAACGGCCTCTGAAGTCATACCCCTTTTCCGTATATATAGGACCTACTCAGATACAAAGTCAACTCAAGTTGGATCATCACATCAACAAGCATCCAGTTGCGAGTGCACTTGAGACAAATCTCATCATCGGCCTCTCGCAGTCTCACTTATACCTCGGGCAACTCCCGATCAACACTGGCCTCAAGCTTCTTTCTTGCCTTATCTATCACGACTTGAACTCCATCACCCACCAGCCTGGGCGGACCTACCTGACGGCTGACGCTTCATCTCGACTACAAGACACCCCTAGACCGACACAAGATGTGCAGCTGGGAGCGTACGGTATACGCCTGCAAGTGCGAGAGCAAGCCAACTCGAGTCCCTTACTCGTGCTCGGTCTACACACGCCACATTTACGGCTCGTGCCGTTTCGACGAACGCTACGACCGTGTCCACGAGGTGATTAGCTACGACTACTGCGAGGACTGCCAGAGGTTGTATCAATATGTCAACCTCTGACATCATGGCGCTGTCCTTCATCTCCATCACACAGACCTAGATCCACCTGGTATTTGTTTTTCATGGTGGTCGGCCCAAGACGAGGAGATCCCCGGGTCTAGCCCGGCACGGGCCGGTACTACTAGTACCAAGGCTCGACAACCAACACACTCCGGTCTGCGAGGCCGACCCAGACATGGTCCCGAAGGAACCCGTCAATGACAGAGCATTGTACCACACCAGGCCCCATAAGCCGGCCACCCAGTCACCTTCCCCCTAGGAAGGGCACCCAAACACCACACATTCGCGAAGGGCGCTCCAAATGCTTGAAGCATGTATCACAACCAGTGTGTTTCTCTATACACAATGATATATCCAGAAGGAGGAGATTTGATTGCAGCTCCGGGCGAGTTTGCACGCATTACACATGCAGATAACGGTTCCATTCTTTTTCGTCGATATCCCCCCTTTGACATATTCAACTTGCATAGACAATTTGAGCAGAAGCATTGGACCTAGATCAGGCTTGGAACGGACAGCATCACTGCTTGCATTACATGTAATCAGGGGCTCACAGCCTTTGTTAGGATTACCTTCATGTACTTTTTAGGTAGAATTGCATCTCTTTCTTTTCCAGCGGTAGATAGATAACACAGAGCGATCCTCTAACGTGAAGTCATCCTTGGTGCCTGTGCATTTGGTCTGCCGCCTTGTCTACCTTTACAGTTCACAACTTACAAGTCGAGTACCATCAAGTACAGTACAAGCAGGCCTGAACCATGGCCGCTGGCCTTCCAAGATGGCCATGTCCATGTGGGTAAGGTACTACCTACCTTAGATTGGTACCGAACTTCAAAGGCCGGGCACGCCACTTTCGACATTGGCCAGCACTCACTTTTGGTTGCCTAACTTGAAGACACTCATCGATGTTACCAGTTTCTATTTTGACATTACTGTGCCTGAATCCACAACATGAACTGAAGCCCGGGCCCCCGGCGGCCCCACGTCAACGCCGCCGGGTACTGTACTATACACGTAACACTCCCAACACACCGATTTCAGCTGCATCTGCAAATCGAGCTTCACCAACAAAGTTAGCGGGAATGGCCCTGGACCGAAACGGTTTTTCAAGCCCCAGACTCAGAGAACCAACCGCGCCTCGTTGTCAAACTGCCGACTGGGGTTGCTCAGCTCCGACGGTTCACCTCATTTTCTGCCAAGTAAGCCCCTAAGCACTCTAATACGGCATATGGACACAATGACACCCACATCTGGGCAATACAGGAGACGGGATATGCTGAAGGAGCCTACTCACCTATCTAAGTGAGCCCCTGAACCCCTGAGTGACCCCATCCTGTTATGAAATGATAAAATGCGTTGAGGATAGCCACATTAATCGGACGCTTATCTCGGCTCTTTTTCATCGATAATCGATTCCGAGTCACGATTCGCGGTGAACAATGTGCGTAGGACAATAATCAATCTGGTAGGGCGGCCAATCAGCCAGCCCAGCCCTCGCCCCAACCCCCAACCGTGCGGACCAACAGGGATTCTAATCAAGGTGTAGCGGCGTCGCTGTGCCTCACCCCCGCGTTCAACAGGGCACGCACGTTTTTCTCACTTCAGACGACGGTGACTTGCAGTCCACATCAGATGTACCGGTTGGATTGGGGGATAAGAGTTGAGGGGCTGGGGGCCATGCCCCCGTCCCATGGCCGCCATCTATGTGATTTACCTCCTAAGATGGTGTACTAAAAAATATTACACAGTAGCATGTAGGCCGGCACCTCATTCTCCGATCACCGACTGGGCCGCATAAACTCCAGCCGGCAACGCAGCGTCGCGTCTGTTGGTGCAGGATTTGATGATGATTCTGCATGGTTTGCTTGGTTGCCGGCCGACGACCACCTCCCTGGCACCCAATGAGCGCAAACTGCAGACGCCATAAGCGCCGTGTTAGTTGGAGCCTGGGGTAGGTTGTGTGTGTTGAACTAAAAGGAGGGATGCTGTGAATCCCTTCCTAGCTGCCTAGTTTCAACCTTAAAATTCAAGCTCATGAGACAACTGAATATATCACTTCACAACTTCATAATCTTGTCTCAGGAAGCGCGGAGCTTGGCAGGGAACAATCCGTGGGTGAGATTATGTTGTGCTTACTTCCAGTTCCTTACAAACCCGAAGTAACGTTGCCTAGGACTCCACGTCTAACCTCAACTAGGTAGCCACGAACTCCGGGAACACAAGGACTAAATCTAGATACATCCATCTACCTAGGTAGGTAGCCACACACACACACACACACACACACACACCCCTTCCTCCTCCAACGTGGCCGCTCAGCTGCCACCGTCCACCGGCCCCCAACGCGATCCTCCCGGCACTCAGCTCCACGAGAGCCGATAGGGCAGCAAACATGTAACCCCAAGCATGTTCGGTTCGGGTCGTCGGCCGCCTCGGCTGCAGTGACGAGCACACGTTTAAGCGCCATCTCACTGTAGTTGAAACGAAACCGTCCCAACTCACATCCCCCTCCTCCTCCTCGGCTCCGACATGGTCTGCAGGCTGAGGCCCTTTTCAAGCTGGCTACCTACCTTAGCTACCTTAGATGTACGGCGCCTAGACTACATGTAGGTTGCCTCACGGCTAGTCTGAGCAATGACGCAAGAAGGGGGTGCAGCTAGGTATCAGTCTAGATAGACGGTAAGCCGTGGAGATCAACACCGATCAAGCGGATTTAGGGGTTCTCGAGAGACCGCTTCCCCAACCATACCAGTTACCAATGGCACCATGTCTTGTCCCTACATGTACATGTATGAACCTGACCAAGGCAGGGTTGATATCTTAAGGATGTCATTATATAAGGTAAGCTTTACTTCCTCACCGAATCCTGACTCATGAGTATCCTAACCTGACGCCGGGACCTACTATAGCACATGTAGTACAGACTGAATTAAAGGCAGTCATGTTGAGCAACAGGACTCGGAGGCATTTTCGGACTTGCTCCTTAAGTCCCTGATTGCAATCAAGCCCTGGCGCACCGGCTTCTAGGTACCGTAGCGATGTCAATCAATGTTGATTTGGCCTGTCTGGAAAACAGATATTCACAGTAGTGCTCCTGAACATACACAATGATATGGTGAAACTGAGTTTTGCGGTTTTTCAATTTGGATTTACTGGAATGCATAGAGGCAAGGAAGGACACTGACGACTAAATCATGATTAGCCCTTTCTAAACGTCTTAGCAGGTATATAGACAATATATAGTTTCATTGGTGTCCTCCTTGCTTGTATGAAAATGCAATGCTAGGTTCTGACCCCAGCCTACATCATGATGCAGGCAAAGACGGCTGTTTCGGCGTCTCACTGTCATAGGATGAGGTATCATATGGATTCGAACCATGCTGGGCCGGTCTCCCAACTTGTTGTGCTATATAGGGTACCCCAGAGCCTCTGCAGGCAAGGAACGTTCCTTTTGCCGTATTGCAACACAACTCAACACTCAGCCCCCATCTTGACAACAGGAGTCACAAGACGCTGACTGCGATGAACAGGCGAATCCATTTGAGTATTAAACAACTTTTCATTTGATACCTACCGTCCTGTGGAGCCCATAGTCTGTCATGTCTGCGATCGCCACTTCATGACGAACATAAGGGGCACGCCAGTAAAGGAGGCGTGTAAGTGACATCATCAACCCCCCTTTTGAAGACATATGGTGAGCACCTGGTATCCAAGCGTTACAACCTCCGAGCCGCCAACCGACTCGATGCGTCTACGATTCTTAACACCACCGCTTCTTATCCGCCCTGCTGCTCATAGCATCACAATCTGCGGTACTAGTAGACATTGCAAGCGAAGCATCTCAAGCTCAAGCTCAAGCTCAAACCCCAATATGTCGACCACCCTCCAACCCCAGGCCCCGCCCAACAATAACATGAAGCCGCACACAATCCACTCGTACTCGGGCCTTGCGCACCCTCCACACCTATCCCGTCTCGAATCAGCAGCCCACAAACAGGCCCAGGTCGAACCCTTGTCAATCGACGTCGACACCGGCGACGGGCAGGACGGCTTTGTCCCAGGCTTCCTGCACCTCCCTCCCGATTTCACCACCGCCCCTGGCACACTACCCACCCACCACCACCGCACAGCCGCGCTCCTCCTCTCGGGCGCGGGCGGCGGCGTCACGGGCCCCAGCTCCATCTACCTCTCCCTCGCATGCAAACTGGCCACGGTCGGGATCCCCACACTCCGTCTCGACTACCGCTTCCCCGCGCGCACGGCCGCCTGCGTCGCCGACGCCAAAGCCGCCATGGCCTATCTGCGCGACATGTACGGCCTGGACCGGTTCGTGCTGGTCGGGTGGTCGTTTGGCGGGGCCGTGGTGTTCAGCGCCGCGGACGGGGATGAGCGAGTGGTCGGGTGTGCTACCGTGGCTAGTCAGACGGCGGGGACGGAGGGGATTAGGAGGTTGGCTCCGAGGCCGGCGCTGTTGATGCATGGGACTGGGGATCGGACGTTGAGTGATGGGTGTAGCAGGAGGTTGTTTGAGATGTATGGTGCCAACCCGAAAGGGGAGAGGAGGTTGCAGCTGTTTGAGGGGGATAATCATGCGCTGAGTAAAAATGCGGAGAGGGCGGAGGAGATGCTGTGTGAGTTTGTGGCGACCTGCGCCGGGGTGGGCATTGGTGAGGAGGAGAGGGAGAGGGTGGTCCGGCTGGAGTTGATTGAGGATGGGGAGAGGCATGGGTTGATGGAGAAGGGTGGTGATTTGAGAGAGCCGGAAAAGGAGGATTAAGGGGCTGCGTGACACAGACGGATTTGATGTCTTTCAGTTCTTGTTACCTGCCGATGCAGACTGTATCGACATACCGTGATCAAGGTCCTGTATTATTCGTCAGGCTCGTAGGCTGCGGGTTTAGTACAAGTATCTGGTGTAGGTACACTCACTTTATGTTGTTCACTTTATGTTGTAGAGTAGTACATCAAATACAGCCGACTAGAAAGCCCGCCACTCCGTCCCACTGCTCCTGTATCTCCCAGCCCCTCAACGCCCGCCTGGGGGATCTCAGGAACTTGGTTGCATATTTCAACCGCCGTCGCACAACCGTCTGTGTCGGGGGGTACGGTTTCTTGGGGCCCCAGGGCGCTCCCCTGCTTGAGCCCGCGGTAGAAGAGCCACAGACGCTGTCCTCCCCACACACATCCGTAAACGTCATGTCCCAACCTCTCTTGTCCAGGATTTTCCTCAGCGGTCCCCATTCAAGCTGGAGCAACGGAGCCAGCAGGTCCGGGTCCAAGTCCCTCGTGCGAAAGATGGATTCAAGCCCAGAATTGGTGCACACCGTGATGCGCCGGAGCGAGGGAAAAGCAGTCCGCAGTGCATCGTCTAAGCGGTCAAACAAGGGCGCCAAAGAGCGCGGATTGAGGCCGGTTAAGAGGCGGACCCAGCTGTTATTTCCTCGGATGTCGAGCTCAATGGTTTTGAGGTTGCTGCAACGGCGTTGAAGGAAAGGAATCAGCTTCCAGTCCGGGTTGCCGTCATCTTCATCGGTCTCAACCATTGGCGGCAGTGGCCTGTCGAAGATGTACCGGATGATGGCGGTTGACTGGTCCAGGGGGAAGGGCACTCTGAGATGCTGGATCGCGCTGGCGTTGCGAGGGCCGATGGGGTCCAGGAACCAGCGCATCAGGAAGTTGATTTGGACCTGGTGCGGCGCCGTGCAGGCGATGGCGGGAAGGGCGAACTTGTTCCGCGAGTAGAACAACCGGCCGGCTTCCGAGTGGATTTGCTTACATGTCAAGAACAGGGCTGTGAGCTGCGAGTACAGCGAGGTGGCTGGCTCTGGCGGTCCATCGTCTCCGGCCTCTCTGTACACGACTACCGGCCGCGAGAAGATGAGGATGCTCTCGTAGATCTGGTTGCGGAGCTCGCCGGGGAGTCTCAGCAGGGTTGACGTCTGTGGTTGAGACTCGAGCATGGTTGTGAACTTGGAACTTTCCTGAGTTAGCCGTGCTCTGAGATTAGTAGTCGAGATCGAAGCAGGTCAACGGTACTCGTTGAGATGAAGTAGGTCGCAATCGTGACACTGTAACTGCAAGTTCATCTCACAAGTTGGGCATTACGGACAGACCCCGCGAAGTGAGGCACTATCACGTGGAATCGCGGGGATGGAGATTGGAGAGGCAGAAGGATCGTGATGCTTGGAGTTGGGCGGCCGCCGCGCGCCTGCGTCGCCCAATCATGGGGCAACTTTTGACCAAGTGAACCAAGTGAACCAACTGACAGACGCGCCTCGTTACCTGAGGTACTCCTTGGCATGGTTGGATGATAGTGTCCAGGAATTTAGTAGGATCCCTGGAAAATATCAGCAGGTATATGCAGTAAGTCACCTAGCTGGTGATGGTAAAATACTCGGCGGTTGTCTGTTCATCTGGTTGATCTGAGCTGGTTTTATTAATCAGGTGTTGTCGAACGTCGAGATCGCGAGTTTTCAGGCACTGATCTTTTAGTCCCACACCACGAATTACATACTCCTCGTAAATAGCAACGTAAAATTACAAGCATAGTTCATACTCGTATTGTAATTACATCAAAAACGGGAGCTTACGCCAGTTGTTAGGGACACGGAGGCTTCGCGTCTCCAGTAATGATGCCAGTTTAGAGCTGGCCAGACATGTAGTACACAATTTACCTCGGAATCTTACGTGCATCAGTAAACAACTCCGAGCCATGGCCTCGTCGTCGGCAACCAGTGATCAAAAAAATCACGTTTCTGATGCCGATGTTGACTTTTCCAGCGCCACTAGTGCATGTACGGTACATTTGTTACAGTAAGCTGACTGGTAAGCGAGTGCGACATACCGGAAACGGTTAGAGACCCCTCCGCAATATCCCGGCTTACGCCACAACCGAAGTCATCTACAGATTCAGGAGGAAGGCGCAGAAGGATGACGTTAAATTGCCCAGTGCTACACTGCTACCTTCATGGATATAACATCTTGAAGGTTTTCAATGGCAGGAGCTGAGCAAGACCGGCCCTTGCCTTTCGCAAGTGTCTGGAGCGGAACATAATCAGACAGCTGGGACGAATTCACCCATGATCATCGTTCACGATCAATCATCAAACGCATCTTACAAGTTTTGCCGGGAAGTTGGTCGGGCACGCCGGGCACCAAATACACCGTTCCTCGTAGTATCAAGTTTGCCAACACTCAGAATTCCTGTCGACGCATCTCCATGTCCAGGCCCGAAATGTCGGCGATCCTTCCCAAAATCAAGCTTTACTGGTAAGGGAACACACAGAAGCCCACGAATGGCACGAAGCCGCTGGCAACGACTTCGCGTTTGTTCAGCTGACACTCTTCCTAGGCTCAACGAGTCCCGCGCGCAGCGCTTTGTCTGGCTGCTCGAGGAGCTTGGCCTGAAGTATGACGTTGAAATCTTCAAGCGCGACAAGGACATGCAGGCGCCTCCCGAGCTGACCAAGATCCATCCGCTCGGCAAATCCCCTATCCTCACGCTCACCTTTGACCAGGACCCGTCGGACCCGACACGGCAGAAGCAGCTCGTTCTTGCCGAGAGCGGCTTCATCGCCCAATATCTGTGCGAGCACTTCTCCTCCCCGGGGAAACCCCTGTTCCCGAAGCGGTATCTGGACGGCCAGGAGGGCAAGGTTGGCGGGGAAACTGAGGCTTGGATGCGCTGCCAGTATTTTCTGCATTATGCAGAGGGGAGCTTCATGCCGCCGTTGTTGGTGTCGCTTATTCTCTCAAGTACGTCGATTAAGTCCTAGATTTGACATCAGAACAGGAGGTTTTGACAGTCACTCGCAGTTCTGAGAAGCCCCAAGATCCCCTTCCTCATCCGCCCCATCACAGCGGGCGTTGCCGACAAGATCGCTGCCGCATTCGTCATGCCCAACGTGGATCGACACTTCCGCTTTCTGGAATCGCAGCTCGAGACGTCGCCAGACAACGGTTCGTATCTGTGCGGCGCCCATCTAACCGTCGCCGACATCCTCCTCAGCTTCCCCCTGGCCGTGGCCAAGGAGAGGATTGGGGCGCTTGCTGACGGCAAGGGGAAACCGAAGCTGGAGGACAAGTACCCAAAGTTGTGGGCCTACCTGCAGCGCCTGCAGGAAGAGCCGGGCTACAAGCGGGCCGAGGCCATCATTGACGAGCTCGAGGGGAAGAGGAATAAGAGTTGATTGCATCGAGCTGAGACAACCGCGTGCTTCTAGTACATAAGTATGGTTCCTTTCACTGATATCCGTTGTATACCCTCCTCATGTTATGCCAAACACTTTTTGTACAGCCCCCGTCCTTGCACCGGACCCGCAGCTGGGTCACCGCAAATGCGAGTCCCCTTTTCACTCCGCCCCTGAGCATCACCGCTTGACAGGCGTCATATACACAGGGAACGGAGGCTTGTGAAATATAGTGTAAAGTCTTGTCCGTTTGTACCAATCCTTGAGATCGACGCCGGGCCGCAAGTCAAATTCCCAAATGATGCGGGCCAGTATGAGGCGCATTTCGGCATAGGCCAGGCTGTTTATTTTTATACTTAGCAAAGGTCTCTCATACCCTAGCTGTACCTTTTCCGAGGCGCAGGAGTCGGGTGGAAGGTTCTGATGAGGGACGACTCACTTCTTGCCAAGGCAATTTCTAGGTCCGATGCTGAAAGCTTGCAGTGCCTCGAGGTTGTCGCCGTACGGGTTCTCTTCGGAGGCCGCGCCATCTTCCCCATTCTTGGGCTCCGACTTGTGCAGAAAGCGCTCCGGCCGATAGGTGTACGGGTCGTGCCAGTGCTGGGAGCTGTGATGCATGGAATACAGTTGCACCTCGACAATGGTCTGTCATGTTTGTTAGCCGATTACCTTCCACTTAGTGCGCATCTCTAGGGTCTCGTGCCTTCTCAGGAACAAACCTGCCCAAGATGGTCTCCCCGCCCTCGTGTACCTCGCGCGGAAGATTGGCGGCAGCAGGCGGCCAGCGACGGAGCGCCTCGTTCAGACAGGCCAGCAGATACGGCAGCCGGCTGGCTGAGGCAATGGTGATTTCGTCAGCGCTCTTGAAGGACGACCGGACCTCGTGCTTCAGCTTCTCCAGGGCCTCGGCGTTCTCGAGCAGGAGGTACGTGACGCCAGACAGCAGACTGGCCGTTGTTTCCGAGCCCGCGGCGATGAGTAAGATGGCGTTGGACGTGAGATGGGGCACGCCGAGGTTCTAATGTTCATCAGCCAGGACTTCCCAGGGACATGAAAAACGGGGGAGCATGACACTCACCCACTCCTCCCTCCGCTTCACCAACCCCTCAAATAAATCATACCGCTCCTTTTCCACAGCCAACCGGTTCTTGACCTTATCCCCCAATATCTTATTCAAAAACTGCAGCGGATCCCCCGCGAGCAGCCTCAACACCCCGAGCACCGCCCACTGCAGCCGCAGATACCTCAGCGCAAGCAGGTACGCGCCTCGGTCGACCGTGGCCGTGATCAGCTCGACAAACGGATGCGTCGTCCTCTTTTCCAAACACCCAAACGACTCGGCAAACGTCAAATCCCCAATAATATCAAACGTAATCCAGTTATACCACTTGACCATATCCAACGGCTTCCTCCCTTGCTCCCCCGCCTCCTTGATCCCCTGCACCAACATCTCCAGATACCTCGCAATCAGCGGCTCCTGCTCACGCATGGCGCGGTCGCTGAACCCGTGGGACAAGGCGCGGCGCAGGCGGGCGTGCTCGTCGCGGTCGGCCATGAGGATGTTGACGGGGATCTCGTCGGTGGATTTGTAATAGGTCAGGCACTTGGGGTTTTCGGGCACGTGGGCTGTCCCGGAGCCAGCCTGAGCTACGCGGTGTCCGTAGACGGTTTTGTATGCGTCCAGGTCCGTGAAGGTCAGGTGGTTTGGTGAGACGCGGACTACGGGGCCGTATTTTTCGTGGAGTTGGTGGACTTGCATGGGGCCGTGGCCGGAGATTATGCGCAGGGCGTGCGGGATGGGGAAGGCGCGGCTTAGGAGGGGACCCGGGATGGAGCGGAGGGGGTGGAGGTAGAGGTTGTAGAGGGCGAGGGTGATGGTGTAGAGGAGGAGCTGGATAGGTGGTTAGGGAGGTTGTTTGGCATCACGAAAAGGGGAGAGAAGGAGTTGCAGTTTGCTTACAGTGCCGAGAATGGCGTAGAGGATGGTCCATGGGTGAACCGCAAGGGTGGCATTCTGCCAGTGGAGGATGTGGCCGAATTCCATGGCCATGGTGTTGAACCTGTTGAACCGTTGATTGTTGAGTCTAGTTCTCTTGTAATCACTAAAGCTCGATGAAGTTGAGATTTGCAGGTTATAATGTCCAGGACTCAGGGGGTTTCAAGTTCAAGTTACTCCCCTGCAGGCAGGGATACTAGTAATATCCTTCTGGTATGATAAACTCTGACGTCTGGTACTAGTAGTCAATGGCCGGCATACGAAGGTACTCCCCTCTTTATAACACGTCTCATTTTGAACGCCTACCATGTCACCGGAAGCCATGCCGTTACATCGGAGTCGGATTCTCCCTGGCACCCGGCCCCGGTATTGTACTACAATATAACGGTGCAGTGCACGATCGATCGGCACAGAGTCACAGCCGAGGCAGTGACCCCGCTGAATATCCCGTGGCTGTGTCCGTCCGTAAGTTGAATCCGATTCCCTGTTGGAATTGCAGGTACCTGACTGGTATGTACCAGCAATGTTACATCCCGCAGTGATTTCGCTGTTATGTCTAAAAACGATAGAGGATGAAGGATCTGGTACTTGTAGTTGGTATTGACGAGCCAATTTGCGGTGACTTTGTCGATAATCCCGAATCGGCGAAACCGTCCAGGCATTGGAACCGGACTCTCACTGCAATGTGTATGTACATACATGTAGCAGTGTCCGGTATAGATATCAGGTACTGCAGCCATCGATATCGTGTCCATAATAACACATACAGATACATCCATGATGTATCTATTCCTGTTGTCCAAGTAAGTGTGTGGTTCCCTCGCCATCATTAGTACTTTATTCAGCTTGAGTCACTCTCACGTCCCACAAACAGCAAGTAATATGCTTGTTTGCAGCTTTCTCCTCGAGTGCTCGTGTCTAGCAGTCCAATCCCGTCACCTCTGGCTTTCGCATTTCGCACTCGGATCCTCTCAGGCTTGCTCCATGCCAGTGGTTACCTAACGCCGGTATCGTCCGGAGGGCAACGAAACTCCGAACCCGTGGCGTCACAGTGCCACCGGGAATTATAGGCGGAATAGCCAGCCAGCTCATTGGCCATTGGATGCGTTCGGAATATGTCCGTCCTCGTGTCGTAACGGAGGGTTCCGGCCAGGGTGAATTATATAGCACCTGCGCGTCCAGTGAAATCTCGCCCTATCGTTTGCGATAGAGCCTATCGCAACAAATACCGTATGTGCATAAGGTAGGTGTGCTTAGCCACTGCATGCGGTACGTATGGCTATGCCTTCGAATCAAAGTGATTCATCTCATATGTGCGCGCGGGATTCGTCTGGTTCTTCCTAATCACGCTCCGGCCGACCGTTGATATCGATGATCGATCCCATGATTTGATGATTGCATACATGCACAAGGCGAAATTCGGTGTGTTACGCGGCTCTTGCATATTGCATTGCATTCCCGGACGGGATTCACAGCTTGCTGACGTTGCTTCCCACCGGGCGTCCAGGGAGTCCAACTCAAAGGTACTTGTACCTGAAATGAGATGTTAGATGGGTGGTCAGACGGAGGCTAACCTCAAACCCAGGGTTTATATCCCACGACCGTAAGGTCCAAACTCTAGAATCTGGACCACATCTGGCTGACAGGAGACTCCGTTCTTCTCGCAGTGTCCTAGGTCCTGACTCCACGACGTCGACCGAGACACCGTCAAGGGCGCTGTCAAGACTTCACAGTTCACTTGCTCAGCACAGCCGACCAGTCCTGCCGAGCCAGCGACTCCTCCACAGTCAACATCGGACAGTCGATGCCCGCCTGGAAACAGTCAGCAGCTGTATCTCACTAAACAGCCGATCCGCTCGCCAGGGGCAGGAACCATATACCCCAGACTATTACTAGTACATTGAACTCACCTCACGTAGATCCTCAGCCTTAACCAAATCCATCCCCCCATCATACCCCGGATCAGAGCTGTACTTGAACATCAACGCAACCTCCAGCCCACAATCCTTATCAGGCGTGTCGGCCACCATATCTTCAACACTGACCTCCCGGTAGCTGATACTAGCCCCCGTCACCCTGGCCCATGCCCTCGCAAAATCGCTCCAGCTGAGGTAGCTGCCAGCCATGTAGTGCTTGCCGGGCGGCATCTGGTGCACGGCATAAACAAAGTTGCCCGTGTCGGCGTTCACGTCCAGATGCGGGATGAGCTTGTCCGGGGACGTGGGGAAGCGCATCTCGAACGTGCCGTCGGGGAGCTGGTGTCTAGACAGTCAGTAACTCATCTCACGGTGGTTGACTCGCACAACTGGAAACGACTGACCTTCTTGAAGTACGAATCCGGCAAAATCCCATGACTCGTCGTGAAAAACCCCGTCTGGATGTACGACATCTTGGCCGCCAACGCCGGGTACGTAGCCACGACATAATCCGGGAAGATATCCGCCTTGGAATCGAAATGATACAAATCCTCAATCCTCCCATCACTGCACTTGCCGGCATGACTCAGCGTCGAGACCAAGAACCCATTCTCAGCCAACGAGTCCACCGCCACGGCCGCGGCAGCGTCAGCAATGTTCTTGCCCTGGCGGTACTCGACGTCGTACGCATACCGGCGGCACGTCACGCCAAGCTCCTTGGCCCTGGCCCGGCAGTCGGGCCGGAAGAAGGGCTCCCAGTACTGCGTCACGCTGAAGATGATGTAGGCCCCGGCAAATGCGGACTTGAGAGACTCGACGTCGTTGAGATCGGCCGCCACCATCTCGGCCCCAAGCCCCGCGAGTTCTTGCGAAGCTGGGGACGCGGGGTTGCGGGTCAGCCCGCGCACGGCGTACTGCGGGTCTTGGAGGAACCGCCGGGCTACTGATCCGCCTTGGTTTCCCGTTGCTCCGACTACCACGACGAGCTTCTTCTCGGTGCTTGTGTCATTGTTAGCTGACGACGCCATTGTAGGTGCTACTGCTGCTGCTGTTCCTGGTGCGTGATAGAGAGAGTAGTGTCTGAAACCTGCAGAGGGAACTCCAACCATTGGGCAGTAGCGATAAGCGCCTCATGTACGAGCAGGCAAAGATCAAGCGATTCTTTCATGGTGCCATCTTGGCTCCGTGTCTTGGCCGCCTTGCTATCTCTAGCTAGTGTCCTGCGGATGCCCCTCTTTCGCGTGCTGGGCATTCAATTCGCATTGGACATTCGTTGCGTGGTGGTTTCCAGGGTAGTGGATAGAAATGGGTACGGAGCTGTACCTGGTTGCCCGTGGTCTGGTGGATGGGGTGCATGTTCGACGTGGATAGCGCGTTGATGTGTCGAATGGTCGGGTGACACCATAGCATCATTGCAGTGACAACGGTCCGTATCTTAGGGATGAAAATGGTGCTCTTCCAACTGCTGATATCATATGATATAAATAGTGTGTAAACCAAACTCCTCATTGAAGCCCCAGCTGGGGTGCAACGGTCCATCTCTTGGACTTCCCAGCAGCACTGCTAATGTGTCAAGCGTGGGACGCCCGCGATCCATGTTCGCCTCAATGATCCCTACGCGACGAAACTGCCCCAGCTCCGGGTCGACCAGTTCCAACATCAAGGCGATCCACACTCCGGGCGTATACGGCGTCACGAAAACGGTACCAGGTGGTTTCTTATGTATGATGCTTGGTACGGTTACCTAGGGCACGTAGTAGAACAGCCTGTCCTCCAGTTCGGCTTCACCCAGAATATTGTCCAGTGCGATTGAAATGGCTTTCTTTTCAATAAGAGTCTGAAAATTTGTAACGTCTCGGGACAAGGCAATGCGAGAGATGAACTCGTTCGCGTCAGGGCGGTCGTTCTGGCCAGACTGCCTCATAACTGCAGCGTGGAGACTCCCGGTAACCTGGAGCTCTACTGCCGGGAAATCGCAAGGCCCGAAAATATCTTCGACTAATAGCTCGGTATCCGCCGTGGCCTCCGTCATCGACGTCTGGTCATGGGTTTGCCGGGCTTTGGTACAGACGAGTTGAACAAGAGGTTCTGCAGCAGGAGACTCTAGCTTCAATGGCCAGCGGATATGGCATTCACCGATGCCCAGGAGAAACTGGGAGCTCGATAGGGAAGGCTGGAGTCTCTGCTGACTAGTTCCGGCTCCGCCATGTACCAGGCAAGGTCAATTACCAGGTTCCTTGACCATACTCCGGCAACATACAGATCCCGAAGAAATGGGCTTAGACTCCGGGCTAAACCAGCGATGGCCACCAGCTTATCTGATTGCTTGGTGAGTCGGCATCTGGTGTAGATTTCGACCACACTGTGCCATAAGTCGTACAGCCGGCCAGCTTCGTTCGACTTCGACCCGGTCCTCTCATAGAGAGTACTATTCCCGGGACTATCGAGAGAGTGTATCAGCTCTTAGAGATCTTGGATGACGCCAGGTAGTAGATAATCTCCTGTACTCTGATCTATCGGTGGCAGCTTGGCTGGAAAGGATTCGGAAACCGTATTTTCGCAACACTCCCAGAAGACTTCGTGGCGACAGAAGTGGATAATCCTCGGGGCAAGGATTCGTTCTTGCAGTACCCAACCTCTCTTATTCAGGGGAGCATCCATAACCTCTTGAATCCAACTGTTCCCATTAATAAACAGATTGTAAGTCAGGTTGTGAATGATAGGAAAGCGGTTCTAGCTGAGCAGACGTTGCTGAACTGGACCAAAAAGCGTTGTGTCTCTCTCGAAAAAATGACCAACCGAGTCTGACCCCCAGTTGGCAGCTAGGTTGCAGAATGCATTTGCATACACCTTTTCCATGAGCGGGGCTTCTCGTCTCCAGTCCTGTCCGTTGTCGCCATCCTGGATTATGCAGAGCGAGTCGATCCAGATATACCGGATGCCTAGTCTTTGCGCAACAGTAATCGCATCCCGGAATGACATGGGAAGAGCAGACATGGGCATTCCCTGTTCGTAAGCTCCCAGATTTTGTACGGTAATCCGAGGAGTATGGGACAACCCCCACCGATGGCTCAAGGTGATGTATTTCTGTCCCGGAGACACTTTGCTGCCCTTTACAATTGAGAATCGGGGGTAAACGTCATTGTTCGAAGAGCGCGAGCAGCCAAGGTCGACAAGCCGGCTTGGATGCCACGGCGGCTTTGCCATGTTGCAAGCACGATGCTCGGTAGTGCATTCCTCCAGCCAGGCCCTGACGAGATCCCAAGTTTCCGAAGAGCCCGTATTTGTTGAAGTTGGAATCCTGCTCACAATCCTAGCGTGGTCTAGCACCAACTTATTAGCATAAGCAAGCTATGATAAGTGCTGGGAAAGTACTTACAACCCTTACTACCGACCTGGTGAAAGATTACGCGGAGGATGCCGGCTGTTGGCTATTGTAGCTTCTCGATGATCCGCAAACTAAAATCGGCATCGGCGTCAATGATGCCCGTTGGTACATTTCAACTCTATGTGCCGCATTCAGGTGGATAGATAGGCCGATTTCCCAGGGAGCTGCCCACTTCGTCATTTCTACATGAAATTCCGTGAAACTGGGCATTACGGCGGTGCCTGAGGGTTGCCCATCGGGCAAGCTTTCCAGTGATGGATCTTCATACATCGCCGCTACAGTTTTGCCATAGTAGCGCAAGGTTTCCTGTGTCTCGGGCGGGAGGCTCCGAAACGCCTGCCGGCAGATTATGCAACACTCGTCTACTGCTGCCACAAAGCTCGTAATCGATTTGTGATGGCTAATGCGGGTCTCATCGTGCCGGAATATGTGGTTGTTGAATATGTCTGAACAACATCCACAGAATGACATCCTGAAGACTTCAGAGACGATTGAAATGTTCGTTGCTGCAATCACAGTTGACTTCGACTTGGTGAGATCGGGGCAGCTCGAGGGCATGTATTAGAGGCAGTGCTGGTAATAAGTGCCTCCTTTACCGTGTTTGCGTGAAAGGGCAGAAAATGGGCATCTGGGGCTGTGCAACGCCATTGCATGCGTTCGGAATCGCTGCAGCCTTTGGGGGGGTTATGGGTGGCAGTCAACTGTCAAATCAGCTGCAGGCCAGCGAACCTCAGGACCAGGAAAGCCGCATGGCAATCGAGCACAGTGACGGCCCAGATTCGTGCCATCTTAGGTAGTTAACCGACATGCTTGATATCGGCTATGCGTTCAAGGGCTCAGGGCTAACGTTAGCTCTTGTCGTCGCTGTCTCTGCTTGGCGCGGCGTTCGCCATACTTGATGGGTGAACATCCGAGGAAAAGAAGGGTGTATCCATATTTCACATGTTTTGGGAAAGAAATGGCTTCTGTCAAGACGTGACGCCGAGATTTGTTGAAGCGAGTTTGGAACGGTGAGGGAAGGTGAGACGGCGAGGTGCTTAGTCAGCCCGGCCAAGTGGACCTGCCGAAGTTGAAATTCAACCTGGGAACGTTGGACGCTTTTTGACGGAGCTGCGCATCCGCACTCTTCCAAGTCAACAATGCCTCCCCGACTGCCACTGACCCTCGCGCCTCGATGCTGCGCTGCGGCAGTTGACGCGCCCTCAAAATCGACAAGCTTGGTGTCCCTTTTCGCCGCCCTCTCAATACAGACCCGCAGCGCATCCATTCTCGCGAGCCTCTCCAACAACAAAGGCGCCTACCATAAGCGCATTCGCGTGGGTCGCGGCCCATCTTCTGGCTATGGCAAGACGGCAGGGCGTGGTCACAAGGGCCAAAAGCAGCATGGCAAAGTCAAGCCGTGGTTCCAGGGTGGTCAAACACCATTGATCTTCAGCCGTGGGCGGATGGGCATGGAAAACCAGTATGATCTCCGAACGGCCGAATCTGTCTCTTTCTAACCCCTCGCCAGCCGCGCCCCCGAAATGATGGAGTTGAACATCGACCGCCTCCAGAAGTTCATCGACGCCGGCCGTCTTGACACGACGAAACAGATCACGCCCCGCGAGCTTGTCTTATCCGGTGCCGTGGGGAGGAACGTCAAAGACGGCATCAAGCTCCTTGCTCGCGGCGGGGAAGCGCTGAAAACTCCGGTTGATATCGTCGTATCTCGGGCATCCGCTGCGGCAATCAAGGCCGTTGAGTCGGCTGGCGGCAAGATCACGACCAGATACTACACCAAGAACGCCATAAAGCGACTGGTATACGGCAGCAGCGTTCACACCGATAAGCCGCTGCCAGTTGGACCCGAGCACGTCGACAATGTTTTGGAGCAGGCGAGGATTGCTAAGAAGCACTACTACCGCTTGCCTGACCCGACAAGCCGATGGAATATCGAATACTACAGGGATCCTGCGCACAGAGGCTACCTGAGCCACATGCTGAAGCCCGGCGAATCGCCCAGTCTGTACTTCAGGGTGCCGGGCGAAACGGTGGATGATAGCAAGTGGGCCGAGGCCCGGGAGAAGGCGCTGAAGGAGCAGGCTGACAGGTTATTCTAACGGTAGAATTGTATTCTCGCCTTCAGTCAATGTATTCTACGTTTTCGAGTTGTAGGGGGGTATTGTACAATACACTAACTCGCCGGTGTGGCTGATAAAATACGTCAAGCCTCAGGTGGCGGTAATCCACTGAGCGTCAGCGTTAGCTTAGGAGCCAGCCGTCGTAAGCTACCCCTGTCTCACTGCAGCTTATCTATCCCGCCTCCTCCAACCGCAGCAGTTCGTAACTCCATCAGTTCAGAGTTGGCATTGCTCCTGTGTTGACGCGTCGCTTCAATTTGAGGTGCTAAAGGCCGCTGCTGAATGCAATCGAATTGTTTGCCGATTGGATTTTCATCACAGGTTGATTGCATACCTGCTGCATTATTCCAACGCAGCGCTCTGGTCTAAGCGCCTGGTCCTGGATAATCACCTTGTCGCAACGACATCACTTGTTTTGCTACACTTTCGAACCGCGATTCCCCAGGCTACCACGACCGAGCCCCTTTCGCGCAGCATACCCAATCCCATATCAACATGTCTCTTTTTGGCAGTTCTCCGCCGGGCGAATCCCCAAGCCTGGAATCCAACAACTTTGGCAACAACAGCAGGTCGTCGCTGTTTGAAGACGAACCACCCATGACCAGATCAACAAGCACGGCACTGTTTGCCAATGACGATGCCGACTCAGACTCGCCGTGGGACATGCCAACACCCCGCAAGCAGCTCACCCGTGCTGACCTGGTGCGCAATCTGCTGCCTCCTTCCGAGGTGCCCGAGAGCTACATTGAGGCGTTCGACAAGGTCGTTGCCGAGGACGGCAGCGGAGGCCGTATTACGTCTGCCGGGGTGGCAAGAACCCTTGCTGCTGCCAGACTCAGCGCTGATGCCCAGGCACGCATCATGAACATCATTGCGCCTGGTGGTGGCGGCGGTGGAGAGGTCGCTCTGGACAGGAACCAATTCCATGTCTTGTTGGCATTGATTGGTCTGGCGCAGGAAGGCGAGGGTCTTAGCCTTGATGGTGTGGACGAGAGAAGACGGAGTGAGTCCCTGGCATGCTTTCTGCCTTGTTCTGCCGTTATGTACCACTCGATCCGAGGAGAGGTTTGCTTGCTCGTCAACCCATCTTCTTATCTTATCTGAGAGCTCTCCCTCAGCTGTTTGTTGTTCCTCGCCTTGCATGCTAGAGAGAGTGGGACCGGCCCGCAACAACAAGTGTGTTATCAATGCTAACCCCATCACGTCAATTCGCCAGATCTTCCCCGGCCCAACCTCCACGACCTTGTTGACAGCACGCCTGCATTACCGCAGCTTGACAGCCTGGCCGCGAAACCGCCCCAGCGGCCTGTGACACCCCCGAAACCCTCCCAACCGGCCTCCCACAAGCAGCAGCGCCGTCCCAAACAGCCGTCGATGGATTATCCTGAAGACCCTTGGAACGCGCCCGACTTGCACAAGAATCACAACCACGCGCCGGATCCATCCAGAGTGAATGGAAATGACACGGCTAGCTCAGCTGTGAATGCGAACAGGGGCCTGTACGGGACCAGTCCCCAGTCAACAATACCCCGCCGGACAACGTCAACATTCACCACAAATGCTCCTACGTCAGGGGCCGAACCAGTGGTGGGGGGAAACTCGAATGCATGGGGCTTCCAGGACGGCAACCCTTCGCCAGCTGGTGGGTTCAACGAACCATTGCCAAACCCTACAACTCCCTTCGGTGCGGGCAGGGGTGCGGGAGAGCCGGGTGGCGGTTCCCCTCCAGCCCCGGTCCCTGGAAGGACCATTGGGGGCGGGCGGGCAGGGCCCGCGGTGGAAGAGAACATTGTGGTGACCCTGATGCCGGAGAAGGAGGGCATGTTCTTGTTCCAACATCACAACTATGAGGTGACGAGTTCCAGGAGGGGCAGCAAAGTGATCCGTCGGTACAGCGACTTTGTGTGGCTGCTTGACTGCTTGCACAAGCGGTATCCATTCAGGGTGCTGCCGTTGTTACCGCCCAAAAGAGTTGCTGGTTAGTGCATACCCCGCCGGCTTTGAGGTCTTGCTGACCATGTTTGAAAGTTAACGGCAACCATCTGTCAAACGATGGGGCGTTCATTGAGAAACGCCGTCGCGGGCTGGCGAGGTTTCTCAATGCGCTCGTCCGTCATCCTGTGCTGAGCCAGGAGCAGCTAGTTGTCATGTTTTTGACTGTTCCAACTGTAAGTACTGAATCTACATTGCAAGTGCCACAACTAATATGTTCTCCCCCAGGAGCTCTCCGTATGGCGCAAGCAGGCAACCATCTCAGTGCAAGACGAATTCACAGGCCGATCCCTACCTCCCGGTCTCGAAGATTCACTCCCTCCAACGCTCGAAGAGCTCTTCAGCCGCACGCGCGCCGGCGTCCGGCGTAGCGCCGAATTGTACATCACCATTTGCAACGTCATGGACCGACTAGTCAAGAGATCAGAAGGCGTGGCCGCTGACCATGCGCGGATTGCGCTCTCACTAACATCCTTAACCGAAGTGAGCGCCGACACATATGCGACCGACACCAACGAGGTGCCGCTGCTCAACGACGGACTCCAAGCCATGAGCAGGCATCTCCGTACCTCACAGAGCCTGATGGAGGACGAAGCCCGCGCCTGGGACGAAGGGGTCCTTGAGGATCTCAAGCGCCAGCGGGATGCGCTTGTTAGTTTGCGAGACCTGTTTGACAGGAGAGAGCGGCTGGACAAGGATAATATTCCATCTCTGGAGCGGCGGATTGCGAGTAATGAGACAAAGCTGGCGGCTTTGCGGGCGAAACCGGAGGGTATGGTCAAACCCGGTGAGATCGAGAAGGTGGTGGAGGCGATCATCAAGGTGAGTTGCTCTGTAACTGGGTTTGACTGAGATGTGTTTGCGGACTGACTGACAATGCTGTAGGACAAGGAGTCGATTGTCAACCAGCACAACCGGTCTGTATTCGTTAAGGAATGCCTTCGTGACGAGCTTGTCTACTTCCAACATACTCAGTACAATGTCTCGAGATGGAACCAGGATTGGGCGCAGGAGCGAGTCAAGTACTCGGAGATGCTGGCTGAGAATTGGCGCCGTCTGCTGGACGATCTTGAAGGCATGCCCCTTGGCGACTAGTTCGCTGGAAGAATGGAGATCCTGTGGCCGGGGCAAGTTTTCTATGGAAAGCACGGGACAGTTCTGAAGCCTCGGGGGGTGACGAAGCGAGGGGGGAGGGGGCGTTTCCGTTGACAGCATGGTCTTCTGTATATGCCGTGGGGAATGCTAGTCCGGGAATATTTGGCGGAGCAGTCCATATGGTTCCGCGGCATCTATATCATGGGTATCATGAGCAGCGTTTGCGTGATCTTTCGACTGTAGGCGATGGAGGGCGGAAGGGGAGAGATAGGGGTTGCTACGATACCCAACTTATAGTCCCGCTTCTTCATCGAGTTCATGTAGTATCAAGTGCCACCTCTTATCCCATCCACATATACAGAGTAATCGTGATCGGTTTCCAACTTTATGTTTTAGGGGTGCGGCTTGGAGTTTGGCCTGCAGCCATCTCCCCGCGCCAAGACCAACCGGAATAGGATCGACCACTGGCCCACCGCCACTATAAGACGAAAGTGTGCGCCGCTTTGCAATCACGTTTTTCAGCCTTACCAGCCAGCCAGCCAGGTGTCCTACCCTCCTTTCATCAATGCCAAATTTGATGTTTTGAAGCCCAGTCATATATTCCAGCTCGAGTTGTCCCTCCCACCAAGAGGCTACCTAGAACGACGTTGCTAACCCATCAACCTCCGAGTTCAAACAGCCCCCAACGTCCGTCCTTCAACCCCGCCCCGAGTGAGTTGGAACCCGTCCAGGCCCGATCGCAAGACCGAACTTCTTCTTTCTGCCTGAACCTGCGAATTCTTGGCAAGACATCCGCATCCGCATCTGAATTAACGACACGATCACGCCCCGCGAACAAGTTACAACAGACGTGCTCGTGCTCGAAGCTGGACCTGGTACACCTTCCAACTGCTGGGTAGTATACTTTGGTCGTGTGTGACGAGACGGCGGATGCTGTTTGCGTTATCATTCCTCGATAACGATTGATACCCGGCGACGCAAACAACCTAATCGACTTGCAGCAGCTCGAGCCTCTCACACGAGCAACCGCCGCTCTCACTCATCAAAATGCCTCCGACTACTACCAGTTCAGCACAACGGAGGCTCGCGATACAGGACTTTGTAGCCGTCACACGGGAATCAAATGAGACTGCGCAGCAGGTGGTTCTTTTTCTTTTTCTTTTTCTTTTCTCTCCCCGCCCCCGCGATATCGCGCCGCATGGCCGATGGATGGGGTGCTCTTTCGGCCCGATATCCATCCTACCTATCCATGGACCCTCTCGAATCGCGATCCTTGTTTGACTTTTTGCATGAACCCGCTGCTGACAAGCTCTGGATTGAAAATGCGACACAGTACCTGAGAAATGCCAACTACGATGTCGCTGTGGCGGTCAACCAGTGAGTTTTTTTTCCTGATTTCAAGCTGCCTGCTTTGTACAGTGTCCTGTCCTGTCCTGTCCTGGCCCCCCTCGCTCGCATTGTCTCGCTCCGCTGCGTACGGCGCGACAATACGGGTGGCTCCCTACCTGGGACACGGCTAGGGTAGTAGAAGCATTCTGGAAGACAAGATCGGCATTGCGACACCATGTCTCATACGGCGTCCCGGGGGAACTAAACGTTTCTTTCGTTTCTGCCCGTGTCGGTCTTTCTTCTGCTTCCAGTGCCTTTCCTTTGCACCGCTGTGCCTCGGCGAGAGATCATTGTTTCGTTCAGAAACCACAACTCAGGCTGTCGTCGGGTGCATTCACAAACTTTCACAAAGGCGGCATCTCCCAGTGGAGCCCAGTCCACCTGTGTTTCCGCAGTCCGAGATCTGTATGCTCGTCTGGACGTCTCCTTCCCGGGTGTAATCCATTCGCCCCTTCTTTCATGTATTATTACCCCTTGTCTTGACCCCGGCATGACCGCCAAAACCGCGATCGATCCTTCCGCGATGCTCCAGCGTTTCTTCAGTTCCTGCTTCCAAAAAAGACCAGAGCGCCTGCCGTCAAAGTCGCCCCACATTGAAGGTGCGACCGAGACCGATGGTAGCTACGTAACCCTTCAGCCCCCCCAAACATCATCGCACCAACCCCTCCAGTCCCCACAAGACCGCACCAAGAGATTGCCCAGGGAAGAAGGGGAAGGGGAAAACGCGGCTACGGGTACACAAGCCGCGCAGTGGTCGTCGTCCATTGCTGAGGAGGATCCGACCATGCCGAGAGCGGCCAAGCAAAAGTCGGCAGCCAAGCCGGCATCCAAAAAGCCGTACCAACGAGCCGAACCCTCTTCGGGGTCCGACCACAAGTCGGTTCTTGTTTACATTATACTGCATCGTTCGTGTTTGCAAACTCAAGACTGGGAACTGACAATGTGGTCTCGGGCAGATATTTCTCGAGCAAAGGGAGGCCGGGCAATGACTCGGGCAAAAAGTCCAAGTCCAAGGCGTCGGAAGACGACAAGTCGGCTGAAGAGCTTGAAAAGGCCCTGAACGAGATGTTTGATGGTCTTCTCAGCGGTACGTCCAAAAAGCTGTTTTACCATGGCATAGAGGAGCAGAGGCTCACTCCGGATAGAGGATGATGTGGCCACCGATCCGTCCCGAAACACCCTCGGCGTGGAGTCCGCCGTAGGATATATCAGCAGCGTGGCGAACCCCGAGGACTACTCCATGTTTGTCGTACTCGACATTGTGCAGGCCGAGACGATGGGGCAGATATCACGAACCGGCTTTGTAAAAGGGTGGTCCCAACAAAAAGTCGCCGCGAACCCAAAATCCCACAAGGCACACGTGCAACGACTCTGTAAGCAAGTGGTCACCGATCCGGCCTACTTCAAGAAGCTCTACGACCTCGCATTCCGCATCGGCAAGGAACCCCAGCAGAGGGCGTTGGATATGGAATCGGCCATTACCTTTTGGGGCGTGCTGTTTGAGCCGACAATGCATTCCTGGCGGTCCCCCAAGGTCAACTGGCTCGAGGCATGGAGCGGGTTCCTGAGGGGCAAGTTTTACGTCGAGAACGGCAACAGCAGCAGGTGGACGCGGACTGTTAGCAGGGATCTGTGGACCCAGACTGCCGCGTTTGCTGCCAGGACGATGGAGGACGAATCGCTGGGGTTTTGGTCCGAGGAGCAGGCCTGGCCGGGGCTTATTGATGAGTTTGTGGTTTGGTGTCGGGAGAAGGGGATTGTGCCGGGTAAGAAGGAGAAGGGTATGGAGGTGGACGATTAGACTGCTTCAGGGATGGGCTATGGAGCTATCCGAGAAGGAGGGAGGGGAAGCAAGACGGGTTTGTGGCTTTTTTGCTGCCTTGGGAGACGAATTTGGTATCCAGCATGGCCCCGGCATACAGGGAGTACGCATCAGCAGCGGTCGGTCGGTCGGGTATGGAGCTTGCATCTTAGCTTGCTACTGCATACGCTAGACGAAGAGAAAATATGGACCTTTTTCTTCGGAGTCTGATGGCCGTTGGCCGCTTGTAACCCTGAGCTTCCAGCCGCTGTTGGAAGGACATCACAGGGGAATGCGTTGTTGCTTTCAGGGACGCCGGCTGGTGTAAGCACACAAACGATGGGATGGTAGTAGTGCCACGTTACATGACATGCCAGGAGCCCGTCTGATCCAGTAGTCATCTCGGGACGAGGGTTTCTTCTGCCGCCCCGAGGCCAAGGGGACCGAGAAAACCCTGACCGTGAAGCTGGCCTGAAGACCAAGTGCCACCGAGAGATTGGACCGACCCAGGGGTTGAAAAAGAGAAATAATGCATGACCCTAATATCGTGTGTGTTTGCCCCAACGGTGCTTGTCTATGACCCAAGAGCCACCTTCCTGCGCCCGAAAGCAAGAATATAGTACATATCGTACAGTACTGCTTCCCCCTGAGGGGACTCGGTCGAGTGTGGGAGTCCATTCGCCCAGCCGCCAGCGTCCCATCGGAACTGGCCAGGCAAATCCCCGTCCAAAGCTGAAGTTCTCTGGGGTCCGTGAAAACCGGCTGAGCAGCATTCCCACCATCCGCCTGCCCAAGCGGTCCAACCAAGGGCCTGTGTGTTGGGAGAGGCAACGCTGGGTTTGGTTACCATTCTCTTCCGGAACCCACTCGCCTCGTGTCCATGTTCATGTTTCGAAACACCGCACCCCATCCACCGCTCCAAAAGCACACCCCATCCCCGGTAGGTAGGTAGCGTAGCATGCCTATCCACCGCAACCCCAACCCATATATACCCATACCCACAGTCAAGTACCTCAGAAATCACTCCATATTCCTCCACTGGATCTTCCCAAACTTGCTCAGCGTCTCGAGCTTGCCGTCGCCCAGTTTCACCCCCCCCGAACGGATAACGCGCGGGTCGACGCGCATGGTGCGCGTCACGGCCTCGTGGGTCGCCGTGCTGGCGTCGTAGCGCATGACAAAGTAGTGCCCCCGGCGGTACCGGATCTGGTTGAGCCCGACGGGCCGCGGCAGCAGGAATACCCCCCAGTTGGCAATGTCGCGGATCACGCCGCCCTCGCGGAGGATTCGTTGGCCGGCGGTCAGGACGACTCTGTTTGGGTTTTTGGTGTTAGCAGGGTTGAGATTGGATTTGAGTGTCTATACAACACCGGCCCCGGCTAGATGTTCTCGAGATGGTGAGGAGGGGAGCCATCTCGCCATCACCCGGGAGTTTTTTTCTAATGGGGAGGCCTGTGGAAAGGTGGGGATTTGGTGAGGAGGGAACGGGAGATGGAATTGGAATGGCATGGCATGGCATGGCATGGCATGAAAACGCACTCTTTCACTTCGGCAAGGTTGCCTGGGCGGACCTGTTGTGGTTTTGCATCTGTCAGTGTTTTTGTGTTTTGCGAGTGAGGATGGTTATAAGTGAGCACTCACAATGCCAATTATTTCGTATAACATGCTGACGGTCGGCGGAGATAGAGGCGCTGCCGGGTTGTGTAGAGGTTGATGCCTTGCTGCGGTTCCCCGAACAACTCTCCAGCGCAATCGCAATCGCAATCGGCAAGTCGATTTGGTTGTCTGGAATTTCGGTGTCGCTCACTTACATAATCCGCGCTGCCGGTCCATTTGACTGGTCGGCGTGGTATGCCGAACTTTGATTGGCTGCTAAACTACACTCGGCTCCAAACCTTTTCCGCGTACTCCTTAAGTTCTGGAACGTTCAAAACGAAATCGCCCTCCCCAGGGCCCGGCCCTCTAAGAAAGAGAAGTCGGAATAATAGAATCAATGGGGCTCCAGTGATATCGTAAGATACTGGATCGGTAGCCGTATTTCGTATAATTGTGATGGTTTGTCTGAGTACTGGCTGTAGTAGGTGCAGACTGGAGTGTCTTGTCGTGGTCGCTCCCGGACGAACTGGGGCCTCTTCTTCCCACTTCTCCAAAACGATTTGGCTGCTGTCACCGTCAAATTTGGCGAGGAGTACCATCTTAACCTGGTGGTTCGACATGGAAAACCACCGCCGCATGTCTAGACGCAATTGCTGTATTGTCTCAGACACTCCTGCCTCGACAACAAGGATCGGCCAAGCGGATTTAGCACCTCGTTTGGGCGTCGGGCCACCGGTTGAATCGCCCTCTTTGCACCTCCATCCAGAATGATCCTGTGCTGAAAGTGTTTCACTGGCGAGACTTATCCAACTCCTCAAACCCATATCGCGAACCTTCCAGAGAAACTCGGTATATAATGCTGCGTGGAGTTGCTCATGAATGCCGGTTGGGATCGCGATAATGAGGATCCCGGAACCTACTGTCGTAATGACGGAAGCGGAACCTGCGGCGTTGCTCTTCTCGGGTCTTGTCGAATTCGGTGAAACGATTGAGGGATACATCTGAATAGTTAGTACATTATATAGAAATAGTACCGTGATACTGTACTTGTGACGGTAAGCGAGTCCCTGCCCGCCCTGATAGTGCCATCAATCACTTTCAACAGATCTTCCACGTTGGTAAATGGAACCGTGTCGGAATCGTCACTTTGCTTCGATTCTACCGAAGCAGGCATGGTAGAGGCCGATACCGACGTAGATGCAGCGGATGGAGACACTGCCGCTGGCGGCCTCGATGTAGTTAACTCTATAGCTATTCGTTGTTGGAGTTAGGGAAGCTATTGGAGGGGTACCACAGTACAGGGTGCCCAAGCTCGTTGAAGACGGCGGGGTCGTGAAAGAAGAGGGGTTGTACTTCGTATTCATTATAAGTGTTGGAGGTTGTAAGGAGGGCTCAAAAGTCTAGCCCAGTCACCTCCTAGCAGTAATCCAATATATAGAAGATAGATCAGGTAGTTATAGGTGTTGCCCTAGATTCCTCCTTCCACTTGACAGTCCGCACTCGCCAAAATCGGCAGTCCAGGCAGCGAACAGACACTTGCGGCGACAACTTGCGGTGGACCGGTGGTTGAGTTATTGGCGGCATATGCCGATATTCTGCCGCGCTGCAGCGGTGGGGCTACCCTACACCGCCTTCCATGTTTGGATTACGTACCTCTGGAGTCTGGTATCACCATGACCCCTTGAATGCTCAGCAGTAAGGGAAGTGCTCTTTACCTGAACAATGATCTTGCATTGGACACCGTCTACTCTGTATGTACAAGTAAACAAGTTTATAAATGTGACTTGCAGCAAAGTACACAATGGGCGGTATATCAGTTCAGCTGGTATCTATAATACCGGTCCTGTATATACAGTACAATACAGCTGTGATGTCGAGATGCCCACACCTATTCCCAAGGCACACTTTCCTTGATCATCACAACCGCATCACATCACCA